GTGAGACACGTGATCTCGGCGCGATACTACGTGTCACCATCGTCGTCGCCCGATCGAGCACCGTATTGAGCTTCTGGCGCAAAGGCGCGCGCGTGGTTGGGCTTGAAACGAGGGAAGGGCAGCAGAGCCGCCCTGGCCTCGATGAGGGCGACTGACCGTAAGCGAAGCGCTTTCACTGCTCCTAAATATGTGATATATCTACGACGGGCGCACATGCGGCCGAAGCGGACCCAGCGGGGCCGTTCATCGGCCGCTTGCCGCACCTGCTGTTTGAGCTCCGCATGAACTCCGCGCGCGGAGACGGTGCGCCGTGTGTGCCCTCTCGGCCCGGGCGGGCCCAGAGATGGGCTGCGCGGCCGGTCCGGGGCCGCTATCGGCGCCGCGCGTGCCCGACTGGGGAACCGTGTCAGTCGGTCCGCGTCGGGGAGCGCTGACAGACACGGTGTCCTGCGTGCCCTCCGGCCGCGCTTGGGCTGGCCGACGGCGCGCACCGACACAAGTCGGGGGAGTATCCATTTGCGCGTACCGGCCTGCTGCGCGACGCGCGACGGCCAGGGAACTTGCCAGGGTCCCCAGGCGTCGCACCATGCGGCACTTTTGGCCCCGCAACGGCCGTGACGCGCGCTCCCGAGCACAGCTGCGGCGCACGCACACGTGCCGCACAGCGAGACGGCGTCGCCGCGGGAGCTCGAGGCACCAGCGTGACATGCAAGACGGCGTGTTGTCGCAACCACGCCTCCCCGATGCAGCCCTCGCGGTCGCCGCGGCATCCTGCTGCAACGCCTGCCGCCGCCCCTCGCGCGCTGATGGCCGCGGAGCGGCGCCAGCACACGCTCCGTCACGCGGACGTCGACTGCGACGGCCACACACACTCACTCGACACGCACACAATCCCGGCGCGCTCATGCGCGCCGCCCGCGCCCCCGACAGCAGCTGCCGACCCGGCGGACGGACAGTCAAGCGTCCACGCGAGGGATCAGCGCACACGCCGATCGCTTAGCGGCCGTCGCCCCGCAAGTGACGTCAGGGAGGGGGGAGTCGACCACCGCGCGTGCGAGCTACGGACGACGGGCAGTCGAGACCGCGACGTGAGCGCCGGCAGAGACACTCGCGCCGAACGGAGCGCTTCGAGTCGGTCGACCGTCGCGGGCGCCGCGAATCGTCTTTGTCGGGTAGTTGGTGCATCCTGGGCTGGATCGCTGGCGAAAGAGGGGGCGAGGGGGCCATACGGCCCTGGTTCCGCCTGTGTGGTGTAGTGTGGGTCGCGCCGCGTCCGAAGGGGTCGCGTGCTGCCGCTGCGGCCACGGGGTCGCGGCTGACTGCGTGCGGCGCTGGGAGGCGCGGCCCCCGCCGGCTGCGCGGGTCGAGGTCGGGAAGATCGGCCGCGTGCCCGCCGCCACGGGACTGACGAAGCGACTGAGGTCCACGACTGACGCTCACGTACTGCGTGGACGTCGGTGCGTGCGGTGCTGGCACTCTTGGTACAGTGCGAGGACCTGTGCGTGAGACAGGGCGCCCGTCTCGCGGCGTGTGACAGCCGGCTGCACGGAGACAACTGTATCGCACGCTGCAGGGCGGGATCTTTGCGCAGCCGTGTCCCCAGCAAGCAGGCCTCGGCAACACTGCCGGCGCGGCGGCACCCTGGCGCGCGCGCGGTCGCTCGACGGCAGCGCAATCGCATATCGACGCCCCCCCGGCGTCCGGCATCTGACGCGCCGTCGCAGCGCTCGCTGCGCGCGCCCGGCCGCTCGCCCTACGGGAACCGACACGCAGCAAGTCAACACGGCGCGTCGTGCGCGCTTCTGGCGAGCGGAGCGGGAGCCCCGGCGACGATGAGCGAGCCGCGAGCGTCGTGCCAATTGAGCATTCGGGGGTGGGGGCGTGGGAGGCGGGGTCGGCGAGCGCGCTGCGCAGTCAGGTGCCCGCAGCCCGCGCGCTTCTCACTCCTGCGCCTCCGCACCGCCCTGCTCACTCCTGCACCTGATCACACCTGCGCCTCCGCGTCCTGCGCCGCCGCGGCCCGCTCCTCCGCGTTCTTGGCGTCGCGCTTGCCCATGTGGGGGTTCTGGTAGCGTGACTTGCGTGCGGCGTGCACCTGGCGACGACGCCGGGATACTCCTGCGCTTCGGCACGCGACACGCGCCCGCTGCTAGCCCCTCTACGTGCCCAGGACGACGCACTCACGCCCGGCGTGCACCCGGCGGATGGCCGCGACCGCGCGCACCGCCCCTGTACCGCACAAAAACAACACGGCACCGAGCTAGACTGTGACTCGTCGCTCCCGACCCCGTCCTCTCTCAAACGCTCGCGCACTGGCCGCCGCACTCTCACGCGGGCGCGCCCGAGCCGGCGCCGTCGCCGGACGGAGCCCCACCGCCGCCGCCGTCGACGGCAAACGACGGGGCCGCGGCAGCGGCAGCGGCGTCCGCCTTGGCCTGCTTCTTGCGCTGGCGATTGATCAGTACGGTCTGCGTGCATTCATACTGCGCGAACTCCTCCTCCGGGTTCTCCACGCCGTGGACCACCTGTGGCGCGCTTGCAGCGGCGATGGCCGTCCGCGAGCCCCGCGTCACGGTGGTCTGGTCCCAATAGAACTCGACATGCGCGGTGCCGTTCTCGCCGTACGCGTATGCGTACTGGCGGGTGGGGCACACGGTGGGTGACTACACTGTGTGACTAGTCGAGCACTGTGACACAGTGTGTGACTGCACACCCCTGCATGCTCTGTCCCCCAATGCCCGAGCGCCTCGATGGTCGACGTTGAGTCGCCGAGTTGATGGGGACGTCGATGAAGACAATCTTGCCCAGTTGCAGGCAGACCTTGTGCGAGTGCCTGCCCGTCCGCTCGGTCGAGAGGCAGTGCTTCATGGCTCGCTTGGCGTCCAGCATGGACAGCCGAACGAGCGTGATGAAGTCCCTGCAGAACAGCGGGCAGGCCACGACCGTGGCGCCGTCCTGAGGCTGCGTGGATGCGTGCCGATGGACCAAGAACCGAGGGCTAGCGAACCCGCTCCGGAGGGCCGACCTGGCACGCGCTTTCGTGTCGTTCGCGGGACAGATGTGGGCGCAGCTGGCCAGGGAGAAGAGCGGACACGGCGACGGCGCCAAGGTCGTGGCGTGTCCGCTCTTCTCCCTGGCGAGCTGCGCCCGCATCTGTCCCGCGAACGACACGAAAGCGCGTGCCAGGTCGGCCCTCCGGAGCGGGTTCGCTAGCCCTTGGTTCTTGGTCCATCGGCACGCATCCACGCAGCCTCAGACGGCGCCACGGTCGTGGCCTGTCCGCTCTTCTGCAGGGACTACATCACGCTGCTTTGGCTGTCAATGCTGGACGTCTAGCGTGGCCTGAAGCACTGCATCTCTAGGAGCGGACGGGCAGATTCAGCCACAAGGTCTGCCTTCGTCTCGGCAAGATTGTCTTCACGACCTTTCAAAGGAAGTTCCCATCAACTCGGCGACTCAATGTCAACCACCGAGGCACTCGGGCATGAGGACGAGAGCATGCAGCTGCTCGCGGCCAAGCTCCTACGCGATACGCTGCGCAGGTGGAGCAACCTCCTTGACGAAGTTCTGACCGAGCATCCGGAGCTCGAACCATCGCTGACATGACACACATGGCGCCACACACAGCCGGGCACCTGCGACGCCGACTCAAGCTGCCCGCTCCCGTCAAGGGTCGCCGGCAGCGGTACCGGGCGGCCACGGCGCACCGGGGGAGCCGCGATTCGCGCCGAGCGTGCGGCCTCTCTCATGTGTCCGCTGCCTGACTGGTGGAACCGTTTCAGTCGGCCCGCGTCGGGGAGCGCTGACAGACACGGTGTCCTGCGTGCCCTCCGGCCGCGCTTGGGCTGGCCGACGGCGCGCGCACTGGCACTGGTCGGGGGAGTATCCATTTGCGCGTACCGGCCTCTTGGGCGACCAGGGAGCTGGCCAGGCCCCAGGAGTGGGCCCGCGATCGGGGCGTGCATGCGCCTCACGTGGACGCCCTGCTGCACGACCGTGTGCCGCACCCGCAGGGCGTCGCCGCGTCGCGCGGCCCGAAAGCAGCGACTTTTCTTCTTCAAGAGCATCACGTCAGTATTGCGGGCGAAACGGCGCGCGACGCCCCGGCACGCATGCAGGGCATAGAGCGGCGAGAGGGGCCGACGCGCGGGGGGGCTTCGTCGGTCACGCTGAGGAGCTTCGGGCACCCTGGGAGCGTCAGTCTGCGTCAGCAGCGACGCGGAGTGGTCGTGCATGCACCCTGTGAGTCTCTCCGTCACGTCGGCGCCCTCACAGCTAAAGCCCCAACGGCACGCTGACGCGCTCCTCCGCGCGAGACGTGGCCGACACACCGGCAGCGACGGACCGACATCCGACTCACAGCCGGCGCAGCAGCGGCGCCACGGTCCCCGCGACGCGACCGGCCGCGTCCCCGACCGTCCAGCGAACACTCCTGCAAGCAAGCGTCGTCGACGAGGACGCGACATGTTGGTTTCGCACCCCACCGCTGCGTTGCGTTGCGTCGGGCACGCAGCGCGGCGCGGCGCGGCGAGACCGCGCGTGTGTTGCCTGCCGGACCGGCGACCTCGGCGCGCAGCGCTGCGCGAGGCGCGTCCCCGCGCGAGGTGCGCGGGGGGCCCGGCCGGGCGGGAATCAATCAATCAATCAATCAATCCCTCGTCTTGGTGTGGCAAGCGCTGTGGCCCCCGGCGCCAGCACCGCGCCGTCGCGTCCGTGGGGAGCTCCGGCGCGGCTCAGCCGGGGGATGGAAGGCTTGCGCGGCGAGCGAGTGAGCGCCAGCGAAAAACAAAACAACGATCAAACAACAACAGGCATCGAAGAAGCTCCTCGGGCAATAAGCGGAGTTGTGTAAACCTCATCCGTTCGGTCGGCACACATGTGGAGTGATCGTCATCGGAGCGGCGCGGGGCGGCGCGGGCGGCCTGCGTGTTCGCGGGGGGTCGTGACGTGGCTCACAGGGGCGAGCCGCGAGGCGGGCCGCGCACCGGCACGCGTGGCTCTCAGGCCTTGACGGCGTACTTCCGCTTGGGGAAGTTGGCGGCCTTCTTCGCGGCCTTGTCCGTCACCGCGCTCTTCTGGTGCTTGGTGAGCCTCCGGCGGATCGCGCGGGTCTTCTTCTCCCGCAGGTCCGTCGGCAGGTACTTCTTGCCCTTGTACGCCTCCTGCGACGCGGCGGGGGCGGGGAGCGGGCGGCTCGGAAGGAGGGGGGCAGTGTGGTGTCCACGGAGCGCGTGGGAGCGTCGCGCGGGGCGGCGGGGCCCGCGACGTCGTTGCGTGCGCGCAGGAGGCGTGCGGGGGGGCCCTCAGTGGCTAGATCAAAGCGTCATGCGCGGCTGATCCTCCCGCAGGAGGGCTCGCCTCATTCAAGGCGGCGCGTTACTTCTTTGATGAAGGTGCCGCTCCGGTTCCAACGAAGCATCATAGGGCAGGCGCGGCCTCGCGCACGAAACAGAGAGGGAGGCCGCCGCAGGGGGCAGGCGGCGGGGCGCGCGGCGCAGGGAGCGCGCGTGGGGAGGCGCGGCCCGTGGTGTGGGGGGCCGGCGCGCCGGGGGCGGGGCGCGCGGCGCACCTTGAGGGCGGCCCGGGTCTTCTGGTTGATCACGGTGAGGCTCCGCGCGATGCCCTTGCGGATCGACCTGATCTTGGCGAGCTTGTTCTGGGCGCCGCCCGTCACCTTGGCCACGCGCAGCGACGCCAGCTCCTGCTTCATGTCCTTCAGCGAGCTAAGGAGGTCATCCTTGCTCTTCTCGCGGAGCTCGTACGCCTTGGGTGCCATCCTGCAGCGGGCGCCACGCGCGGCGGGCGCGGGTGAGGCGAGCACGCAGGCGGCACCCGCCCTGAGGCCGACGCGCGCGCAGGTCACGCGCGGGGCGCCCGGGCGCGCCCGGGCGCACGGGCGAGGAGGTTGGGCGCTGGAGGGGGCCGAGGGGGGCCCGTGGGCGTCGGGAGCTGTGGGCGGAGACTCTTCCGAGGCGCCCACGGCAGAGTGGGGCGCGCGGAATAGGCATGTCCCGCCCGAATCGGGTCTGCCGCAACAAATGTGAAGGACCCGTATCAGCTACGGCCCATGGGGCAGCTGCCGGGGCTGGAAACGCGGCGTGCGCCGGAGACGCGGGGCTGCAAAGCGGCCAAGGCACAGGCGCCGGCCAGCGAGCGGCTTGGCGGGCACCCGGCCGCGCGTGGCCCGGCCCGGGCGCGAGAGTTATGTGATTGAGCGTCGTCGCAGCGTAGAAGCGGCAGCCGCGCGCGTCCGGCGCGGCGCCGGACGCAGCGGCGCACGTCGCGAAGCGCACGCGCGCGGGGTCGCGGGCCTCACCTGCTGTCTACACCACGAGCCGGAGGCACTTACGAAAGAGGACCTCGGGCGGCCGCCGCCCCGGCCGTTGTGCCCCTCGCGCGCTCCCGCCGTGGTCGGGGGAGTCGAGTCAGGGGCCAGGCGGCCCGGGAAGGGTCCGCGGGGCCGCGTGCGCGCGACAGTCGCGATACGCACCCCTCTCGCTCGCGGTCGACGGATAGGGGTTCGGGAAACGTTCGTCGCGCGGGCCGTGGGAGGGTACTCGAGGTGCATTCGGCGCGCCGGCGGGCCGGCCCGGTGGCCGAAGCCGCGCGATGAAGCTGCTCCTGCACAACCTCCTAGAGTGCAACATCAAGGGCGTCGAGAACGGCTACCCGCTGAAGATAGAGGCGCGAAAAGTGGAAGTGAAGGAGGCAGACTTCCAGGCCGGTGCGTCGCCCCGGGACGGCGCCGCGCACCGCTCCGCGGCCCCGCGCCACGACCACGCCGCACCAGCGCCTGGCCACCCGCCGCGTCGAGCCTCGCGGCGCACGCCCGGTCCGCGCAGCGCCGCGGCGCGCGATTTCACCCACGCCGCCCCCTCCCTCGCCCCCAACGACGCAGACTTCCTGAAGCGCATGCTGCAGCGACTCGACTGGAGCGCGCTCGTCCAGGCACGCCCCGCCACCCCGCCTCCCCGCGACCCCGCGCATCCACACACACACACACGCGTTCCCCCCAACGCCGCCGCGCCGCCCGGCCGCTCCCCGCAGGGCGCCAAGGCGATGGGCGTGCCGGACCTCCCCGAGCAGTACAGGCCCGAGATGGCGGACGACGAGGCCTTCCTCAGGGCCCTGCACCACGCACTGCTGGAGGTGCACCTGGAGGAGGGCGCGCTGGTGCGTGGCCCGCGCGACCCGCCGACGCCCTGCTCCGCGCTGCCGCGACGCCCGCGCGCCGCCGCGGCCGGCCCCGACGTGCTGCGCGGCCGACCGTGCGCTGCTGTTTCTTCACGCGTGGTTGGTGGGGGCGTGGCGTGCAGATATGTCCGGAGAGCGGGCGGAGGTTCGAGGTCAAGGACGGGGTGCCGAACATGAAGCTCGCGGAGGACGAGGTGTGACGCGGGGCGCCGCCCGCAGTGTGAGTCGCGCGTGTGCAGTGTCCGGGGCGCGCCACCGCTGGCGGGGCCCGCGCCGCCGTCGGCCGAGGCGCGCGCGGCGGGGCCCGACGCGGCGGGACGTGGGCCGGCCCGGCGGGTCCCGCGCCGAGCTGGGTCGCGCGGCCGATTCGGGACGGTTACGGTTGCGCCGCCGCCGGCGGTGGTTGCTGCGCGGGTGGCCGCGCGCGAGGCGCTCGTCGCGTGCAACGGTGCCCGGAGACGGGGCAGGGCGCGGGTTGTCGGGGCACGGCGGGAGGGCGCGGCTGCCGCGTCCTCGCGCTCGCTGGGGCCCCACGGGTACCTCGAGCACTTGTAACGGGGGTGCTGTCGGGCTCGGCGGCGCGCGCGCGTATGGGCGCTCGGCGGCGGCGGTGCGCGGCAAAGCGCCGTTGGTTGAGGATCGTGCGGAGCAGACCACGCGGAACACGCCGCCGGGAGCCCCGCAGGCGCGACGGTGGACGCGCGAAGGCCGACTCCGTTGGCGGGAGCGGCGGCTTCGAGATCGGCTTTTTCGAGCCTTAGAGAGGAAATCGGGTCAGTTCATTCAGGGTCCGCGTCGGGGGGTGCGAGATGGGTTGTGTGAGCTCGCGCCCTGCCGGCTCGGGGAAGCGCACTAGGCAGTCAACCCGGGCAGATCCAGGCGCGCAGCCAAACCTCGCGGCGCTCTGGCAGGAGGAAATCGGGGCCCTCACGGACGGACGGAGCCCGAAGGTACGCCGCGCGCGCGCGATTCCGCGCCGTCGCCGCAGCCCCCGGGCCTCGCGGGCCCCTGCAGCCCGGGAAAGCGTTGCCCGTGCCGGGGGCCCCACGCGACGTCGCGGGCGAGGACCTCCCGCGACAGCGACGAGCGGGCCAAGTGACGCGCCGGGGCGCGCGCAGCCCGCGGGCACGCCCCCCGGCGCGCGCGCCGTGGGCGCCTTCGAAACGCGGGGGGCTCCCCCGTCGCCCCCCGTCGCGCGCTGCCCGCTCGCACCGCGCGCGCCCCGCGACGCGAGAGATCCGGCGCCTGTGGCACTTCCCGCGCGCAGGCGAGGCGGAATTACAACCCAGCGTCGCCAACGCTGGCCGCGGGGCTGCGGGGCGATGGGCGAACCTCCGACGGCTCCGCGGGCAGGCGGCAGGACAGCGTGGAGCGCTTCTCGGAGCTCATGCAGTTGCCCCTGGTCTCCGAGGCGTGCCCGGTGGAGATGCTGAGCGCGGCCTGGACGCTGGACCGCTTCATCGTCCACCGCAAGCTCGGCGGTGGGGCCAAGAGCAAGGTCTACCTCGCCATGGACGAAATGTCCGGAATGCAGGCGCGCGCCGCGACCACCACACCGCGAGCCGCCCGCCGCGGCCCGCACGCCGCCGCGGCACGCCCGCAGCGCCCCCGGTCGCCCCTGCCCCCCTGCGCCGAGCGGGTGCCTTCCGCGCGCGCGTGCGTCGCAGGTGGCGGTCAAGGCGGTGGACATGCGCTCCCTGCACGAGATGGAGAAGAAGCAGCTCAGCCGCGAGATCAACCTGCACGCCGAGCTGAACCACCCCAACGTGCTGGCCCTCTACGCGGCCTTCCGCCTCGAGGACCACGTCGTGCTCGTGCTCGAGGTCGCGCACGCGGACCTCCTCCAGAAGATGCCGGAGATTCCCTGCGCGGAGCCCGTCGTCACGCGGCGCGTCCTCTTCCCGCTGCTGCTCGCCCTGGACTACGTGCACGCCCAGGGCATCATTCACCGGGACCTCAAGCCCGAGAACGTGACCTTCTCGCTCACGGGGCAGCTCAAGCTCGCCGACTTCGGGTACAGCATCGACATGTACGAGACGCGGCCCGTCACGCGCCTCGGGACGCTCACCTTCATGGCACCGGAGGTCCTCGCGAGCGGACGCCGCCACATGGAGGACGTCACGCACGAAATGGAGCCCAGGGTGCGCGCACGGCATCGCCCCGCCCGCGCTGCCCGAGCGTGGCTCGCCCCCCTCCACGCGCTGCGCTGACACCCCCCCGTCCCCCCCCGATGGCGTGCCGCGCAGCCGACGGACATCGCGCGGGAGCGGCGGCCCGGGTACCACACGGGCGCGGACGTGTGGTCGATCGGCGTGCTCCTGTACGAGCTCCTCGTGCGAGACACCCCCTTCCGGCGCCAGGAGCGGCCCGACGTGATCAAGGCCATCATGGCGGGGGACTTCCCGCTCCCGGACTTCCTCTCCCCCGAGGCCAAGTCGTTCATCAGCGCGTGCCTCACCGTCCACGCGGCCGACCGCCCCAGCGTCCCGCAGCTCATGGGCCACCCGCTGGTGTGCAAGTACTTCTCGGACGCGCACGTCAACGCCGCGCTCGGCGGGAACACCGCGCACATCCGCCGGCGCAACTCCGTGTACCTCATCGTCGGGAACCGCCTCGTCGAGCGCCGCGGGTCGCAGGGGTCGGTCCAGTCGCTCTACGGACAGCTGGAGTGAGTCGCCCCGCCCGCCCGACGCCAGCGCACCCGCGTCGCCTCGCCGAAGCAGCGTGCAGCGGCCCTCGCAGCGCCTGCGCCCCGACACGCCGCCCCCCGCGGTGCGTCGCCACGAACGAGCATGGCATCACCTGCCCGAACCCCCCTTGGGTGTTGCGTGCGTGTTGCCCCCCGCAGCCAGGCGCACATGGACGCGATCCTGCGCAACCGGGTGTCGAACAAGTCGGGCGAGACGGCGAAGAGCGGGTCGCTGCAGATCTCGGTGTCTGACCCGGTGTCGCGCAACAACCTCGTCGCGCTGCGGCAGGCCGAACTCAACGGCAGCCGCAACAACGTGGCCCTGCGCGCGCCCTCGCCGCACGCCGGCGCCAGCGGGTCCCACCCGCATCTCGGGCTGCGCAGCGCCGGCCACATGGTGCGCGCCGGCAGCAACAAGAAATCGGTTGAACTCGGCACGGTGGAACGCATTCCGTCGCGGCTTGGCCGCGAGGGTCTCGCGAGCCGCGCGGGCAGCGTCACGCACGGCCTGGAGAGCCAAGCAATGGCGCAGGCGTTCCGGCAGCGCGTCGCGTCGCAGTCGCAGCACATCGGAGCGCAAAACTCCGGGCTGGGGCGCGACCTGGGCAAGCACGTGCCGATGCCGTCCAGCCACAGCATGACCAACCCGGCCACGAGTGCGTCCGTCAGTCAGCACCTGAACATGTCGCGCGCGTGACGCTGGCACAGTGCGACCGCGCAAGCCGGGCACGACCCGGCGGCGGCAGCGCTCGCGTTCCTCGCAGGCTTGCCAGCGGGACGCGTCGTGCTTGCGCTCTGCTCAGCCCGACCCGTTCGTCCAGCACCCACCTCTGCTACCAAACCGGACCCCCCCCCCACCCTTCCGTTCCAGAATCCACAATATCTCGCCCCCGTGCTCCCCGTATCTTCGACTCCGCCTTCTTCCCCACCGAACCGCTTCCCGCCACAGCCCCCCGGACCTGCCCTATCCCGACGCGCTCGAGCACTTGTGCGTCGTCGCACGAGACGTCCCCCTTCCCGAACGGTGGTTTGCCCCACCCCTTGTCACCCCTGTCAACGCACGGCGTCTCGACACCATCATCTCGACGTCCCCCATCGCTTCGATCTAGCAGTTCCCTTTCTTTCTACGACTCGACAACCCTGCTAACCCCCAACCTCCCCTCCCCCCCCCCAACCTCACGGCCGCCGCTGACGCGACGCCTGAGCTTGTAGCGTGCGCAGACGTCGCTCGCGCAGCCCGTCTCCAGCGGGCCCCGTCCTGCCGTAGCGGCTCGGACACCCACACACCATGTTTGGACAGCATTCACGTCACAGCATGCATTGCAGCTGCATCAGACAGAACCATTACGCAGCAGCCACGCCCTCCCCCCGGCGGGTGCCTGTAGGTCAGCGAACAATCAAAGCCCTTGATCCCTGCCCGGGAGAGCCTGAGCGGCGGAACATTGCGTCCACAGAGCTCAAGCCGAGACGCGCGCGGGCCAGGCGTTCCGCGCGAGGTGAGTTGTCGCATATTGCACGTCGTCGGCCTGATGGCGTCGGGACACGTGTAATGAACCTTCACCGACATCCGGATGCGCTCGCAAGTGAGCCCGGGAGGCACTACAGCTCGAGGCATCCTGCACGACGAAAGGCCAACGCCGCTCCAAGGATCGTGCGCATGCGGTGGCCAAGCCTGCCGTACCATTTCGGTCGCTCCGGCATCCTCGCGGTGAGGGTGCTCGTAGGTCAGCGGAGAACTAAGTTCCTGCGTCGCTGCGCGCCGCAACCACCCGCGGCGCCGCCGCGTCCACGCCACCGCCGGCTCCAGCGCGCTCGCTCACTTCGGGTCACAGATCGTGAGCCAGCTTCCAGCGCCCTCTCTGCCCGTGAGCGACCCACCGTCATCCCATGCACTCGCCTTCCTGCCCCGCCAGCAACCCCCCCTTACGTTCCCGCAGTCCTCGCCTCCAACCGCCCCGCCTCCCTCGCCCCACCGGCTCCGCGCCCGCCGCTCACAGCTCCTCGTGCTCGTCGCCGCCGGCGTCCTCCTCCTCGTAGTCGTCCTCCTCCCCGCCCTCGACGTCGCCGTCCTGCTCCTCCGCCTCCGGCTGCTCGGCCTCCGCCTCGGCGTCGAGCTGGTCGTCGGCCTTGGCGTCGGGCTCCGGGATGGCCTCGTCGCCGGCCGCGCGGCGCAGCACGCTGTAGACGTCGCGGCTGAACGCCTGCGGGTCCGCGACGTCGAACCCGGACTCGAGCAGCGCGACCTGGTACATGACCTTGGCGGTCATGGCGGCCTCGGCGCTGGCCTCGCCCTCCTCGGCGTCCGCGACCTGGTCCTTGAGGTACTGGACCATGGGGTGGTGGGGGTTGATCTCGAGGGTCTTGCGGCCGCGCATGAAGGCGTGCTTCTGGTTGTTGGCGAGCGCCTGCGCCTTCATGAGCTTCTCCATCTGCGCGGACCAGCCGTACTTGGACGTGACCACCACGCAGGGCGTCTCGGCCAGCCGGTTGGACACCTTGACCTGGTCCAGGTCCGACTCGGACGCGAGCGCCTCCTTCCACCACTTGACGAGCGGCTTGAACTCCTCCTTGATCTTCTTGAACGCCTTCTTCTCCTCGCGGTCGTCGATCTTGAGGTCCTCCTTGGACGCGTTCTGGAACTTGAAGTCGTCAAACTCGACCAGGCTCTGCATCATGAACTCGTCCGCGGGCTCCCCGAAGAAGATCACCTCGTACCCCTTCTTGATCAGGCGCTCCACGAACGGCGACTTCTTCAGCTCGTCCATGCTCCCGCCCGACACGTAGAAGATGTTCTTCTGGCCCTCCTTCATGCGCCCGATGTAGTCGTCCAGCGACGTCAGCTCGTCCGGCGACGCGCTCGAGTGGAAGCGCAGCAGCTTGGCCAGGCGGTGCCGGTTCGCGGCGTCCTCGATGATGCCCATCTTCAGCGCCTTGCCGAACTCGTTCCAGAAGTTGCTGTACTGCGACTTGACCGCCTCGAGGTCCTTCCCGTCGCCGCCCTCCTCGCCCTCCTCGCCGTCCTCGCCCTCCGCGCGCGCCCTCGCCCTCCGCTCGTCGTCGGCGAGCTTCTTGATCATGTCGAGGGCCTTGCGGACCAGCTTCTTCTTGATGGTCTTGAGGGCCTGGGACTGCTGGAGCTGCTCGCGCGAGATGTTGAGCGGGAGCGTGTCCGAGTCGATGACGCCGACGAGGAACGAGAGGTACCGCGGGAGCATGTCCTCGTAGTCGTCGGTGATGAACACGCGCCGCACGTAGAGCTTCACGTTGGCCTGGCGCTGGTAGAAGTTGTCGTAGAAGTCCCACGGCGCGCTCTTGGGCACGTACAGCAGCGCGCGGAACTCAACGTCGCCCTCGGCCTTGAAGTGCGAGTGCGCGAGGTGGCTCGCGGACCCCTTGGTCAGGGCCTTGAAGAAGTCGTCGTACTCCTCCTCGCTGATCTCGCTCGGGGACCGCAGCCACATGGCCTTGTGCGGGTTCAGCTTCTCCCACTCCCGCACCTTGCGCTTCTCCGTCCGCGTCTTCGCCTCCTCGTCGCCCTCCTCGTCCTCGGCGTCCTCGGCGTCCTCGTCCCCCTCCTTCTCCGCGTCGTCCTCGGCGTCCGCCTCGTCCTCGCCGACCTCGTCGTCCTCGACGGGCACCTCGACCTCGACCTCCTTCTCCTTCTCGAGCAGGATCGGGAAGTTGATGAACTCGGAGTACTTGTGCACCAGCGCCTCGAGGTTCGACGGCTCGAGGAACTCCTCCGCGTCCTTCTTCAGGTGCAGCTTGAGCATCGTGCCGCGCCCGAGCGGCTCGTTCTCCTTGTCCTCCGTGATCGCGAACGACCCGTCCGCGGTGCTCTCCCAGATGTACTGCTTGTCCTCGCTGTGCTTCGTCACCACCTCGACGTGGTCCGCCACGAGGTACACCGAGTAGAAGCCCACGCCGAACTGCCCGATCAGGTTCGCGTCGCCCGAGTCCTTGAACTTGTCCAGGAACGACGACGTCCCGGACTTGGCAATGGTGCCCAGGTTCTGCACCAGGTCGTCCTTGGTCATGCCGATGCCCGAGTCGCGGATGTACAGCACCTTCTTCTCCTTGTCCGCGCTGATGCGGATCTCCATGTCCGGCGTGCTCCCGTCGTCGGCCTCCATCACCTTGGGGTCGGTCAGCGCGATGAAGCGCAGCTTGTCCAGCGCGTCCGACGCGTTCGAGATCAGCTCGCGCAGGAAGATCTCGCGGTGGCTGCGCACGCAGGTGGCGGGGTCGTGGAGCGTTGAGCACGAGCGTTGCCGCGCCAACGTCGACGAGGAGGCACAAACAAACAAACATGGCCTTATAGCAACCAGGGCGGTTCGTGCGCGCTCGCCGGGCGGGAACGGTTCCGACGATCGCGCACTGGCACGGAGCTACCCTCTCGCGCGTCCGCGGCGGTCGGAGCGTCCGTCGCGCCGGTGCGCGCGGAGCGACGCGCTCGACGGGCCCCGCGCACGAGCAGGCGTCGATCGGCGGTTTCACGGGCAACGGACCTGTACAGAGAGTTGATGATCATGTCGAGGAGACGCTTCACCTCGGCCTGGAACGTGAACGTCTCGGACTCGCGCGGCGGGCGCGCGGGTTCGTCGCTGCAGGCACGCGGGGGCTCTCGGCGGCGGTGAGCACAGGGCGCGCGCGCGTCGCGGGGCGAGCGGTGGCGTGAGCGCTCTGGCGCGCGAACGGATGCATGATGTACGTGGATGGCTCGGAGGTGCGCGCGGGCGCGGTTGCCGTCGCGTGCTGGCGCGGGGGGAGGGCGACAGTACGTGTGGGGAGGAGGGGGGAGGCGCGCACCTGGCGGCATCGCCCTCGGCCGCGGCGGGCTCAGCGGTCTCCGCACGGGCGACTGCGTTCGGAATGAGGCGCGGGGAGGCGGTTTGGCGGCCATTATGGCGGGCGTGCGCGCGGCGCGAGGCACACTTCTGGAGAGGCGGGGGCTAGGCTGCGGGATCGCGCTGCGGGAGGCGCGACGGACCTGGAATAGCGAAAGCGCCGAGCAAGGCGAAGAGGAAGATGGCGACCAGGATGTTGCGCCTCATGGTTGCGGGTCCGTTCGGCGCCGAGCCGACTAGTAGGACCCGATCGAGCTACGTTGTCGCGCGTGCCCTGGCGCGCTCACGCCCTGTGGTCGGTCTGGGTGCGCTGCCCGTGGCGAAAACTTGCACGGGCGGGCGCCGCGCGGGCCGGACGAGCCGCCGCGCGCTGCCAACAAAACGTCCCCGCGATCAGGGGGGCTGTTAATGTTGGCCGGGCGTTTGGGCATTTTGCGGGCCGGCAGGGCGGCTGCCGGGCAGATTTCGCACTCCAAACGTCCGCATAGCATTCCAAGCATCGAATGGGGCGTAACTCCGGCGCTATGTGGGGGCGTCGCGCGTGCTGGGCGCTGCTAGGTATGGCGCGGCCGCATCGAACTCGCTCTGCCGCGCCGCACGCCGCCGAACCACCCGTCCAATCGCGTCACGCAGCCTTCTCACATTGCACTCTACCCGTTCCGCGCGCGTTGTCGATCCGGCCACGCCCCACGCGCCCACGGCCGGAGTGACTCTTCTAGCACCTCCTGCCTCCCCACACAGCAGCTCACGCGCGCCGCGCCCGCCTCTATCTGCGCCCCCGCAGTGCTCCTGCCGCTGCTGTTCGTCGCGGCCAGGTCGGAGGAGGAGAAGAAGAGCCTCGGGACCGTCATCGGGATCGACCTCGGGACCACGTACTCGTGCGTCGGCGTCTACCGCAATGGAAGGTGCGATGGCGGACCCCCGGACCTGCCCAGCCGCGCCGCTTGCGCGCCGCGCCTCGCTCGCGTCCGCGGCTGCCTCGTCCGCGGCTCGCGCACCCGTCCCGCGCCCCCAGCGGGCCGCTCTCCGCGCCCCGCCCTGCCACGCAACACGCCCCCGCGCTCACGCGCCGCGCGCTGCCTGTCCACGGCCGCAGGGTGGAGATCATCGCCAACGAGATGGGTAACCGCATCACCCCGTCCTACGTGGCGTTCACCGACAGCGAGCGCCTCATCGGTGCGCGCCCGCCCACGGCCACCCTGCACCTGCCCTAGCGCCTCCGTGCCCCGCGCCGGCGCCGCGTCGCCCCCCGGCCCGCCCCGCGCGCCACGCCCGACCTTCCCTCGCCCCGTCCGCCCCGTCCGCAGGCGACGCGGCCAAGAACCAGGCGCACATGAACCCGAAGCGGACCATCTACGACGTCAAGCGTCTGATCGGGCGCGACTTCACGGACGAGAACGTGCAGCGGGACCGCAAGCTGGTGTCGTACGACATCGTCAACAAGGACGGGAAGCCGTACGTGCAGGTCGAGGTCAACGGCGAGAAGCGCAAGTTCTCGCCCGAGGAGGTGTCGGCGATGATCCTGGGCAAGATGAAGGAGATCGCCGAGGCGTACCTGGGCCACTCGGTGTCGCACGCCGTGGTCACGGTGCCGGCGTACTTCAACGACGCGCAGCGCCAGGCCACGAAGGACGCCGGCGTCATCTCGGGCCTCAAGGTGGAGCGCATCATCAACGAGCCCACGGCCGCGGCGATCGCGTACGGCCTGGACAAGAAGGGCGGCGAGAAGAACATCCTCGTGTACGACCTCGGCGGCGGCACCTTCGACGTGTCCATCCTCACCATCGACAACGGCGTGTTCGAGGTGGTGTCGACCAACGGCGACACGCACCTCGGCGGCGAGGACTTCGACCAGCGCATGATGGAGTACTTCATCCGCCTCGTCAAGCGCAAGCACGGCAAGGACATCGGCAAGGACGGCCGCGCGCTCGCCAAGCTCCGCCGCGAGGTCGAGCGCGCCAAGCGCGCGCTGTCGTCGCAGCACCAGATCCGCGTGGAGGTCGAGGCGCTCGTCGAGGGCATCGACCTGTCGGAGCCGCTGACGCGCGCGAGGTTCGAGGAGCGCAACCTGGACCTGTTCCGCAAGACGCTGGGCCCGGTCAAGAAGGCCATGTCTGACGCGGGGCTGGAGAAGTCGGAGATCGACGAGATCGTGCTCGTGGGCGGGTCGACGCGCATCCCCAAGGTGCAGGAGCTGCTGAAGGAGGCGTTCGACGGCAAGGAGCCGAACAAGGGCGTGAACCCGGACGAGGCGGTGGCGTACGGCGCGGCGGTGCAGGGCGGCATCCTGTCGGGCGTGCAGGACGACAACACCAAGGACATCCTGCTGATCGACGTGTGCCCGCTGTCGATGGGCATCGAGACGGTCGGCGGCGTGATGACCAAGCTGATCCCGCGCAACACGGTGATCCCGACGAAGAAGTCGCAGGTGTTCACCACGTACCAGGACCAGCAGTCGACGGTGTCGATCCAGGTGTTCGAGGGCGAGCGCACGATGACCAAGGACAACCACCTCCTGGGCAAGTTCGACCTGTCGGGCATCCCGCCGGCGCCGCGCGGCGTCCCGCAGATCGAGGTGACGTTTGAGATTGACGCCAACGGCATCCTGAACGTGGGCGCCCAGGACAAGGGCACGGGCAAGTCGGAGCGCATCACGATCACGAACGACAAGGGTCGGCTCAGCGAGGAGGACATCGAGCGCATGGTGCGCGAGGCGGAGGAGTTTGCGGAGTCGGACAAGGCGGCCAAGGCCAAGATCGACGCGCGCAACTCGCTGGAGACCTACTGCTACAACATGAAGAACTCGATCGGGGACGAGAGCAGCAAGCTGTCGGAGAACCTGGAGGAGGACGACAAGGAGACGATCACCAAGGCCATCGAGGAGGCGCTCGAGTGGCTGGACGACAACCAGGACGCCGACACCGACGAGTACAAGGACAAGCTCAAGGAGCTCGAGGACGCGTGCAACCCCATCCTGCAGAAGGCCTACGCCGCGGCGGGCGGGCCGGACGGCGGCGCGGGCGGGGACGACGACGACGACCTCGACGACCACGACGAGCTCTGAGGGGGGGTGTTTGTGGGAGGGGGTGTTGGGGGAGAGACGTGGGGAGTAGGGTGGGGTGTGTGGGCGCAGGCGGGGCGGGGGCGCGGGGCCGAGCGGCGGCGGCGGCGGCGGCGGGGCCCGGCAGTGTCGGAGCGCACGCGGGCCGCGACGTGGCTGCTGGAGGGTCGAGGGCAGGTCCCGCGGGGCCCGTGATTTTTCTACGCACTTGTCTCTGTGACAACGATTAGGGACCGCATGCAACAGAGACCGCATCGCGCGCTCAAGCCCCACCACGTCTCCGCGTCTGTTGAGGTGAGAGCACAGACGGCTCCACGCGGGCACCGGCAGGGCAGCGAACGGAGCACCTTGCGCGACCCCGACCCCGGCAGAGATTCCGGCGGCCTGGTTGCGCGCCGACGCTCTGCGCGGCGACGGCCTCGACACTCCCCCGCGGGGGCGTGTTGTTGGTTGTGGGCACCCGGGCACGCGGCGTCAATGCCGGTCCGGGCGGCCGGGCGCGGCCACACGGTGTTGGCGTCGCGCGCGCCGTCCCGCTGACGACGATCACCGCGTGATCTGACCGCGTGATTCCCCCCCGGTGTAGGAGTGCTCCGTGCCTGTCGCACCGCGCGGGCGCTCGTGCCGTTGGACGTGCACGAACGACGTCTAGGTGGATGGCCTAGAGGGCGGGGGACGTCGGAAACATGAGCGGGGTCGAGAACACGCCCCCGCTCGGCGCGGGGCTGGGATGGACCCCAGCAGCGCGCGCCACGCCGCTGATGGACTCCACGCGTGCGCGCCCCATCCCCGCGCGTCGCTGTATGCCGTGTCTGCGCAGTGCGCGTCCTCGATCGCTGCTTCGTCGGTCCAGGACTGCGAGGGCGGCACGTTCTAGACCAAGGCGCTGAAGGCAGCGGCCGGAACGTCGCTGACGGAGCCGCCGGGGCAGCGTTGACCGCCGCGCGGTCTCGTCCTGCGTGTCGAACCGGCCGTGTCAGGGTCCCAGCTGCTTCAGCAGGCCCCCTGTCGCCGCCAGGGCGTCCCCGCGCAAAGCTGCGTGAACGTCCGCGCAGTTTCGCGGGTAGCGCCGTCGGCTCAGAGGTCGCAGCGCCGTTCCCGAGTGACGCAGGGAAGCTCGGACTCGAGGTTGAGCGGAGCCTGGCAGAGATGCGTCGCATGATCATCGGCGCCGGCCACACGCCCGTGTCGCTCCAGCCCACGCAGCGGCAGTCGCCACCAGCGCCCGTACCGTTCGGCACGACCCTCCAAGACCGAGTAAGCGCCACGACCCCACCACAAAGCACAATTTCCACACTTCCCGCGGCTCGAACCTCCCAGAACGCACCGCAGCACCGCAACACGGCAACTTGCTCTTGGAAATTCCCCCAGTCGACTCGCCCACCGTCCGCACCCCCGAACTCCCCCGTCGCAGCTGGCCCGCATCGAGGGCGCGCTCAAGACCACCCCGGTGACCATGCCGAAGCCAGCGCCGTACCCGGTGTCGCCCCCGCGGGCCACGACCCTGCACGCCACCGCGGCGGTGCCCGCCCCTCGCGCGCGCCCGCAGGCCCCCGTGACGCGCCCGCTCGGCGCCGCGAGCCCCGACCCGTCCGCGTCCTGGACCCTCGGCGGCGCGTCGGCGTCCCCCCCGCCGTCCCACGCGTCGCGCAGCCCCACTCGCCCGCTGTTCGCCAGCCAGGCAGCAAACACGCCGCCCCGGGGGCCGGGCGCGAGCAAGTCGCCGTACCAGGACGTCGTCGACAACTACTTCCGGCGCATCGAGACCGCCACCGCCCACGCGCAGCGCGCGGCCCGCGCTTCGCCGGCGACGGCGCACGCTGCGTCGAACGCGCACAGCAGCCACCGCGCCGCTGCGGCGCGCGCGCCGCAGCCCGAGCGGCCCGCGAGGGTGAAGCTCGAGTACGGCGAAGCCGCGACGCGGGCGCGCTCGCGCAGCCGGGACGTGCGCGGCGGCGCGGGGGCGTCGGACGCAGGCGCGGGCAGCGAGAGGTCGCGGTCCCGGCACAAGTCGCGGTCGCGGTCGCGGTCGGCGCGACAGAGCCGCGTCGGGGCCCAGGGCGCGCCTGCCCCTGCGGCGGAAGAGCCCGGGGAGCGTCGGAGGGAGGTGTTGAGGGACTCCCCCCCGTCGTTCAGCATGCTGTCTGACGACGCGAAGATGCGGCGGCTCCGGGAGCTGCAGGCCAAGGTGCGGCAGCTGGAGGAGGCGAACGAGATCGTGGAGGGGGACCGCAGCACGCTGGCCATCGGCGCCACGGAGGTGCGACACACATGCATGATGATCCTGGCGGCCTCTCACGGACGCGGCAGGGGCGTGAGAGGCGCGCCACCGTCCAGCATCTGACGCTTCTGTCCTCGGAGCGCGCTGGTTGCCCGATGCCGCTCCCCAGCATGTTCGACGCGACCGGCTGCGCGCAAAGAGGGGTGCTGGATGTTGTGCACGCCGGCAGAGCTGCTTTCTCGTCTACTCGTGACACTCCGCAGGTGGCCAACCTGAAGCGCGAGCTCGAGTCCTCCCGGGACCGCGAGGCCGCGCTCGCCCGCGCCGTCGAGGACATGAAGCAGCAGATGGAGCGCCTCATCATCGTCGCGGCGCAGCGGCACGGCGCGGGCGACGGCAACCAGCACCCCGCCCCTGACACCGCCCGCCGCCTGCAGCAGCTAGAGGACGCAAACGCAGCTCTGGAGCGCCGCGTGCGCGACGCCCAGGCCGAGCGCGACGCCGCCGTCCTCGCCGCGCGCGAGGCGGCGGAGCGCAGCGCGGATGCGGCGGCGGCGCCTGACAGCGCTGCGCTGAGTCAGGAGAACGACCGGATGCGGCGGCAGCTCAGGGAGCGGACCGCGGAGCTCGCGGAGCTGCGTGCGGCGCAGGAGGCGACGGTGGCGGAGCTGCGGGAGTCGCTGCGGGCTGCGCGGGCGGAGCGGGAGGGCGCGGACCAAAGCGCGCTGGCCCGGGACGCGGCGGCGGCGCACGCGCGGCTGGCGCGGGTGAGCGTGGAGCTGCGGCAGGCGCAGGACGCGCGCGAGGAGATGGAGGACCGCCTTGTCGACACCGAACGACAGCTCGAGGCAAGCCACGTCACATGTCTGCGTTCGCTCGCACTTGCATACCAGTACGGCGGCGCAGGGATCTCCCCAACGATACCGACGTGACTGCTGCTTCCATATCGTTGACCTTGGCAAGCGCTCCTGGTCCAGCTCAGCGTCGCACGTCGTGCCGTCCTCTCTCATCACCTTGCCCTGTTCATGTAGAAGATTTTCGTGTAGCACGGCCGTCGCGGACCTGTGCTCCGCCTCAGCATGCCCACCGAGGCTCCAGCTGGTTCTGGTGTGCGCGACGGTGCGATCGATGCCGGGAGTGCGGACCGGCGCCGCTTGCAACTGTTGCACTGCGCTCAGTGGCACACCATCTCCCAGATGCGCACCGCGCAAGCCGGGAAGCCTCAGACTGAGCACTGCCGACTTCGTCACGTACTTTGTCAGGTAATCTGCGCAGCACGCTTCTTGCTTCTGCTCTGGCGTGCGAACAAGCACACCGTCACCATGAACAGCACGCTGCATGTTCATGGTGGCGGTGTGCATATTCGCTTTCCAGAGCAGAAGCAAGAAGCGTGCTGCACGGAGTACCTGACGAAGTACGTGACGAAGTCGGGACCTCTCAGGGGTGCTAAAACTGGGGCTTTCCTGCTGCTCTGGGAGATGGTGTGCCGCAGTGTGTGGTGCGACAGTTGCAAGCGCACGTCCGGCATCGACCGCCGCGCACACCAGCGACACGGAAAATGGGTGGGCATGCCGAGAGCGGAGCACGCGTTCTCGACCAACAGTGCTCCCCATCGCGCTTGTGCCATTGCTCGACCCCATGCGGAGGTCGCGCCCTCAACCAGCGCGCCGGATCGACACGACCCGCGCGGACGCTCTGCAGGCGGAGCGCGAGCGGTCGGCCACCGCGGCGGAGCGTGCGGCCTCCGACGTGGCGGAGGTGCGCGACACGCTGCGCAGGGAGCGTGCGGAGGTCGCGCGGCTGAAGGAGGCGCTGCGCGACGCCGAGGCCGCGCGGGAGCAGGTGGGCGAGCGCGGCACCGAGGCCGAGCGCCGCCTGAAGGCCACCATCGCGGAACTCGAGCGCAAGGTACACACCTACACTCCTCATTTCTCAACTTCCAACGCTTCGCCACACCTCGTCCCCGCTCACCGCCACGCGCCGCGCACGGATCCCCGCCGTCATCGGCTCTCCCGCGCCGGCGACCGCAGGTCGAGCAGGCGCGCGAGGACCTCGCGGTGGAGAAGGAACGAGCGGCGACGCGCCTCGCCGATGAAGAGCTGCGGCTCGAAGCGCGTGTCGAAGACGCGCACCGCGCCGCCGAGGCGGCCCGCAACGAGGCTAACGCTGCCCGGAACGCGCAGCGGGAGGCCGAGGAGGCTCGCGGCGCGGCGCGCGACGAGGTGGCGGCGCTGCGAGCGAGCTTGCGGACGGCGGAGGAGAGGGCCGCTGCGGCTGAGGATCGCGCGCAGGAGCTCGAGCGCGACGTCGAGACGGCGGACGCGGCGGCGGCGGCCGCGCGGCGCGACGCGGAGGAGGCGCGGGCGGCAGCGGAGCGCGCGCGGGCGGGCGGCGGGGAGCTGGACGCGGCGCTGCGGAAGGAGCGCGAGACGCTGGAGCAGGTCGTCGCGAAGGCGAAGGAGTACAAGGTGTCCCGCGACCGGGCCCTCCAGGCGCGCGACCTGCTGCAGAAGGACGTGCACCGCATGTCTGACGAGCTGGGGGGGTGTCGCGAGGAGCTCGAGAGCGCCCTGGCGGAGTGCGAGCGGTCGTCGCGCGAGGCCGACGCGGAGCGGGAGGCGCGCGAGGAGGCCGAGGCGGCGCTGGCGGACGCGAGGCTGCGCGTCGCGGAGGCCGAGCGCGTGCACGCTGAGGCGAAGGAGGCCGCCGGGCGCGCGGGGGAGGCCGAGAGGGAGCTGCGGTCGGAGCTGCAGGCGCTGCGGCGGTCGGTGGTGGCGCTGCAGGGGGACCTGGAGCAGGCGCGCGCCGAGGCGCGGGCTGCACGGGATGAGGCGACGGCGGAGCGGGAGGCGCGGGTGGGCGCGGAGATGGACGCGGACGGGCTTCGGGTGCGTTGTGCCGCGCGCCGCTGCGGGGTGCCGCCCCGGAGCTGCACTGCGGTGCGTGCGCGGGCGTTTTTATGCAGTGTTGCTGAAGATGCGTTCGTGGTTGCGGTGCGCGCGCAGGAGGTGATGGACGAGCACTTCGAGGAGATCGGGAGGAAGGACCAGGAGATCGCTGCGCTGCACGCGCGGCTGGATGCGCTGTCGGCGTCGGACGCGGAGCAAGCGAAGCGGGAGGTGGTCGAGCTGCGGAGGTCGCGCGCGGCGCTGGAGGAGGCGCTGAGCGAGCGCAACCGCGAGCTCGCGGACGCGCGGGGCGCGGCGCGGCGCGCGGAGGCCGCGTTCGCGCGCGCGGAGAGGCTGCAGCAGGAGAGCGACGCAGCGGCGGGGCGGCTGGCGACGACCGAGGCGCAGCTGGCGGCGGAGCAGCAGGCGGCCGCGAAGCTGCGCGCAGAGGTGCAGCAGCTGAAGAGCCGCATCGTGGAGATGGAGGGCCAGCTCGCCCTCCTGCGCGACCAAGCCCTGTAAGACAGACGACGCGCTCGCGCTGCGCGGGAGACCCGGCGGCGGACGACCGCTGCTTCCGCCGCCGATGCGGCGGCCGGGCAGGGCATGCGCGAGGCCACGTCGGCACTCGCACGCGTGCTGTCGTCGTGATGAGCTGGCACAAGTTTTACGGTAGTGTTTACGCGACGCGGCGGGGCTTGCGTACGACGCAGGCACTCACACTGGGTCGCGCACCCCCTGTATTGAGAAACACGGGAGACCTGCGCGCTCCTTCAATGATTGACTTGCTGCGGCCGCCGCGCGCCAGCCACGCTGTGGCTCCCAACGCCCCGGACGGTCCGCTCCTAGCTGTTTCTAATTAACGCGCGCCAAATCAGCGCTGCTGAGACCATGTACAGACGGCCGGTCGCGAGCACGCGCCAGCCCAACTGCTCGCCCCACCTCACTTCTTGCCCACGATCGCCTTGGTCACCAGGACGCCCGTGCCGACCAGCGCGCCGCCGAGGGCCCCGAGGAACGCGTTGCGCTTCGCCTTGCGCTTGCGGTCCGCCTTGTCGCACTCCTCGATCGCCATGCGGAACGAGTTGTTGCACAGCTGCGCGACCACCGGGTCGCAGCTCTCCGCGGCCTGCTCCGTGGTCGAGTGCACCGCCTCCTCGCCGGCCATCTCCTCGGTGTGCGCCGGCGTGGCCTCGTCCGTCGTCTGCGGCTCCGGGGACCCCATCACGGCCCCCTTGAGCGTCTCGATCATCTCCCCCGCAGCGTCCACCGCGTTCTCCACCAGCCCCCCCTCCTCGGACTCGTCCTCCGACTCCGCGTCCTCCTGGGCGCGGACCTCGTGGGCCTTGTCGAAGTTCGAGATCTTCGGGATGCCCGTCTTCAGCGGCGTGGCCGCGGCGGAGGTGGCGTCTGCGTTGGGGGCACGGCCGACGCAGGGCGGGTGGGCGCGTGGGGAGGCGGGCGGGCGGGGCGGCGGGGACGACGGGGTCGCGAGGGGGCCGGGGGAGCGCGAATACGCGGCCGTCCGCGCGGATCGGAGCGCGCAGGGCCGGAAACACGCACTGGGCTGCGCAGGCGGGGCCGCTGCCCTGCCGGGGCCAGACGGCGGCCTCCGCGCGGCGCGTGGCCGGCCGGCGATCGCGTATCGGAGCAGAGGGGTCGGGGGCGCGCACCGGCGAGGGTGTCGTCGGCCAGGTTGTCGAACTCCTCCTCGGCAGCGTCGATGAGCTTCTTCTTCGACTCCGAGGGCTTCGGGGGCAGGCCGGCGCGGACGTTCGCGGCGCCCTTCTCTGCGAGGAGCAAGTGAGCTCGGTGGGGCGCCGTCAGGCCGGCTCCTGGGGCCGCCGTGCGCGCGCGGCGGCGGCGTGCCCTGCATTCAACAACGTGCCAACGTGGCAGCCCGAAACGGGGGCGCGCGAGGGCCGAACCGGACGAAGCCCGCCACCGCGGGGCGCCCCAGTTCGTGGGCGAGCCTCTGCGCGCGCGGGGCGGCCGCGCGGGGGCCCGGAACGCGGCGGAAGCGCGATGCCCACTGCAGCCCGCAGCGAGCGAGCCAGCGGCGCCCGCGCAGCTCCGGGGCGAGGCGGCGCGGAAACGCGGCGCAGAACGGTCGGTTGCGGGGCCAGGGAGGTCCCGGGACGCCGCAGGTCGCCGCGGACCGCGGCGTGCGTCCGCGATGCCTTCGAGGGGCGGGAAATTGCAAGGGAGCGACCCATGGTGCGTGCGCGGGCGCGTGGGGGCGCGGCGGGCGCCGCGGGGCGCCTATTTCGTGCGTGCGCGAGCTGGAGGCTTCGGATACGGCGCGCCGCCGCGCGGGGACGCGCGGAGGGCGCCGGGAGGGCCCGCGGGGCGGAAAAGCGCTGGGTGTTGGGCGGCAAACCGCGCACCGGGGCGGGCGGCCGGTCGGGGGGCGGCGGGCGGCCGAATTTCGGCAGGGTAAAAGGGAGACATGGCGGAGTGGTCGTTTGCGGCGCGTTTGGGGCGCGGGTGACGCGCGGCGGAGCGCCCGAAGAGTGGCGCGGCCCAGGCGCCAAACTCAACATCGGGTTCGCGCCAGGTGGCACCGGGCGCGGCGCGTTTCGCGCGCACGACGCGGTCGCGCTGGAAATGGTGATGCGGAGGGGGGCGCACCAGCGGCGGCCTGGGCCTCCTTGAGGTCGGCCTCGGCAGCGAGCATCTCCTCCTCGGCCCTGCGCTTCGAGCGCGGCGTGATCATGCGCTTGAACGACTTCTTCAGGCGAGCGGAGAGCGGTGCCTTCCCAGATGCCGTCTTCTTGAGCTCCCTGCTGGCATCGGTGGCCGCCTGCGGGACCATGGAGGGTGGGTTGGATCAGTGCGCGGCGGTGGCCGGGGGCGCGGCTCAGCGCGTCGCGGGCGATGCGCCTTCGACTGTGCGGCGGAATGGCTCGCGCTCACCGCAACCGCAGTGTCCGTCATCGTGTCTCGGGGCTGTGCGTCGGTAGGTTGATCGGTCGGCTGAAAACGAGCTTCCGTCTCGATGCGCTGGGAGCAACGTTGAGCCGAGAGGTAAGTCCGCGGAGTGAGTTGGAGGCGAGTGGCCGCCGGCATCGGCGCGCGAGCCCATTGTGCGCGCCGCGGCGGCCGATTGCGACCTGGGGGTACTCTGGCTCCTACCACCAGTCGCTTCACGCGCTCCGTGCGGCACGGGACAACCCTCCGACCGCTCGGCGCGCAAGCCCCGGGCGCCGCCCGTCCCCTCGCACGCGCGAGCGCTCCCGTCGTTCCCTGCAGTCGCGGGAACCCACCCCGCTGACCCGCCACCTGTCGTTTTGCTCGCTCCACGGCCCCGGAGCGCCCGCACACAGACTGTTCGGTCACCAAGAACCCATCTTCACTGCGCCGAGTACGCGATTCCGGCGCTCGGGCAATCGCTCGGCGACGTCACACCCCGTCTCGAGCTTGTGTTTTTCAACGCTGCGTCCGCCACCTTGCTGCGCCCGCACACCCCTCAAACGCACAGTCCTGCCGACGCGCCGCGCGGAGCCGCTCCCTCACAACTCCACCGACCCCAGCTCCGCCCCCCCGGCCCCACGACGCGCCCTCGGCAGCGCAGCACCGCGCCCCGCACAACATGGCCCGCGCCCAGGTCGCGGTCAGGTGCATGGGCGCCAGCGGGCCGTGGAGCGACGCGCGCCGCCGGCATCGCCCCCCGGCGGTCTCCAGCTCCTTGCGACGCGCCTCGACCCGCGCGGACCCCTCGGCCACGACCCATCGCGGTGCGCCCTGCGTCAGTGCACGGCCACGTCGATCTGGTCGCCCTCCTCGAGGTCCTCGTCCGCGGGCGTGCTGCCCGACACGTCCTCGCCGTCGAGCAGCACCCGCAGCTGGCTCTCCCGCGTGCACCACCCCTTTTGTATGAGCGCCGCGCGGATGGCGCCGACGCTGTCGCGCAGAGGCCGCGCCGAAAACACCTGCGCACGCACGACCTCCGGGCGCAGGACAGCGGTCTGCGCGGCCCATGCGCTCGGCGCGTGCTGCACGCCCCACGCAGCGCGGTGTGATGCTTTCGCTGCCCTGCGCACCAGCCGCGGCGCCGCGGTGGCGAACGTGGCCACGGCAGCGACGCGGCCAGGGACCATGCGTGCGCGGGGCCGCGCCGCACCTGCACGTCGACCTTGCCCTTCGAGCACGCAACACTGAGCGTCATCTGGGAGGCGTCGTCGTCGCCGGGCGCGCCGGCGTCCAGCTCGACAACGACCTCCGCGGGCGCCGCCGCCGTCATGAAGTCCTGCATGTACGCCGCGAACCGCGTGACCCCCGCCCCGTTCGCCTCGCGCCCGCCCCCCGCCCCTGCGTCCACTGCCGCGGGCGATGCGTCCGCCGCGGCCGCCTTCAGCTGCCGCTCGACCTCCTCCAGCTCCTCCTTGCTCTTCAGGAACTCCGCGAGACGCGGGTTCACCACTTTCCGCTCCTGCGCACGTGCACCGCAGCCCCCGTGAGCGTCGCCAACCCCACCTCATGCGAGGCGCTCGTGGCGCGCTGGCGAAGCGTGCACGGGCCACGCGCCGCGCACCTGCTTGTCCGGGGCCGGCGGGGACCCCATACCGAGTTCCCGGTCGAGGTCGAAGCTGTCCTCGAGCGCTGCGTCGCCACCCGCGTCGCCGCTGCGGGCGCCGCCGTCCCGCGGGCTGTCGTCGTCGCTCAGCGCCAGGACGGCGCCCGAGGGCGCGTGCCGCGCGTCCTCTCCGCTGCGACGGGCCGGCGCGGCGAGGCAAGGCGCGGGCGTGAGTGCCAGAGCGGTGGCGCGAGCGAGGTGGGGAGGGGGGTGTATTGCTGCGGAGGGGCGGGGGGGTGCGCCGCGTGCACACCTTGCGTGGTTGGCGTTCGCGTCGTCCTTCCGCGGCTTCTTGCGGTGTTTCTTCGGCTTGTGGTGTTTCGGTTTGTGACTGCGCAATGACTTCTCGTCGTGCCCCGACGAGCGGTGGCGCTTGTGGCCGGGTCCCGCGCCGGGGGCGGCGGGCCCGCTGTCCGACGAGGCCAGGTCGATCGCCCCGCCGTCGCTCTCGCGCACTGCGGGGCGGAGAGAGGGCGCGGTGTGTTCGCTGGTCAGCGGACGGGTCCGGTGCGGCGTGGAGGCGGGCCGGCTAGCCGCGTGGGCGGCAGCGACGCCGACGCCGTCATCGACCGGTGTCGAAACGCGGGTAGCGGAACCGGAACACACGCTGTTCACGCGCTTGAAAGCGCTGGTACTTGAAAGCGCGGGGTGCACCGATGCGCGCGTGGGGCAGCGCCCGCGCATTGCGCAGCCGCCTCCCATCGTCCAGGCCAGCGCATCCGCGTGAACTGCCGCGGCGTGCCAGCTCCAGGCGTGCCACGCCGCTCCGCGGGCAGGGGGAGCGCGGCGCTCGAACGGGTGCGCGCATCAACGGGCAAGGGAGCCGCGACGCGATGCGCGCGACGGCACACGAGCTCGACGGCGGCGCGGTCGGCAGCGTGAATGCGCGCGTGGCGGCGAGCGTCACGCGGGGATTCGGGCCGGGACCGCGACGGACGGGCGCTAACCTTTCCTGGCTTCAACATGCGCGCAAGGCTTCGGTGGCGCCTGCACCTGGATGTCGTCGTCATCTGAGAAGTCCCAGATGTCGGCCATCGCGCCCCTCGCGTCGTTCTGCCCCCACAACGCCCCGCTGCCCCCCGCCACGCCCTCTAGCGTCACCAACTCCAACTTGAGCGCGCCCCGGCGTCTCCGTCGTCTTCCCGCCGTGTGTCTCGCCGCGCCCGATCCACGTAGGCCAGTTGTCGCCCGCGCGGACCGCGAAACCGCCCCTCGAAGCCTGAGACCACCCCCACCGGCGGCCCCAGCATCAGTCAGCCTGAAAGTCAGTCCGGGCCGCGCCATCAAGTCGTTGCGCCGCGAAGCACCGCTCGCAGTCCCCCGAAGGCCGCGCTAGACTGCAGGCCGTCGTACCAGTGGACGAGCCCGCACATTTAGGACACACCGGCTCCGTGCAGCCCGCTAGACTGCAGTGCCGCTGCCCACAGGACCGGGGTGGCGCGGAATGGGGTCGCAGGAGAAGACGTTGGACGGTATCCTGTCGAGGGTCCTCGCAGTGACCCTGGACGAGGCCAAGGCGGATGCGAACGCGTCGCCTCCCGTCACGTACCTGCGGTGCACGGCCGAGGTGAGCAGGCGCTCGCTGGCGGTGCCTCTAGCTCTTCAGGCCCGCGCTCCTGCCTCGTCCAGGCCGCTGCGCGCGTCCTCGCGCGCTGTCTGAGACCTCCAGGCGTATATCTCGACTAATATCCAGCTCATACGAATTCCCGAACGCGCGCCCGTGCGCACGGCGCCTGGAGGTCACCTCGGCCTCAACGCCCGTGGCGTGCCGCGAGCGGACGCCGATCCCCCGCGCACGCATCGTATCGTGCGGCTCTAGCCCAGATCTACCCCATGGGCTGCAGTCGTACCCTCAGTCGCCCGCTCTGCGCTGTCAGGGCGCCTCGTTCTAGGACCCCGATGCGAGCCCGACCAAACAGGCCCTCGCCCACTGGATTCCGAAGCTATTTGCGCGCGATCAGCGCCATCAGCGATGACACAACATCACCGCCAGCCCCTCACCCGCACCTCCGGGCCACCTCACGCCGCGCGAGGCCAAACACGGCACCCCGCCCCCTTGGTGCGTGCACCTCTCGACCGCTCCGACGCGGTTCCGTGTGCGCAGGAGCTGCGCGGCGACTCCGACGCCGCGCCGCTGCTCACGCCGGACGCGCTGGACCAGGTTCTGCCGGAGCGGCTGCTGATCGACCCCCCCGAGAACTACCCCCAGCCTCCCGCCCACTACCTCCTGGGGTGCTACGCCCGCGCGAGCGACGAGCTGCGCCGGACGGGGGGCATCAGCGACACCGCCTTCGCGGACCGAATCTACGACTGCCTCACGGCGCTCCGCGACACTCTCGTGAACTACATTGGTGCGACTGCACACACCATGAACACCATGAACACAAGGGCGCTCGGCGGGCCCTCGACGACAGCGACGCGTGCGGTGCGCTGCCGTGATCGTCCTCCGTCGCGCCCACCCGCGCGTCCGTCCCGCCGCTCGCAGTGTCGCTGCTGACGGAGCCTGACATGCCGCAGCCGCCTGAGGCCGCGGCGCGAGGGGCGCTGCAGCTGCTGGACTCTATCGAGGCGCGCGAGAAGGCGACGACGCCGGTCTCGACGAACGCGACGCACTGCAACCCGATGCCGATGCCCGCCGGGTTCGTGGACCACCTTGCGTCGGTGCGCAACACACCCCAACCCCCCCCCCCCGACGCGGCACCGACGACCGCGACGGCACCGACCGCCGCACGGCATCGACCGCCTCTGTACGTCGAACGCGTTCGCAGGTCCTCACGGAACGCGGCGAGGGTGCGACGTTGGCGGCGATCGTTGGGCCAGTGCTGAGTGCGCTGGCCAAGAGCGCGCGCGGGGTGACGATCTGCGGCGACTACATGCGTTTCCTGACGCCCTGGGCGTCGCTCCTGGCCATCAAGGGCGTGCAGGACGTCCTGTGGCAGCTCGACGGGTGGATGCCTCCCTCGCGCCACGGCGGCAGCGCGCGGCCGACGGGGCGCGCGTTCCAGGAGCAGACGATCGTCGGGCCGTTCCTGGCGCTCGCGGCCGTGCCGGACATGGGCACGCAGCACCCCCCGCGGCCCGACGTGCGGCAGCACGTCCTCCCGGACGACCTGGACTCCCCCGGGGGACAAATGCAGGCCAACCAGGCCATCCTGTCGCTGCAGTCCTCGCTCAAGGTCGTGTACACGACGCTGCACCAGTCCTTCACGTCGATCCTGCGCAACAAGGGCGCGCGCGGCGCCGTCCTGCGGTGGGTCGCGGCCTGCCTCGACGCCAACCGCGAACGCAACAAGATGTCGCCCAACCTCCGGAAGGCCTCCGGGACGGGCTTCGCGCTCAACATGACGGCGCTGATGCTGTCGCTCGCCGGCCCGTTCCTCGACGCCGGCGCCGGGAAGGCCTTCCAGCACGTCGACCCGGACTACGTGCTGCACCAGGGGCAGTGCCTTGTGGACAACTCCGAGGACTCGCGGCTCGCGATGGCGCTCGACGAGGCGAACGCGTACCACGCGGAGTCCGCGGACCGCCTGCGCGAGAAGGCGGAGCGCGCGGGGTGCCCCCCCGACGGCTGTGGGGTGTGGTCGGACATGCGGGGGTCGGCGAGCGAGCCCGAGACGCGCGCGTACCACTTCATCTGCGAGTGCTTCTTCCTCACCGCGGCCTCCGTCCGCCGGGGCTACGCGTCCGCGCTGCAGGAGCTCGAGCGCTACGGCCGCAACGTCAACCACCTCGAAAATGAACTGGCGCAGATCGAGCGTCAGCGCGACACCATGCGCGGCGGCGGCGCGCCCCCGGGCGCGCTGATGCGCATGGAGATGACGCTCGCGTCCGGCCGCGCGCGCGTGAAGGCGCTGAGGAGCCACGTCATCGTCATGCAGGGGCAGCTGATGGACGAGCAGCTCATCGTGCCCATGGTCGCGTACTGCCGGCTCCTCGCGCTGTGGCTCCTGCGCCTCGTCGGCAACGGCGGCGGCACGCCCGGCGCGGCCCCGACGCTCCCGCTCCCCGCGGACCCCCCGAAGGCCTTCGCGGCGCTCCCGGAGTACATGGTGGAGGACATGTGTCAGGTGCTGCTGTTCGTGGGGCGCGTGCGGCCGCAGGCGGTGTCGTCCGAGGTCGCCGCGGACCTCATGACCTTCTTCGTCACGTTCCTGGGGTCCTCGGCGTACGTGCGCAACCCGTACCTGCGCGCAAAGATGGTGGAGGTGATGTACGTCATGCTGCCGAACGACGAGCGGCAGGACCGGATGCGGCGCTGGGGGCGCCTCGCGGCCGCGGGGTCCGGGGAGGTGGTCAGCGACATGTTCGAGCGCAGCCCGCTGTGCGTGGGCCACCTGGTGCCGGCGCTGATTCAGGTCTACTCCGACGTGGAGAACATGGACCGCTCGGGGGCGTTCTACGAGAAGTTCTCGATCCGCCACGTCATCAACTCGCTCTTCGAGCACCTCTGGCAGCACGCGGGGCACCGCGCGACGTGGGAGGCCACTGCCGCCCGCGAGGTGCGCACCCCCGCGCGCCACGCGACGCACGCGGCTCCGCGGCTCGCTCACCGCGCCAGGGCACCCTCGACGCACCGTTCGATGCGTTTCCGTTTCTGTTTCGACGTGTTTGCAGGAGAAGGGCATGTATTTGAAGTTCTGCAACATGCTCATCAACGACTCGATCTACCTCCTGGACGAGTGCCTCAAGCTGCTGCCGGAGATGCGCGACTTCGAGGACCTCCTCGAGCGCGACCCGGAGCTCTCCTCGCTCCCCGAGGAGGAGCGCGAGGAGCGCTCGAACTCGTACGGCGAGAACGGGCGCATCGTGGCCAACGACCTCGCGCTCGGGCACTCCACGTTCCGCACGCTCGAGCTCTTCTCCGACTCCATCACCGCCACGCTGCTCCTCCCGGAGATGGTCGACCGCGTCGCGCAGTGCCTCGACTACTTCCTGCTGCACCTCGCGGGGCCGGAGCGGCGCAAGCTGCGCGTGAAGGACGCCGAGAAGTACGGCTTCAAGCCCAAGCAGCTCCTCCAGCAGATCATCCGCGTGTACATCAACCTCGCGCGCGCGGACGCCGACGGCCGGCTCGTGAAGGCGATCGCTGGGGACTCGCGCAGCTACAACGCGGCGCTGATGAGCGACACGATCGAGCTGCTGCGGACCAAGGCGATCGTGGCGCCGGGGGACATCGACGCGTTCGCGGACCTCGCGGCGCGGTGCGCGGAGGCCGCGGCGGCGGGCGCGGAGGAGGACGAGATGTACGACGACGCCCCGGACGAGTTCTTGGACCCGATTATGGGGACCTTGATGGAGGACCCGGTGCTGCTGCCGAGCAGCAAGAACATCATGGACCGGTCGGTCATCCTGCGGCACCTGTTGACGGACCCGAAGGACCCGTTCAACCGCAGTCCACTGGCGCCGGAGGATCTGGTTCCAGATGAGGGGTTGAAGACGAAGATCACGGAGTGGAAGGCGGCGGAGATGGCGAAGAAGCGCGGGGGCGGCGCGGCGACGGACAGGGACGGGGACACGGAGATGACGTCGTGAGGGAGGCAGGGGACCGCGCGGGCCGTGTGACGCTTCGCTTCTGTTTACACGGCGCCCGGGAAGGCGCTGGCGCCCGTTCGGCGCGTAGAGTCAACGCGTGTGTCGGTATTTTAGAGCAGAGTCAGCGCGAGCATGATCAGGTCGGGGCCGCGGTCATCCAGCGCGCGCCGTGGAAGGTTGCGCGAGTCTATCACCGTGCCGCGGAACACCGGCGCGCGCCCTGGAGCGGAACCGCTGCCGGCCCTGAGCTCGCTGCCTCCCGGCAGCAGCGTTGCGAGCTCGGGGCCGTCCAGGGCGACGTAGGACAGGAAGTGGCGCAGCGCGGGCGCGTCTTCGCCCATCACGGCAACGGAGAAGCATATCCGACGCTCCACGGATACGTACCAAGTACACTGACGCCCCGCGCTCAGCGACGACCTCATCGCCCGCTCAGCGACGCCGCACAGTGCGTCCGTGAGAGCGTCGTCGTACACGCAGTCAGCAGCGACGATGCAGTCGAGGTGCCCCCGCAGATCGGCCTCCGGTGTCCGTGCCGCACCGCCCTCCCACTGTCCGGGCCCCACCGCCGCGTCGCACCACAGACGCCCGCCGACCTCTGTCGTGCACACAGGCCCTGCATGGGGCGACCGTTCCACGAAGCGAGGCCAGCCCGGCGACGCGCCCGTCCCAGGCGCGGCCCATATACAGTCCAAGCAGGCGCTGTTCGTCCAGTCCAGCGGGCGCACGCGCACTCGCGGCGCGGAGCTGTGCTTGTTGCCGCTCTCCGCCTCTGCCAGCGTGTCATGCACCTTCGCAGCCGCCTGGGCGTTCCGGCACACGTTCCGTGCGCACCTCCGCAGAGCGCTGCATCCTGCTGGGGCGTCCGTCGCCCACAGCGTGCCCGCAATCCCGCCCAGCACGGGCGCCAGCATTCCGGTGCCGCAGCCCAGCTCGAGGCACGTTTTGCCGCGAAACAGCTCCGGACGCGCGAGCACGAAGTCGGCCATCAACAGCGCCCCTCGCCAGACCTGGTTGCCGACTTCCGCGAGGCTGGAGCTCAGCACGTGCTCGATGGTTAGCGTGACGCCGTGTGGCGCGGTGGCGCCCGCGTCCGCGTCGCCGTCGCTCGTGGGGCTGCATCCCCGCGATGCGTCGCTCGAGCTGCGGACATCCCCGCGGGGCCTGCAGGCTTGACTTGGGCGAGCGCTGTGGCTGTTGTATCATGGTTGCTGCAATATGAGAGCACGGCGTGATGTCGACTAGATAGCCTCGGTCTGAATGCACGGGCGAGGTAGTAGTCGTGTACCTTGGGCGGCGCGGAGGAACGAAATCTCCGTCTTCGTCGGTCGCAGCCGGGCGGGCGGTTGTGCGTGCCGAGGCAGGAGGAGGCAGCAGGATCCGCACGAGCGACGAGACCGCTCCGTCGTCGCCCTCCGAATGCAGCTGGAGGCGGAGCTCAGAGGCGATGGCACCGTGTGTGCTGCCGCCCTCGTTCTCGGCGCTGTCAGGCTCACTTCTCATGTGCACGCTGCGCTACGTGCTTCCGTGCCACGCAGTCCGGGTCTGACGTCAAACGAAGGCCGGACCCGGACAGAATCGAATCACCGGAAGTGCAACGTGCGTCGACGAGGCCGGGAACAAGCACCCAAACGTCAGGAACGGGGCTGCAAGCGGCCCGTCAGCCTGCAGGCAAAAGGCCCCAAAGCGTGGAGCATGGTGGATTCATCGGGGAGCTGCGGCGCCCGCCGGCATGAACTCGCGACACTGATCACGGTCCCGGCAAGGCAGCTGATCGGAGGGGGTTTGTGGGCTCGCAGCTGCACCCTCGTCATCACCGGTTGCTCGTTCTCGGGTCGTGGGAACTTTCCCTGTTCCGGAGCGGAGGCTTCGAAGGCAAGCTTGGAAAAATGGTCAACTCCGCGGCGGTGAAGGCGGCCCTGGACAAGGGACTCGCCCGGATGGCCAAGCAGCAGCTCGCTGCGTGGGCAATGAGCACTCCCGGGCCCACCAAGGTCAGCACGTACCACATCCTCGAGATGTTCGCCAAGGGGAAGAAGGGCGCCAAGCCCGCGAAGAAGTGAGGCAGGAGGAAGCAGCCCCGAGGTGCTGCCCCCACGCCAACCCTGTCCGCCTCGCCCGGCTCCGTCAGCGACCAGGGAGCTCCCCGGGATGCCTTCAGAGAGCGACGAGTTCGCCCGACATGCAGACGCGCGGCACGGCCCTGTCGCGGCGGCCCCACCGGGCTCGCCAGCGCGCCCCCGCTGCAGCTGAGTGCTTGTAGGCCCGCTCCTGTGCTCCTGCAGACCGGCCTTCGCCCCAGACATCGTCCGCGACCGTCAGTGGCTTCGCCAGATGGGCCACATCATGGGAGACGACAGCCAGGGCAGGGCGATGGCACGGGGGCGCCCGGTTGGTGCCCGGAAGAGACTTGTGACGCTGCGTCTGGCTCTTCCACGGCTCGAGCGGCCACGCAAGCACGTCGTTGCACACGTTGAGTACAACAGGCACTCTGAGCAGAAGCAAACACCTCCTATGCACGCATGCCTGTTTCACACAAGCTCCCAACACCAGTTCTTTCGTGACAGCTCCCAGCACTTGGCCTCACGGCACGACGCACCCCGCTCGCTGTGCGCTCCCGAGCGTCCGTGGTCGCCCCTGGCGCTGCCGCCGCGCGCCTGCGGTCGGGACTCACTTCCCCCCCCCGCGTAGCCTGCTGCACCCCTGCTAGACGTCGCTGGGCAGCGAGGCACAAGCTCGTCGGACTCGCGCAGACAGGAGCGACGGCCCCTGCGCGCAGCCGCCCCCCCGGCCTTGTCCGGCGACCTTGAGCGGCAGGCAGTGCGCGTCACGACGTGTGCAGCCATCTCGGTCTCCAGCGTGGCGATGATGGCGTCCCCGTCCACCACGACGCACGCCACGTCTGCCGCACGGCCGACACAACACTCGCGCTGTGCAACGCGACGGGCTGGGGCCGCAGCGGCACGCGGCTGTTGCAACCAGCCGGCTCGGTCCGCTGCGCCGCGAAGCCCCCGACCGGTCCGTCCGCGCCCGCCTGCGCTCTCGGGGCCGTCCGTGGCTTGCGCAGGGCCCAGCCTTGACCGCGTGGCAGCTGAGGCGGCCGTTTGTGTACACTGCCACCTGGGACGCGCACGGCGCGACCGCGACGTCGCGGTGGTCGATCGCGCGCAGCTAGGTGCAGCGATCATCGCCCGCGGCATGCTGTTCCGCGGGAGGGGTCCCTCCGCGCCGCCGCGAGGACCGACGGACAGCCGCGCGGTGCGGCCGCAGGAGGCTCGGCTGAGGGCGACGCGTGCGCTGCTTCTCGCGCCCCTTGGCGGGCCTCCCCGGCGCCGCGCGCGCGCTGTTGAGCCCCGGCGCCATGCGTTTTTTTCCGGACGAGCTGCTGCGCTGGCGCCGCGTCGACACTGGCATCTTCGAGCACCTCCGGGGCCCCAACGCCGCCCTGAAGCTGCAGCCGCCTCGTCGGCTTCTTCTGGCGCTTCTTGCCGGCGTCGCCGCCGCCCCGTCCCTGCCGCAGGTTCGCGACGTTCCCGCGGCGCGCCCTCTTCATCGGCGTGGTGGCAATGCCGTCCATGGGAGACAGGATCGACCACTCTCCGTCGCCAGGGTAATTGTCCCAGTCGCGGAGCTCGTCAGTTGCGAAGTTGATCAGCATCAGGGGGTCCAGGCGGGATTCAGGCCCCCCGCGAGCCTTGATCTCCTTGGCCTTCTGAAGGAGCTTGTCCACACCCCGCGGCCACATCGGCGGCGGATTCTCGGATGGACCCGGACGTTCGCCCTGTTCTAGATCAGGATTTCTGACCGACATAGCGTTCGGAATCCCACGCGGATTCCGATTCCCCCCCAGGGACAAGCCCCTCTCACGGAAGCCTGCAGACGACTCGAGCGAGGAGCGGAAGGCGGTCAGTGCCATGAAGGACTCTGTGTCGCTCGAGAATCGAGGCGCAGCGGACACTTGGTGTCATGTGCACGCCAGTACGACGAGTTGCGCCAGGAAAGGGCAGTTGCGTTGAGCGCGCAGGAAGGGCCGAACACAGGTGTGGCGCGCCGGGACTGGCACGAACATAGACGCGACTTCGCGTTCCGGGCAGTTCAGCGCCCACCTGCGCACGCGGCCACGCGCAAAGCGCGACACTCAGTCCTAGAAGGGTTCACCAACACCGCGTGCGTCCGTCGGAGATGCCGGGCACGAACCACAACCTGGACCCTCGGGTGATGCCACTGGAAGCGAATGTGATGCTTTCGAGGCCTCGTTGACCACAGTGTCGATCGTGGCACCTGGGCAAAAGTCCACCGGGGCGTCATGCTGCTTCGCTTGAGCTGCGTCCGAGCACGAGGGGGCGCCGCGCGACGCGCCAGCGCTGTACATGCTTGCCGCTACACGGCGGCGGCGTGCGTCTGACGGTGAAAGCGCTAGTCACGCTGTTCGACGGTTCCCGCCGGACGTCGCGCGCCAACTGCCTGCTGCGTCCCGAAGCGGGCGCTGACGAGGACCACCGCACTTGTTCTGCGCGGACTGTGGCTGTCGTGTTCACTGACATCACGGAGAGTCAGGTGCGATGGCTTTAGATTGTCAAGCGAGGAGTGCGCGTGGCACAGGCTGGGTGTTGCCAGTGATCGCTGTAGCGCATCATCCACGCAACGTGCACGAAGTGGACCCGCCCCGCTGTGCACCTCGTCGATGACGCATACCACAGCGTCCTTTTCGAACAAGTCTGCCCTCTGCTCCTACAGCTGTGCAGGCACATCTTCTCACTGTCTGTTGAGCGCTTGGTTTCCGACACGAAGCATGTCAGACTCCGCGACGCGGTCCGTCAGCCCTGACTGCGATGATGGCGGCACCGGCAGCTTCGACCAGCGCTTCCAGTCCCACATCAAGCCCGTCCTGGAGCTGCTGGACAACATCCGCTCCCTCCTGCACGGGTGCGAGGGGCTCGGCGACGTGCGCGACAAGCTGCCGACGATCGTGGTGACGGGCGACCAGTCCGCGGGGAAGTCGTCGGTCCTCGAGAGCCTGTCGGGGATCGCGTTCCCGGTGGGCGACGGCATCGTGACGCGGCTGCCGTGCCAGGTGGCGCTGCGGGAGGGGCCGGCGTTCCGGGCGGTGTGCACGCCACCGGAGGGCCACGGTCCGAGCGAGGTGAGTGTGCGGTCGCAGTTTCAGTGCTTGGTCTCACGTCAATCGGCTTGGTTTGACCTCTGTACTGCATTCTACAAAACACGTTGCTGTGTGTCGGGCTGGGGCGCGCAGGCGGTGACGCTCACGGACCCGAAGGCCGTCACCAAGTGGATCGAGGACACCACCGCCGCCGTCGCTGGCAACAAGAAGGGCGTCCTCGACAAACCCCTCAGCATCAAGGTCGAGCGCGAGGGCTCCGCGGACCTGACGCTGGTGGACCTGCCGGGCATCACGCGCGTCGCCGTGGACGGGCAGGCGGACGACATCGAGGAGCAGGTCAAGCGCATGATCCAGCGCTACATCTCGCGCGAGGCGGCGGTGGTGCTGTGCGTGCTGCCCGCCAACGTGGACTTCAGCACGGCCGAGTGCATCAAGATGGCGCGCGCGGTGGACCCCGAGGGCGAGCGGACGCTGGGCGTGGTGACCAAGGTCGACCGCGCGGAGCGGGGCATCGTCACGCGGCTGAACGCGTTTGGGACGACGGGGTGGGCGCTGCGGCTGGGGTACGTGGCGGTGAAGAACCTGAGTCAGGACGAGCGGGCGAAGCACGGCGTCGACACGACGAAGGTGCTGGAGGTGGAGGACGCGTTCTTCAACGACGGTGCGATTCATGATCGTCCCAGCTGTGTGTTGGTGGTTGGCTCCTCCTGCGGCAGCGCGGCATCCTTTGGCGCGGCTGCTGACCCGTCAAGTGCTGCATCGCCACGTTCGCGCAGGTGTGGGGCGTCCGGCGCACCTCACGGAGCTCGCGGACCTCGACCCCGACATGCGCGGCTTGCGCACGCTTGTGCAGAAGCTCGTGCAAGTGCAGAGCGAGCGCATCGAGGCGTTCATGCCGTCGCTGGTGGAGAGTCTATCTGATAAGCGCCTGCAGCTCGAGGCGGAGCTGGACGGTCTGTCGGAGCCAGTCAAGACGGAGGCGGAGGCGATTCGCGCGCTGACGCTGGCATTGGACAAGTTCACGAAGGTTGTCGGCGACAAACTGTTCGGACGGCTTGAGGCTGTCTCAAAGTCTACCGGGGTATGCCACTCGATGCCCACAAAGCTATCGAAGGCGACCTGTTGATTGCGCCTGCACTCTGCACCGTTTCCGCCCGAACACGCCCTGCGGGCAGCGACGACACGATCAAAGCACGGCCGACGTTTTGCGCAGGCCTCTGCTGACGATGTCGGCCCTTTTGCGTTCCTTCACATCTGTGTGGACCAGATGCGCAAGCAAATCCGTCGGGCGATTCCTGCATATTTCAGCAACGAATTCGCAGACGGTACGCCTCCAGCAAGTACATTCGCCTTCCTTGCATTCGAGCAGCCCCTTGACCCGAGACGTGTACGAACCAAACCCTCACTGCTGTTAGTTCTCATACTGCAGAGATGCGTACGGACCTGCGCAGGCGCCGCGGCCAGCACCTGCCCAACTTCGCGCCCCTGCCGCAAGAGCTCTTCGAGAAGCACTTCCACCGCCACCTCGAGAAGCCCATCACGGACGCGGTGTCCAGGTCCTTTGAGATGGTCAAGGGGGTTGTTGTGGGGGAGTTGGGGGTGTTCGACGACTTTCCGCGGCTGAAGGCGCAGATTCTTCGCGACGTCGACGCGATGATCCAGAGGTGAGCTCGACTCGCAGTGAGGTCCCTCGTGTGCGAAACGATTCTGCTGTCAGCACTCGGGGGGGAGTGTTGGTTCTCAGCGCCAACGTCTGGCGCTGATAGTCGGCACCAAGGCAGACGCGTCCGTCATCTGGGAGCGCGCTCGCCTGACCCCCCGCGAATCGCCGGGGCGCTCGATTCGCACGGCAACCAACTGTTCGCACGGACACCAACCTCCTTTGCTTTCCTGGATGCAGGCTGCATGCAGAAACTGCGAACGTCATGAGTCGGCTTGTCGCGAACGAGCGGTACCCCGACACCATGAACCACTACTACATGGACACGGTCGGCAAGATCATGCGCTCGATCGACAAGCACCGCCGCGATAGAGCCAGCCACGAGGATGCGGACGCGAAGCGAGACCTGCGGCAGGATCTCTCGAGTCTGTGCTGCGACGTGGATCCCAGTCACGAGATTTACCTGTTGTCGGACGCATTGAAGGATGAAAAGCTTGAACAAAACGGCAAGGTGTTCAGCAAGCGCTGCACGATCGCGGGGGCGAAGGTCGAAGTGACGGTGACGAGATCGGGGGAAAAACACGTCCTCTTCCACCTGACGAACCTCTCTCCGGACCTACTGGTGTGCCGTTTCGGGGTGCACTACGAGCGCGCTGAGGAAGGTGCCAAGGGTGCCAGTTTCCCCTCCTCCATCCAAGAGGTTTCTGCGGTCGAGCCCGGGGCCAAATCGCAGATGTTCTGGGTAACGCACTCTGGTTTGGAACTGAGCGACGTCAAGGACCTGCGCGTCGAAATGGAGGTGCTGGACCCGGGACCGAAGTACGACGTGCACCAGCATGTTTCCTTGTTCGGCGACGCCGTCCTGCAGGCGACCTCCAACGACGAGCAGGCCGCCGTCGAGCGCCAGGTGTCGATGGCGGCGTACACCAAGCTGGTGCTCAAGGCGCTGCTGGACTGCGTGCTGAAGGAGCTGCGGACGACGCTGATCACGGAGAGGCTGACGGGGAGCCTGTCGGAGGAGATCCTGGCGCGCAGGTGCGGGGAGCGGACTGCCCGTGCACGTGACAGTCCATGTCGTCACGTGCCACAGTTGCGACAAGTGCCGTTACTGGTGTGTTGCAGGCTGGAGCACGGCACGGGCCCGCTGCTCGCGGCGATGGACAACGACCAGCTCTCCCGCAAGGTCGCGCGGCTGCGCAAGGAGAAGGCCGCCGTCGACGAGGCCCTGCGGCAGGTGAACAACTGCGCATGGTGAGACGACGCGGGGAGGGCAACGCCGCCGCAGAGCGTGACTGGCGGACGGTTGACTGCAGGTGACCGTGTGAGCGCAAGGACTCCGGGTCGTCGGTGTCCCCCCCCTCGCGCTTGTAGAACCGTTGCAGGTACGCGAGACGCATATTCGCCTCCGCACGGCGGCTGCTTGGCGTTCCAAGGGCGACGCGCCTCGGAGCGCTGCTTTGCGGAGCGGGCCGTCCCGATGACCGCGCAGGCGGCCGCTGACGACGCTTGCGCCCTGATTGCTTGTTGCCACGCAATGCGCTATTCGACGCGCCCCCTCGGCTGGCAGCTGGTGTTCTCGGCGCGCTCAATCTGCGCACAGGTGATGTACGCAGAGGTCTCGACGCGCGCTGTGCTCGATGATCCTGCGCAGCCAGGGAATCCCATGGGCATGTTGAACATTACTTTCCGCAGGGCAACTTCAATCCATCGGCGTCGTCGTTCTTTCTGACGTTTTTTCTTCGATGGTGGATGCAAGGACATCACATCGGATGCTTTTGACGGCGACAGGTGATGACTCAGGCCCCTGACGTGGCCTAGGTCACTGCGCTGCCGTTTCATTTCTGCGGCGGGTTCATCAGGGCGGCAACCTTCCGCCGCTGCGCACAGTCTGCGCAAGAATCCCATTGCGAATCCAGTTCGGCTTGGCGATCTCGGTCCCGGCAGGAAGCGGTGCTGGCGCATCGACGTGCCGCAATCAACGAGGATTCGCGAGACACGCGCCCGAGCGCGTTCAGACTTTCTTGCAGCTAAACTCGACAGGTATGCCCGCCCATATGCCGTACGTACGTGTCGTCGAGGCTTGTGGCCAGACCATTGATGCTTAGGAGCGGCTCGAGTTTGTGTGTGCACATGGCATCAACCGAGCGCAGCACAACCCGCATTCCCGCTCAGTGCGCGTTCAGCCCGCCGATGCAATCTCATCTATAAGACGTTAATCTCCGGCGAAACTTGCTCACAGACGGTGGATGTCCTGTGGCCCCTGGCGTTGACTTTCCATTTTTGTTCACATGGCGCGCAGGAACCCAGCACCGGCTCACCACAGCTCGCGAACATGTCCGAGTCCGCGACACGCACGGCGTCGCCGGCCTCTGCCACCGGCAGCTTCGACCAGCGCTTCCAGTCCCACATCAAGCCCGTCCTGGAGCTCCTGGACAACATCCGCTCCCTCCTGCACGGGTGCGAGGGGCTCGGCGACGTGCGCGACAAGCTGCCGACGATCGTGGTGACGGGCGACCAGTCCGCGGGGAAGTCGTCGGTCCTCGAGAGCCTGTCGGGGATCGCGTTCCCGGTGGGCGACGGCATCGTGACGCGGCTGCCGTGCCAGGTGGCGCTGCGGGAGGGGCCGGCGTTCCGGGCGGTGTGCACGCCGCCGGAGGGCCATGGCGAGGTGAGCACGGTCGCGCCGATTGACATCGCGCCGTCAGTCTTCTTGTTCCCCCCAGCCTTGCCCGGCCCTGCACAGCCCCGCACAACCCCGCATAGCCTTGCCCTCCCGCGCCCGACTGCATAGTGTGTGTCTTTCACGCCGTCCTGGATACATATTCTTGACCGCCACGTGGCATCGACCAAGCATTTATCATAATTATAATTATATAACAATAATTGTGTGTGTTGCGCCGTGCAGGCGGTGACGCTCACGGACCCGAAGGCCGTCACCAAGTGGATCGAGGACACCACCGCCGCCGTCGCGGGCGACAAGAAGGGCGTCCTGGACAAGCCCCTCAGCATCAAGGTCGAGCGCGAGGGCTCCGCGGACCTGACGCTGGTGGACCTGCCGGGCATCACGCGCGTCGCCGTGGACGGGCAGGCGGACGACATCGAGGAGCAGGTCAAGCGCATGATCCAGCGCTACATCTCGCGCGAGGCGGCGGTGGTGCTGTGCGTGCTGCCCGCCAACGTGGACTTCTCGACAGCTGAGTGCATCAAGATGGCGCGCGCGGTGGACCCCGGCGGCGAGCGGACGCTGGGCGTGGTGACCAAGGTCGACCGCGCGGAGCGGGGCATCGTCACGCGGCTGAACGCGTTTGGGACGACGGGGTGGGCGCTGCGGCTGGGGTACGTGGCGGTGAAGAACCTGAGTCAGGACGAGCGGGCGAAGCACGGCGTGTCGACGACGAAGGTGCTGGAGCTGGAGGACGCGTTCTTCGACGACGGTGCGGCACGCGACAACATTCTCGCGGCTTCCGCCGGTTGTCAACAGGGCCGCAGTCTCTGACCGTCACGTCACGCGTGTGCCTTGGCGTGCAGGTGTGGGGCGTCCGGCGCACCTCGCGGAGCTCGCAGACCTTGACGCAGACATGCGCGGCCTGCGCACTCTCGTGCAGAAGCTCGTTCAAGTACAGGGGGAGCGCATCGAGGCGTTCATGCCGTCGCTGGTGGACAGCCTGCGCGAGAAGTGCCGGCGCCTGGAGGAGGAGCTGAGCGGGCTGTCGGAGCCGGTCACGACCGAGGCAGAAGCGCTGAGGGCGTTGTCGATCGTCGTTGATAAGTTTGGCAGGATCGTGGGCGACAAACTCGAGGGGCAACACAAAACCTCCGCGCTCAAGAGAAAGGTGAGCCGCACTATGGCCTGCTCGCGACCCATGCGATTTTCGGAGCTTTGTAGGCCGGAATCATCTCTTTCCGGATCGCAGGCAGCCACAGGCCCTGGAAGTGATCAGGGTCACTTCCAGAGCATGTTCAGTTATGTTTTTGCAAATATATCGCTGACGAGCTGTTCGTGACGCACTTCTCGTGTCTTGCAGGCTGACAATTCCGCAGGGATCAGCCCTTTCGCGCTCCTTCACGACTTCGTGAGCGAATCGCGTGCACAGATCCGCCGGTCCATGCCGGAATTCTTCAGCGACGAATTCTTCGATGGTAGGAACACCTCGATCCTCCGCAGCCGCGATTTCCCGTCACCGTTCGATTCTTCACCGGCCGCGATTGCGGGGCAGGCGACGTTTCCACTCCTCGCAACTGTTGTGCAGAGATGCGTATGGACCTGCGCAGGCGCCGCGGCCAGCACCTGCCCAACTTCGCGCCCCTGCCGCAAGACCTCTTCGAGAAGCACTTCCACCGCCACCTCGAGGAGCCCATCTCGGACGCGGTGTCCAGGTCCTTCGAGATGGTCAAGGGGGTTGTTGTGGGGGAGTTGGGGGTGTTCGACGACTTCCCGCGGCTGAAGGCGCAGGTCGCCTGCGACGTCGACGGTGTATTCGAAAGGTGTGCTGCCGCAAGTTTCCGGTCACGTCATGGCTCGATGGGCCAGGTCGACATGCGTTGACAGTCGTACAAGCCCTCCGCCGAGGATTCGCGACGCTTCATGGGCAAGGAGCTTCGGCCCATGTTCCTCGCAGGATGCACATTGAGGCGAAAGACATGATGTTGCGGCTCATCGCGAACGAGCGTTTCCCTGACACGCTGAACCATTATTACATGGACACGGTGTCGAAGATCATGAAGGACATCGAGGAACATCGGCGCGACAAAGACAAGCAGAAGGACAAGAAAGCGGTCCGAGAGCTGCAGCGGGGCCTGGCCGGGCTGTGCTCGGACGTGGCCCCGAAGTACGAGACATACCGGCTCGCAGACTCAATTAAAGATGCCGACCTGAAAGATGGGGAGTTCACCAAGCGATGTACGGTTGCCGGGGCAGAGATCGAGATCATCGTCTACAGGGATGCCGAGCGAGGCGTGCCGAAGTTCGATATCAGGAACCTCTCGTCCCAAAGGCTCGTGTGTCGCTTTGGTGCCAACCTCAAGAGGCTGGCGCCTGGATCCAGCGACCCCGAACACCACAGTTGGCTGCGACACGGTGTCGACGAGATCGAAGTTGGCGCTCGACAGTCCGTCATGACCGTGGACGGAGCAAACATCTCCAACGTAAACAAGTTGCGAGATGTGGACGTCATCATGGAGGTTTTCGACCCCGGTGCGCCGTGGGAAACGCACGTCGATGCCAGGTCCTTCGGCGACGCCGTCCTTGGAGCGACCTCCAACGACGAGCAGGCCGCCGTCGAGCGCCAGGTGTCGATGGCGGCGTACACCAAGCTGGTGCTCAAGGCGCTGCTGGACTGCGTGCTGAAGGAGCTGCGGACGACGCTGATCACGGAGAGGCTGACGGGGAGCCTGTCGGAGGAGATCCTGGCGCGCAGGTGCGGGGAGTGGACTGCCCGTGCACGTGACAGTCCACGTTGTCACGTGCCATGGTTGCAACAAGTGCTTTTTCTGGTGTGTTGCAGGCTGGAGCACGGCACGGCCCCGCTGCTCGCGGCCATGGACAACGACCAGCTCTCCCGCAAGGTCGCGCGGCTGCGCAAGGAGAAGGCCGCCGTCGACGAGGCCCTGCGGCAGGTGAACAACTGCGCGTGGTGAGACGACGCGGGGAGGGCAACGCCGCCGCAGCTCGTCACAGACGAGCAACAGCCAACTCAACCTAGTCTTGTAAGTCCATCTGCACCGTCATCGCGTCCCGCCCCTCATCTCAATGTCGCCTGGCTCCTCCTCCACCACGCGCACCGCGGGCGGTTGGTGGGCCTTGTTGCTGCCCGCAGCCGCCTGCGCCCGCCCCTGCGCGACGGCCACGACGCCGCCAACGACCATCGCCGCGCCGAGCAGCGACCACACCGTGCTCTCCTCCCCGAGCAGCAACAACCCCATTGCGTAGCCATACATGACCTGCACGCAGTTAGCCGCCGCCGCCCGACTCGCGTTCTCGATCTGAAACCCTGCACCGAAACAGCCACGCAGATGCCAAGGCGTGAGAAGTCGACAAGCCCACGCACGTGCGCCGCGGCACGGCATCGACGCAGACTTTTCCCGGCGCAGCCTGCTTCGCGCATCCGGCGAGGCAGGGGCCAGCGGCGGCGCAGCCGGCGGTCGCAGCCGTCGTTGGCCGTCGTCTCACCTCGGTTCAGGAAGACCTGCCCGACGAACGACCCAGCGGCGATCAACAACAGAAGCATCGCTTCGTATGCGTCCGGGAGGACCGCCGGCTTCGGCCAGCCCATCACGAGCGGGACTGCGGACACCATCATCGCGGTGCCGTGGAACCAGAGCGCGACGACGATGCTGTTCTCGCGGTTGCCCAGGATGCGGATGATGAGAAACGCCGTCGCCGCGAGCACCGCCGCAGCCGCCGCGAAGAGGAGGCCCGCGGTTCGGACCTCCGGCCCGCCCTCCTGCTGCAGCGCAGCTTCCTCGCCGAACAGGAACGGGGGCTGCGAGGCAGACGCCGGGCCGAGAAAGAGAGCTGAGAAAAAAACAATCAGGCGTGATTGGTTGGAGTGGGAGCGCGATGCGGGGCACCGGGGCCCACCTGCGAGATGACGATGGCGCCGGTGGTGCTGAGCAGGACGCCCGCGAGCACGACGAGCGGGAGAGGCTCGCTCAGGAAGGCCCACGCCGCCACCGCTGTCAGGACAGGGTTGAGGAAGAACACGGCGCTGCAGTCCCCGAGGGGGAGTCTCACGAGCGCGAGGTAGTAGCACACCATCGCGCTCGCGCCGGTGAACCCGCGCAGGAACAGCAGCGGGACGTTCTTCGCGGCCCCAAGGATGGTCGTGTTGGGCGTGCGCGCCAGCGTGTACACGGTGGCGATGATGGACAGCCCGCTCCGGACGAACTGCACGCAGCGCGCCAGGAGATGCAGCGCGATCGGAGACGCGTTCTCGGGGGCGTGCGCGCGGGTTTGGAGCGGGAGCGAGCGTGCTGTGGGTGCGTGGATGGCCTTGTGTGCGCTGCGCGCGGCGTGACGCGCACCGTGATCTCGAAGACCGGCACCCGGGGTCCTCCGTCTTGTCCTGGCAGCAGTTTCACGCACAGCTGCGTGAACGACAGCGTCGTGGCCGCGATGACGATGCACGCCAAGCCGTTGTTCCACGGGCTCCATTTCGACGCCGCTGGCGGGTGCGCAGGAGCCGCCTCGCGCCGCGCGGACTCCTCAGGAACGGAATGGTGCGGGTGTCGATGCCGCTCGCCGCTCTGACGGCGAGAGGCGATCAGCGCGATGTCCTCCCCATCCTGGTGCCCAGGGCCGGCCATTCCAGGCCTCTGCGGGGCGCGGAACTGACGAGCGACTCGAGCAGGAGCACCAACGGGACGAGACTATCCGCTTCTACCGCGCCTCGGGGCTTGCGGGGGCTGTGTCGCTGCGGTTCCGGCTCGCGACGGTGGTGCGGGTGCCACTCGTGCGTGTTGCGGGGCTGATGAGGTCGCAGTGGACGCGTACGTGGCGGTTCGATCGCGCCCGGGCAAGCTTCTGCTATGTATCGCGCGGTCTGCAACGGTGGTGGCGCGGCGTCGCGATGTGACGCGGAATTTCGCAACAGCTACGACACCCCCGCCGCCAGACTGACACCGACGCCGCGCCGGGCAGCGCAGGCGGCCTCGGCGGCGCGCGCTCGCACGCGGGACCGGCGCGGCGCACGGGCACGTGACGCCAGCGGTCGCGGGATCTCCGCGTCGGCCCCATCGTCATGATTAAAGTTACACCATACAACGTGTGATGGATGTGCCGCCGACCGCCTCCGTCGCGGACTCACGCCTCCGTGAGCTCGTCCTCGATCTGCGCGACGTCGGCACGCGGCGCCGAGTGAGTGCGCCGCGCGCGGCTCGCCCACGGGCGCTGCGCGGATGCGGCGGTGCAGGGGGGGACTTGGGTGGGCGCGGGGCGCGGGGTGGGCCGGGGCGCACCATGTGGACCATGAAGGTCGTGGGCTTGGCGTCCGCGCCGTTGTCCTTGGTGAACTTGACCTTGACGGGGAACGTCGCGGACAGTTTCTTGCCCTTGTATTCACTCACGTCGTCCGCCACCTCGCCAACCATGCCCTCGATCATGATCCCGTCCTGCGCGAACGCAAGATGACGCGCTGTCGTGCCAGGGCGCTCCGGGACACCGCGGCCCAGCCCTGGGCCCGCCAGGCGCGCTACCTGCTGCTCCCAGGCCTATCATCGCGGCTCTGTGCCCCGCTGGCGGCAAGGTGCAGCACGAGCAACCCAACGCTGGACACTCGCATGTCTCAGACGCAGTTTGCACGCGGATATCGGCCAAGCAGCCCGCCTGACAGCGCTGGTAAAGCGGTTGTGTCCAGAAGGAAGTTGGGTGCGAGGGCCAACGGCGCGGTGCGGCTCGTCCGAGCACCTCCACGCGCGATGATTCCACGCGCGCAGCGCCAACTGTGTCAGGAGCTGTTCCCGCACCTTGTTCTTCGGGACGTGGTACACCGTGATCGGCGCGGTGACCTTCACCTTGGCCCCTGGAGCGAACTTAGAGGCCGCGCAGCGCACCGACGCGCCCCGCTGGGGGCGGCCGGCGCCCCGGACGGGCGCCGCGGAGAACGTGGACGCCGCGGAGAACATCGGGTCGCGCTCGGGCGCTCGGTCTGCGACGCGGCAGGACAGTGGTTGCCTCGCCCCGGGTGCACGTCTTTCCCTTCCACACACGCAGGCACGCGGAGAACTGGACGCGCCTGGGAGCTCCTGAAGTGCTGACACACCCGCAGCCGCGCCGCCGCCGCCCGCAACGTCGTCCGCGGGCCAGGGGGGCCTTGCGCGCGCAGGTCGGTCTGGGCGCGCCGCGGCTGGCTGCGACCTGCGGCCGCCGCGCGGTTTCGGCCTGGCGGGCGCCCGGCGCGGGCCAGTTCGCCCGGCCTGTGTCCAGTCAGACCGTGCCGCGGTTCGGCGGCGTCCCGATCCCGAGGACCGCAGTGCTGGCCCCGTAAAAGCAGACAGTGGCAGTGTCGCTGCGTGCTGCGAAGGAGCTGCCGTTTAGGAGGCCGTTGCGGCCTGGGGTTGTCGTAGGCGAGCGGCTGGGTCGGCGAAGCTGGTGGCGAGCCGGGGCGCCGCGTTGCGGGGCCGCTGAGCGGCATGGACACCGTGATGGAGGGCGAGCAGCCCCTGGCGGCGAACGGCGACATGGAGGACCAGGCGATGGACCAGGAGAGGGTTTACGACGAGGAGTACGACGACCCGTCGGACATAGCACAGGTGCGGCGCTGCCACGGGCGCGGCGCGAGTGTGTAGCAGCCCCGCCAAGCTCGCAGCGTGGGCGCTGGTGCGGAGTTCTGCGTCGCGGGGTCATTTCGTTCGCGTGGCCGCGCCATCCACGTCAGCGGAGCCGCGCTGGATGGCGCCGTTCTGGCGGCGTCACGGGTGGCGACCCCGAGGCTTGGCAGCGGGCTACGGCCGCTGTCCTGGCCGTGATCGGCCGAACTGACGCGCCTCATCATGCCCAACCGCAGACCCAAACTGCTTCCCCGTCCCGAGCTGCATGATCCGTCCGATTGCTCGCCCCCCAACGCCGCACTGGCCTCCTTTAGTGCTACACATTGCACACGAGCGCCGCGTGGCCGCTTCCGCGCGCACATACCCCCAATGCACCAATCCCAGCCCCCTTGACATCGTACTCCGCCGCTTCCTCCCCCTCACGCCCTCTTATACCCCCCCGCTGCCCCGCTAGCCGCACTGCTCCACCGCCGCTGCGCCGCTCCGCTCGCGCGCCGCAGGAGGAGGCCTGGACGGTGATCAGCAGCTACTTCAAGGAGCGCACGCTCGTGTCCCAGGCGCTGGACTCGTTCGCGCAGTTCGCGGAGCACTCCATCGCGCAGACGATCACGGAGTATAACCGAATTGTGCACGAGGTGCAGCCTCAGTTCACCATGGCCGGGCAGGAGGACCACGTCGAGGAGATCAAGTACGAGCTCTCGATCTCGACCGAGCCGGGGTCCATCGTGATCGCGCCGATCATGGTCAGCGACAAGGGCACAAGCGACGAGGACCACATGTTCCCGTGGCACGCGCGCTCGCGCAACCTGACGTACGCCGGGTGGCTCAACGCGCGCGTCAGGCTCGTCAAGCTCAGGAAGAACGCGGACGGCGAGTGGGAGAACGTCCCGCCGCCGGGCGCGAAGGAAGACGAACACGACAAGCCGTTCGACGAGATGGCCAGCTGCCGTCTGGGCAAGGTGCCGATCATGCTCAAGTCGTGCCAGTTCTGCCGGCTGCACCCGATGAACGAGATGGAGCTCACCGCGCACAAGGAGTGCCCGTACGACCTCGGGGGGTACTTCATCATCAACGGGCAGGAAAAGGTGATCATCGCGCAGGAGCGCATCGCCGTCAACCGGGTCTTCTGCTTCCGGAAGAACGTCGACATGTGCACGTACTTCGCGGAGATCAAGTCGCAGCGCCTGGGCACGTCCGTCGCGTCCAGCGCGGCCGTCATGATCCGCGCCCCCAGCGCCTCCATGCCCGGGTGCATCGTCGTGCGGATCCCGTACATCAACGAAGACGTCCCGCTGCTGATCGTGTTCCGCGCGCTGGGCATCGAGTCGGACCGCGAGATCATCAAGCACATCATGCCCGACCCCGAGGCCGACCCCGAGATGATGGAGCGCCTGCGCGCGTCGATCGAGCGCGCGGGCGTCGACGAGCTGCGCACGCAGGAGCAGTGCCTCGACCACCTCGGGAAGCGCATCCGGAACCCCGGGTCGACGCTGCGCCACAAGCGCATCCACGCTGTGTGGGACATTCTCCAGAAGGAGTTCTTGCCGCACGTGTCCATCGCCGAGGGCTTCGAGACGCCGAAGGCCTTCTTCCTCGGGTACATGACGTACCGCCTGCTGCTGGTGGAGCTCGGGCGGCGCGCGGAGGACGACCGCGACCACTACGGCAACAAGCGGCTGGACCTGGCGGGCCCGCTCTTCGCGCGGCTGTTCGAGACGCTCTACCGCAAGATGATGAAGACGGCCTCCACGCGGCTGCGCCGCAAGGCCAACGACGGCGCCGAGCCGCGGATCTTGGACCTGATCGACAGCTCCATCATCGAGAAGGGGCTGACGTACTCGGTGGCGACGGGCAACTGGGGCGACAAGGGCAAGGCCGACGTCAAGAAGGGCGTCTCGCAGACGCTGGTGCGCCTGACGTACGCCAGCATGGTGTCGCACCTGCGGCGGATCGACTCGGGCGTGGACCGCGGGACGAAGCAGACCAAGCCGCGGCAGCTGCACACGACGCAGTGGGGGTACATCTGCCCCGCGGAGACGCCGGAGGGCACGTCGTGCGGGCTGGTGAAGAACCTCGCGCTCATGTGCCACGTGACGGTCGAGCAGTCGCCCGAGCCGGCGCTCGACCTGCTGGAGGACCTGGGCGTGTCGCGGCTGTACGAGATCGCGCCGGGGGACCTCGTGAACTGCTTCAAGGTCATGGTCAACGGCGCGTGGGTCGGGGTCACCGACAAGCCGAAGAGCATCGTCGAGGACCTGCGGCGGGCGCGCCGCACGCAGAACCAGGAATTCAAGTTCCTGCGCGAGATGTCGATCGTGTACGACTCGCGGCTGCGCGAGATCCGGCTCGGCACGGACGGCGGGCGCGCGACGCGGCCGCTGTTCATCGTGGGCGAGGGGCAGCAGCTGCTGATCCGGCGCACGCACATCAACCGGCTGCTGGACGCCGAGGCGTCGGGGTACAAGTGGGAGGACCTGATGGCGGAGGGGCTGGTGGAGTTCGTGGACGTCGAGGAGGAGGACACGACGATGATCGCCATGTTCGTCGACGACGTGCGCAAGGCGCGGGAGGAGCCGTCCAAGGCGGTGACGACGTCGTTCACGCACTGCGAGGTCCACCCGGCGATGATCCTCGGCGTCTGCGCGTCGATCATCCCGTTCCCGGACCACAACCAGTCCCCGCGCAACACGTACCAGTCTGCCATGGGCAAGCAGGCCCTGGGGGTGTATTGCACGAACTACAACATGCGGATGGACACGCACGGGTACGTCCTGTGCTACCCGCAGAAGCCCCTCGCGACGACGCGCTCGATGGAGTACCTCCACTTCCGCTCCCTCCCCGCCGGCATCAACACCGTCGTGGCCATCGCGTGCTACTCGGGGTACAACCAGGAGGACTCGACGATGATGAACCAGTCGGCGATCGACCGCGGGTTCATGCGGTCGATCACGTACAAGTGCTACCGCGAGCAGCTCCGGTCCACCGCGGGCCTCGCGCTGAACGAGGCGTTCGAGCGGCCCAACCCCGACGAGTGCGAGGGGTTCAAGATGGACGCCGACTACGGGAAGCTCGACGACGACGGGATCGCGGCGCCGGGCGTGCAGCTCGTGGGCAGCAACGTCATCATCGGGAAGACGTCGGGGCTGCCGAGAATGGAGGGGCGGGCGAAGGAGAAGAAGGACAGCAGCATCAGCCTCAAGGCGACGGAGACGGGCGTGGTGGACCAGGTCATCGTGACGACGAACGAGGACGGGCAGAAGTTCGTGAAGACGCGCATCCGGTCGATCCGGCAGCCGACGGTCGGCGACAAGTTCGCGTCGCGGCACGGGCAGAAGGGGACCGTCGGCATCACGTACACGCAGGAGGACATGCCGTTCACGCGCGAGGGCATCACGCCGGACCTCATCATCAACCCGCACGCCATCCCGTCGCGCATGACGATCGGCCACCTCGTCGAGTGCCTCCTGAGCAAGGTGGCGTGCCTGCGCGGCACCGAGGGCGACGCCACGCCCTTCACGGGGCTCCTCGTCAAGCAGATCTCCGACGAGCTGCACGCGCTCGGGTACCAGCGGCACGCGTGGGAGCAGATGTACTCGGGCCACACGGGCCGCCCCCTGGCGAATCAGATCTTCCTGGGTCCGACGTACTACCAGCGGCTCAAGCACATGGTCGAGGACAAGATCCACTCGCGGCGCATCGGGGCCGTGACGAGCCTCACGCGCCAGCCCATGGAGGGCCGCGCGCGCGACGGCGGCCTGCGGTTCGGCGAGATGGAGCGCGACTGCATCATCGCGCACGGCGCCGCGGCGTTCTTGAAGGAGCGCATGTTCGACGCGTCGGACCAGTACGTCGTGCCGATCTGCACGCGCTGCGGGCTCATCGCGCGGAAGCAGCTGCTGGCCGGGGTCCGCGGCGTGCAGAACATGGGCGGGGGGGAGGTGTCGTGCCCGAACGAGAACCACAAGGGGTCGCGGATCGTGCACGTCAACATGCCGTACGCGTGCAAGCTGCTGTTCCAGGAGCTCATGTCGATGTGCGTCGCGCCGAGGATCATCGTCTGACTGCGCGCGGAGAGGGCCGCGCGTTGGCTGCGCGGCTGCCAGGCCGCGTGCTCGCGTGGCGGCTCGCGCTCGCAGCGCCGTCCGCGTGTAAACCAGCGGCGCCGCATCCCGTCCCACGTGGCTCAGCCAACAATCACGTCACCCAACCGACGACGTGTTGCCCCGCGCCGCTGCCGCCCACCGCGCCCACTGCGCGCTCCGCGTGCCATGGTCACCGCAACGCGCCCCGCGCAGGCCGTGCAACCGCCGCAACAGCTACCCCCAGCCCCTCGCCCCCCACCAACCATACGCACGTTTCATCATCATTATCGACACCCCCCCCACAACTCCGCCAACCTCCCCCCGCCCTCGCACAACCGGTGGTGCGTCCTGGCCGCGCGGCGCGTGCTCGGAGCTCTCTCAGGCGCGCTCACAGCGTCCGTGCGGCGCGTCGGCCCGCCCGCTCACCACTCGAGGTCCTGCATGTCCTCGCACTGGTTCAGGTCGAAGTCCGAGTCGTCGTCGCCGCCCACGAAGCCCTTGGTCTTCAGGAGGTCGTACGACGCCGCCGACGCCTCGTCGCGCATCTTGATCGGGAACTTGCCGTTGTCCTTGTCAGCCTTGGCCTGCACGGCCGAGGGGGGGGTGTGTCACGGGAAGTGAGGGGGTGTGAGCGCGTGAGGGGCTGGTGTGAGGCGTGTGGGGTGCGTGGGGTGCGCGAGGGGCGATGTTGCGTGCGGCGGCGCGTTCGAGGCGCTGCTAGGTGACGGCGTGGTGGTTCGGCGTCGTGCGGGGCGGCGTGGGGGGGGCGGGCAGAGGTGACCGCGTGGGGCGCGCGGGCGGAGGCGTGCGGTGGTGTGGGCGCGTCGGGAGGCGCGAGGTAGGCCGTGGCGGCCGGCGAGGCGAGGGGGGCGCCTTGCGCGAGGGAGAACGGCCGCCGCGAAGGGTCTCGCGCGACGAAGAAGGGGCAACGGATGCGAATCTGCGACGAGGCAGTGTCCGAGAGGGGTCCTGGCTGCGGTTCCAGACGGGGCGCGGGCCGTGCAGCGGCTGCGGTAAGGCAGACGAGACGACCTGGGCCGCACCTCAGCGTAGATGATCTTGCCCTCCTCGTCCTTGGTCTCGAGGATCTCGCCGCCGACCTTGTCCATGAGGGTCTTCATCCACTCGTCCGCCGAGAGCTTGTCCGCGAGCGAGGCCGGGAGGTGGCAGAGCATCGACAGCTTGTCCTCGCCGTACGACAGCAGGACCTTGCCGAGCTCCTTGGCGCCGCCCTGCGCGACGAAGTTCGGGCAAACCAATCAAGAGACGCGGGTTGCACCGCCGCGGCAACCCCCTGCGGCGCGCGGGCGACGCGCGGCGGGGCAGGGGGGCAGCAGGTGGTGGGCGCGGGCCGTACCTTGAGCTCGCCGGCCTCCGGGTCGACCTCCGCGTTGGCGCCGGCCAGCGCAGCGAACAGCAGCTCCTTGTCGCCCGCGGGCTCGTCCAGGGCGATGCAGAAGAACTTGACGCCGCCCATGTCCGCCAGGCCCGCCAGGTCCTGCCCCTTCTTCCCGCCCTCCTTCGTGGCCTTGGCGATCTGCTTGTCGGTCGGCATCGTTCCCCTCTACCTATCCCTCACGCGCGAAATAGTGGGAGAGCGCGCCCCGCGGCGCGCGCCCTCGAAGCCCCAGCAGCACGCCCCGCGCCTGACGTCAGGCGCGTCCGACAGCGACGCACGCACGCACTGGCGCCCGCGGCGCACCCCAGCGCCCCGCCGACCTCCCCGCTCCACCGCGCACCTCCACACCCACGCAGCGCATGACGCAGCCGGGATCAACACCGCCACACTTGCACCCACGCCCACAACCCGCCGTCGCAGAACGGCCCCGTCCGACGCGCCCGCGCGGTTCACATATTTATCCTGGTGCCGCCCTGCGTCTGGCTGCGGTCCTACGCCGCGCTCATCTTCTCCCGCGTGACTTCTACGAACTCATCAAGGAGGTACGGCCACGCGCCGCCCTCGAGGTCGTAGTTGCTCAGGTCCGGCTTGATCGTGTTCACGAAGTCCAGGAGCTGCACCCACACGGGCGCGCGCGGTTCGTCGGCGCCGTCCCGCCGCAACTGCGGGCAGGTGCAGCTCAGCACTGCAACGCAGCGTTCGGGCGACGCACCTGGTTCCACGTGTCCCGCGAGATCGCCCGGCCGTGGTGCTCCTGCAGGAAGTCGCACCACGCGTCTAGGTGCGGCCAGCCTCGGCCGTCAAACAGCAGCCGCCACATTCCCAGCGCCGCCTCCAGTTGCACAACCTTCTGCCCCTTCGGGCACGAAAACCCGTACGCGTAGCGGTAGACCTCCCCGAACGTGCCCGCGTCGCTCAGGGAGTCGCGCAGCGGGCCGAGTTTGCCCTGCAGCTGCTTCACGCTGTCGCACTGCAGGCAGTGCATGCCGTGGGCGAACTCCGCGCGCTTCCACTCGCCCATCGTCTCCGCGCCCATGTGATACGACAGCACCAGCATCGCGATGTCCGTCGGGTCGACGCCCAGGTCCTGCGAGCGGGCAGGGGCGTGAGGGCGCAGCTTGCGGTGGGGTGGGTGCGGCGTGGCCGGCTGGCGGGTCCGCGGGGGACGCGACGCCGGAGCGCGGTCCGCGGGAGCACGGGCGATGATGGGGCCGCGGCGCGTGCGTGGCGGGGCGGGAGCGCGCCTCGCAGAACTTCATGATGCCCTCCGCGAGGATGACGTCCTCGCCGCCGCTATATTTCTGGAACAGCGTCTCGATCGAGCCTGAGTCGAGCTTGGGCGCGCGCGCCGTGTACTTGCCGCAGGAATAGAAGTGGTCGACGGCAACGGGCACCGACCAGTCGCACGCGCGGAGGCACTCCTGCGCGACGCGCTGCGTCGACCCGGTCACCGCCGCGAACTCCTGGATCTTCTGCCTCTGCGAGACCTGCATCGGGGGGGCGCGCACGCGCGCTCGCGCCGTGGGAGGGAGGCACACAGTGCCGCTGCGAAACTATGCGCGCGCGGATCTGGCGCCTTCGCGCGGGCACAACCGTCGACGCACGGCACGGGTGGAGCGTTCGGAGGGCAAGAAGCTTGCGGGGACGTCGACGCTGGGATCGAGGCCGTGGCGACTCCCGCGTCCAAATAGGAGCCCAGGACAGCGTGCAGGTCCCCGATCGCCGCTCCGCTTTGCGCGCGGCCCGCGCCCAGGCGGGAAGGACGAATCGCTCTTGCTCGAGCGGGTGGCGCCCGGCGTCGCGAGAAAGGGCGCAGCGGCCGCTCAGGCGGGCCGGGCGTCGAGACGGATCCAAGGTGCGTGGCTCTGGTCGCGTGCTCTCCGAAAGCACGCGTTCGTTCCTCGAGGGGGGCGCGGGAACGCACCATGGCTCGCCTCTCCTCACGCGCTCGCGGCTTGCGCCGGCCCGGCTCCGCGGTCCCGAGGAGGAAGAGAGCTGCGAAGATGCTGCGCACAAAACCCGCTACTAGCGACACCAGCACTCCCACACCCCCCAAAACCTTCATGCATATCACGGCACCGCACGCTACTTGCCTCCCCGCCGCGACGCCGGGGCCCAACGCGACAGCGCGCCGCGCCCGGCCACGCGAGCCCCTCCCCCTGAGCTGTCCACACGCCCACGCGCCGCGTCAGGCCCAGGGGGGACTCCGGGAGGTGCGCGCGGGCTCGACGGCGCGCGCGCACGCCTGGGCACGCACGCTGGCTGGCGCGCAGCTTTCAGGCGAGAGACGGATGGCGAGCACGGTTCGTGGAGGCCCTGCCAGGTCCCCAGTGTGTCCGCGTTCGGGTGTGGTAGGCGCGGCGCCGCGGACCATGCCGAGGCGCAGCTCGCGGCTGCGCACGAAGGCGGCCAAGGCCAACGTCGCTCGTGGCGGGCAGTTGTCCCTGGACGAAGGTGAGCGAAGCGTGCCAGATAGGTTGCCGCAAGTTGGCGCCCGCGGCACGGCCGTCGCACTTCGTGCCGCGGCGTTTGGAAGGGGCGTGAAGCAGGCACCGCTTCGAACGCGGCGTGTGCGACGATCGACCGCCCGGCTGGACCAGCGAGATGAGCCAGGGCTGCGATGAGAGCACGGTGACCTCAGCAATAGGCAAACTGGCTCTACTGGGGAATTCAGGCGAAGAACGGCGATGTTGTCAATCGCACGGGGACATCCGTTGCATACAGACGACCAGAAATATGAGAACGGTGTATGTTAGAGCCTCGGGTCGCCCCGACGCGCCTCCTTGCCCCAGCGCGCTCACCTCCGCCCCTCCCGCCCCGCGTGCAGACGGCAACATCGAGCTGGAGCTGGTCCGGAACACTCGGGACCTCTCCGTCGCCACGCCGCGGTGCCGTCCAGGCGCCCTGCTGCGCACGGCGTGCCCGGCTGAGGCCAGCGGCGCTGACGTGGAGCTCTTCAGCGAGCACGTGGGCGTCACGGAGCTCCTCGACCTGCGGTCCGAGGAGGAGCAGCGCGAGGACGACGCCGCGGCCGTCCTCGCCGGCTGCATCACGGTCGACCGCCTGTACGACCGCGACGACAGGGCCCCTGGGGGCCTCGCGGTCCAGGAAACCACCATGGACCGTTCCGGGGACGCGCAGCCGGAAGCGACGTTCGTGCGGCATCGGCTGTCGCTCCTGGACCGCGACAGGTTCTACAAGTGCGCCCCCGACCCTGAGTCAGTTTGACAAAACTTGATTGTTGATGGTTTGGCACTTTGGCTGTTCCGTTGCCACTCGTCCAGGCTGCGCGCGTGGTCAGCGCGCGCCTCACTGTCCGGCGCGGCCCGTGTCCTGCCGCAGGGCGCTGCTGTGGAAGCTGCCGAAGCTGACAGTGGCGCGGGCGCTGGTCACCCAGATCTGGGACGGGCAGGGCAGCAAGAACATCTTCCTCGACGCGATCAACGCCGGCGGCCTCCCGCTGCTGTACGAGATCCTCATCGACACCTCCAAGCCCGAGATCTGCAAGAGCCTGCAAGTGGCCACCGAGTGCGTCGAGGGCGGCGGGACGCTGTTGTTCTACTGCAAGGCCGGAAAGGACCGCACGGGGCTCATTGCGATGCTCGTCCTGGGCCTGCTGGGGTGCTCGGACGCGGAGATCATCAGCGACTTCGCGAAGAGCGACAAGCACCGTAAGGTTGCGCTGGGCGGCATGGAGAACAAGCCGGAGCTGAAGCGGCTAGACAGGGAGGTGTTCAGCCGCGCGCCGCCCGAGGCGATGGAGCACATTCTGGGGTACGTCAAGGCGCGGTACGGGTCGATCGAGGCGTACTGCAGCAGCATCGGATTTGACGCGACGTGGCAGCGGCGGCTGCGGAGCGCGCTGCTGATGAGCGAGGCCGGGCCGGACAACTGACCTCAGGGAATTGCGGCTGAGGGCTCGCAGTGCGTGCGTCGTACATGTACATTGGCGATCGCTGCCGCAGATCGGTGCGGTCCTACGGACAAGATATCTTTTTGTGTCTGTGACTAGTTTGTGAGCGTTGCGCCCGCCGTCAGCGCCGCCCACGCCGCTAGCTGGCTCAGATTGCGTCGTTCTGCGTCCGACGCGGACCGTCAGTCCTCCTCTTCGAGGAGGGGCGCCACCATGAACACGACAGACGCGTTGATCGCCTGTCCGCCCGCCGCGCCCATCCCGATCAGGTGCGTGACCTTCATCATCCCGCGCCTATCCACCGAGACCCCCGTCGACACCTCCGGCGCCTCCCTGAACGTCGGCGTGTTGCACAACGCCCCCTGGAGGTGTTTGTAGTTATAGCTCCGCCGAACACCCCCCGTCGCACACCTGAACGCAACCATCTTCTCCCGCGGTATCTCCACCGCGAGGGACCCCGCCCCGGCCTCATGCGACCCGGACAGCACCACCCGCTGCGCCCTGTCGTCCATTTCTACCGCCACCTCAGACCCCACCCACTCCAGGTCCTCCATCGCCTCGCGGAGCAGCGCGCCGGGGACGAGGAAATGCGACTCGGACGCCGCGTCGAAGAACTCCTCGAACGACCGCGGGGCCCCCGCCTCCTCCGTCGAGACACGCGCGTACGTACACATGCGCCCCGCGTCGCCGGCGTCGTCCGTCTGCTCCAACAGGAGCTCCGCGTTCGGGCCTGGGTACCGCAGGCGGAGCTCGGCGTCTGCAGGGGGCGGCGGCGGGCCGAGAACGCGGTGTTGGCGGCAACTACCGCGGTGTTGTCGCACTGCAGGGTAGATGTTGTTGGAGGGGCTCTGGGAGGGTGGACAGGGAGAGGGGCGCACCGGGCGAGCAGGCGAAGACCTTGAGGACGTCGATGAGCTGCTGGATGCGGACGCCGAGCGTGCGGCTGGGGCCGGGGCACTCGAAGGTAGAGAAGACGTGGGGCTTGAAGAAGGCCCAGCCCTGCATGGCCTTCGCGTCGTCCTCGAAGATGACCTTGATGCCCGTGCTCGCCACCATCATCACGCAGGGCTGCATTTCGGGGCAGAAGCGAGCGCTGTCGGGGCGGAGGGAGAGAAGGCGGGAAGGGAGCTGCGTGCATCTGTCGGTCGCGGCGGGCGCCCTCAACGTTGATGTGCTCGACAATCTCAGGTGGTAAATGAGAAGGGACTCGCTTATCATCCGGGGGCATCGCAAAACAACGGCCGGAGCGCGCCAGGGTGACGCGTGGAGGGCGACGCTCTCAGCGGTGCGCGCAGGGGCGTTTGGGTCGGGAGCGCGGGTGTCGTACGTGCTTTCCGCTGCACTTCAGGACCTGGAGCACCGTGACTAGTCCACGGACGTTGCGGAGCCGCAAGTGGCACGGCTGCAGCATGTCCGTCATCTCTGCAGTTTGCTCCAGGGTCCCTCACAGGCGCCGCCGCGACGCTCTCAGTCCATCTGCGCCCTGGCCGTTCTCCTCAGGAGCTAGTCCCCCCCGTGCGGTATCGCGCCGAGCGTCAGTCCGACAGAGCGCGACGGGGCAGCGTCAGTTAACCAGCACCCAAGTTTCGCGCCAGCACCTCGTTGTGTACGGTCCGCACAAGTGCACGCGCTCGACGCAGGTCCACAGCACGCGAGTGCGCCTTCAGGGCTGCCCGGGCAACACACAGCCCGCATCGCACGCTCAGGAGGAACCTAAACACCCCCTCAGTAGAACACTCAACTCAGTCGTACGAGCCGATCCCCGGACGGACTGAGCTCGCTCCTTCGCATCGACGCTCCGAGCGCCCCGGCGCGGTCCGTCACAGGTCGAGTCAGGGCCCCTGACTCAGGGGTTGGGGTTGCCCTTGCCCAGTCGGTCAGCAATGGGCACAAACCCCTCCGTCCACGGCTTGTCCGGGAGGCGGCCCGTGATGCAGTAGTCGAGCGTGTTCACCACCTGCTCCGGCTCCTCGCACACCGCCATGGCCGCCGCGTTGACCTCCTTGAGCATGTGGCCCAGGCTGGGCGGGTGCAGCGTGATGATCGACTTGCCCATCGCCGCCGCCATGCCTGCGTCGAAGCCGCCGCGGCGCCACAGCGAGTGAGGACAGCAGCGCGTTGCCATCGCGTCGGCGGATGACAGGCACTTGGGCTTGGGGACCTCCGGCGCACCTGCGTCGAAGGCGGCGTTCCACTGACGGTACTTCTCCCCGAAGCGCACGACGACGACGTCGGCGTCCTCGAGCAGCGTGCGCGTGCGGATGGCGTTCATCCGCGCGCCCTTCCCGTCGTAGTTCATGCGCCTGCGGGCGGCGGAGCCGCGGAGAGCGTTGGCGTGACGCGACGTGTTGCGAGGCCCGTGCCGCGCGAGGCTGTGTTTGTTTGCTGGGTGATTGGGCGCGTTGGGCCGGGGGCGACGTACTTGTCTTCGTCGCCGAGGATGATGGCGGCGCAGTCGTCGGAGTCTTCGTGCACGCAGATCGGGGACACAATGGACACCGGGAGGTTGCGCTTGTGGAGACCGTCCGCGATGCGCTCGCGCCAGTCGCTGTGGATTTCGCCGCTGAGGTAGACGCGCCACACGCGGTCCCCTGTGGACGCCGCCGCGAACGCACGCAGGGCGTGGGAGCTGCAAGGGGGGCTCAGCGCCGGGGACAGGGCCGCGCGGGCGGCAAGCAGGCAGCGGCGCATGCTTCTCTTCTCGATGTGGCGAATCCGGGCTAGAGAGGTCTGTATGACGCGTGCAGAGGGCTGCGGCCTCGATGTGCTGTCCTAGGTGGGGCTCGGGCCCGTCTGTCTGACAGGGAGCGACTAGGATGCGAGAACAAGAGCGAGTGATGCGCCATGTATTCGTGCTACGCGTCTGAGTGACCGGATCCCGATGTCTCACCTCGAGCACTCCTCTGGGGCCTAGTGTCCCGCACACCTCCCATCACTCCTCCCAGGCGGCCTCGCCAGCGATTGCCCGGCGCTTCACTGCGGACGCGTACGTACATTTCGTGAGAGTCCGGTCGTGGATCGATGCGTGAGGTCGGGGCCTGACGGGGCCCCGGAGCCCAAGTGTATGTGGGCCTTGGGTTTCGTCGCGCGTCATGGCGAGGAATCACTATGAAGTGCTCGGCGTCTCGAGAGGCGCGAGCCAGGAGGAGATCAAGCAGGCGTTCCGCGCGCTCGCGAAGAAGCTCCACCCGGACACAGGCCAGGCCAGGAGCGCAAAGCGCGACGGGGGCCAGCCGAGCGACGACGACAGAGAATTCAAGCGCGCATCTGCAGCGTACCACGTGCTGAGAAATGACGACAGGTACGCTGTACGCCGCACGAGCCTCCAAACCCGCAGCCGCGCGCGGATTGTCGCGAAACCCCACGGCGCAAGTGTGTGCAGGCGGAGGCTGTACGACAAGGCCCTGGACATCGAGGAGGCCACGGGGGCGGACGCGGACGACTACGGAGCGTCCCCGAGCGGCCGCGCGCGCACCGCTGCGGACCGCGCGAAGGCATGGGAGGAGTATTGGGAGCGTGAGTTCCGGGACAGGGACCGCACGGGGGCGCGCGGGTTCAGCGACGAGGTGTACCGCCGGCTGTACGAGGAGTACATCCGCGAGACGCGCGGCAACAGGTCCGGGCCCGCGTGCGCCGGCGCGCCACCATCGCACGGCGCTTAGCGCGCCGAAAGTTGCGGGCGGCTCCGGGGGCCGGCGTTCGCGCGCGGTGGCTTGCGCGTCCTCGCATGGACGGCGCATACGTATGTCGAGCCAGGAGCACATTCGCTGTTTGTTCTGCGGCAAATCATGACCGCGGTTTGTGTGCAGGTCGGCGACGTGGGCGTCGCGCACCGTGGACGGCAGCAGCCGCGAGGCGTGGGTCATCGCGACGCACGACGCCGCAGCCTACCGTGCGCGCGCCCAGGAGGCCGCGCGGAAGGCCAGCGAGCGGCGCATGGAGCGCGCCGCGCGGGCGCTGCGCAAGCACGCGTTCGCGGCGACGGGCGTCACGCTGCGCGACGCCGCGGTGGCCGCCTTCACGCTCGCGAGCCTCACCGCGGCGCTGCTCCCGCTCGTCCCGGCCCCGTCTGACGGCTGCGCGACGGACGCCGCGCGTGTCCGGGAGCCTGACGGCAACGCGGGGGACGAAAGGGGGGGTGTTCCGGATGGGACGGGCAGATGGGACGGGTGGAAGAAGGGGGCGGGGACGGTCTTCGCGACGGTGGGCGCGATGGGGTTGGCGGCGTCGCTGGCGAAGCGATTCCGAGGCGGGCTGCGGTTTTTAGGCAGGCAGGGGACATCGTCACCGGCAGGGGGCGGGGAGGGCGCCGGGTGGTCGCCGTGGCGGCGGCGGCCTGACTCATAGCTGCTGTACATACGCAACGACACCGTCTCTGACAGTCGGAGCACTCAACTTCTCGCGTTCATGCGTTGTTCGGATCGCCTGGTGCTTATTTTCCGCTCCAGGAGGGCCACAGTGTCCCAGGTGATGCGGCATGGGCGCTGACTCGACAATGTGCGGTGTCACGTGCGCACAACAGGTTTCCACCCCTTCTGCCCTGTCTCCGTCGGTGACGCGTCGAGCCGTCGTGCCGCGGGGCGATCTCGTGCGCGATGCGTGGCCGACATGAGGGACATGCGAGCGCGCCGGTCGGTCTGTCCCGCGCGCGCGTTCCGTGCGGCCCCCGCGGCCCATGACGTGGCTCAGCTAGGTCAGCGGATCACGCGGGCCGCCGGGCTCATTGCCGGCGTCTCCGGGCCGTTCGAGCCACAAACTCGCCGCAACCGATCTACATTCGTATACCGCAAGAGATCCCAAGCAGTATCTAGTCGGAACGCGCTCGCATGCGGCGCGGAGCGGCTAGTGCGAGCATCATGCAGCAACCGCCATCGCTGCGTGCGCACGACCGACGCGCGGCCTGCGACGTGCGGCGCGGGCATCCGGCGGAGAGCTGTCTGGCGCAGTCGCGCGCGGGGCCCGGCAAGTTACGCAGCGATCCGGCGATTCTGGAGTGCCGCGTGGCAAGCGGTAGTTGCACGGAGGACTACCTGCGCGGCGCCCTGCCACGGAGCACGATCGTCTACGTCCGGGCGCCGTCCAACGCGAGGCAAACGTCGTTCTGCGGTGCCTCGAGGGAGTCGACGTTCGGACCCGCGACCGTCGCGGCGGCGGCACGGCGGTTCGTGGGCTCGGGCGCGATGCCGCACGCATGGCACGCAGCAATCCCGGCGGCGCCGGCGCACGGCGCGAACGCGCTGCGGGACGCGGCGAAGTGGCGGCGGGTGCACAGCGAGCGCGTGCGGCCCGCGGCCCGCCAGGAGGGTGCGTCTCAACAAGATGCAATGCGGGCCGGGTCACAGGGCCTGCGCGGCCTCATGCTGCGGAAGTGCGCCACGACGCGGGACCATGTGGGTGCTGTAGAAGCGGTCCATGCGGCCCGGAGGGTGCGTGGTCGGGGCGCCGGGATGGCGCGGCCGGAGACGGGCGACGAAGACAGTTGCTCCATGACTGGTGCCGAGGCGCTGCTGCGACGATTTCTGTGGACGTCTCCGCAAGAATTTCCAGGATCAGACGAAGTGAGGTGTCCTTCGGGGGCGTTGATTGATTCTTAGGTCGAGGGAGTGTGGCTCCTGGGCGCGTAGGGGTGGGCGGGGAAGTTGACCGGGCAGCGATCGCGGGCGGCGTGTGATGGGTTCGTGGTGCGTGCACAGGCTTGTCAATTCTCGTAGGTGTGCGTTGGAGTCGGTCCGAGCTCGCGCCGCACGTACCAGTCGCAATGCGCCCCACCAGGTGCCGTTGTTCGCCGACGCACAGGCACCCTCACGCGAGGATGCTTGAGCGACCGAAATGGCACCGCAGACGAGACCATGCTTGCACGTCGATGGACGCGCACGCCAACCACCAGCAGGCCTGTGCGTGCTGTATGCCCCCACGCAACCGCGTACCACACCGGAAGCTCCGCAGCCCGCAGCTCACGCGCACACGCAAGCAGCCTTGTGAGAATCACCTAGGCTCGGTAGCACGACAGAACTCAACCGCGTCGATCGGCAGCACAAGCACCGCACGCAAAGCATTCATTGACCACCCGCGCACGAAACGAAATGCGGGTGCGCTATCGTCACACCCAACACGCGTCAACTCACTCACACGCGCGCCTCGCGGCCACGCCGCTCACCGCACGAGCTCGCCCTGGTTGTCCCACTCGCGCACGTTGTACGCCTGCCAGTCCCCCGCGATCGGCGCCGCGACCAGGTGGTCGGGAATCCCGAACGACCCCACAAGGTCCAGCGCGGCGGGCGCCAGCTCCCGACACAGCGCGCGCACGCTGTCCCCGACCGCGCGCACCGCGTCGGCGCCCATCGCGCCCTCCACGACGAAGAACGCGACGTCGACCTCCGCGCGGCGCAGCGCGTAGAGCCTCGCGAGCCGGTCCAGCGTCGGCGCGAGGTCAAGAGGGGCCTGCGCGACGGCGCGCGCGCAGGCGGCGAGGACCTCGCGCTCGGCGTACGCCTGCGCGGTGGCCTGCACGAGATCGGATTCGCCCTTCATCCACGCGTCGAAGCTCCCCGCGCGCCCCGCCGCGGCCATGCGCGCGGCGAGCCGGCCCAGGAGGCGGCCCTCGCGCCACGCGAAGAGGTCGCCGAGCGCCGCGAGGGAGCCGAGCGTGCGCGCCGTGACCGTCGGGGCGGTCCCAGCCGCGCGCACGCGCTGCGAAACCTCAGGCCAGCTCTGCGGAGCAGCGAACGAGAAAACCAGGCATATCTGAGCGCCGCTCGGTCGGACAAAGTGCACCCCACTGCTCAGCGCGCGTCTGGCGAGTTCCCACACCTGCGCCACGGACAGCAGCTCCTTGGCCACCTTTTGCATCAGGACGCGGTTGTCGCCCTCCGCCGTCATCCCCGCGTGCGCAAACCCGATGATGCTGCCGAGCCGGTTCACGCTGAGGTACCCCTGCCCGCCGCACCGCTCCCGGCACGTCGTCCCGACCGTCTCCGAGTTCCACGTGCACAACGGCTTGATGCCGCAGCACAGCATGACAATCTCCTTGGCCTCGTCCGGCGGCACGGCGTCGGGGCCGAACCCGGACCCCGCCGCCCAGCGGTCCTTGACGTAGTTCAGGCCGATGTTGAGGCAGACCGTCGACGCCAGCAGCGGCAGCAGGGCGCGCTGCTGCAGTTGGTAGTCCAGAATCGCTGTGTCCGACTTGCCAGTGGGCCCGACGCACAGGCGGGAGGACGCGTAGCGGATCGCGATGGTCAGCGCCTGCTTGCTCGCGGCCTGCATCATCGCGGCGATGCAGATGCGCCCGGACAGCAGCTGGTCGGCCACTTTCAGGAAACGGTCCCGCGTGCCGGCGACCGAGGACGTGAAGGCGCCGCCGGGGCCGAGCTGCGAGGTGGCGTCCAGGAGGGACTCGCGGGGCACGCGGACGTTCTCGAACCAGAGCCGGCCGTTGTCCACGCCTGCGGGAGCCGCGACACACGCACCATCTTTCCACAGTGGGTGAGCGGCGGCACAGGTACAAGGCAAGCGGGGCTGCAGGCGGCTGCGTTGCGTACCGTTGCAGCCAAACTTGTGGCCCATGTCCTGGATTGTCACGCCGCGACGGACGGTCAGGTCCTCTTCGCGGATGCGCACCAGCACGCCGTGGACGCCGTGGTTGGTCTGACCGACGAGCAGCTGCGCGAACACGACGCACCACTTGGCGTGCACCGCGCCGTTCGTGATCCAGTACTTCTGCGCGAGCGGCTGCGTGCACACGGAGCGCAGCGGCGGTAGTTGCGCGACGGAGACGCCTGGCCTGGCGGCGCGACAGCTCACGCGCTGGCGGGGACGTCCGCGGCGGCGGAACTCACCGTCGGGGTGTTGACGACGAGCTCGTCGGTGCTGGGGTCGTACGTCGCGGTGGTCTGCATCTCGACGGCGTTGTTTCCGAACCCCAGCTCCGTGAGCGCGAAGCACCCCATGGCGCTGAGCGTGTCGATGCCGTCGAGCAGCAGGTCGTGGTGCCGCTGCGTGCCGAGCTTCAGCACGGTCCCACCGAAGAGGTTGAACTGCGACACAGCGAGGACGGGGGGTGTTGGGGGTGATTGCGCTGTTTGCGGGGCCGCGAGGTTGCGGGGCTGCGTTAGTACGTGAGGGAACGTGCTCGGGGCGCGTTTTCTTTCGAGGCTGCCGGTCCAAGACAAGCGCAGAATGGTGTATTTCGAATTATTGATTCATGTACTACCTGAACAGTCATCTTGGTGGCCATGGAGCCGTCGCAGAGCGCGGCGCACTCGTGGGCGGCGAAGATGCGGTGCGGGTTGGTCACGAAGTCCTGGACGCTGAACAGCCTGCGGTCGCAGAAGCGTTGGAGGCGACGCAACGCCAGCTCCCTCTCCTCAGGCAGCGGGATGTTGTACCGCGGGACGAAGACCTCCTGCGGACGACAGGTCGCACGCACACGAGCCAAGCGTGAGCGGCTTGTGGGGTCGAGGTCGGCAGCCTCCGCGCGGCAGAGCGGTCGGTGGGCAACTGCAGGGAGCCGAGCTGGCGCCCGTCCTGACGAGGTGAGGGGGTGAATAGAGCTCGCGAGTGACGGAACGGTGATTCAGTGAGCGCGAGAGACGGACGCGACCAAGGGCGGTGCGCGCTGGACGCCGAACGCGGCAGCACGCGGGCACTCTCGACCAACCGCCGGACGAGTACGAGCGAAATCCGAGAGGGCGGATTTCGCCGCACCTCGCGCATCATCTCCTTCCATTTGCGCCGCTCGTCATGATTGTCGTGGTCGAGGATCTGCTGCAGAGCCGCAACGTCGATACTGGTCACGGTGCCGCCCGCCGGAGCCCCCACCAGGTGCCCTGCCAGCACATCGAGGCGCCGCGCGGCGTCCGCGGAGCCCTTCATGATCCCGTCTGGCCGCTCTCACACTCTCAGCCTCAGTCAGCGAGAAGTCGACACGGTCCAGCCCGCCGCGCCGCAACCAGCTCCGCCAGCCACTCGCCCTTCCTTCCGCAGGGGGGGGTATCCTCTCCCAGTCCGACACGCGAAGGGCCTCAGCCCCAGCCCACACAACCCGCCCGCTGCACCCCGCACCTCCCGCCCGTCCGATCCGGTCCAGCACCGCACCGCAACGCAACGCACCGCGCTCTCTCTCTCACACGCACACACACACGCACACACGTGCTCTCACGCGTCTGCGCGCTGAGCCTCAGCGGCGGGTCCCCGCGCGCGCGGCCCAGCGCCTACGTGTACAGTAGCCCCGCGCTGTCCAGCCTGTCGCCGCCGTGCAGGTCCTTTTCATACCACACAGCAAAAGGCCGCACCGACGCGAGGCGCGCGGAGTCCAGCGCGAGCTGCGCGGGGACGGCGGGCTGCAGCGCCGCCCAGAGCGCCTCGACGTCAGCCGCCGGGACCTGCGGGGGCGTGCGGGCGCGGACGTATTGCGAGTCGGTGTGTGTTGATGCTGCGTCTGTCGCGCGTTCGACGCGGGAAGAGTCTGGCGCGGGCCAGGGCAGGAGGGCGAGGGTGGAGGCTCGGTCGTGGCTGGGCGAGCGGGGCATTCCAGGTTCGGGCCCGCGCAGCGCGGGGCAAAGGGTGTAGGTGTGTAAGGGGTGGGGGCGCACCTCGAGGTTGCTTGCCGCGACGTCGGAGCGCGGGCGGTAGGAGGGGGCTATGAGGAACGTCGGGTGCCACTTTGACGTCCTGCTGAGGACCAGAAGGGCGGCAAGGAAGCCGTCGGAGATCTGGAAAGTGCCTTCTGCCTCCGGCACGGCCGCGAATCGTGGACTCGGGGCCTCCGCGCTGCCGGCGTTGCAGCTCTGCGTGTCTATGCGGTACACGGGCTCCTTCGCGGGCGGGATCCGGCAGGCTGCCGCCACTGTCGCGGGTTGATTGCTAGCGAGGCAGTATTGTGCCACCGCGGCGGCGAGGGAGGCGTGCACGAATGGGTGTGGCACGCAATTCACCACCACGAAGCTATGGTGCGTCTCCCCATCGCACAACACGTCCACCTGGTACAGCGGCCACGCCTCCTCGCGCCCTGCAAACTCGCCCACACAAACCAGGCCCCGCGCTGCGTCGTCATGGGGTCGACACGCGTCGTACAGCGCGAACAGATGCCGTATAAACAGATGAGTCGGTCGGCGAGCGCACCCGGTGTCGGATACACAGCTGAGAGCGCGGAAGGCACCGGAGTGTCGCCGGTGGTTGCGAGCTCCAGTGGAGTGACCCTCAGCTCGCATCCCGCCGCGCTTTCCAGGCTGCTAGCGAGACGGCAGCCAGCGCCGGACACGTCGCACGCCAGCACCGTCGCAGGCGCTGCGAGCCCCGGCCCACGCAGTGTGTACGGCCCGCTGGAAGTTGTCATGGGCCTCTCTTTGTGTGCAACCAGCTGCCGGCCCGTCAGACCGCGCGGTCCACGCCTTGCTGCCACCACGGCTGTGCCTCGGCACGCCGCCTGGGCTCGCAGTTGGCCCGCGCCGGGGCGCTCACCGGTGCTGGGGGCGTGTTGACTGTGTGTCTGTCCAGGCGGGCGCGCCGGGCAGCTTGGGGGGCGTGATTGCCCCCAGCGCCGCGGGCCCGGGGCGCTCGTGCGAGTGCTCGGTCCGGGACCAGCTGTGGGAGCGATTGACGCAGCGAGGACGCGAGAAAGCGCCGCCAGGGGCTGAGCCTGGCACACGTGCAGGTGCGCGGTTGTGGCCCCGCAGCGCCCCCGTTTTCCCCGAAACGGCGCGCGACCGGCATCGAGGTACAACGTTCTCGCCTTAGGGAGGTGTGTTATTGAGGCGCCTGGCAGCATCGCGCGACGCGGGCCCGAGAAACAGCGCAGGTGGCATCTGCGCGGTCCACACGTGCCATGGTGGCGTGCGAGAGCGCTGCGAGCTCCGTGACGTCGTCTTCGTGCTTTTCGCGAGGCCCGGACGCGCACGTAGTGGCTTTTTGGGTCCGTGTTGCTGCGGGCGGGGCCTGCAACGACAGCACAGCAGCTGACGCCGGTTCCCCGGGCGCGCACGCGGGCGTTTCGCGGACAAGGCGCACCGTAGCTGCGAAACCTACCGCTATGAGTGTGGCCGGGCGCGAAAATTGCAGCGCGGCGACCCCGGGGTGCACCAAATGCGCTGTTGCCCCCCTCCGTGGGCTCAGGAACGCTCGCTTGGACGAGCTACAGAAGGAACGGCGACGCTCCGACCACCCAACCTCGCGCAATTCCCAGCACCTCACGCCTTCGCGGCGCCCGTGCTCGCCAACACCCCGCAGGCACCTCTCCAAGGCCCGCAAGGGAGTCCATCCCACGGCAGTCGAGGATTCCCGACTTCCGTTCGCTCCCTCCACCCACAACGCCGCCTAGCACACACCCGCCTCCCGCGCCTCGCCCCCGGCGACCCCTCCTCGGCCGAACCGCAGGCGCGGCCTCGGACCCGCGATGGGCTGCACCAACAGCAAGGGCGCCGGCCCGGACGCGAAATCACGGGACAAGAGTGGGAAACAGTCCGATCATGCACAGCGCGTGACCGTGCAGGACCCGCCTAAGCCCGCCCTGAAGAAGGACGGCGAGGACGCCGGCGCGGTCCCCGACGCATACAAGGCGCGCGCGCCCCCCCCCGCACGCAACCAGGACCTTGCGCGCCACCGCCACTCAGGGATCCACGACTGCCGCGCCCCCGCGTCGCTCGACTCCGCGCGCAGCCCAGCACCCGCCGACCGCGTCCGACTCCGCTGCGCCGCATCCGCAGGGCGGGAACGAAGGCGGCATCCTGCAAGAGGTGCAGGGTCTCGATGTGCAAGCAGGCGGGCAGGGGCTGAAGCTGTTCCAGGCCGCGGAGGTCTTTCGGAACCGCGGGAAGCTGCAGCAGGCGATCAACCGGTACCGCGAGGCGGCGAGGGAGTTCGAGGAGGAGTTCGGCGCCGGGTCGCTGCTGGAGGCGCACGTGATGCTCAACATGGGGTTTGCGCACATGGGGCTGGTGCAGTACGAGGACGCGCTGACGGCGTTCACGCAGGCGCGCGAGCTGTACGCGAACAACAAGGGCGCGCAGGACAAGTGCGTTCGCCCCCGGCGCGGGCTCTGCCCCCACGGTGCTCGTGTCGTTGTTGCGCAGGCCCGCTGTGCGGGTGGTTTGGCGTTCTGACGGCGCGGTGGTGTGCGGTGCGTGCAGGATTGTGGCGCAGGCGATGACGAACCGCGCGATGGCGCTGGTGGAGCTGTCGAGGTACAAGGAGGCGGTGACGGAGTTGACGCAGGCGCTGGAGATCTGGGAGGCGCAGGGGACGCGGCAGTCGCAGCCGCAGTGGGTGATCGCGACGCTGACGAACCTGGGGAACGCGTACATGCACCAGGGGAACTACGCGGCGGCGCTCGAGCAGCACCAGGACGCGCTGGCGCTGACGCAGGCCACGCACGGGAACGAGGGGCTGCAGTGCGCGACGCACAACAACAACATCGCCGTCGTGCTCAAGAAGATGGGCCGCCACGACGAAGCACTCACAGTACGCACCAGCGCCAACACCCCCCCCGTAAGCAGTTTTCTTTTTGTACCGCCCAGACGGTCCGCGAACCCCCCCGCCCCGCCGCCCCGTGTCCCGCAGACGTTCCAGCAGGCGTACCAGCTCCTCGTCACGCACGTCGGCCCGCAGCGCCCCGCGTGCAACGTCGTCCTGACGAACATTTGTTCCGTCAAACTCGCGCTCGGTGACTTCGAAGAAGCCGAGGAGCTCGCGCGGCGCACGCTCGGCGTCTCCGAGCAGCTCTACGGCGGCGCGCACCCGGACGTCGCGACCGACCTCTACAACCTCGGCCGCGCGCTGTCAGGCCAGGGCAAGTATAACGCAGCAGCACATGCGCTGACTCAGTGCCTGACCATCCGCGAGCGCGTGCACAAGCCCGGGCACCCCGAGCACGCGCGCGCGCTGCGCGAGCTCGGGACGGTCAAGGTGTCGCTCGGGCAGAGGGCGGAGGGGGAGGAAATGCAGCGACAAGCCTTTGAGGCTCTGAAGGCGGCCTTGGGAGCCGACGTGGCCGAGGTGAAGGAGGCGGGGGAGAACATCGGGGCCGCGGGAGCCGCGCCGCCGAACGAGGCGGACGTGCCGGCCGGCGAGATGTAGCGGCGGCGGCCGTGTTACTCTGCGGATACAGTGGGCGGTGACTGGTGATTGGTTGCCGTTGAATGGTTGCTGTGCTGCGTGGGCGTGCGGGCGCGGCCGGGGTGCGGCGCGTGGGTGCTTCAGGCCGCGCGGGCGGCAACGCGTGCGCGAACACGCCGCCTGCCATCGCTGCCGATGACGTCGTGAACGTCCGAGGTCACGAACGTCGACGTCGTCGTCCGGTCGTACCGCGAGAGCGCCGCGCGCGAGCTCGGCGACTGTGCGGCGCACCGCCACGAGGACCTTCCGCGCTTCGGTGGCGCGCGCGTGCAGCGCTAGTAGTGTCACTCACAGTGAGTGCTGTCGGGCATGAGAACGTGCGTCGATTCCGGGGCGCCCGGGGACGGATCTTCGCGTCTGTTTTGATGCGGACGTAGAAGAGAGCATGAATGTTCCGCGTGGCGTGTATCGCGGGGCAAGGTCTTGCGAACATCGCGAAAACTCGGATTCAAGGATCGAGGGATTGTCCAGTCAGCGAGCAGCTGTGCTCAGCGCCGCGGGGTGTCTGGGCGCGGTGCCGGCTCCATTAGCGCCGCTCGCGGCCCCCACACGCGCAGACCTGCGACCAGAGCGCTCAGACCCCGGTTCGCGGTCACAACGACGCTCTCTCCGGCCGCGGTCGCGCCCCGCTCGCGTCCGCACCCCGCAAGCCTGGTCAGCGGCGCGCAGAGCCGCCCCGCCGCGCCGCCGCCCGCGGGCCGCGCCCGCTCGCAGGCACTCACTCCCCCCTCCAGCCCCCCGCGAGTCCCGCGCCTCCCCCGGCCCGCTGGGCCGCTGTCGCCACGACGACGCCCTTCGCACCGCCACCGGATCCGTTGATCATGCCGGCCCCGTCCGATGACAACGAGCCGCTCCGGTCGCCGATTCGGCGTTCCGGGCTCATGAGGGTGCGTCCCCGCGCGCACCGCGGCCCCAGCGGCGCGCAGCCGCGCGCCACCCGCCCCCCCTGCCCTGCCCTCGCCAGCTCCTGTCTGTAACCACCATGCGCGAATCGGCCGCACGAACCCGCGTTGCCCGCAAGCCACCCGCGCTCCGCAGGTCGTGCAGTCGTGCCACCAGCTGTACGACGACTCGGACCCTCTCCCGGCCTTCCAGCTGGGCACGACGCCCCTTGTGCCATCGCTGGTCGAGTCCGCCCACCCCCCGACGATTCCCGAGGAGAAGCTGCCCGGTACGCCCCCGCACAGCGGCCTCCACGCGTTGTCCTCCCCCCCGGACGCTCGATCACGCCATCGCACGCCCCGCCCCGCGGCCGCTGACCGCCCCCACCTCCCGCACCCGCAGTCGCTGCCGCGCCGGTGCCGCCGCCTCCGACCGCGCCCGAGTGGGAGGACCCGGCGGTGTACGGCAGGAACAAGCTCGCGCCGCGGATCCCGCTGCACGGGTTCATCACGGAGGCCGAGGCCATAGCCTATTACCGCCCGCTGCCAAACGGACACCTCCCGAAGCGCGTGGAAGTCGATCACGGGTCGCGCGTGCACCTCCCAGGGCCGTACAAGTTCCGCCTCGAACCCACGCCCGCCCACGTGAACCCCTCGTTCTCCCAGAAGCGCTTCGACGACTCGGATTGGGGCGACATCGACGTAAGTCAAACAACAGAGGTTGCTCTGCGCTTCGACGTCCTAGATTCGCCCCGCGGCCCCGCTCCGTCGGTCTCCTGCGCCTCCGCGGCCGCACCGGTGCGCGCACCTCGCAGCCAGAACCCCCGACGCGCCCACAGCGCTGCCGCGCCCCTCCTGTCTTGCAGGTGCCGGGCCACATCGAGCTGCAAGGGTTCGGGAGCAAACCGATCTACACCAACTTCCAGTATCCTATTCCGATGACCCCGCCGTCGGTCCCGCGCGAGGACAACCCGACGGGTCTGTACCGGCACTGGTTTGAGCTCCCGGACGGGTGGGAGCCGCGCGCGGGCGCGAACGGCTGCGGCGGCGACCGCATCCAGCTCTGCATCGGCGCAGCGGGGTCCGCGATCTACGTCTGGGTCAACGGCGAGGCCGTCGGGTACAGCCAGGACTCCAACCTCCCCGCGGAGTTTGACATCACGACCAAGGTCAAGCCCGGGCGGAACCTGCTGGCCATCCAGTGCCTGCGGTGGTCGGACGGCACGTTCCTCGAAGACCAGGACATGTGGTGGCTGTCCGGCATCCACCGCGAGGTGTCGCTCCTGCGCCTCCCGCCCAACCACATCCGCGACTACAAAATCACCACGCCGCTCAAGTTCAAGCCGGACCCCACGGTACGCCCCCCCCCCGCGGCCCGACACACAGAAACGCCCCCGCCCACGCGCGTGCGCCGCCAACCCGCCTCGCGCCCTTACCCCCCCCCCTGCTCGCAGCAGCCGCAAGGCAGTGTGCCGGAGAAGGAGGGTGTTCCGCAGAAGCTCGTCGGCGCGGAGCTCCACGTGGACGTGGACATCTCCGCGGTGCCCGGCGTCGACCTGTCGCGGTACCGCGTGCACGCGACGGTGCACTCGACGGAGGGCGCCCCGCTGGTGTCGGCTCCCCAGACGCAGCTCGACGACACGATCTGGTCCGCCGGGCAGGCGACGGGGCAGGAGGGCCCGGACCGCGCCAAGGGCGGGCGCGCGCGCGTGCGCCTCGACGCGCTCGCGGCGTTCCACGACGCCGGGCAGGAGCTCAAGCTGTGGTCGGCCGAGGAGCCCAACCTCTACACGCTCGTCATCCGCCTGATCGACGCGAACGGCACGATCGTGCACGTGGAGTCGTGCCAGCTCGGGTTCCGGTGGACGGAAGTCCGGGACCACGCGCTGTGGCACAACGGCCGCCCGGTGCTGATTTACGGCGTCAACCGGCACGAGTTCGACCAGTACACGGGGCGGTACGTCACGGAGGAGTCCATGGTGGAGGACATCATGATCATGAAGCGGTACAACATCAACGCGGTGCGGTGCTCGCACTACCCCAACCACGAGCGCTGGTACGAGCTGTGCAGCCACTACGGGCTCTACGTGTGCGACGAGAACAACTTCGAGACGCACGGGTTCGACCCGCTCCTCACGGACAACGAGCGCAGCCCTGCGTGCGCCCCGATGTGGATGGCGCCCATCATGGACCGCTGCATGCGCATGCTCGAGCGCGACAAGAACTTTCCGAGCATCATCATCTGGTCGCTCGGCAACGAGTGCGGCTACGGCATCGCGCACATGGCCATGTACGGCTACGTCAAGTGCCGGGACCCCTCCCGGCCGATACAGTACGAGGGGGGGGGGTCTCGCCCGCCGGCGACTGACATCATCTGCCCGATGTACACGTCCGTGCCGCAGACGCGCCGCCTCGCGGAGTGGCCGGGCGAGCACCGCCCCGTCATCCTGTGCGAGTACGCGCACTCCATGGGCAACAGCACGGGCAATCTGAAGGAGTACTGGAAGCTCTTTGAGCGGCTCCCGGGGGCGCAGGGCGGGTTCATCTGGGACTGGGTCGACCAGGGCCTGATCAAGGAGGCCGGGGAGGAGAACGGGATCACGTTCCCGGACCACTGGGCGTACGGGGGGGACTTTGGGGAGGTGCTGCACGACGCACAGTTCTGCATCAACGGCCTGCTGTTCCCGGACCGGCGGCCGCACCCGGCGATGGAGGACGTCCGCACGGTGTACGCGCCGCTCGCGATCGCCTGCGAGATCCCGGAGCTCGCGGGGCGCTGCGCGGTGACGGTCCCCGCGCGCCTGCGCATCCTGAACAAGAACTTCTTCATCGACACGCACGCCAAGTACCACTTCTACGTCCAGGTCCTCGTCAACGGCGCGCCGCAGCCCGCGGGCAAGGGCGGCGCCGGGCGCGTCGAGCTGCTCGGGCTGCCGGTGCTGGCGCCGCGCGAGTGGATTGATGTTCCGCTGCCGGACGAGATCGCGCGCGAGATCCAGGACATCAAGGACAACGGCGTCGCGATGGGCGCCGGCGGCGAGGAGGTCTTCCTGAACTTCTGGTGCGAGACGGCCGTCGGGTACACGTGGGCCGAGCCCGGGCACTGCATCATCGCGTCTCAGTTCGCGCTGGGCGTCGCGAAGCCCCCGCGCGACGCGACGCCGCCGAGTCTCCCGGCGTCGATCCCCGGGGACCCCGCGGGCGTCGAGGTGTTCGAGGAGGCGGGCGTGATCACCGCCAAGGCCACCCGGGGGGGGTGTCCGGTTTCTATTTCGGTCAGCCGCGTGCACGGCGGGCTGTGCTCGATGGTCAGCGGCGGGACGGAGCTCCTCAGGCGGCCGATGCTGCTCTGCATGTACCGCGCGCCCACGGACAACGACCGCGGCGGCAGCGCTGGCAAATCTTACGCGTGGCGCTGGGAGGCCTGCGGCCTGCACGACCTGGTCCCGAACGGCCCGGCGCGGCTGGACATCGTGGAGTGCACGGACGAGGGCGCGCACATCCGCGCCACCGTCGACCTCGGCCCGGGCCCCGCCCGTGGGGCCTGCTTGGGTGGCGCAGAGCACGGGACGGGCGCGGACGAGCCCGTCGGCGCCGACACCGAGGTCGGCGGCGCGCACTACTACGCGGAGCAGGGCGAGGATCCCGGGTGCGACCCGCGGCCGCTCGGCGACGAGGTGGTGGACTGGCTCGGCCCGCTCAACACGTGGGACGGGCAGCCGCCGCCGCCGCCGTCGCTGCCGTACGTGCCGCCCGCGCGGCACGGCCGCGTGGACGGGACGGACAAGCCGCCCGTGCGCGACACGCACCTGGCGCACAACACGATGGTCCGCATGGTCGTCGACTACAAGCTTGGCATCGACGGCACGCTGCACGTGAACGCGTGGGTGGACGCGAGCCGCGCGCTGCCGTCCCCCGAGGAGCTCCCGGGGTACCTGTGGCAGAGCCTCGCGCGCGTCGGCGTCACGATGGCGCTCGAGCCGATCATGGACCACGTGGAGTGGCTCGGGCGCGGACCGTTCGAAAATTACCCCGACAGGCGCGAGGGCGCGCTCGTCGCGCAGCACCGGGTGCCGCTCGCGGACATGCACACGCCGTACATCGTGCCGGGCGAGTGCGGCGGCCGCACGGACGTCCGCTGGCTGGAGCTGCAGGGGCCCGGCGAGGACCCCCAGAGCCGCCCCGCGGTCCGGTTCGAGGCAACCAAGGCGCCGCGAGGGCCCCCGGGCGCGCCGGAGGGCCCCCCGATGTTCGCGCTCGCCTCCGTCAGCCCCTTCGGCATCCTGGTGCGTCCTACCACCCTCACGCATGGCATCCGCTTGCGTCAGACACCGTGTGCCACCGCGCCCCCGTGCGGCTCCGTGACCCGCTTCTCTCGCGTGCGCTCCGTGCAGGCGCTGTCTACGGCGAAGCACGAGCACGAGCTGTACCACACCGACTGCCTGCACGTGCACCTGGATGCGGCGCACATGGGCGTGGGCGGCGACAACTCGTGGACGCCGACGACGCACCCCGCGTACCTCGTCCCGCCGGGCGTGTACGAGATCGGATTCAAGGCGATGCTCCGGGGCTTCGCGTGAGCGGCCCCGCGGCTGTCGCTCCCTGCAGCCTTGCTTGCACTGTTTCGACGCAAAACCACCCCCACGCCCCCGATTTCACCTCTCGTTTCCTCCCGATTCGCAACTCGAACGAGACTCCATCCGCGAAACGCCAGAACCAGAATCTCCGAGGCGAGCGGCCGCCGCAACAACGCAGCGCGGTGTGTTCCCACGCGGTGCGTCACCACGCGCCGCCGCCCGGCGCCAACCCGGCCCCGCGAGGCCCTCGCGACACGCGAGCCTGCCGGCCGGCTCCAGGACCTGGTCCCGGCACCGCCCAGTGCCCCGCTACCATCTCCTCCGACTAGTGCTCATCCGACGACTCGTGTGCGGTGCGGCGGGGGGCCTCCGCCGCCGTGCTGCGCGCACCCGCACGACGTCGCGGGTGCTCGCCCGGAGACCGCTGTGACCGAACGCCCGTCTACAGAATCAAGGTTCAACCACAGAAGTAGCTGTGTTGGTGGGTCTCATGGTCGCCAGCTCGCCTGCCCCGCATAGCGCGCGGCCGGCCGGCGGGCGTCGGCGCGAGGGTCGCTCCGAGGCGGAGACCGAGCGGCCGAGGCCGGCCCATGGCTTCGCGGCCCGGAACCGTCCGCGAGCGAGCGAGCGGGCTCGGTCAACGTGCGGCCCATCACACCTCGGGCACGTCCGGTCGGTGGAGGTGACGTTCGTCGCGAAACACCGCCGCCGTGCCTTCTTGGAATACACGGCCGTCGAGGCGCCGCGCAGGATGGATCGAACCGGCCCGTCTGACTCGAATACGGCGGAGCAGCATTGAGGGTGGGGTATAATGAACCCGGCGGCGTCCGTCTGGGAGCGCGGTTCGAGGCTTTTGCGGGCCCGCGGGGCGGGGCAGTTGACGGCGAAGCCATGAGGAACACGGCGAGATTAGTTGCGCGCACCGGCGCGCTCGCAGCGTCCCTGGAGGGCGTCGGCGGAGGGTGGCAGCGATTAGCGGCCTGTCCGTCGGCGGCGTCGTGCCTCGCGAGCGACGCCAGGGCCGCGAGCTCGGTAGTTGGGCGTCCGAGCGACGTTCCCGGCGGGCTGAGGGACGTCCCCGGGTCGCCGAAGCGGAGCACAGCGACGTGGGTGGTGCGCGAGGCCACCCCGGCGCGCCGCGCGGCGTGCGAGGCGCTGGTCCCGAAGACGCCCCCGGCCGGCTGGCGGTCGGCCCACGCGGCCGTGGACGCCGCAGATCCGGCGGCAAAGAACGGCGTCGAACCGGAGGAGGAGCCGAAGGTGCGTGTGCCGCGTAGCAACGGCAACGGCGCCGGGCGGGCACCTGCGGCCCGAAGCGGTGCCGCGCTGGTCCGTCCGCGTGGTTCGGTGTACCGGGGGCAGGGTCGCGCGATCGATTGCGCGGCGGGGGCGCGAACCCGCGCGCTGAGCCCCGTTGCGCTGCAGGTCATATTTGAGGCGTCCTGGCGGAAGATAGAAGCCGAGCTCGGGCCCGAGGTGCGGGAATTCGCCGCGAAATATCCCCCGAGGCCGCCCGTGCGGCGCCCCCGCGCGCATTCGGCCCCGACGCCGCTGGAGCCGGAAAGCGTGCGTGAGTCCTCGGTGTGCCGAGGGCGCGGCCTGCGCGGGGCGCGGCGCTGCTCCGTCGCCGCGGCACCGTCGTGCACATTTCAAATTCGCCGCCCTCGCGCCCCACGCCGACCTGCACGCGCGCCCGCGGCGCTCAGCTGCGCTGCATGCCCCTCTGAGGGGCACGCCGTGCCCCTCCTCCCGCGCTCGCGGGCCGGCCATTCCGCCCCGTCCGCCGCGGGCCCCGCAACGTCCGCGCCCACGGCCCGGTCCCCGCAGAACATGATACCTCCGCGCGAGATCGTGTGGCTCAACGGAGCGCCTGGCGCGGGCAAGGGGGCGAACACGCCCTTTCTGATGAAGACGCGCGGGCTGTCCCGCGCCGCGGCGGTCTCCTCGCTCCTCGACAACGACACGGAGGTGAAGCGACTCAAGGACGAGGGCGCGCTCATCCCTGACTCGCGCGTCATGGACGTTCTTCTCCAGTGGATATTTGACCCCGATTTCTCGGATGGAACCGGCATCCTCATCGACGGCTTCCCCCGCACGGGCCTCCAGGTACCTCTCGCCACCGGTTCCGCGCGGCCGCGCGTCACGCCACGCCGCCCCGGCCCCGCATTCGCCCCTCGGCCGCCCCGCTCAAGTACACTCACGCCCGCCCCGGCTCCGCGCGCCGCCCAACTCGCAGGCCGACATGCTCAAGCTGCTCTACGACTCCATGACGGACCAGCACCACCGGTACCGCGGCACGCCGCTCGCGAGCAAGTTCCCGCGGCCGTCGTTCAAGATCGTCGTGCTCTACGTCGACGAAGACACCTCCATCAAGCGGCAGCAGCAGCGCGCGCAGAAGGCCGGCATCAAGAACAAGCGCACGCTCGACGCCGGCCTCGGCGAGCTGAGCGAGGTCCGCGCGACCGACCTCGACGAGCAGCGGTGCCGCAAACGCTACACCACCTTCAAGGAGCACTACGGCGCGATGCTGCGGCTGATGCAGTTCTTCCCGTTCGCGCTGATCGACGCGATGGGCACCGTCCAGGACTGCGAGGCCCAGATCGCCCGCGAGCTGCGGTACCAGTCGGACCTTGACCTGTGCGAGGAGACGTATCTGGCGATCCAGCACCTGCCGCTCGCGAAGGAGGTGGTGACGCGGTCGCGGCAGCAGCTCGTGGCGCGGCTGGACACGTACGCGACGTGCGAGCGCGAGACGTTCTCGCGCGTGATTTCGCACCTGGACGGGCACGTGATCCCCGGGGTAGTCAAGTCGAGCCTGTCGGGGTTCTACGAGCACCGCACGTCGGACCCGCTCTTCCTCGAGCACCCGCAGGCGATCGACATGCTCATCGACATCCTCTCGGACCGCGGGTTCCAGTGCTCGCACACCACGGACATGCGGCTGGTGCCCACGCGCTTTGACATGCGCACGGGCGAGGTGCACAGCGTCGAGCACGCGACGCACCGCTTCCGCATCCAGTTCCCGACGGAGAACGTCCGCGAGCTCGCGCAGGCGCGCAACGCCGACCAGCGCAAGTCGCGCGCCAGCGCCGCGCAGAAGCTGCACATCAACAAGGTCCTCGAGTCGAACAAGGCGGGCGTGATCCCGCCGCGGCTGAGCAGCGAGCTGGAGCACATGATGGACGTGATCCGGCACCCGTCGCACGACCAGGAGGAGGAGGACAAGCGGAAGAAGGAGGCCGAGGATCGGCTGTGGGAAGAGCAGTTGGGCTACGGAGACTGAGGACGCGCCGGGAAGCATGTCTGGCGGGCCGCGGGCGCGAGGAGTGGTCTGCTCTGTCGGTGCTCGGGACCGGCGGGGGCGACCGGCGAGGGGGGCTGCGTGCGGAGCTGCGCGTGTGTGCATCTAGATGCACACACCAGATCTGGTGGGCGCCGACTTTTTGTTGTTGCGCAGCGAGGTGCGGGGCCGTGTGCGGTGACGACTGGCTTCGAGCGCGTCCGGCGGCGGGCCGGGCGGGTGTGGTGGCGTGCGCGGCGAGGGACGGTCTGCGTGGTGTGCTGGGGGGGGTGTCCCCCGTGCGCGGGGCGAGTGCTGACACTGTGACTGAGACTCATGAGCGGGGGTCGCGGTGCTGCTCCCGGCATGCTTGCACGGCTCAGCGGCAGGACTGGCAAGGGCGCCCGGCGGCGGCGGTGCGTCGTCGGTTGCTCGCCTCCTTCGCAGCGCACAGCAGCGGGGGGCGCAAAGCTGCACTGGTGTTTGTCAGCTTGCGGTGGAACCTGGACAGAGAAGCGGCGTCGGACACAGGTGTCTCTGCAGGTCACAGGGGCATCAGGGCCTCCTCTGCATCAGGGCCTCCTCTGGGAGAGATGTGCGCCAGTCCGGACGCGCTGCTGTGTTGACGCAACGGCGGCGCCGTTTCCGGCGCTTGTCGCCCGTTTCGTGAGTTCCTGATTCACGATTATCATGACGATTATGATTCTTATATCATTATATCATTATTATGTTATCATATAGACGAGGGAAGGGAGGGAGTGAGGGAGGGAACGTCCTTCACTTGCACGTGGTTCGCGAACTAGGTCTCTGCGACCCTCATGCTCACCCGTGCAAGTTCGGCAAAGCGGAGTACTCAGCTGCTCGGGCATTCGAACGGGAAAGCATCCGCAGCAGCACATTGAAAACAGAACGCCCGCTGGCGCTGCATGGCCTGTTGCGCGGCGGGGCGTTGGTGGCTGGAAGGTAGAGTCACGGCGTCTGCGGGGCGTAGCAGCGCGGCTCGCCGCCATGGTCTCGCTATCGCAGCAAATTGTGTGTGCGAAGGATCGACCAAGCGGCGTTGTGTCGTTGACGCCGATGTTGGGTTCCCGCAGAGGGAGCTGTACACGAAACAACGACAGCGCTTTCGGCGGCAGCGGCCGTCGGGCGGTGCGGGCGTATCTCGCGATGGTTTCGGTGCCCGCGAGGGCCAAGCGCTACGTAGAGCTGGTAGAAAAACGGAGTCAGACGCGTCGAGGGACGGGGACGGGGGCGTTGCGGGGAGCGCGGGACATCGCACAAAGCATGCATGAGCAGCGAGCTTGACAAGAGCGGCTCGGGTGGGTTTCGCAGGCCGGAAACGGCGGCGGCACATCAAGGTGGGTGTGGGGGTTGCGGCGAAGGACAGCTGCGGAAGCGGGGGCGCGCGCGGGTCCATCCTGGCTCGCGCAGGGCCGCGGAGCGGTCATTTCTCGTGTCCCGTCGGAGAAGGCGGTTGGTCGGCAATCGACGCCATGGCCGGCACGCACGACCTCCGCCGCGCGGTGACCCGCACCATGTCGAAGGTCCGCGGCGACGAAGCGCTGAGCTTCAGCGGCGCGACAGCCTCCCCCGCCGCCCCGGCGATGCCGACAGCCCTGGCGCCCGGCGCCACTCCACACGACACGTCAAGATACGTAGGGCCGCGGGCGGGCGCGGGGCCGACGGTGTAGCTCGTGTTGCAGCTGAGCGGCGCGACCTGGTTGGTGTCGGTGCTGTGGCGCTGCACCGTTGCGATGAAGCTTCCGCCCGAGAGGTACTTCGCGGCCACTCCCGCGGGGACCAACGGCTTGGATTCTGAGCGGCGTTCGCGGACGTGGGCCTCGGCGCCGTCCCGGAGTCCGCTGAGGACGTTCGCTACGCCGCTGGTGTCCGTGCAGCGCTCGTGGGACGCGCTGGGCGTGAAGCGCGGCAGCTCGCAGCAGCTCTGGGCGTGGATGCCCTTCCACGCGACGGCTGCGGGGGCGGGAGGGGGCGCTTGAGCGTGGAGGCGAATAGTTGTTGAAGACAAGACGCGTTGCGTGCGTCGAGGGCGCGTGGTTGTCGTCGACGGGCGCCCGCCGCAGTTCGCGACGTTGGGCGACCGAAGCATCAGCCCGCGAGAGCGTCGACACCGTGTTACGTGCAATATCCGCTCCGCGAGCGGCTTAGTTTGAGACTGAGTGGCGCAACAAGGGCTGCCAAGAGTAATTGCAGGCGCGGCACGTACCGGCTGGGACATCTGCTGGTGGGTTGCTCGGCCCATCGTCCCCGTGTACACGAGGTGTCCGAAAGCACGAGAACATGGTGGCTTGCCCGAGTAGATCTCACGGCTGCTTTCCGCTCCCTTGTGACCAGAACACCCGCTGTTTCGAGCCGCAACAGAGCACCACACTGCAGTGGCAGGTCCCTTCACGCTCTCCTCCTCCGCCGTGACGTTGTGAACGTGTTTGTTGTACACGAGGGAGAGAGAGAGAGCTCTTGTGCAACTGAGGCGGCGCACCGACGGGCGTGGGCCGTCCACGCGCCCCGCACGCCGCGTTTTCGACGCGGCTTGCCAGTAGCGGCGCTGGAGCCAGTAGCGACGCAGCCTCTCGCCCTCGTTGCTCGCACGCATAGGCGTTTGCGATGCGCTCTAATATCCACACGAACATATTCTCCCATGCTGACCACCCATGGATGACGCGTGCCGCGCCAGCCGGACCCCAACCGCCCGGACGAGACGCAGCGCTCACCTTGCGCGCTGATGGCCCCCGCCAGGCCGCGGCGACGAGCATTCGGCCGCTGGGGCTGACCACGTCGCTCACCAGCGCGCCCGTCCGCCGCCGTGACTCCAGCGCCGACGCCCGCCACCTCGAACGGCGCATCAACAAAGACAACTCAGGGGGCGCCCGCACGGGCGTCGCAGCTAGCCTATAGAGCCGCCACGCGGCGCAGAGCGGCGGCCTCGCCACGCGCAGCCGCGAGGGCGGGCGCGCGACGTCACGCCGCGCAAAGTCGCCCGCAGTGACCTGGGGCCCGTGCGACGGCGCGTGGGCGTCACAGCTCGTCGTCGAACGCCGCGAGACGCGCGCCGCCCTCCCGGGCCATCTGCGGCGCTAGGTGCGTCACGAAGAGCTTCCAGAAGTCCGTGCTCGTCTCCGGCATGTCGAAGAGCGTGCGTTGCTTCGCGTCGCGCGCCACGTGCAGCAACACGAGCCGCACGCGCGACAACCGCAGCGCGTCGTCCTCGCACAGCCGCAGGAGCCGGTTCGGCGTCCCGGCCGCCACCTGACACCGGTTCTCCTTCAGCCACGCCACCTGCTCCTCCGCTTTGAAGTGGCGCGCAAACAGCTTCGCCGGACGGCACTTCGGGGACAGCGGGCCGAGCACCTGCGCCGCGCGCACGGAGCCTGGGTGCGTTTCCGTCAGAACCGCGCCTCTGCTTGGTCGTGCGCACCTCCCGCGCACTGCCTGCTCTTGCGTTGTCAGCGCCGCAGCTGGTGGCTCTCGCGCCGCGCGAGCGGAGCGGAACGCACCTTCGCGGCCTGGTTCGCGGCCACGGCCGCGCTCGCAACCACGAGCACCGTCGGCGCCCCCTTCGGGCCCTTGTCTTCGCGTAACGCCGCCGCCCAGCCCCCCGCGTCTGCTGCCGCCTGCACCCGCTTGGCGAGCGCGGCGCCGGCGTCCGGGAGCCCCGCGAGCCGCGCGGCCGTGAACATGTCCTGCTCGATCACGTTGCCCTTGCCGCCGCGGTGCCGCGTGAAGCGCGCCCACAGCCACTCGGACAGCTCCGGGGGCGTCATTGCCGCGGGACGCTGCTCGAGGTCGGACCGGTAGTCCGCCGCGGCCATGCGCCGCTGCTGCTTCTTCTCCTTGAGCTTCGCCTTCTTCGCCGCGAGCTTCTCTTCGCGCGTCATACCTGACGACCCCCCCCCTGCCGCCGCGGGGGCTTCCCCGCCGTCGCCCGGCGCGTCCTCGTCGCGCAGCGCCGGGGGCGCGGCGAGCGCGAGGCCGTCGTCGAGGTCGTCTCCGCCCGAGCGGCCGCCCTTCTCGAACTGCCGCCGGGGGGCGGGGGAGGGTGCGTGGCGGGCGCTGCGCCCGGGGCGGTGAGACCCGCGCCCGGGCGCCCCTCTACGCCCCCCCGCAGGCCCACGGGTCTTCTGAACTCCGCCGCCGCGCGTCCCGAAGCCCCCGCGTCCCCTCCCGCGCCCGCGCCCGCCGCCCCGCCCGCCGCCGCCGCGCCCAGGGCCCCCGCGCCCGCGGATGCCGCGGCCCGGAGGGCCGGCCATTCGCGCCGGCGGGACGTGCGAAACGCCGAGGCTGTCCTGCGGCTAGGATGGGCTTCGGCGCGGGCAGCGCAGGGCAGTGGAGGCGCTAGCAAGCCGAGGAAGTTGTCGCGGAATGCACGCGCTGTGTGGCGGCGGTTGGACGTGACGTGTAAGTCGACGTGGAGCGAGAAGGAGTGGGAACGTGGTGTGCAGTTCGGCTGAGCGGCTGAGCTCCCTTGCTCGCCGCGAGGGCCCCCTGGAAGAAGACAGCCCGGGAGGGCTGCGAATGACGCCCCGTAGGCTCTCCTGCGCGGGCTTTTTGGGTCCCTGGGGCCGCGCGGCGTGCGAACAGGACGCACGGATCGCATCTTCAGGAAGAGAGGCACGTGATCGTGCACAGGAACGCCTCTTTCGCGCAGGCTTGAGCTCGCTGGGTGTTTTGCCACCGCCCTGAGGTCGTACAAGCCACTGACGCGCGGCCTTTGCAAGCACAGGTGTGGACCAGTCAAGCAGAGTACGCTGGCGTCGAGCCAGCACCGGCGTCGTGCACGGAACGGCGCTTGCGCGCAGGCGTTGCAGCCCTTGGAACTCATTCGGGGCCCCTCACGTCCAGTGTGGCGTGCATCGTCCCTGTGTTGCAGGCCGGCACCGACGCGAGACCATCTTCTCCACCGGGCTGCCGTCGGAGCACCGGCAGGGCGCTGCGGCGGCACGGAGACCGTGAGAGACTGCGGCAAGCACAGGGTTGCCACTCTCGGGCCGAGGATAGGTGGACTGCGCGATGTCTCGGCACATGACGGCGCACAGGCTCCTGAGCCGTGTCTTCGCGGCCAAGGACGAGCCATCCCGCGCGGCCAAGCTCGCGGTACGCGCGGCAATGGGTCCAGAAGGTACGTGCGGCGTCGCGCGGGCGCCGAGCGCCGCACGATCCGCGGTGCCTCACACGCTGAGCGATGAACCATTCTCGCCGCGTGGAGCTTGGAACAGGCCCACCAGGGCACGTGATTTGCGTTCCTAGCTATCGGATACCGCTTGCGGCCGGCCCCGGCACGTCCGAACCACGCAGCCGCGCCGGCCTCCTACGCGCAGGGCTGAAGCAGCCGCTGCTGCGCGACGGAACGATGACGCGGATACGCAACGAGTGCACCGTCACCGGCCGCAAGCGCTTCGTCATCACCCCGCTGCGCGTGTCGCGCATCGTGCTGCGCGAGAAGTGGCGCGACATGCCGAACGTCGAGAAGGCGACCTGGTAGTCCACGCTCCGTCGCTTCCCCCTACCCTGAGGTGTTACATTGTAAAGTAATTGCTGCCACGCTGCCACATCGGCCTAAGATCGGCTGCTCGCCCGCCCGGTGTCCTGCGACGTGCTCGACGGCCTGCCCCCGGACAGCCGGCGCCGCGGCGGCAGCATTCTCAGCGCGGGGTCAGGCCCCTTGACCTGCGGCACGTGGTGCACTGGCGCGCCCGTCGGGCGCGGGAGGACGGGCCGCCCCCGCGGCAGCAGCTCGGGGTCCGAGTCGCTGCCGCTGTCGCTGTCGGGCGGGCCCGCTTGCTGGTTCGCGCGCTCCAGCGCTTGCCTGCGCAGCGAAGCAGTGTGGGAGAGCTGGTGTGGGAAGGGGGGGGGTCTCGCGCGGGGGCGCAGGAGAGCGGCGGGACGAGTGGGCGGGGCGCAGCTTACGTCATGCCGGGGTAGCGGACCGCGCGCCAGGGCCTTGGCCGCAGGGGGGGGTCTATTGCGAGACGCAGGTTGTCCTCGCTGTCGGTGCATGAGTCAGTGTGCACCTCCGTCTCCACAGGGGTGTCCGGCTCCGGCTGGTTGATCTTGAAGTCCGCCTGCTGCTCCTTCCTGCACAGCGACGGCCCGCGCGGCGCCGCTCACGTCGCACTGCACCGCTCTGCACGTGGCACGTGCAGCCACACAAAGCGAGCAAGACCGCACCTGACCAGCTGGCGCTCCCGCCGCCGGAGCAGCAGATCCTGGACACGTGCCTCCAGGTCGTCCTCGACGCTCATCTTGCGCCGTGCCCTGCCGCTGCGCCGTCGCTGGCGCTTCCCACCGGCGGCCTCGTCGCCGCTCGACGCCGCTGGATCCGCATCCTCGAAGTCCGACTCGAGGTGCGACGTCGCTGCCGCAGCCTCTGCCGCCCCTGCGCCAGCCGGCGCGCGACCGTGCGCCGCTTCCGTCCCCGCAGCCTTCGCAGCGGCTCTCCGGCGCTCGATTTCGCGCACAGTGAGGGCGTAGGGGCGGCCGCGACGCAGCCCGTCCGAGAGCACGGAGTTCTCGAGCTGCAGGTCGTCGATTCGCGCAAGTGACGCCGCGAGGCGCTCCTTCAACTTGTCGTTGTCCTCCAGCGACAACTCTCTCTGGCGGTGCAGGCCCACAGCCTGCTCAACGACAGCCTCCGCCTCCTCCTTGGCCCTGCGTGGTGGGGGATGACGCCGATCTCGACTTTGGGGCCAAGCGGGGCGTGTTGGGGCAGTGGCAGTTGGCGCGGGTGCAGCATGCAGCTTCGGGGGTCAGGGCGCAGCGCACCGTTCCGCGAGGCGCAGCTTGAGCTTGAGAGTGTGCACTTCCTCGCGGAGCTGCGCCTCGGACTCGGCGATCTCCTTCGCTGCGGTGTCCGACCTGCGGTGACAAGGGAGAGGGCGTCGGCGCGTGTGCGTCGCGCTCGCCGGCGCAGCTAGACCGGAACCGGGCGCAGCTAGCTCAGTGGAGCCACTGCCGCCGCGTCGCGCACCGTTCTGCGGCCCGCAGCTTCAGCTGCAGTGCATGCGCTTCCTCCTGGGCGGCGGACGCTGCATCGGCGCGCTCCCTCGCCGCCGCCTCGAGCTCCTGCTGTCGCTCCTTCGCCTTGACCAGGTCACCCTGCAGGGCGCGGATCTCCTCCTGCGACGCCGACGCACCACGGCTGCGGACTGAGACGCGCACGCAGCAACACGCACACGTTCGTCGCGACGCCGGCGGCGGCACGAGGATGAAAATCGCAACGAAGCCTTTTTCAAAGGCCTGGAAACTGCGGGACGGAGCGTGTCGGGCAGCAGCTTGCCTCCTTCGTCTTCAGGACCACCTCCAAGCGCGCCGTGCTGGCACGCGTGCCCTCGAGTTTCAGCGCCGCCTGCTCGTGCAGCTTCGCGGTCTGCGCCGCCGCTCGCTTCGTAGCAGCGAGCTCCTCTTCCACTGCGCGCGCCGTCGCCAGCTGCGCCGTCAGAATCACGTTGGTCGCCTTTGCCTCCTGCAGCTCCGCATCCAAGGCGCTCATCGCCTTCGCGGCCGCATCGGCCTCGCGCTCCATGGCCTTCGCGGCCGCATCGGCCTCGCGCTTCATCGCCGCAGCTGCGGCCTCCGCGCCGCGCCGCTGCTCCTCCGCCGCACTGCGGGTGGCCTTGAGCGTCCCCTCCAGCTCCTTGCGCGCCCCCTCCAGCGACGCGACCTGCGCCAGCATCGCCTCGCAGCGCGTCTCCGCCTCCCTCGCACGCTGCGTCGCCGCTGCAGCACACGCAAACGAACGCAACGTCGGCCTTCGGAGCGGCTCGCTGCTGCATGGCATACACAAACGCAGCGCGGGCTGGCGTCGGCTCACCGGGGAGGAGCTGGCTTTCGGCCTGCGAGGTCGCTTCGAGCCGCGCGATGGTGTTTTGCGCCGCCTCGAGGCGTTGCGCGATCCTGGCGCGGTCCTTGTGCACCGAGATGAGCTTCGCGCGCAGGATCTTCATCTCCTCGTTCACGGACCCGCTCTCGAGGCGCGCCTTCTTCGCCTCGCTCTCCGCGGCGTCCACGCGGTCCGCCAGCTGCGCGTTCGTCTCCCGCGCCCGCACCAGCGCGTCGTGCTCCTCCGCCACGCGCGCCCGCAGCATCTCCATCTCGTCCCTGCACATCAATCACGTACACACATCATCGAGGCCGCAACGCGGGGATTCGGAAGGCGCGCGGTGCCCCGCGGCGCTCAGCAGCGCGCAGCTGTCACCGACGGAAGTTGAGCTGCTCCGCCCCGCCTTGCGGGCCACGAAGGGCTCACTGCCCGGGTTTGCGCGCCTGAGACAGCTGCTCTCGTCCTGAACGCGCTGCACCTCGGACGCGAGCACCAGGTTGGCCTCCTGTAGCTCCTGGGCGCGCTGCTGGGACCCGCCGTGGAGCTGCCGCTCGTACTTGAGCTCCAGGGCGCGCCTGCGGTCCAAACGTGCGTTACACATCGCCACAAGTGAGGGGATTCGGCCGCGGGGCCGGAACCGGGCGGGTGCGACGTGGGCGACGCGCGACGCGGCCGGAGCCTGCGTTGTTGCACGCACGGGGGGCTTGTGCGCGTTCGCGGCGGGGCGCGCGCGCCTTGGGACGTTGCCGAGCAGGTAGTCCTTGGACTCCCTGAGCGTGCATTTCTTCGTCTTGTTCGTGGAAGCGGCCGTGCGCTGCTGGAACCGCGGGCCCGGCTCTGGCTCGGGCGCTGGCGGAGGGCCCGTCGTGGGCACTACGACCACGGGACCCCCCATCCTCGACATCCGTCAGTACGCGCGAGCTCGCGTCGTCTCCTCCAGCGCTAGACGCAACTCCACACGCCGCGCCGCATGCAGCGCGAGCGCTGCTTGAGCTTGCTACTCGATCAGCGGGGCGTCGTCGCGGCGCAGCCGGGGCACAGAACCCAAGCAGTCGCCGGCTGGTGTGACGAGTAGCATGCGCGACGCAAGCGTCGCCCGAAGGCGGCGCCGTTGGGAAGTTCAGGGGGCCAGGCGAGGCCTCTGGCGCGCACGTGAGACCACCCCACGTACAGGCTGCGCGCTGCCGCGGCATCGAAACGGGCGTGCGAGCGCAGCGCAGACCGACGCCCCGCGCCCGCGCGCGTCGCGGCGCGCCCCGGCAGGGCGCGCCGCCCCCGGTGACTCGCAAGAGGTGAGAACTCTAGCTAGGCATATTCAGCGCCCGGGAATCTCCGTCACACGGCGCTTAGCTCGAGTACTTCTTCGAGATGGCGTCGCCGCAGCCCGTGAAGTTGGCCGGGAACGCGCAGACGCCGTCGGCCACGGCGCGCGAGCGCTCGAGGTTGCGGCTCGACGCGGCGAGGCGGGCCTTGTCGTTCTTGGCCTTGTTGGCCTCGCTCTTGGCCTTGAGGTCCTCGACGAGGTCGGCCTTCGCGGGGCCGGCCGTGGCCGCCACGACGGCGGCGGCGAGGCCCAGCGAGAGGAGCTCGCGGCGCGAGCCCGCCTGGGCGCGCACCACGGTGGACACGCGCGCGCGGGGGGCCTGGGCGCGGGCCTGCGGACAGACGACGGACGCGGAGCGTTGGGGATGGTGTGTGGTGTTGCGTGGAGGCTGGCGTGCGTGGTTGCGCGCGTGTGCGGGGCGGCAGCGGGCCGGAGGATGCTGGTTGGTTGCGCTCGAGGACGGGGCGGTTAGGGGGGGGCTGCGGGGAGCGGGGGCGGCGGAGGGGGGGGAGAGGGGGGCGGGGAGCGCGTGGTGGCGTGTGGGCGGGGCATCGGCGGGCGGGGGGCAGCTGGGGGCCGGATGCGGTGGGAGCACTCGAGCAGGTTTGGATGCCGACAATCGGCGCAATTGGAGGATGCGAGGGCGTGGCGAGCGCCAGGCCGCGAAGTTGGAGAGAGAGTCGTCAGCAGCATGCGGATACAGGGCGGAGGGACGCGGGTGCAGGGAGCGCATCGTCGCTCGGCGCTGCCGGTCGTGGCCCCGCGCGACGTGGTCGTAGCGGAGGCCGGTTCGAGCATTCAGGCGCTCAGCGGTATGGTGGGGACGACGTGGAATGCGGCATCATCGTTTCTGCGTGTGACGCGACCGCCGAGCGACGCATCGGCGCCGAGGCCGTATCTGCCCGCACCTGCACCGCCTTGCCGGCGAACGTGGTCTGAGAGATAGCCATCATCTTTTCCAATTCGCTCCGACTCTCCGAACGACGAACCGCGCCCCGCGCCGCCCCCATGACGCGCAGGGATGCGGGGGGCCTTTGGAGTACACGAGTTCTACTTTGCAGCCGAAGAGGGAGTACGATGCCTGCTCAGACGCGCGCCCCGCGCTCACAGCGCTCCCTCCATGCTCGCACAGCAACTCAGCCACATTACATCCCCGTAAGTGTGGAAAAACCACCGGCCCTGCCTAAGAACACTCTCCGGCGTCGCCCACGGCCGCGCGGCCCCGGGGACGGGCGCCTGGCCTCCCAGAGCCGAGTGAGAGAGACGAGGGACCCGTCGCGGGGGCGGGGCAGGCCCGGCGCGTCACCATGTCGCGCGTGGCCAAGCGGGTGCTTCTGACGTGTGGCGCGGGCGACCATGGGCGCCTCGCGCTGGGCCACGACCTCGCGGCGAAGGTCCTGACGTACGTCGGCGGCCCTCTCGACGGCGTCGAAGTCCAGCAGGTGATTCGCAACGCCCGCCTCGAGGCGCCCGGGCACGCCCGGGGCCGGTGGACCTCGCGTCCGCCCGAGCGGCCGCTAGCGCCGCGCACGCAGCCCGCAACGCAGCACATTCGCTGTCAATCGACGCTCACGTTCCATAGCTGCGAGCTTGGCTCCAACCAAGCCCCGAACGCCGCCCCCGCAGGTGTCGTGCGGTGCTGCGCACACAGTCGTTTTGGACACGGACGGGTTCGTGTATGCGGCCGGCAGCAACGACTGCGGCCAGCTCGGGCACTCCCCGCACCTCCCCTTCGTGCCCGCCGCGGAGGAAGTCCTCCTGCCCGAGCCCATAGACAAGGTAGCCGCGGGAGGATACCGAACGCTGTTTCTCGGCAAATCGGGCACCGTATACACCTGCGGCGCGTCCGCAAAGGGCGTGCTCGGCGCAGGAGGGCTCATGAAGGGCGCCGGGTCGCGCGAGCTGCTCGCGGAGCCGCAGCAGGTCCGCGGTCTCGACGGAATCGACGTGGCGGACGTCGCGTGCGGCAACGCGCACGCCGTGGCGCTGGCGCGCGACGGCACGGTGTACACGTGGGGCCGCGGCGGGGAAGGCCAGCTCGGGCGCGGCGCCGCGACGGCGAAGCGAAAGCGGGGCTTCTTGCGCAGCACTCGTGAGTCTTTCTCCGGCGGCGGGGACGACCCGGTGCTGCCGGTCGAGGCGCTCGCCGGCGAGGACGTGGCCGCGGTCGCGGCGGGCTGGGGCCACTCCGGGGCCGTGACGCGCAGCGGCGCGGCGTTTTTGTGGGGCCAGAACGCGCACGGACAGGCGGTGCCGGGCGCGCCGCAGGTTCCGGTCTTTTCTCCGACGAAGGTGGCGGAGCTGAACTCGACGGAGCAGCTGGCGATGGGCGCGCTGCATACAGTGGCGCTGCTGCGAGGCGGGCACGTGTGCGTGTGGGGGACGGGTATAAACGGGAGTTTGGGTACTGGGAAGTCTGGGCTGGCGTCAGCGGCGGCGGGGCGGGCCAAGGGGCCGACGGTGCTGCCGGAGCTGCCGAGCATGATGAGTGTGGCGTCGGGGTGGCGGCACAACGCGGCGGTGGCGCAGGGCGGGCAGGTGTGGGTGTGGGGGTGGAGTGGGTGGAGTGAGGCGTTTGACGGGTCAGGGCAGCTGAGTCAGGGGGAGGGGAAGGAGGAGGACTGCGAGTGGCCGATGCCCGTGGAGGGGAAGAGCGCGGCGGGGTTGCCGGAGGGGATGAAGTGGCGCGCGGTGGCCGTGTCGTGCGGCATGCAGCACACGGCGGTCGTGGCGGAGCTCTTCAGCGCGAAGTGACGCGCAGGGCGCGCGGCGGAAGCACTGCGCGACGTGCGGAGATCGGAGTCGTCGAGGGCGGATCTGCAGCCGCACGAGTGCCCCCGGCTGCACCTGACGCAGTGCCGCCTAGCAGCGTAGCGGGGCTGAAAGGGACGAAGCACTCCTCAGGACGAGGTCTCCGACACCGGAGCGAATGGTGCGATACACACGAGACTCGCGCAGCTCGTTGCCCTGGACGTTGCCAGCGAGAGCGGTGACTTGTGACTTACAAAACGTTCCGCCTGGCTAACGAACCGCTGCTGACATGAGGGCGTTCGAGACCGAAGCAGTGCCGGAGGTGACGCACGCAATAGGGATTCGCGAGGCGAACGACGTTTGTCATCAGCGCCAGATCCTCGATCTGACCACATCATAAGTTCTCGATGCGTCACATGTTGCACGTCGCAAGTCACTGTGTAACTTGCTCATTCTCTCTCTCTCTGTCTCTCTCTGATGTCTAGGTCCACGCGAAGACAGATTCGGCGCATACGCATAGCAAACAGCTGGTGCCGCAAGCAGTGCCAGCACAGCTCCAGCGCCCCCCTCGCTGTGCACGCCGTCCCCGTCCTTGCTGCCTGTGCAGCTCAGAGGTGGCGGAGGCGTCGGAGGGCCACGCGGGCAGTGCCAGTGTCGCGGTTGATCGAGCATGCCAAGGGCGTTGATGTCGCGGCGGTGTGTGGGAGGGGGGGGGGTGTTGACGGGGCGGGAGGGGTTGCATGAAAACACTCGGTGGAGCGACGCGGACGTGCCACGTCGCAGAACGCCGTCAGCGCGAACGATGCGCGGTGCGGAGGGCGACGTGGGATGTGTCACGAGGCATGGTGGGAGGTGTCGACTTGCGCGTGTATGTAGAGGCGCGAATGGCGCGCAGGTAGGTGTGCTGAGCCACCTGCCGCGCGCGCGGGTGCGAAGGCGAACTGTTCCTCGAGCGGTACGACGGGAAATCAAATTGCGAAACTGTCAGGGGGGAGTGTCAGGGGGGGTGTTATGTATATTTGTCGTCGCGATCGCGACGCCGTCCGGACGACCGCGCGCGCACTCGCGCCGCGCGTCGACTGCTCCACAGCGCTCGGCGCCAGCGTTGGCGGCGCCATCGTCGCGGGGCCCTCCACCCGACTGCGTTCGGGCTACAGCCGCCAGGGGCCTCACGCGACGGGCAGAGAGTGCATGTGCGGCGGGGAGTCCGACAGCGGCGTCGACGGCCGGTCCGGCACGTCGATGCGCGCGCCCCCACTGCCGTTGCTCTGCCGCGCGTCTCCCCTTTGCTGCTGTTGCTGCTGCTGCTGCGCCGCCGCCTGCGCGCCGTCCTGGTGCTGCGGCGCGCGCAGCGCCGTCCGCGCGTGGTCGACGTCCATCGCGCCGCTCCCCGGCGCCGCCACGTCCACCGACGCGCGCCGCATCTGCGCCTGCGACTGGAACGGCCGGAAGCCCTGCGTGGCCACGCTGTGCCGCTGGCCAGCAGACCACTGCGCGCCGCTCGGCGGGAGGCCCGGGTGCGAGTGCGCCACGACGCTCGGGTGCGGGCCCTGCATCTGCACCAGGTACAGGGGCTGCCCCGAGCCCTGCGCGGACGCCGCGGCGCGGAACGCGTCGTCCGCGGCGATCCCGAAGAACGACGCCATCTCCGGCGTGAGCGGCGTCGCGAGCGCGCCGCGCGCGAACGGCCCGTCGGACCTCCGCTGCGGGTCTTGGGGGGTGTGCGGGTGGATCGAGGGCGCCAGCTGCTGCGGCTGCGCGCCCGGGAGCTGCACGGCGGTCGCCTTCGACGACGGCGGCGCGCGCGCGAGCTCCGCGAGGATCGGCATGTTGGCGGCGGCCTCCGCGGCGATCAGCGCCTGGTCGCCCTGGTCGTGGCCGACGGAGACCGGGGAGACCGAAGTGGGGCCCGTCGGCGTGGAGCCGACGTCGGGGGTGACGTTCGTGTGCGCGCGCTTCGAGGTGCGCGGCTCGTCCTCGGCGCGGCGCATCGCGGTGTCGTCCGACGCGCCGAGCGCGGGCGAACCCGGCGGAGGCGTGCCGGCGGCGCCGGAGCGGCGCTTGCGCGACGCGCCGACGTACGGCGAGCCGCCCGGGCCGTCGAGGGACGGCCGCATCGACGGCGGCGGCTGCGTGTCGAGCGGCCGCGAGCGGTTGTGCGTCTTGAGGTAGATGCCGCACGCGTTGCACAGGGGCTGCCCTGTGTTGGGGTTCTTGCGCCACAGCGGAGTGTGCGTGGTGCCGCAGTTCGCGCACGGCCCGCCCGCGGGCCCGTCGCCCGCGCCGCGGCTGCCCCGGCGGCTCCCGCCGTCCACCGCGGGGCTTCCGGTCACGCCGGGGCGCAGCCGCGACGTCGGCACGCCGCTGCTCATCCTCCGCGCGTACACGCGCTCCCCCTGCGGCACCGCGGGGCTCCGCGGCGGCAGCGCCTCGCCCGCCGACGGCCGCCCACCCAGCGAGCGACGCCGGTAGTCTGAGCCCGAGCTCATCTGCACGTCGGGGCTGTGCGACCCCAGCGAGAAGTTCTTCAGCCCGGACAGCACCTCCGCGCCCCACTCGATGCCGAGGTCCGTCTCCGGGTGGTCGGCGCGCGCCTGGTCCATGTAGCTGTTGATCAGCTCGTCGCGGTGGGCGTCCGTGTGGGCGAGGGGCCGCTGGCGCGGCGGCTGCGGCGCGGGCGCGTCGCTCGCGAGGATCGGCGCGTTCGCGGCCGTGACCTGCGGCGACGGCCGCTGCCCCGCCGGCGACGGCGGCGCGGCAGCTGCGTGGCGCCGAGCGAGTTGCGGCGCGGCTGGCGACCGCGCGGGGCGCCCGCGCCGACGCCCGGCTGCGCCGCGGGCTTGTCCTCGCCGTCGTCGGAGAGCTCCCCAGGGTACGCCAGGTGGTTGATGCCAGCGCTCCGCTTGGCGCGCAGGCGCGACTTCAGCGGCTGCTGCGGCGACGTGGCGCCGTTGTCGTCCGCGTCCGCGCCGTCTGCACCGCACGGGCGATCGCAGGGGGCGCGTTCGGCGTCGGCCGAGCGCCGCGGCGTGCCACACAAAGGGCAAAGAGCAGAGCAGGGCAGGGGGCGCGCACCTTCATCGCCGGCACCGTGGTGGTCCTCGCGGCGCTGCTGCTGCCCCTGCGCGAGCTCCACGGGCCTGTGGCGGCCGTGGTTCTTGAAGTAGATGCCGCACGCGTTGCACATCAGCGTGCCCGTCTGCTTGTCCTTGCGCCACAGCGGCGTGCTCGTCGTGTGGCAGTTCGCGCACACCTTCGCGTCCGACGGCGGCGCAGGCGAGGCCCCAGCGGGGCTCCCCGCCGACGCCGACGGCGCGCCGCCCGCACCGTTGCCGACGCTGCCCTTCGCGGTCGACCCCGCACCGTCCGTCGTGGCCGCGCTGCTCCCGCGGGCCTGCGCGCCGGGGCCGCGCGGGGGCCGGCTACGCGTCGACGGGCTCGCGTTGCGGTTCATTCCTCGCTCCCTCGCCGCGATCGCCGCAGACGACCCGCTTGCCCACGTCCGAAAGTAGTGTGTTAATTAATCAATTGATAGCCGCCAACGTCAAGCGCGGCTCGCTCCGCCAACGCACGTCCGCTCGCGGGTGCGCCGGTCGGGCTGGAAGCTCCGTCGGGGGCGTGCGCCGACCTCGCGTCGCGCGGGGGCGGCGTACCGGCCGTTGGCGCCTGCGACGTGACGGTTGAAGCTACGGTGGGGCGCTGAGAGAGGGCACGTGGGTTTGCGGGGCGGGGGGCGGCGGGGCGGGCGGTCGGGCGGCGGCGATCTCGCGCGCGCGCGGGGTTCGGGCGGGGATCGCGCGCACCTCGTCCGCGGGAGGCGGGGCGGGCGGTCGTGCGCGCGGGCGTCCGGGGGGCGGTCAACTGTCTGGCAACCGACCCCGGGTGTGGCGCGGGAGGGCGCCTCGCGCAGCGCGGTTCCCTCGTGGCGGTTCGTGCACGGTCAGGCGGTCCGTCTCGCGCAGACCTGCGTGGCCGTCGCGCGCGGCGGCGGGGCAACGGCCGACGGGGTGGGCGCGGCCGCGGTGGTGTGTGGGCGCGATGGGGGCCGAGGCGACCTGCGCGGGGCGGGTTGGAGCGGATCGGATTGAAGTGCGGGGTCGTGCGGTGCCGCGGGGCGATCGGTTGGGCGGTGTGCGCGGCGTGGCGCGGCGTACGGGCGGCAGAGAGCATGAGCTGACCTCGTGAGGTGGTGGGGCGCGTGTGCGGTGGGGGGGTATCGAGGCGCGCGGGGGTGCGGGCTGCGCGCGATGTGGCGGGGCGGCGGGTGTGCGAGGGTGCCGGCGGGCGATCTGGCGCGCGGGGGGCGCTGTGGGGCGCGCCACGGTGGGGCCGCAGGTGGGGCGCTTGCTTTCGTCGCGGTGCGCGCGGGAGGGCAGGGTGGGTGGCGTGCGCCGGAACGATGCACGGGACTTATACGTCGGATGCGCAACGACGCGCGGCGGGCGGCGCAGGGCGCGGCATCGGTTGGCATCGGAGAGAGCCTAGGCGGTTTGCAACCGACCGGCGCGATGGCGCGGCCAGCGTGCGGTATTGGCCGCGCGGGGGGTTCGTCGACGCGAGATACCCTAGGAAGGGCCACATGCGGCGCGGCCAAGTCGGCCACGGGACGGAATTAGGCGACGGAAATGCTTGCCACTTATTTAGCTCGCCCGCGCCGCCGCAGGACGATTCGAGGCCCGCGATATCGCGATGGCGGCGAAGGGTCCATCTTAGGCGGAAAAGCAGCACGGCCCGCGCGAGGAATGGGCCGCGCGACGCCGAGAGCATCGGAGGGGGGCTCGGGCCGCCCAAAAAACCGGATAGCGGCTGATGCGGCCCAAGCTGCGCGCAACGGCTCGACGGAAAAGGAAACTAAGCATGTAGGGATCCCGTTCGCGCCGAAGGATGCGACAGATATCGCCTCAGCGCGCCGCAGCGAGGCGTGCCCTTCAAGTTTTCAGCGGGGCGCGCTCGAGCAGCCCACGCCGGTGCGATGCCGCCCGGCCGGCCAAACGGAACCGCAACGACAACACCAGTCAACGCGTCGGCGCCTCGCAGCGCGCCGTGCGCACCTTCGCGACCTCACGAGCTGCGCCTCAGGAGATCCCTCTGCCGGGTCCTGCTGCGTAGGAGCGCCGAAGTACGTGTTCGTAATCTCGACTGCGACGTCGACAACGTTCTGCACCCTCCCCCCGCGCGCCGGCCCCCATCTCGCGCGCACGCCGCTGCACAGGGGGGGGGAGGTGGCGCCCATGCTGACAGAGGCGCGGCGCGGCCGCCCCGAAATAGCGAGCCGCGCAGCACGCCTCGCTCAGCCCCGGCCGGCACCGTACTCGCTTGCGAACAACTCCGCCCGCGCCCGCCGCGACGTCGGGCGGCGATCGCGGCGTTTGCCCCCTGCAGCTGCCTTGCCCGCGCTCCAGGGCGGGCGAACGCCGGCGGGTGAGGTCGCGCCGTCCCCGTCGCCGTCAGGCGCGCACCGCTGGCGCGGATGTCCGCTGCAGCCGGAATCAAGCGTCGCATGCGCCCGTTTGCCGTCGTGTCGCGCCAATCGTGGGGACGCAAGCAGTTGTGAGGGGCGCGCGCGCCGCGAGGCGCACGCGGGCGCCAATGTCGCGCTCCGTCCGCGCCGATCCTTCGCCGTTATTGCGGGCGAGCTGCCTCTTGCCCCGAAGTCGAGCGAATCGCGCGGATTTCGGCGCACGCGGCAGTCAACGGTTGCCGCCTGCGGCATTCACATACCGCGCCCCTCGCAGCCCGTGCGCGCATGCGCCGCTCCGCGCGTGGCGCCGGAGGGGAGCCCGGGTGCTGCGCATCCCTGCGAGCGCCGCAGACAGCGCACCGGCCCGCCCGGGAGCGCGCAGCGCGGCACGCAGCGTTTGGTACAACGTCACAGCTAGCCGTCGCGTTCCGTGGCGCTCGCGCCCGCGCCCGCGCCGCTGCCGGTGTGGCGGTGGATGGGGCCGCCGAGGGCGAGGTCCCCGACGCCGGCGGCCACCCCGCGGCCGGTCACGCGCTCCGCGGCGATGGGCGGTGCGTACGTCACCCCATCGCTGCTGTCGTGCGTATCGGACGCGCCCGGAGCCCCAGGGAGCATGTGCGCGTGCTCGTCCTCGGGGGCCGCGACCGAGCCCTGCCGGCGCGGCGGCCGGTAGCCCGCGCCGCGCCGGCCGAACCGCCGCTGCAGCACGTGGTATCTGCGCGGCACGGACAGTCGAAGATCCTCGAGTGTAAGCGAACCGAATCGGCACGAGTTCCGGCGGACAGCTCTGCGCCACGGCCCCCGCTGCGCGACCCCGCTGCGCGGCCCCGCAGCGCCTTTCATGCCATTTCCGTTCGTTCGGATCGCGCCACGCCACGTTGCGCGTTGACATCGAAGAACGCGCACCTGTCCTGAATGTTCGCGACACCGTACGCGAGCCGGTCGCCCAGCGCGCGCAGCCCCTGGTCGATCGCGGCCGAGAGCGTCTTCTTCGGCGCCCCGCCGCCGTTCTGCGCCATCATCGCGCTGTTCAGCCGGTGCGCGCCGTCCACGACCGTGAACACCGCCAGCAACACCACCGCCGCCGAGGACGCGCACACCGTCGCCGCGATCAGAAACAGCGCCATGATCTGGTACCGCGCCGCCTGCATCACGTCCTGCCCCGCAATCACCTGCCCCGTCATCATTCCTGGAATATTCACCAGCCCCGCTGTCGCCAGCATGTTGAGCATGGGCGTCTGTGCCTGCGGGACGACGCGGCGCGACGAACGAGGCGGCCGCGGGTCAGGACGCGACCACGACAGGGCAACTGAGAGCGACGACAGCGGTGTGGGCATGGAAGGGGGCGGGGGGGGGGTTTTAAGTACCTGCGTCAGCGCGCCCTGCACCAGCTCGCGCGCCGCCTCCCACCGCGACGCCCCGAGCGCGAGCATCGCCTCGACCTCGTGTCGCTTGTCGTGCAGCTTGCCGAGCGAGTGGTTGAGCCCCAGGGTGAGCGCCGTGAGCGAGTTGCCCAGCAGCATGCCGAAGAGCGGGATCGAGTACTGCGGGTTGAACCACGCGGACCCGAGCCGCAGGATGACGAGCATGCCGTAGAGGAGCATCGACGTCGCGGAGGCGCCCAGGCACAGCAGCACGTGCAGCCACACGCCGGCGTAGCCGTGCGTGATCTTCGCGGTGACCTCGTAGGACGCGAGGAGGAGCATGATCGCGAGGTAGGGCAGCACGAGGAGCCAGGTGTCGAGCTCGAGGATCGGGCGGAGGACCACGGCGAGCAGCAGGAGCTGCCCGACGCAGCGCCCGGCGGAGACGGCGATGCGCGGGCCCGCGCCGAGGGACAGGCGGTTCGAGACGAGGACGTTGATCGCGACCATCGCGGCGGAGAGGCCCACTGCGGCGGAGCAAGGGGCGCGACGGTCACCGCGTGTGTTTTCTTTCGCGGCAACTGAACGGGCCGTTTTCGGCGATGATGTCGCACTGCGGGGCTCCACGCGCGTACCTGATAGGAAGCCGATGTCGACCGGGGGCTGCGGCACGTAGCCGCTCTTTCCACCGCCATCGCCATCGTCGTCGCCGCCGTCATCCGGCATGCCATCGTCCGGGTCGTCCGCGGGCGGCTTGGCATCGTCGTCGTGCCGCCGCGGTCGCGCGAACGCTCCGTGCCCCTCGCGCCACGTCACCGCCGCCGCCGACGCCGCCACCACGCACCCCACAACAAGCACAAACACAAGCCAAACGCGCGTGCGCCGCATCCTTGCGACGCCAGCCGTTCCGATCACCTACGCGGCGATCTCGGTGCCGAGCGGCAGCTCCAAAACGCGCCCGCCCACGCGGGACGGCTGCGCCACGTCGTGCGTGACCCACACGACCGACGTACCCCCCTTTGCGACCCGCTGGATCAGGTCCTCCACGCGCTGGGTCGCGGCGGGGTCCAGGCTGCCCGTGGGCTCGTCGAGGAGGAGGACGTCGGGCTGCAGCGCGAGCACGAGCGCGAGGTACACGCGATTGGCTTGCCCGCCAGAGAGCGTGTGCCACTCGACGTTGAGCTCGTCTTCCGCGAGGCCGAGGGCTTGGACGATCGACGGGAGGTCGCCGCGGGGGCGGCCCTTCTGCGCCTTGTAGGACTGCGCCTTGAAGTAGAGCTCGGACGGGGTGCCTGCGGGGGCGCGTGGCGTGCGTGTGGCCCATCACTTCGACGCTGCGTCTCGGGGACGCGCGGAAAATGCGTGGAAGTTGCCGCAGGTGTTGCTGTTGAGTGTATCTGGGAGCTGAAGGGCTGAACGCGGGCGGTGCGTCACTGACCGCGACGGGGGACCACGTAACAGACTGCACAGGGTGTCCAGAGCGGCGGGGCCGTGCACCGACGGGCCGCGGTCCATGTCGCCTACCTGGGAAGTTCAGACGGTGCTGGGGTACGTACGCGACGCGTGCCCGCCACGAAGGAAACCCGTACTGCGAGGGCGTGCGCCCGTCCAGCAGAATTGCACCGCCCTGCAGCAACGCAAGCCTCGAAATCCCATCAGCGTGCCTCGATAACAACGAGACTCGCGCGCCCCGATACTGCCCAATCACGAACGCGCGCCCTGCCCCGCCCGCGCGACGAGGCGCCGCCGCCGCTGCCGTTGCAGCCACGCTGTCCTATGTGCCCCCCGCGCGGCGCGAGCTTCACCGCGAACGCTCCGGCGCTCCGCGAGATCGCATGGAGTCGCTGTGTTCTCGCGGGACGCTCGGTCGCACTGCGGTGTCGCGGCGCACCTGGGACGCGTCCAGCGACGCAATGGCTCGCAGCAACAGGGTCTTCCCGACGCCCGAGGGGCCGCGCACAAATAAAATCTCGCCCTTGCGGAGGCTGAAGCTTATCGAGTAGATGACTGTGCGAGGCTCGCGCGAGGCCTGGCCCCGGACGTCGCGCCTCAGGCCTGACACTTCCAGCATTGCCAGTGCAGCGGGCCGGCACACCGTGACGTGCCGTCCGGGATGCTGCAGGTCCAGGTCGTGTCGGTGTCCGTGATGTGGGGACTCGTGAGCTGCGCGCCCGCCCTAGGCTCCGCGCCCCCGCGCTGCCGCCGGCCCAGGCTGACAGGACCCGGGGGTGAAAGTGCAACCACCGGTGTCAGGTGGGCTCGGGCCCGCGCCGACGCGACCGGGCGACCGCGGGGGAGGTTGCTCCGGGCTCGCGAGTGGTAGCTGCGGCCAGAAGACGACTTTCGAAGACTCTGACGGACAGGGAAGAAGTATGACTGACAGGGCGTCGAAGTGGCAGCCTGACCCGCAGTGACGCCGCCGCACAGCGCGCCCGGACGTCAGGCTCCGTGCATCGTCGCGGCGTGCTCACATTCCGGCCTCTCGCGCGCCCACGTCGTCACACAACCCCCCCCCTGACACATGCATGTTATAGTACCCCCGGGAAGATCGCGCGACGGTGCGCGGGGTACGACTTGAACCTAGCCTTGTACCACGCGTGCCGATCCAGCGCGGACGACGTCAGGTTGCCCACCACGAACGCGAACACGCACAGCTGCGGCACCGTCGCTGGCGCAACCACAAACAGCAGCCCAGCGTACAGCACGATCTCGGCGGTGAAGTGCGGGCAGCTCAGCCCCTCGAACAGCATCCCTGCGCGGCAACCGGGCCCTTCTCCGCCACGCTGAGCTCGCACGCACGCGCCCGCGATTCCCAGCAGGCGCCCGCGTGCACCGTCGTGGTTTGGGCGCACCGTGCGGGAGGCGGTACTTCCCAGCGTCCCGGCCGTCGCTCCTTCGCAGCGCGGCCAGCGACGCGTGCGCGCCGTGCTGCGCGACGTTGCCGAACACGAACAGCGTGACGCCGAAGAGCGTCGCCGCTGTCCCGCCCTGCAAGACGCCTGACAGGGTCTCCGACAGCCCGCGCTGCGTCAGCGCAGCCAGGGAGGTGACGTTCGCGCTGGGAATCGCAGCGAGGAGGGCTTCCGCGGCGTGGGCGGCGTGAGACGCGCCCAGGAATGAGATGGGTGTGGTTGTGTAATAGGCGCAGGCGAGAAGGTAGGTGAGGAGGTGCATGCGCGCGCCGGGGCTGTGTTTCGCGACCGCGGCGGACTCGTAGAGGCGGCGCGTGACGTGCAGGAGGAAGAGGGCGAGCGCGAGGGCGCGCAGCGCGCTGCCCGCGGTGGTTGCGTCCGGGCGCGCGGCGAGGAGGAGGCTGCCGGTAAGGAGCAGCGCCGTCGCTGTAGTTCCGACTATGTACATGTGCGTGAACCATCGTTTCGGGACTGAGACGCGCTGCAGGGGAGCCGGAGGGACGAGAAAACGCTCAGTGAGGATGATGTGAAAAACGCGCCTCGCGCACTCAATTCAACATGAACACAATTTTATCTTGGTCTGAAGGCATCAATAGCGCTAGATATTTGAATTTACGACGTTTGTTTGGAATTCCTACCTCGAACCAACCGCCCTCCTGCGTCGCTGCTGTCCACGTCATCCCCCGGGCCCCAACGGCGCGCGTGACGCGGACGAAGACGTTCCGCCGCATCCGCTCCGGTGCCATCGTGACCAGGGAGACCGCTGCGCCGGACGCCCAGAGCCCCGCGATGGCCGCGTCGGCCACCGCAGCTACTTCGTCCATCGACAGCATCCCCCCACGTCACACGTTGCGCAAACCCGCCCGCGTCAGGCCAATTCAACGCCGACGCGGGCACGCATCGTGTCGGACAGAGCCCTCCCGCGTCGCAGAGTGGCACTGCGCCTCTCACGCGGCCCCAATGCAGCGACACTGCCTGAGCGGACAGCCCCCCTCCAGTCTGTCCGTTGCGCAGGTGCTCCAGCACCTGCCGGGCTGATGGACCGCCCGCTGGCCCGCCGGAATCGAACTCTTTCGAGCCACATCTAGCGCGGATCGATTCGAAAGCGCCACAAAGGGGACTAGCGTGTTGACTTCACATCTGCGCCTCTGGCAGAAGATCTCGCCCCGTGCGCGCGCCAGGATGCCGCTGCCGGTGTGCTGTGGCAGCGCTGCGCGCAGTAGCTTCTGCACGCCTCGCGACCGGCCGGAACCGGGGCTCCGAGCGCGCCCACGGCCGTCGTGCGCGGTTATGGCACTGGGCAACGGATCCGGCGCGCACGGCTCGCCCGATGACGGCGCATCCATCGACGGCCCGGGTCCTGCGGCATGTGGAGCGCGAGCCGCGCCTCTGACGCGCCGGAGAGCCGCGCTCGGGGCGGTTTCCGGGCTCCTTGCGGCCAGCGCAAGCGCTGTGGTGCCGCGCGGGGCGTCCGCGAGCATCCTCAGGGCGCCGTTCGACTACTGGCAGGCCAAGCAGCAGGAGCTGGCCCCGAAGATGCTCGAGCCGATCGAGGTCGCGCTCGAGCGCCTCAAGATCGCATACGTGCGCGCCCCGAACGTTCGAGCGTGTCGTTTGTGCCACTCCGCGGCTGGCGCGCGGCCGCGCACCGACCCTGCGCGCAGCTTCGCGCGCCGATTGTTTCCAGCGCGCCCTGCGCGCCAGCCGCGGCCGAGCCCCCCTGCGCGACAGGAAAACACCCCCGGGTGAGTAGAAAACATCACGCGTGTCCTGGGTGCCGCAGGCCATGGTGTCCGCGACGGAGCCGAATTACAGCGAGGCGCTGGCGCTCGTGCGCCGCGCGGGCGACAACTGCTACGTCTACGACACCACCGGCGGGACGTTGGAGGAGAAGGTCAGCGCGATTCAATCCGAGAAGAAACTGGCCGAAGTCTGCACGTTCCGGCTGGTCGTGAAGAACATCGTGCTGTCGAAGGACCAGGAGTACCTCCGCGCGAACGCGTACGACGCGATCGACGCCGCGAAGGGGGCCATGGAGGCCCTCGACGCGCAGCTGTTGCAAGCGACGCGGTCGACGGCGCCGGACGCGGCGGCGGTGAAGGCGGCGTTCGGGGAGGCGATGGACGCGTACCGCGTGGTCGCGGCGCGCACGAGGGAGGCGCTGCGGGTGGCGTGAGGGCGACGTGCGATGTGAGGGGGGGAGTTTCACTGCTGCTGTGTCAGGGCGGTGGAGGGGGCAGAGGGTGTTGGGCTGCGGGCGGGGAGTGGTTGCGTAGAACGTGTGCTTGTTGTCGCTTGCGTGGAGCGGTTCTGCGGCGGTGGATGCGTCTTGAGGCGGCGCGCGTGGCCCGGCTGTGCACGCGGGGAGGGCCTGGGTCGCGGCAGGGCGCCCGCGCGGTCGGTTGGGGGGCGTTGGGGACCGGCAAAGCGTAGTTCACTCCTAAATCAACTGGCAGGATGGCGGTCCTGCTGGAGACGTCGGTCGGGGACCTCGTGATCGACCTGTTCGTGGACGAGTGTCCAAAGGCCGCGAAGAACTTCCTGAAGCTCTGCAAGATCAAGTACTACAACAACACGATCTTCCACAATGTACAGAAGGACTTCTTGGTCCAGGCGGGGGACCCGACCGGCACGGGTGAGGTCCCCTACGGGCGCAGAGCAACGCTACGCAACCATCGGCGCGGTTCCTGTCCGACTGCGTCTCCGTGCTGCTCCGCGCGCTCGGCCCCGTGCTGCTTGGGTCTCACGCGAGGCTGTCCCAAGACGAGAGGTCGCTGCGGTTGCCGGAAAACACAGAGGAGGTGGTTGCGTGTCGTGCAGGCAAGGGCGGCGAGTCTGTGTTCGGCGTTCTGTACGGCGAGCAGGCGCGGTACTTCGAGGACGAGATCCACGACAGTTTGCGCCACAGCAAGCGCGGCCTCGTCGGCATGGCGAGCGCTGGGCAGGACAAGAATGGCTCCCAGTTTTACATCACGACGGGGGCGCCCTGCACGTCCCTGGACGGCCGGAGGACTCTCTTCGGGGAGGTCTCCGAGGGCCTCGACGTCCTGGCCAAGATCAACGAGGCGTACTGCGACGGCAACGGCAAGCCGTTTCAAAACATTCGCGTGCGACACACCATCGTGCTGGACGACCCCTTCGACGACCCAAAGGGCCTCGAAAGCCACGTTCCCGACAGGTCCGCATCCACGCACACCGCGCCGCGCGCCCTGGCGCGCGCAAACCCCCAGCACGCGAAGCCTGACTCAGTTCTGAGTGTGTACAAATCATCATGTCGCGAAAACTCCCCCCCGCGCCCGTCCGCAGCTCCCCGGCGCCCATCGTCGACCCGGGCGACCGGCTGGAGGAGGACTGGGCGCCGGACCGCGAGGAGCGCGACCCGGAGGAGCAGGAGGAGGCAACGCGCAAAGCGGAGGCGGCGGGGCGCGCGGTGGTGCTGGAGATGATCGGGGACTTGCCGGACGCGGACGTGAAGCCGCCGTCGAACGTGCTCTTCGTGTGCAAGCTCAACCCGGTCACGAACGACGAAGACCTGGAAATCATATTTGCGCGGTTTGGCAAAGTGACCGACTGCCAGGTCATCCGGGACGCGAAGACGGGCGACTCGCTGAGCTACGCGTTCATCGGCTTCGAGGACGACGCGGCGGCGGAGGAGGCGTACTTCAAGATGAACAACTGCCTGATTGATGACCGGCGCATCAAAGTCGACTTCAGTCAGTCTGTGGCGAAGCTGTGGCGCCAGTTCAAGCGGCACGGCGCGCGCGGTACGCGGGACATGCAGGCCGAGGCGGCGGCGCACCAGGACGGGCCGGGGCAGGGCCGTCCCGCGCGCGGGGGGGGTCCGGGTATGATTGGGGGTCTCGAGCTGCGTCAGGGGGCGTTCGCGGGGATGGCCGGGCCGCGGCTCGGCGCGGCGTATCGGGGCGGTGGGGAGCGGGAGCGGGAGCGGGAGCGGGAGCGTGGGCGGAGCCCGGAAGGGGGCCGCGAACGGGACGGTGCGCGGGGGGAGGAGCGTGGGCGGCGCGGGGAGCGAGAGCGCGGGCGCGACGACGGTCGGCGGCGCAGCAGGGACCGCGAACACCGCGACAGGGACAGGGATCGAGGCCGTCGGGACCGCGACCGTGAGAGGGACAGGGGGAGCGACCGCGATCGGCGGAGGTCGCGGGAGCGGGACCGTCACCGGCGGTAGCTCGACGGGGTTGCGGGTTTTGTGGGAGTGTGGCGTGGCGGCGACAGGGTCGATCGTGGAGGTGGCAGGAGCGGGGGGGAGTGATGGTTTGGTCCGCCCGAGGGACTGACTTGGGGACACTGGCGCGCGGGCTCGAGACACGGGGAAGTGCGTTGCGACGTGCATCGCAGTGATTTGTGACGCGCCTGCGCTGGCAAGGGCGGGCTGAGGGCCCCGCGGCGCATCGTGACGATGAGCGGCAGCATTCTTTCGGCAGCGCTGACCGCGCAATGGATCTTCATGAGCGCGGCCGTGATCGTCTTCAACAAATACATATTATCGGGCGACACGAACTGGCCCTTTCCGCTCGCGCTGACGGTGTCGCACATGACGGTCGGGTCGATCTGCTCGTGGGCCCTCCTCCTCTCCGGCCTCGTCCCGGGGCGAGGGAGCGTCTCCCCGCGCGACTTCGCGACGTCCATCCTTCCAATAGCAGGTGATGCCCGTGCGACGGCGCCCCGATCCCTGGCGAACTGAGACGTGCGCACGCACCGCTCGATTCCAGCCCTTGCGGCTGCTCACACGCCTCCGCCGCGTGCCCCGTCCGCGCGGCACAGGGCTCTTCGCCGTCGTCCTGTGGCTCGGCAACGCCGCGTACCTCTACCTGTCAGTCGCGTTCATTCAGATGACAAAAGCAGTCATGCCCGCTGCGGTGTTTCTCGTCGGCGTCTGCGCCGGCCTGGAGGTGTACTCCGACGCGAAGCTCCGCATCCTCCTCCTCATCTGCGCGTAAGTGCCTCGACGCACGCGTACTCGTTCAGGCCCAGCGATCCGAGCGCTGCTCCTTCATTCCTTGCATTGTTTTTTTAGGTGGGTTTACAGTCCGTGCTCGACGGAGGTGCCACACGCTGTCCGTCCGCCAACGGCTGCCTGCAGCGGCGTGGTCATCGCGTCCACCGGGGAGCTCGACGACCGGTTCCAGCTCTTCGGCTTCCTTATCCAGCTCGCTGCCTGCGTCGCCGAGGCCGTCCGCCTGGCCCTCGTGCAGGTTCTGCTGCAAAGACGCGGCCTGAAGCTCAACGCGGTGGCGACCGTGGCCTACGTGGCCCCCGCGAGCCTCTGCTTCCTCCTCCCGTTCTTTTTCGCGAACGAGTGGAGTCTACTTGCCACTTGGCCGCACAGGATCGGCTCCGGCGTTTTGCTGCTCAACTGCTTCGCGGCGTTCGGCCTGAATCTGTCCGTGTTCCTTCTCGTGGGCCGCACGAGTGCTCTCACGATGAATCTCGGCGGCATAGTCAAGGACTGGCTTCTCATTCTGCTGTCCTGGGCCTGGATGGGGGCGGCGATCTCGGGCATCACCATGGCAGGGTATCTCGTGGCCTTCTGCGGCCTCCTCGCGTTCAATGCCGGTGCGAATCGCCCCTGCACGCCTCCATCTGTCTCCATTGTATCGAGAAATAATATTTGTTTTCAAAGTCAACTGCTCACGAGCCGCGCCGTCACCGCACCGTTCTCTCTCGAGGCCGTGCGAGCCGTCGCGTTCGCATCGTCCTCCTCTGGACGCTGCGACCGCAGCGACCGCGTGACGTCAAGGCGTCTCGGTGACGGCACGTACGCGTTGCCACGATCGGGGGCAGTTACGTGACTTTTGACGTCACCTGCAGACGCATTCGCCACCCTGGCACAGCGTCCGTTCTTTTCTGCGCAGGAAAGCTCGGTTTGATCCCGGGGGCGCATCGTCCTGCGTCAGACGGGGCGATCAAGGCATTTCTCGTCTCCGGCGACAACACCGCGCCCCCCGAATCGTCGTCGTCGAATTCGCCTGAGTCGGTGACGTCAGCCGCGATCAGGGCCCCTCCGGGGGAAGCGACCGACGGTGACCCGGCGGGACTGCCGCGGCGGCTGTGGGAGCAGCAGCGCGCCGCGAGGCTGCCGGTCGGGCGAGGCGGCAGTCCGGCGGTGCCTGGGCTTGTCAAAGCGCACACATCTGCGTACATCGGGGTCGTGGCAGGAAAGCAACTCCGCTTTTGAACGAATTTAGTTCTTCGCTGACCTACAAGCACCCTCACCGCGAGGACGCCCGAGCGACCGAAATGGTACAGTACTTCGCTGACCTACAAGCACCCTCGCCGCGAGGACGCTTGAGCGACCGAAATGGTACGGCAGGCGAGACGAATTTGTACTTCGCTGACCTACAGAATTCACCCGTGAAATTCACGGGTGCGTTATTCACCAACGACCCCCCCTCGAGCCGGGGGGCCGCAGCGGCGAGCAGTTCAACGTGCGCTTACAGCCCCGCTCGTCCGTGAGCGCCGTGAAGGTCCACGTCCGAGCGGGTGTGTCGGCGAGCATGCCGCCTGCCAGCTTGGTGTGCTCGGAACTGTGTCCGCTTTGCATCGTGCCGAGCAACGGTGTCAAAAAGATGTGAGCCAAGTCGATGAGTCGTGCGCCGAAACCGTGTCCGCGCGCCAAAGCCCGCAGGCCGTCGGCGCCGAAGCGCTCCTAGGCGTTCGTGTCGCCCGTCGTGCGACGCACGCTCCGCGCGCCCTGCAAGGCCTGCGCCGAGGGCCGGCTCTGCCGCGGCGGCCCGTCGTACGCCGTGCTCAGGATGCCTTCGCCCATCGCGAACGCGTCCGACACCTCGGCGCGCCGCTGCATGCCCTGCACCTGTTTCTGCAGCGCGGCCTGCGAGGCGCTGAGCGACATGATCTGAGTGACCATTTGCTTCATGCTCTCCTCGATGCCCGTCAGGTGCTTCACGACCGTCGCGTCCGACCCGCCCCCCGCCGGCGCGCCCGTCAGCAGGCCCGTGCGGCGACTGCCCACGCGGCTGGCGCCGCCCATCATGTGTTTGCGCATGCTCGGGCCCTTCGCGAGCCCGCCCTTGAGCGCCGCGCCGAGCGACGGGGCCTCCGCGAGCTCCAAGCCCCCCGGCGCGTCCATCTTCGCGTTCGACCCGGTCCGCCGCACGTCGCGCGACTTCAGCCTGTCCTTTTCCCCGCGGTCGCTCTCCCGCCGCGACATGCGCGCCTCGCCCTTCCCGCCGAGCTCGTTCAGCCGCTTCACGTGCGCCGGGCCCAGCCGCGCCGCGAACGTCGACTGGTCGAGGTTGCCCGCGACTTGGATCTCAGCGAGGCGCCGCAGCGCGGCCTCGCGGACCATCATCGCGGCCTCGGGGAAGTCCTTCATCGTGATGGCGAGGTCGTGCGCGCGCAGCACGGCGAGGTCGCAGTGCGTGAGCGTCGTGCAGTTGGCCGTCCGGCGCGCCGTCGCCAGCAGCGCCAGCTCGCCAAAGTACCCCCCCTGCTTCAGCACGGCGACCGTCTCGCCGTGGGAGTTGATCACGGCGACGCGGCCCTTGTAGATCATGTACATCTCGTGCCCGACGTCCCCGGAGCGGAACACGATCTCGCTCGGCATGTAGACCGCATTCTTGAGCTTGGTGACCAAGTGCGTAATGAAGGCGTCCTCGCACGAGGCGAACAGCGTGACCTGCCGCACGCGGTGGCCGTGCAGGTGCATCGCGATGTCCTCGTACAGCGACCACGGCAGCTCCATCAGGAAGTTGATCCCGTCTGGCCCCGGGTGCGCGTACGTCGTGAGGTAGTCAAAGTACTCCTGGACGCGGTCGTTGATGTCCGCGGGGAGCCCGAGGTACCGGATGACGTCCGACACGAGCTCCTGCTTGTGCTTGTGCCGCGCGGCGGTCGCGTTCAGGTTGGACACCAGCAGCGCCATGTTACCGACGACCGACGCGTAGAAGCACGCGCCGACGAGCAGGACGAGCGAGCAGTAGAAGCGCTCGAGGTTGTTCGTCGGTCCGACGTTGTCGCCGACCAGGAGCTCGAACGACAGGTAGTATGCCTGCAGGTAGCGCGAGAGCTTGTCGTTCTGTTCCTCCGGGCGCAGCTGGTCCTCGATCCAGCTGGGCTTGCCGTCGTCGAACTGCGTCTTCCCGATCAGGTGCAGCCCGCAGCCGATCCAGTGCGCGAACATGCACATGATCATCATCAGTTTGAAGATCTTGAAGATGTTGGCGTTGCGCATGCGCTCGAAGAAGCGCAGGAGGCGGCCCAGGCGGAGCAGGCGCGGCGTCTTGAGGAAGGCGAGGAGCGTGACGTTCGAGGACACGTTCAGGCCGATGATCTGCGCGAAGAGCTCGAAGGGAATGCTCGCGAGAAGGTCGACCGAAAACCAGGTCGAGAGGTAGTGCCCCGCGACCGCGCGCTGGTCGTTGATGAGCGTGCCCTGGTTGTCCACGAACGCCGTGCGGAAGTTGAGCAGGATCTGCGCGAGAGGCGGGGGAGGGCGGCGGTGGAGGCGCGACGGGCGTGTTGGAGCGGGCGGGGCGTGGGCGTGGGCGTGGCGTTTCGGCGGGGGGGTCGGCGGCCGCGGGGGAGTCTCGGTGTGCGGGCGGGCGGCGGCGGGGCTCACGTCGAAGAAGAACACGGCGTCAACGCTGTACTCGAAGAAGGTGATGAAAGTGCTCTCTCCGACTTGGAAGGAGGCCTCGTACGGCACCATCACGGCGTTGTACACGACGAGGAAGAGGATGAGGAAGTCCCACGCGCGCCGGGCCCGCGCGTTCGGGTGAATGATGGGAACGCGGATCGACACATTCTTGGCCCACAAGGCCAGCTTGCGCACGAACTTGTACGACTTCGTGAGCCGGTCCCACGGCGTCTCGCGCTTCTTCTCGAACAGGATGTCCTCCGTGATCTGCTGCCACGTCGTCTGCGGGGCCGGGCGCGCGCAAAGGGCAACAGGTCGGCGCACAGGTCGGTGCGGAATTGCGCGCCGTCAGCGCGCCCCGCGCGCCTTGCGCGGGCTCTGCACGTAGGGCCTCGAACAGGGAGGGCGGTCGCACCTTGTTCACGTAGGAAGGGTCCGGCGCGCCGTCGTAATCGACCGACTCGTTGAACCCACCCTTGGCCCACAACGGGTGGTCCTCGTCCTCGTCTATCGCGTTCAGGCCGTCCATCCAGCGCGCCTTGTCCTCGAACGGGTCTCTGCTCTGCGCCAGCGGCACCACCCGCGCGACTTTCCCGCCATTCCGCGCCGACGCGTCCATCGAGGCCGCTGCGTCCAACCCTGGCCCCCTGGCTCCCCACGGGGCCTGCTCGCCGCCATTCATCGCCCGCTGGTCCTCCGGGGTCGAGTTCGACGCCGTGTCGCCGTTCTCGCCCGGAAAACTCCCCCTCCCGTCGAGCTCCAGGGCTTCCCCCTCCCCGGACTCGCCCTCCTCGCCGCTGCCCGACCCGCTCCCCTCGTCGCTGCTGCCCTCCCCGCTGGACGACGAAGACGACGACTCGCTCGCGTTGCGTCCAAAAATGTCCTCCACCTCCTCGAGCTGCGGGAAACGGAGGGCCTTGCGCTACGTGCCCTGTGGGCCTGCCGCGTGCGGTCCCAGACGCGCCCGCGCGTACGAGGACGCGCGCGGGGCCGCGAGGGACGCTGCGAACCGCACGCCGGGCGCGCGACGCCGGGTGCGCGAGCACGAGGGAAACCGCGGCCGCAAGCCCGAGCACGCGCCGGGCAGAGGCACGCCCGCCCTCTGGCGCGCCGCTGCGCGCTTCGTCAAGGAATCCTCCCGCCAGGGCGTTGCCTAGCTCACGAGAAGACCACAGGGGGGCGGAAAACCCGCGAGGACGTCCCCGGGGAGCGCTGGGCGCGGGTGTGCGATGCACATGCTCTGCGGCCCGCGGGCGTTTCCAGGGGCGGCGGGGGGGCGCGAGGGGGCCGCGTGGGCGCGCTCACCTCCTCAGCGATCTGCTGGTGGCCCTCCCCGACCTCCCGGTTCATCATCCCTATAGCGCCGAACATGCTTCCTCCCACAGCCTAGACCGGGCCGGCCAGGCCCGGAAACCGCACCACCGCCGCGGCGGCGCGGTCGACGTTCCCTAAAAGTGTGCGACGAGCCTCACGCGGCCGCCATTTCGCCCTCTCGAGCCCTGCAGCGGGGCGGTCAGCACTCGCGACAAGTGCGCGACCAGACGGCGGACCTCGCTGAGCGGCTTTCCAGACTTCTACCACGCGCTCACGTCTGCCTATGTTCAAACGCTCTGCCGGGCCCCGCGCGCGCCGGCCAGCATTGCACCGCGAGCGCCCCCGGCGAGACGGTCCAAGCCTTAGGGCCCACGCACTCACTCCCCGCACGCCCCACGGCGCCCGCAGCGCCGAACCCGCCGCGCCCTGCGGACCGGCACACCGCACGGAAGCAGCCATCCGCCCGCGCGGCTCACTGCGCGACGTCCCCGCGTCCCAGCCCCAGGTGCAAGCACAGGTGCTGGCGTGTCACACTGCGAGGGCTGGCAGGGGGCCGCGACGGGGGTCTCGCGGGCGTCGCGCGCCGCCGCGACGCAGCCGGACGCAGCCCGCGTCCCGCGGCCGCGACAGCGTCTCACGCCGCTGCCACCGAGTCGCGAAACACTGGTAGATACAACTCAGGGGTAAGATACGTATACCAATGCATGTCTGCGCGTGGGCCGGGTGCGCTGACGTCGCGAACGGAGCGGCGTCGCGCTGGGAGCACGCGCGCGCGATCGCCAGGCACGCGAGCCGTCCTGTGGCGGCGCGCATGGTCGCTGGAGACGGCGCGTCGTCGTCGTCGCGGTGGGCACGAACGGCGCTGGCACGAGCGGCGAGGCCTCCGCGCGGCCCGGGCGTAGACAAGCGCGCGCTCTCACAGTCCGCGCCGCGGCCGGCGGCGGCGGGGCAGCGCCCGCGCGCGCGCGAGAGCCTGCGTGCTGCGCGCATCACGCGCCGCGCGCAGCGTCGAGCTCGTCGAGCTCCACGGGCTTGCCGTCGAGCTTGGTGAGGTTCGGGAGGCGCTTGAGCACCTCGACGCGCCGCGCGCCCTCCTCCATGTCGCCGTAGAGGGGGTTGTTTAGAAGGTTGAGGTCCTTGACGTGGGTGCCCGCCAGGCGCTCGAGCTCGTCGAAGGACGAGATTTTGTTGTTCGAGCAGAAGAGGACCTGCGCGGGGACGCCCGGGAGGGGCCGTGCGGTCGGGCGAGCGCGCGGGGGCGAAGGGAGCAGTGCGGCGCGCGCGGGGGGGGGGTTCGGCCCGGGGGGGCGGGGACGCGGCGGACCTTGAGGTTCGGGAGCTTCTCGACGCCCGCGAGCGAGGATATGTCGTTGTAGGAGACCCAGAGCTCCTCGAGGTCCGGTGCGGCGTCCACGCCGTCCAACTTTTTCAGCTTGTTGCGCCCCAGGGACAGAATCCGGAGGTTTTCGAGGCCCGTGAGGCCGCCGATCTTGTCAATGGAGTTCGAGCCTAGCGAGAGGTGCTCGCAGGCCTTGAGCTGCCCCAGGGAGTTGTCCATTTTCTCTATTCCCATGCCAATCAGAGTCACCTGCACCCGCGTCCGACGCGCGCAGCTGCCCTGAGGCCCCCGGACCGGCGCGGCGGGGTGGACCCGAAGCAGCTGACGCGGGACGGGAGGGAGACTGGCCGCGCCGGGCCGCAGGCGGGGCGGACGGGCGCACAGAGCGACGGGCGCATGCTTCGAGCTACCGGGGCGCAGGCGGGGCGGACGGGCGCAATGCAGCGTGGGAGCCGCGCGGCACGCCTGCTGGCTTCGTCGTGGGCGAGGGGCGCCCGCGCGGAGCGACCCGGCGCGCGGGGGCGCGCGCGGGCTGTGCGACGGAACTGTACGCGCGCGCGCAGGCCTCGCGTCCCGCAAGGCGGCCCTGCGCCGCCGGGAGCGCCACAGCGGCCGCAGGGGGGGCGCGGAGCCAACTGGCCGCGGAACGCGGGCGCCGGCGGCCCGGGAGGCGCGCGGGAGGCCGCGTGGCCATGCAGGGCAGCGCGCACCTTCTTGTACTCGGGGAGCGCGCTGAGGCCCTTGTTGGACTCTAAGAGCGTGAGAGGATCGATGTCCTGCGAGCTGATTTCTGGCCGCTCCGTCTGGATGGTCCGGAGCTTCGACAGCAGCTCCTCAAACTGCTTCATCGCGTCCTTGCACGAGGTCTTGGACTTACTCATCGCGAGCGGTGGTCAGGGCTCCGCCCCGGCGCCCGTGCCTGCTCGGCGGATGCGTGCGGCGCGAGGCGCCCAGCCAGGCGATCCACGAAGGCTGTAGCCTTGCGCAGTGAAAGGAGCTGGCTCTATTGAGTTCCGAGGGGGGTGTTTTAGGCGAACTTGCGCAGCCGTGGATAGAACAGAATATGTGAGAGCGGTTTGGGGCGGAGCGACCGCGCCTCGAGGCCTTGTCGACGCAGGACGGCCCGCAACAGGCCACGCCCTGGGAAGGCCCCCGTGTCGTCAGCTCCCAGCGCCGGCGCCGAGCGAGACGTCCGCGCGTGACGGGCGTGCTCGCCGGCCGCGTGCGCGCACATTCGAGTGCGATCGTTCCGTGTCGGAAACAGCCGGTGCACCGACAACCGCGAGGCAACTAGTGCAGGCAGTAGCTCCCGAGGTCGTGTGCGGCAACAGTAACTCGTTTCTCGAGCGCCCCGGCCTCCTTCGGCGTCCACTGAAAGCGGCACGTTCGCACTCGCTGCGCGAATGCGTTCGTAGCGGGCGTCTGAGCCGGTGCGGTCTCTTGCAGCCCACGTTCGCCGCCGGACGCCCACCGCTCGACCTCGACGCGGATGTTGTCCGGGGCCCGACACGCTAGGACCACACCAGGCGATGGCCCGCACCCGCGCGCACCTCCCACGCTGATGCGTGCGCGACGGGGCCTCGACTCTCTGCACTCCTTTTGGAGCGGCCTCCGCGCCTGCACTCGGACCCCCTTCGGCTCACACACCCCTGGGCGCGAAGACAGCGCCCCAGACATGGCGCTCCAGCGCGCTGCGTGCGCAAACGTCCCTCACGGACGCCCCGCGCCGCCCCGAGTCCTCGCGCGATGGATCTGCGCCGCTGTGCCGAACAGGAGGAGCATTCCGGGCGTGACGGGGCTGCCAGAGCTCCCTCAGGGCCTGCAGGCGCCGGCGGGGCTGCCGCCGCCCACTCCCCTGACGTCAGGGCGAGATATGGACCCCTTTGGCCAGCCCGGGACCTCGGATCTAGGTCCGACGCGAAACGGCGGTGCAGCCGTCCGCACGGACGCCGCCGACGCGACCACCGGGGACAACATCGAAGGAACCATCGTTCGGGTGCGTGTCGCCGCGTCCCAACCCCGCACCGGCCACGAGCAGGGCCGCTCCAGCACCGCACGCGCACCTCCGCCGCATTGCGCGCTCGCGCCGCCCGTCGTGGCGAGGCAACCGCCCGCGCACCTCCGCCTGCGCAGGAGAAGTACATGGCCGGGGGGTACGCGGTCGTCGTGGTGCGGCTGAGCCGCGGGGAGATCGTCTGTCGCGCGCGCGGCACCGCCGCGGCGGGGCTGGCGGTCGGGACGCGCGTGCGCATGTGGGGCGAGCACTTCGAGCACGACCAGTACGGCGGGCAGTTCGAGGTCAAGCGCTGGGAGGAGCTTCCGTTCGAGTCTGGGTCCGACCTGCGGCGTTTCCTCATCAACGCCGTTCCCGGCTGCGGCCCCAAGACGGCGGAGCGGATCCTGGCGCACTTCGGCGACGCGCAGCTCGCGGAGGCGGCGCTCGACTTGCCGGAGAAGGAGGCCGAGAGGAAACTGCGCGGCGTGCCGGGCCTCGGACAGAAGCTAGCGGCGCGGCTGAAGAGGGGGTGGGATAAGGCGCGTGGGGGCTCGCAGCGGCAGGCGCTGGAGCTCGGGCGGCGTCTGCGCGATCTGGGCGCGGGGCCGGTGGACCGCGCGGGCGTGTTGGACCCGCTGGTGGCGCGGCACGGCAGCGCGGAGGGTGCGTTGGCGGCGCTGGAGAACTCGCCGGACGGGCCGTACCGGGAGCTCGCGGGGTGCGTGGCGCTCGGCGCGGGGCTGGGAGACCTGGACCGCGTGGCGGCGGCGGTCGGGGGCACCGCGGGGGACCCGGAGCGGGTCACGGCGGCGGTTGCGGCTGCGTTGTATAAGGCGGGGCTGGAAGGGCGGCCGTGCTTGACGCTGGGGGAGGCTGGGGCTGCTGCAGCGGAGATACTGCGCCGGCCGTGGCCTGGGGCGGGCGGGGGCGCGGAGGGGGGGGTGTTGTGGGGTGTGCCGGCGCAGAGGCTGACAGCGGTGGAGTGCCCTCTGGCGTGGGGGGCCGCGGCGGGCGTCAGAAGCGAGACGTCGCTCCTCGCGCTCGTGCACCGCGGATCCCTGCGGGAAGTCGCGCCGGGGGACCTGCCGGCGCCGATCGCGGGCGAGGGAGCGGACGGGAGTCGGGTGGTCATAAATCCCGGTGCGCGGGGGGCGAATGAATACGTCGTGTACCTGCGTGGCGTCCTGGACGCCGAGAGCGCCGTTGTGCGCGGCATGGTGGCGCGCGCAGGCCGCAACGCACCGCCCGTGCGCCCTCAGCGGACCGTCGACGTCGCCGCGCACATTCGGTCCTTCGAGAGCCGCCAGGGCGTGACGCTGACCGACGGACAGCGCAGGGCGGTCGAGCTCGCCGCGCACTCGCGCGTGCTGGCGATTACGGGCGGGCCGGGCACCGGCAAGACGTTTGTCACGCGGTGTATCGTGGAATTGTGGGATGCGCAAGGCAGGGACTTCAACTTGTGCGCGCCGACGGGCCGCGCGGCGCAGCGGCTGTCCGAGGTGACGGGGAAGCCCGCGGAGACCGTGCACCGCCTCCTGCGGCTCGGCGCGATCCCCGTGGACGCGCAGACGGACCCAAACGCCGCGCAAGAGGGGGGGGGGGCTTCTGGCGGCGCTGACGCGGCGGAGGCCGGCTCGCACGCGGAGAGCGCGAGCGGGGACAGCTTGCTCGCGATGCTGCAGCAGACGGCGTCCCACGCGGAGCTCGTGGGCACGGGGGGGGTATTGGTTGACGAGTCGTCTATGTTGCACTCGCAGCTGGCGGCGGTGCTTCTGCGGGCGCTCGACGCCGCCGCGGGGGGCGCGCCGCCGGTGCCGCTGGTGCTCGTGGGCGACCCGGACCAGCTGCCGCCCGTGCTGCCGCACCCCGTGCTGTCGGCGCTGCTTGCGGCTGACTCAGTGCCGCAGGTCCGACTCGACGAGGTGAAGCGGCGGGACGGGTGGAGCGCGATCACGTCGGCGGCGGCGCGCGTGAACGAGGGCGCGCTGCCGTGTGCGGAGACGGCGGGCGCGCACGTCGTGCGGTGGGACGCGGGGGGGAGTGTGGCGGACATCGATGCGGCGCTCGTCAGCGCGCTGCAGGAGGGGGGGGAGTCCGAGGCGCGTCAGGAGTTCGTGTGGGTGCAGCCGCCGGCCGACGTCGACGCGGGCGCCACGCGCGACGCCGTCGTTGCCGCGGTCAGAGCCCTGACAGGCCCCGGGGGGTCTTTCCTGCCTGATGACGTCATGGTGCTCTCGCCGATGCGCCGCGGCCCGCTCGGCGCCGGCGTCCTCAACGGCGCGCTCCAGCCGCACCTCCGCCTCGACTCCGGTCCCAACGGACACTCCCCCTCGCGGCAGAACACCCCCCCGGGGTGCTCCGCGCTGCCCGAGGTCGTCGCACGGACGCGCGGGGAGCCCGGGGCGTGGCGCGCGCTGCGGACGGGCGACCGCGTGATGCAGCTGCGCAACCGCGCCGAGCAGAACGTCTACAACGGCGACATCGGCGTCGTGACGGCCTGCTGGCAAGAAACCGCCGCGGAGTGGGATGCGTCGCGACGCGTGCTTCGCGGGGCGCGCGTGCGCTTCTCGCGCAACCAGGAGATCGAGTACAGCTCGCAGCCGTCGAGCCGGCAGCTGCCGATCTCCGAGCTCGACGTGGCGTGGGCCAGCACAGTGCACAAAGCGCAGGGGGGGGAGTCGGGGGCGGTGGTGGTGGTGTTGTCGCCGGTGCACGGCGTGATGTTGCACAGGAAGCTGCTGTACACGGCGGTGAGCCGGGCGAAGCGCGTGCTGGTGCTGGTGGCGTGCGAGGGGTCGGTGGCGACGGCGGTGACGGCGGCGACGCAGGCCGGCGCGGGCGCGAGCGCGGGCGGGGCCGTGGACCTGCTGCGGCGGCGCGTGCAGGACGCGATGGGTGCGGGGGAGGAGTAGAAGGGGTGTTGAGGTGAGGTGAGGTGTTGCATTCTTCGCGTCGTCAGCCACAAGGCTTTGGGAGCTGAAAAGATCATTCGACTGGGTGGCGAGTCATTGTTGTGAGACTCGCGGCGGCCGTCCTCGGCCAGTTTCGCGCCGTTGACACCCCTGGAGGAGTGAAATGAGCTTTGTCGCATGGAGCCGGCGTGCCGGGCGTTCTTCGGGATGCGAGGGCGCAGAACTGCTCCCCTGCGTCTGCTTGAGCTCGGGCGCCCGTCCGTGCAGACGTGCACTTTTCTTTTCTACCCGTCACGGTTCGGTGTTATACTGCGCTTGCGCTGTCAGGGTTCGCGTCGTGCCAAGTGCGTACGTTCCGAGGCGCGGACCGCAGAGGCTGCGCCAGGGCGGGTGCTGCGCGACAGCGGCGGTTTCGTGCGGCGCGAGCGCTCTTTCGGCGGCCAGCGTGCGTTCTTGCTGTGCCGGGCTCGGTGAACGGGGCAGAATGCCGTGCATGGCGCAGCGGCTGCGGCCGACGATAGCGCGGTCGCATAGCCTGATCTCTCATGTGCGAGGCCACGCGCCGCTCCGCGCCGCCAGCGGCCCAGCGACGCATTCTGCGCGCGAAGCAGGCCAGAACAGCGCACACCCTCCCGCGCACCGTTGCCGGGGCTTCCCAGAGCGCGTGAGCGCCCGGAGACGGTGCATTGCTTCCTCGTCCGGCCGGCCGGCGGCCGAACTGGACACCGCGGACGCGGAGGCGTCGCTGGTGTCCCGGGCACAGCAGCGGGCAGGAACAGTCGAGGAAAGGTTTCGTCTCAGAGGCTCCAGCTTCGAGGGGCGCCAGAGCGTGCTGCACCGCCTGAGAGCGGACGATCCGATCATTCTGACGCGCGAGCCCACGAACCCGCACGACCCTCACGCAGTCGTGGTGCGCGCGATCGACGGCACCGCAATCGGTTACGTGCCTCGCGAGCTCACAAAGCACGTCCTTTACGGCCTGTCCTTCGGTCGAGTCTACAGCATCGGGGACGTGTTCGTCGAGGACCCTAAGGGCGGCCCGCCGCGCCCCCTGCGCGGCGCGCAATGCGCCACTCGCCCTCTCCTGCCTCCTCTTTCTGTCGACATCGTGCCGTCCAAGCTCGCGCCCGCCATGCTGGACCTCGCCGACCTCGTCGCGAGCGCCGCCTGGCAGCGCCTCTCCGCCGCCGTCCTCGCCCGCGCCCAGCACCGCTGTCAGGTCTGCGGTCGGCCTGGCAACAGCAACAAACAAGCCCCGGAGTTCGCGGGGCCCGCCGCGCCCGGGCCGCTCACGGCGGCGCCGGTCTGGGAGCCCGAGGCGCTCGATCCGAACCGCGGAAAGCAGGTGCTGCGCGCGGTCGTGGCGCTGTGTCCGGCCTGCAGCGCTACGCGGCGCGCTCTGGCGCTGCCGGGCGGCGCGGAACAGCAGCCCTTCCTGCGGCACTTGGCGGAGATGAACGCGTGGGCGACGGCGCCGTCGGGCGTGCGGTGGGCGGACACGTACTGCGCGGGGTTGTGGAACGTGGGTCGGTTGCTTGATGGCGCTGGGGATCTGGGCGTCGATGTGTCGTGGCTGCTGGGGCCGGGGGGGGGAGTGGTGGAGGGGGAGCTCGCGGCGGAGCTGAGGGCGTAGGGCTGGTGGTGGCCGGGGCGTGCAGGCGGTGTGATGGATGCGGGTGGTGGTGGTGTTGGTCAGTGAAAAGAGAATATCGTTCTTTTTCGATTCTTGCTGTTGTGGTAGTTGGTCCAGGGGCTGAGAGGGCGATCGGCGATGCCGCGGCTGGTCAGGTCCGGGGTGTGCGACTCGCAGGGAGGGGGGGGTTTAAATTTATTTTATTTAGCGTTTATAAAATGCATTTCCCAGCTGCCGACTACGCAGCTCAACGATGGTGCGGGTTTTGACGTGCCATGCTATGAAGTATTGTGTGCGTCCTAGCGAACCGGCTGGCCGACCGCACGCCCTCTTCCGCCCCCAACGTCAGTTCGCAATTCGCCCCCCGCGTCGCTTCAACAACTGCAGCCATCGAGGCGCCTCGATGATGACGGCCCTTGAGCTCGAGCCGGCGGGAAGCGCCGGCTGCCATGTGCGTCGCGGTGCGTCTTCGATGCCGTGGTCTGTCAGCGGCCGAGTTGTACCCGTTGTCCCCTCAGGGAGGAGGTGTGTTTGCGCACTCGTCAAGCGCCCGGCCGACATCACAAGCACGCGCCCGCCTCGCACATGGTCAGTGTGACTGGCTCGCGATCGGCCGCACGACAGACTTCGCGCCGGGACGACAGCAGGCCGTGCAACTGCTTGTAGCAGGTGAGACGCGGGGCGGTGCTCGCGGAACGCGCTGGCGGTGGTTGGTGCTGATCGCACGGCCGTGGCGGAGGTGTGCGCTGTCTCGCGGGCTGCCGCGAGAGTCGCATGGAGCGCCCAACACGGTGCATGCGGCGTGCGTCTCTGGCGCTGGAGGGAGCTCGGCCGTGAGGCTGCGTGGCGGGAGACCCTTGCTGGGTTGTCACGATCGCATATGACAGGCACTAGGTGTCATGCCGAGCCCGGCCGCATGCGCGCGCCGGGCGGCTCTCACAGCTCCCGCTAGCTCACCTCCTGGAATCTCTCTCATTGGCACCCGCAGGACCCGTCCACGGCGCTCCGACGGCGGCGAGGCATCACGGGCACGATCTCTGCAGTCGATGGAGCTGCGAAGCGGCCGCTGCGTGTGCGGGCCGCGCTCCTCGCAGCGCCCACGCGCTGGTGACGATGACGCACCCACTCTGATGGACCTGTCGTTCGGGCCGGGCGGCGGTCCGCTGGGGGACATCATCCGCCTGCTGCCCAGGGGGTCGCGCGTCGCCCTCGCGGCCGCGTCGTCGGGCGCGATGGCGAGCGTGCTGGAGAGCTGCGGGGGGGCTCGATGGACCGCACGCACAAGGGAGGTGGGCAGGGCGGTGGCGGGGAAGGTGGAGGGGCGCGTGTCCGCGGGGGCGGGATCGCTGGTGGGGCGGACGAGCGACGACGCGCTGTGGGTGGTGCACCGGCGCGCGGGTGCGGACCCCGACAGTGTGGCGGCGATCGTGGAGGTGAAGAGAAACAACTCGTATCCGAGAGAGAAGCCTCTGTCGAACGCGGGTCGGCTGGTGATCACGGAGGAGATGACGGGGCTGGAGGTCGTCTGGGCGCGTCGCGTGGCGGGGGTTTGCTTTGACATCGCTGAGGAGTGGGGCGCAGACTGGCTGCCTGCAAGCGTCGCGGCGCGGTTGAGGGAGCTGGAGGTGCACGGGCAGGATCTGCGGAGGCTGCCGGAGGGGATGGGGTCGCTGGAGGTGCTGGACGTGACACGCTGCTGGCAGCTGGCGGGGGAGGGGTGGCTGCCGGCGTCGAGCTGCGGGAGCGTGAAGACGCTGTACGCTGCTTGGTCCTCGCTGGCGAGGGTGCCGGAGGGATGGGGTCGCTGGAGGTGCTGGACGTGCGTGGCTACGCCCATCTCGCGGGCAGGGGTGGCTGCCGGCGTCGAGCTGCAGGAGCGTGAAGGAGCTGGGTTTCGGGGGCTGCTTGCTGGCGAGGGTGCCGGAGGGATGGCGTCGCTGGAGGAGCTCAGCGTGAGCAGGTGCGATGAGCTGGCGGAGGGTGGCTGCCGGCGTCGAGCGGCGGGAGCGTCAAGAAGCTAAATGCTAGGTGCTCGTCGCTGGCGAGGGTGCCGGAGGGGATGGTGTCGCTGGAGGAGCTCGACGTGGGTTTCTGCGAGCAGCTGGCGGAGGAGGGGTGGCTGCCGGCGTCGAGCGGCGGGAGCGTGAAGAAGCTGGATGCTGGGGACTCCTCGCTGGCGAGGGTGCCGGAGGGGATGGGGTCGCTGGAGGAGCTCGACGTGGTGCAGTGCAGGCAGCTGGCGGGGGAGGGATGGCTGCCGGCGTCGAGCGGCGGGAGCGTGAAGAAGCTCGTGGCCGCACACACTGTGCTGGCGAGGCTGCCGGAGGGGATGGGGTCGCTGGAGGAGCTCAGCGTGGGGGGGTGCTTGCAGCTGGCTGCGGAGGGGTGGCTGCCGGCGTCGAGCGGCGGGAGCGTGAGGGAGCTGGATGCGTCGGGGTCCGCGCTGGCGAGGGTGCCGGAGGATGGGGTCGCTGGAGGAGCTCGACGTGAGCGACTGCAGACATCTCGCGGCGGAGGGGTGGCTGCCGGCGTCGAGCGGCGGGAGCGTGAAGAAGCTGGATGCTGCGCGCTCCTCGCTGGCGAGGCTGCCGGAGGGGATGGAACCGCTGGAGGTGCTGAATGTACTTGGCTGCGGGCGGTTGGCTGCGGGCTGGCTACCGATGTCGAGCTGCGGGAAGCTGCGGGTGCTGCGGGCCGCGGCGCATCAGCTGCAGAGGCTGCCGGAGGAGCAGAGTCGGACCCTGGCATCTCTGTTAGGTTGAGCAATCAGTGTGAGCGCACGTACGAATGTCGACTCCCGGGAGGACGATACGATGGGTCACTGCCGGCGACCGCCCTGCTTGGCGGCCGTCAGCGGTCACGTCGTGAGGCCACAACACAACTGCAAGACCATAGTCTTGGACGTAGCCCACACGCCGCCGACGGTGCGTGTTGACGCTGCGATGACCCTGGAGTCGGCGGTGTCACCGCGCCCTGCTGGGTGCCGCACTCATGGAGTCGCAGCTCGCAAACAGTGCATCCGTGTCGGTGTGACGCTGCGAGCGTGTGTGTGCACATCTGCGCGTGTAGAAGTGCGACTCGTCCCGCGCTGGATGATGACCCGGGAGCCGCTCGAGCTGGCAGGAGGCGCCTGCCACGTGCGTCGCGGTGCGTCTGCGATGCCGTGGTCTGTCAGCGGCCGAGTTGTACCCTCATGGAGGTGTGCGCTCAGTGGTCCCCAACCGTCCCGGGCGACATCACAAGCACGCGCCCACCGCCTCGCATGTGGTCAGTGTGACTGGATCGCGGTCGGCCGCACAACAGACTTCGCGCCTGGACGACAGCAGGCCGTGCAACTGCTTGTAGCAGGTGAGACGCGCGGCGGTGCTCGCGGAACGCGCTGGCGGTGGCTGGTGCTGATCGCACGGCCGTGGTGGAGGTGTGCGCTGTCTCGCGGGCTGCCGCGAGAGTCGCATGGAGCGCCCAACACGGTGCATGCGGCGTGCGTCTCAGGCGCTGGAGGGAGCTCGGCCGTGAGGCTGCGTGGCGGGAGACCCTTGCTGGGTTGTCACGATCGCATATGACAGGCACTAGGTGTCATGCCGAGCCCGGCCGCATGCGCGCGCCGGGCGGCTCTCACAGCTCCCGCTAGCTCACCTCCTGGAATCTCTCTCATTGGCACCCGCAGGACCCGTCCACGGCGCTCCGGCGGCGGCGCGGCATCACGGGCACGATCTCTGCAGTCGATGGAGCTGCGAGACGGCCGCTGCGTGGTCGGGCCGCGGCCCTCGCAGCGCCCACGCGCTGGTGACGATGACGCACCCACTCTGATGGACCTGTCTTTCGGGCCGGGCGGCGGTCCGCTGGGAGACGTCATCCGCCTGCTGCCGAAGCAGTCGCGCGTCGCCCTCGCGGCTGCGTCGTCGGGCGCGATGGCGAGCGTGCTGGAGAGCTGCGGGGGGGCTCGATGGACCGCACGCACAAGGGAGGTGGGCAGGGCGGTGGCGGGGAAGGTGGAGGGGCGCGTGTCCGCGGGGGCGAGATCGCTGGTGGGGCGGACGAGCGACGACGGGCGGTGGTGGGTGTACCGGCGCGCGGGTGCGGACCCCGACAGTGTGGCGGCGATCGTGGAGGTGACGAGTATCAACTTGTTTCCGAGAGAGAAGCCTCTGTCGAACGCGGGTCGGCTGGTGATCACGGAGGAGATGACGGGGCTGGAGGTCGTCAGGGCGCGTCGCGTGACGTCGAGGGATGCTTTCGACATTGCTAAGGAGTGGGGGGGGGACTGGCTGCCTGCCAGCGTAGCAGCGCGGTTGAGGGAGCTGGAGGTGCACGGGCAGGATCTGCGGAGGCTGCCGGAGGGGATGGGGTCGCTGGAGGCGCTCGACGTGGGCGCATGCGAGCAGCTGGCGGCGGAGGGATGGCTGCCGGCGTCGAGCGGCGGGAGCGTGAGGGAGCTGAACGCTGCTTGTTCCTCGCTTGCGATGGTGCCGGAGGGGATGGGAGCGCTGGAGTGGCTCAGCGTGAGTGGCTGCTGGCAGCTGGCGGAGGAGGGGTGGCTGCCGGCGTCGAGCTGCGGGAGCGTGAAGAAGCTGGCTGGGACTCGTCGCTGGGGAGGGTGCCGGAGGGGATGGGGTCGCTGGAGTGGCTCAGCGTGATAGAGTGCGTGGGGCTGGCGGAGGGGTGGCTGCCGGCGTCGAGCGGCGGGAGCGTGAAGAACCTGTATGCTCGGGACTCGTCGCTGGCGAGGCTGCCTGAGGGGATGGGGTCGCTGGAGGCGCTTGACGTGGAGCGGTGCGAGCAACTGGCGGGGGAGGGGTGGCTGCCGGCGTCGAGCGGCGGGAGCGTGAAGAAGCTGGAGGCTGCGGGCTCGTCGCTGGCGAGGCTGCCGGAGGGGATGGGGTCGCTGGAGGTGCTCGACGTTAGCGGGTGCAGACATCTCGCAGAGGAGGGGTGGCTGCCGGCGTCGAGCGGCGGGAGCGTGAAGACTTTAATTGCTGCGCGCTCCTCGCTGGCGAGGCTGCCGGGAGGGATGGCGTTGCTGGAGGTGCTTTACGTGGAGCGGTGCAGGCAGCTGGCTGCGGAGGGGTGGCTGCCTGCGTCGAGCGGCGGGAGCGTGAGGAAGCTGCGTGCGTGGGAGTCCTCGCTGGCGAGGCTGCCGGAGGGGATGGGAGCGCGAGGTGCTGGACGTGTTTGGCTGCAAGCAGCTGGCGGGGGAGGGGTGGCTGCCTGCGTCGAGCGGCGGGAGCGTGAAGATGTTAATTGCTCGGTCATCTTCGCTGACGAGGCTGCCAGAGGGGATGGGGTCGCTGGAGGTGCTGGAGGTGCTTGGCTGCAGTGAGCTTGCGGAGGAGTGGCTGCCGGCGTCGAGCTGCGGGAAGCTGCGGGAGTTGTGGGCCGCGGCGTATCAGCTACAGGGCCTGCCGGAGGAGCAGATTCGGTCCCTGATAATTCTGTTACGTTGAGCGTCCACCGAGTCACAACACGGTTTTCTCAAGTCTCAGACAAAAGACCGACGAAAACAGCCCCGAGGCCCCTCTCGCCCGCGACACGAGTGAGGGTGCTTGTAGGTCAGCGAAGAACTATGAGTGAGTGACAGTCTGTGGCACGAAGTGCCCACACAACCCGCGGGGGAGTCACTACCCGCCGCGCGCCTGCAACACCGCCGACAGCGACAGCACCGCCTGGCTCGCCGCTTCCCGCACGGCCCCCTCCCCGCGCCGCGACAGCACCTCGGCCTGCGCCAGCAACGCCGCCAATGCATCCACCTCCGGCCCCTCCACAGGCAGCCCCACGGGCTGCACGCACGACAGCGCCACGAGCAAGCTCTCCTGCACCGACGCCTCCACGCCGAACCCGCCCCCCATGCCCGCGTCATCCACACCCCCCCCCTCCTCCTGCCCCAGGTCTAAACACCCCGCCAGCGCCAGCGCGAACTCCTCGCTGAGCAGCACGACGGACGCGTCCGCGGGGAAGAGGTCGCAGAGGAACCCGAGGCACTCCGCGGCCAGCTTCCCGATCCCTGAGTCAGGGTGCCGCACCAGGTCGACCAGCACCGGCAGCGCCGACACGAGCCCACGGGTGATTCCGGCGCCGGGCTCGCCGGCGTGCGTGGCGTGCTGGTCGCGCTCGAGCAGCGAGCAGCACAGGTCGAGCGCGGGGTCCAGGAACGGCTCCACCGCGTTCTCGTGCGCATAAACCAAAACCTGTTCTACGCGCTCGACGGCGCGGAGCTGCGCGGCCTGCTCGCAGGTCAGCGCGCCGAAGACGACGAGCGCGCGGCAGAGCCGCATGTTGTGCACGTTGTTGTTCGGGTGGTCGAGGCTGAGGAAGCTGAAGAGCCGCGGTACGATCTGGAGCGCGGCGACGCGGGGAGCCCAGACGGCGGGCGCGCTCTCGACGAGCGCGACGAGCACCTTGAGCGCGCAGAGAGGGATCATGTCCGACTCCTGGCCCTCGAGGAGCGTCGGGAGGAGCGGGAGGACGACGGAGGTCAGGGCGGCGTCGACGGCGTCGGCCTCGGGAGGCCCCGGGGGGGGTGGGGCGTCCCGCGCGAGCCGCCCGCCCTGCGCGGACTCCGCGCGCTGCTGCGGCGGCCGCGCGGCGAGGTGCGCGAGGAGCAGGTCGGCCAGGAGGGCGAGCGCGGAGTACCGCGCGTCGCCGCCCTCGGTCTGTGACGCGACCACGTCGGCGAGCGCCGGGATGAGGTCGTGCGCCGCGGCGTGCGGGAGGCTGCCGGGGCCCTGCCGGGGCTGCTCGGGCGGCGCGCTGTCGCCCGGGGCCGCCGCGTTGTCGACAAGCTCCACCCCTGCAACAACAAAGGAACAAGCAGTCGAGAAATCACGACTGATGGCGGCAGCTAGAAGCACCGTTCAGGCGCCCACGGCCAGGCACAGCGCGAGCGTGCCGGATTTGGTTTCCGCAGGAGAAAGGAGGGGGGGGGTGTCTCACTTGACAGCTGGTCTTCCAGCGCCTTGGTCTGGCCCGCGCTGTCGAGGCCCATCACCGCCGTCGGGCTCTCCGACAGCGCGTCGAGCGCGCGCAGCACGGCCTCCTTGAACTCCGGCGGCCCCGCGGACGCCGCCCCGGGCGCCGTCACGGCGCGCAGGAACGCGGCCAGGTGCGACACTAGTGCCGCGGACTGCACCGCCGGCCGCAGCGTCGGGCTCTGCAGCAGGTACGGCACGACGCTGAACGACGCCAGCGCGCCACCGCGGCTCGCCGCGCGCCCGAGCGCGGGCGACGCCGCCCGGCGGCCGCCCTGTGACGCCGCCAGCTCCTGCGTGCACCGCGGCAGCAGAATCGCGCTGACCTGGTGCCGCACTTCGGCCTGGAGGCACCGCAGCGCGGCGCGGACGTAGGGGTCGCGTTCGCGGCTGAGCCGCTCCATCTTCTCGACGACCTTGCCCGCGCGCGCCAGGTGCGCGAACCCCTGTCGGGCCAGCAACCCCAAAATAACAACCCCCTTGCCCTGCAGCATCTGGAGGGGGGAGTCCAGGAGCTGCGCGAGGCCCTGCTGCAGCGTGCGGTCCTCGAGCGCGCCCGCCGTCGCGCGCACGGGCACGTCCGGGCTCGCCAGCGCCAGCGCCAGCATCGTCGCGCACGCGCCCTGCGACTTGGACGACGTGTCCAGCAGCCCCTGGACGAGCGTGCGCAGGCCGAACTTCTCGATCGTGTACGGCAGGAGCGCGGGGTGCGCGCGCACGAGCCGCGCGAGCGTCGACGCCGCCGTGCCGCGCACAGTGTCTTGGTTCGAGTTCAGCAGCACTTGCGCGCAGCAGAACGCGGCTTCTTTCGTCGCGAACCGCGCGGCCCACTCGCCTCCCTGCGTCGCGATGTTCTCGATCGTCTTGAGCGCGTAGTGCTGCGTCACGTCGTCCTCGCCCTGCCGCAGGAGCCGCAGCACCTGCGCCGTGACGATGGGTGGGACGTCCCACCGCGTGGCCGCGCCGCCCGCGGCGCGCGGCGTCGCGACGCCGTCGCTGTCGTCGCCCTGGTTCGTGCCCTCGCCGTCGCCGTCGCCGTCCGAGGCCAGCGCGCCCGTGTGGTGCTGCTGCGTCGACAGGTAGAACAATAACTCCCCCAGCGCGGCCATCGCGCGCCGGCGCACGCGCTCGCCCTTGTCGCGCAGCACCTCCGCGAGCGCCTCGACGATCCCCGTCGACGCCAGCTCGTCCGCGATGTACGTCGCGTGGCGCACCAGCAGCCCCATGACAGACGGGATCCGCGTGCGCAGTTTGTCGGACTTCGCCGCGCGCAGGAGCCGCACGAGCAGCGCCATCAGCGACGAGTTGACCAGGATGTTGGCCGCCTGGCTGTCGATGCACAGCGACTCGAAGTACGCCAGAATGTTCGCCTTGTCCGTCACGGACGCCCCTGACGCTAGCGCTTTGTATACTTGTTGCAAGAAGCCCTCGAGCTGCTGCGCGGGCGCCATGATCATCTCCTGCAGCGTCAGCGGCCGGAACGGCAGCGCGGCCGCGTCCCAGCGCGGCTCCGGGACCCGCTCGATGCGCCGATTGCCGACGATCGGCTTCACCACCATGTCGGAGGCGTGCCAGATCACGTCCTCCAAGCACGCGCCGCCGGGGCGCCCGGCGCCGAGCGACGCGATGTTCTCGCGCACGCCGGGCCCGGCCGCGCCCGCGCCGCCGATCTGCATCGCCGACGCCTGCTCCGCCATGCCCTTGCGGTCCTGACGCGGGTTTATACCCAGGAGGGGTGTAATCGTGTCGCGCGGTGCGCCGGGGCCCCCGGCGGACATCGGCTTGGCGTCCGCGCCCGCGGCGTCCTGCCCGCGCTCGGACCCGCCGCGTTCCGATGCGGCTCGGTGCGGAGGGATCCGCGGAGTCGCGTTGCCGGTCGGCGTCGGTGCCGCGCTCGCGGTGGCCGAGTTGGCGTCGGGCTGCGGCGGGAGCGAGCCCGCGCGCGGCAGCGACGAGGTAGACGCCGGGGACGACGGGATCGCGGAGCCGCGCGACTGCTGGCGGTCGAGGGCGGCGTTCGCGGGCCGGGCGTCGGCGGCGGCGGCGGCGGTGGCGCTTGGCGCGGCGTCCGAGGGCGGTTCCGGCGTGGCGCGCTGCGCGAAGTCGACCTCGACGTCGGCGTCGTCGATCGGGACGGCCCCCTGCTGCGCGGCGCCGCGCGCGACGCCGGCGCGCGCGTCTGACCGCTCGCGATACTCCCCCCCCGTGTCGTTGGTGCCGTCCTGACGGATGTTCCGGCCGGCGATCTGCGAGAGCCGCGTGACATCGACGCTGCCGCGCAGGTCCGCCGCGGCACGGATGGCCGCCGCCATCGACGCGCGCGGGTCCTGCTCGGGCTCCGGCCGCAAGTTGTTGCGAGTGACGAAGTCCTCCAGTGCTGGTTCCGCGGGCAGCTCCCTCGGCTGCGCGCACAGCGGCCACGGGCGCGGTTCGGTGGGACAGATAGGCGCGTGCGGGAACAAAATCATTCGTGTTTCCTCGAGTGTTTGTGCGTCAATTGATTCTGCGCGCGGCTGCCCCCCTCCGGTCGCGTGCTCGGCAGCATCGGCGGCACCGGCAGATCCAGCTCGCGGTACGCGGCACGCGGACCGAAACAGCGCTGTCGCAGCCCGCGGGAACGAACAACACACCCCCGGCCTGCAACGAAGACGCATTGCTTTCACGCAACGGTCGCGGCAAGGCGCGCACCCGCATGCTGTGCTGGTTGAACGGGTGCTTGATGATCTCCGCCCACGTGATCCGCGTCGCGGGGTTCTTGTCCAGCATCCGTCCGACCAGGTCCTGGAACGCCTCCGATGCCCCCGGGAGGGGTGACGGCTCCACGTTGAGCACGTCCGTGATCAGCTGCGCGAGCGTGGGCGCGGCGAACGGCGGGCGCCCCGCGGCGCACTCGTACAGCACGCACCCGAGCGCCCAGATGTCGGACGCGGTGGAGTGGGGGGAGGGGTCTACGAACAGCTCCGGGGCCATATAACTGGGAGTCCCCTTCTTGTTGAGGGCGTCGCGCGTGGTGGGCTGCGCGGGCGCGCCGCCGCCCGTGGCCGCGGTGTACGTGCGGTTGACGTCCTGGATGCGGCGAGACAGGCCGAAGCCGCCCAACTTGAGTCTTCCATTCTCGTCTAGGAGGATGTTCGAGGGCTTGAGGTCGCAGTAGAGGATGCCGCGGGAGTGGAGGTAGTGCAGGGACTCCATGAGGTCGCGCGCGAGGTCGTGGATCGACGACTCCGGCAGCATGACGTCCTGCGCCGCGTCGCGACTTGCAAAGCGGTGCATGGGCGCGCGGGAGGGCACCTCACGCGGGCCGGCGTTGGTCGCCGCTACCGCGGCGGCCAAGAGGATCGCGGCGCCGCCGGAGTCCGCCGAGACCGGCGGCTTCGGCGGGAGCTACGGCGCGTTGCTGTGTGGAGACAAAGGGGCCGTTGCGGCGCACCTGCTTGAGGAGAGCGAGCAGGGACCCTCCGACGCAGAACTCGAGGATGAGCCAAAGGTGGTTCGTGGTCTCGTACCACGCGTGGAAGCGCAGGACGTTGGCATGATCGAGTTGATGCATTGCCTTCACCTCCTGGAGAACGCGCGGTTTCTCGCCCTTCTCGACGCTCTTGATCGCGAAGTAGCTGATCGTGCGCTTCTTCCGGCCCTTGTACACCACCGAGTGCTGCCCGCGGCCGACCGCGTCGTATATGCTGCGCGTAGGAGCGGGGAGGCGTCCCAGAGGTTGGCACGCAGCTCCGCGGCCGCAGGGGGGGGGAACGCCGGCGCGGGGGCGGCGCGGCGAGCGGGTCTCGAGAGCTCGCGGGGCCGGGCGCGCCGGGGCCGGCAGGGGGCGGGCGGCGGGTGCGTGGCGCGGGCACGCAACGGCTGCGACACGCTCGCAGCAAGGCAAGCAGCGCGGGAGGCGCGTGAGGGGGAATTTCCGGCACGATGGCTGCGAGACCGTGACGAGAGAGCTGCGTGGGAGGCACCCGGTGCGCCCAGACGGCCGCTGGACGCGAGGTGGACGCGTGGGCTAGTGCCCAGGGCACAACACAGGACTGCCGCGCCTGTCTAGGCGGGCCTGGAGGGCGAGTTCGGTCGTGCATAGATGGCGCCGATACGTGTCCTAGATGGTTCTGCAGCGTGCCGCGCGCGAGGCGCCGCGTGCGCAGCAGGGGAGCGGAGACTGCTGCGCTTGTTGCGATTCAGGCCGGTGAGGCCCCGCACGCGCCGCCTCGGCGGCTGCACGCCCTGCGCGCCGCCGGCGCCTACGCTTCTGGGAAAGTTCTACCACGTGCCGGATCCGGGCGCTCGGCCGGGGCCGCACCGCGCGAGGAGCACGGCTTTGGCTCAGCGCAGCAGGCGCGGTCCCCGCGTCGCGCGGGGGGGGTCCGGGCCGCCGCGAGCGCGCGATCGGCGAGCGAGAGACGCGTTTGTGCGGGGGCGTACTGGTAGTTGTTCATTGCGCCCACGTGCGCGCCCCGCGGGGCCGAACTTCCCGCCTCGGCGCTACGTTTGCGACCCTACGACGTCTCCGGTGGCGCGCTTCGCTGTCTCAGCTGCCCATCTCGACGGCAGGTCGACTCGCCGTAGTGTCGGGCCCAAAAACGGGCAACCAGCGAACCCTATCCGGCGCTTTGCGCGAAAGTCCCAGGTGCGCCAAGCAAGCGACCGATTGCGTGCTAGCGCCCGCGAGCTATAAGTCCCCGCCGACACCGCGGCCGCCACGCTCTATCTCTCGGGCACATGTGTCCGCGGCGCGGCGCGCAGCGCCCCCTCCTGTGCAGGCTCAGAGACCCCCGGAATGACTCAGGAGCTGTTTATACTGGCAACACCCGGCTGCGCGGCCAAGTGCCGCCCGCGAGGCCGGCCGCGCGCAGCTGGCGGACAGACGGTCGCGCCGCGCGCCCGACCGCACCGCGCTTCCCATGTGCTGGTCGCGAAAGTAGCAGTGTGTCAACAGGCGGTTCATTTCATCGTGCATTCGGGCGCGACACGATGACGCGCCGCGCGGCGGACGCGCCGAGCGCCGACGGGGCGCTCTTCCCGTGCATCTTGTCGGACTACGAGTCGCCGCTGCTGCACCGCCTGCTGCCCGGCCACCCTGGAAGTGGCACCGCCTCTGCCGCGTCGCACGGCGAGCCTGGACCGCGGGCCGCCTCGAACGGCGCGGTCCAGGACGCACCGAGGGATCAGAGTGCCGTCACGAACGCTCAATCGACGAAAGTCGTCCATTCCAAGTCGGCAGAGGAGGACGGAGATGTCGCGTCTCCACAGACTCCGCGAACGGGCCACGGCGCAGCGGGCACGGCGCCGCACAGCGTGCTGGATCAGAACGGATCGCACAGTCACGCGAGCAGCGCGAACGGAGCGTCGCATGCGGTGCAGGCGGCGCACACGGGCGATGCGAGCCTCCGTGGCAGCACTCCTGTGGAATTGCCGTGGCATACGGCCCGCTGCGGCGTGCTCGACGTGCCAATCGTGCCGCAGAAGTTCCGCGCGGACGACACCTACGGCCTCGAGGCGCATCGTGACGCGCACGCGGAGTGCGCGGCGAAAATCTCCTTTCTCATGGACTTGGGTCTCGCCGGCGGGTCGCGTGTGCAGCTCAAGAGCGCGAACAGCTCGGAGAAGTACGCGACGATCTGGTGCATCGACGAGCCGGAGGACGCCGACGACGAAGACGACGAGCTGCGCGACGCAGTGCTCGTTTCGCCCATTCTAGCCGGTGGGCTCCTCCTCCCTCTCGCTGCGCGCGCAGCCTGGCCCGCAAACACCCGCCCGCCGCGTGCCAGGCTGCCGCAGCCCTCGCGCGAGGCGCCCGCATCCCGCGCCTGCAAGGGCGCCTCCCGGCGCGCCGGCAGATACCCGTGCGAGTGTGTTGTTCCACATTTTCGCGCCCGACTGCCGCCAGACCGCATCCCGCCGTCCCCCGTCGCCGCAGCCGACCTGGGCATCCCGCACGCTCCGGAGCAGCTCCTGGACCGGAAACCCCCCGCCGATTCCCGGCCGTTCACGCCGGCGACGCACGCCATCCAGATTCGTGCCGCGCCCGTCGTCGACGCCACCTGCACGCGCCGCCGCGCGGCAGCAGGCGCGGCGAACGGCGCGCCGGCGGAGCAGCTGCGCGCCTCGCCCGGCCCCGACGGCGCGCCAGAAGATAACACCCCCCCTCGGCTGGCGGGCCTGACGAGAGCCGCCAGCGTCACGCTAGCGAAGGTCAAGGAGCCTATCGTCAGCATGTTCCTGACGCAGGACCAGGACGCCGTGGAGGAGGAGCGCTACGCGCGGGCGCGCGAGGCCGGCCTGCGCGACCGCTTCCGAGCGCCCCGCGCCCTCGCGATCGGAGATGTAGTTCCAGTATTCTTTAGGAAGCCGCCAAGCCCCTTCTCCGGGGCGCCCGGGCGCCGGCGCGACGAGGCCGCGGGGGCCACCGACGGCGCGGAGGGCGACGCGCCGCTCGCGGCGGCCGCGTGGCAGGACGTCGCGCTGGAGCGCGGGTGGCAGTTTGCATGCTTCCGCGTCACGCGCATCGAACCGGAGACGTCGAAGGGCGCCGACAGGGCGTCGATGATGCGCGCGGTGTTCGGGGGCGCGCCGTGCGTGGTGGTGCCGCGCGAGACGAAGCTCGTCGTGGCCGGGCAGGTGCAAGCAATACTCCCCCCTGGCTTGAGGGGGTACTGCGGGGCGGAGCTGTGGGGGCGGGCGGGGAAGGCGCGGCGGCCGCACGACTGGACTGCGCCGCCGAAGGGCTGGCACAGGACGCTGTCGGAGCTGCATCCGCGGACGCCGCTGCTCGGGTGGCTGGCGTCGGGGCCGCGGGCGGCGACGCCGTGGCTGCCCGGTGTGGGCCCGCTGGCGCCGACGTGGCGCGCGCTCGCGGAGATCCTCGCGCCGATCTACCACCCGGACACCGCGATCGGGCTCACGGCGAGCATTCTGCTCACGGGACCCCCTGGGTGCGCATGTCCCGCCAAAGTCTGTCTGTCTGTCTGTCTGTCTGTCTGTCTGTCTGTCTGTCTTTCTGTCTGTCTGTCCTGGAAGCAACGCACGCAACACGCACGGAAGTAGTACGCCTGCCGGCGACCGTTCGGTCGCGCTGGTGCAGATCGCGCCGTCCCATTAGTGATGCCCGTTGCAACACCACTTGTCTTTTCGTATCTTCACTTGCTCGCCTTTTTCCGCGCTAAAGACCGCTCCACCCGCTCGCCCGGCGCAGGTCCGGCAAGGACGTCGCGCTGCGGGCCGTCGCGCACGCCCTCGGGCTCAACATCATCCCCCTGGAATGTCAGTCCCTGGCCGACTCCTCCCCCTCCGAAACGGAGCTCGCCGAGTTCATCAAGCAGCACGTCCAGGAGTCCCGCGGCTTCCCGCCCTGCCTCGTCGTCTTCCGCAACGTCGGCGCCCTCGCGCAGCCGCTCCCGGGGGACCACGCGCACAACCCGGCCACCGCGCAGCACGCCGACGCGACCGGGCGCGGGCCCCCGCACGTCATGGCGCAGCTCCGGCGCGCCGTGAGCGAGTGCGGCCGCTTCGCGCGCCCGCAGGACCGCGTCGTCATCGCGGCGACAGCGGAAATGGCGTCCGACGTCCCGGCGCCGTTGCGGGCCATCTTCACGCACCACCACCGCTGCGAGCCGCTGCCCGGCGGCGGCGGCGGCCGCGCGTCAGTCCTCGGGCCGCCGCTCGCGTCGGTCGGGTTCAAGCCGTCCCCGGAAGCGTGGGACGTCCTCCAGAAGGGGTCGGCGGGGCTGTCGTTACGAGACCTCTCGGCGCTCACGGCAGGGCTTGCTCTCGCGCCTGCGCGCGGCGGGGAGGGTGCGGAGCGGACGGTGGACGCGGGGGAGGCGGACGTGGCCGCGACGCGGGTGCGGGGGGCTCTGCGGCGTGGGTTTGGCGGCGTCGAGGTGCCTGAGGTGCGCTGGGCGGACATCGGGGGCCTGGACGACGCGCTCGCGATCGTGCGGAAGGCGCTGAAGCCGCCGCACGCGTCCGCGGGCGGCCGCCGCATCCGGCCGCGGAGCGGGGTGCTGCTCTTTGGTCCCCCGGGGACCGGCAAGACGCTCACGGCGAAGGCGATCGCAACAGAGAGCGGTGCGCACCCTTCGACCCCTCTTACACCACGCCTCCTCGATTCCGGCCGGTACTCGCGATTCCGAGCCCTCGCTGTCCGCGGCGGCCCGCAGATGACTTTGCATTGAATTGCGTCGTGCCGCGCAGGCATGAACTTCCTGAGCGTCAAGGGCCCCGAGCTGCTCGACATGTACATCGGGGAGTCCGAGCGCAAGGTCCGCGAGGTCTTTTCGCGCGCGCTCCAGGCCGCGCCGTGCGTTCTCTTCTTCGACGAGCTCGACTCGCTCGCGCCGCGCCGCGGCGCCGGCGGGGACTCCGCGGGCGTGATGGACCGCGTCGTGTCGCAGCTGCTCGCCGAGATGGACAGCGTTCACCAGGCGGACGCCTCGGGCGGCACGGGAATCAACGTCGTGGTCATCGGTGCTTCCAACCGCCCGGACTTGCTCGACCCGGCGCTGACGCGCCCGGGGCGCCTGGACACGTCCGTGTACGTGTCGCTGCCGCGCGGCGTCGCGGGCCGCGCGCAGGTGCTGCGGGCGCTGACGCGGAAATTCGCGTTTGCTGAGGACGTGGATTTCGAGGCCGTGGCGGCGCTGGCGAGCGAGCGGGCGAGCGGCGCGGACCTGTACGGCGCGTGCGCGGACGCGTGGATGCGGGCGGCGCGGCGGCGGATCAAGGAGTCGCAGGCGGAGGGCGGGGGGGAGTTAGTGGGGCCTGTCGCGGTGACGCAGGAAGACATGATGGGCGCCGTGGCGGTGATGGCGCCGTCGGTGTCGGCGGAGGAGCTCGAGCGATACGAGGCGATAGCGAGGGAGCACGCGGGGCCGCTCGCCGTGTAACACGCGCCGAGGGCCGTTGCCATTCAACGACAAACTGCTGGAAGTGTCTGTTACGACCTGATAGGTCTCAGGCGCTTGATGGTTGAACGGGTACGTTTGTTTGTGGTTGGCCGACCTACATTTGCGCAAGAAGGAATTGACCACCCGCGCAAGAAACGAAGCGCCGGCGCCCGCAGCGCGAGACGAGGCAAACCATTCCCAAGCGACGTTCCTGTTCAATCGAAGATCATCAACACAATACAATACAATACAATCGACACCAAACAATGAATCATGAATCACATCTTGCGGTCTGCTCCGCGCCCCCCCGGCACGCGCACGCCCCGCAGGCCCCCGCACAAACAGCCCCGGCAAGCCAACCTCTCAGAATCCCGGGAAGGGGCCGGGAGGGGGCGGGGGAGGGGGGTTTCATCACTCCACTGGAGCGGCACTTCCTCCTTGTTCTGTTTCCCGACACCGCGGCACGTGTCACCTCACCAGCGGCGGCGCCCCCCCGAGCCGCGTCCCGAACCGCCTGCGCGCCTTCCGCCCGTACACCTTGTGCCACGACGCGTCCCCCGCCGCAATGTCCGACCCGACCCGCCACCCCTCCGACAACACCCCCCCGCGCGCCGCCACGTCGACGCCGTCCAGAGCCGCCGGCGGCGCGAACCACGCCGTCTCCTCCGGCACCGTCACCGGCGACGCCGCCACCGCGGCGCCGCCGGCCGCCGCGCTCTCCGCGCGCTCCGCGGCACTCCCGGACCGGTCGCCGTCCTGTCCGCGGCGGGCGCGCTTCTTCGCCTTCTTCCGCGCGCTGCCGACGCCGTTCGCGCCCGCAAGATGCTCCCCGCTCCCGCTGCTGCTGCCCGTCTTCCCGAGCGGCCGCGGGCCCGGAACCGCCGGCGTGGGCGCCCGTTCCGCGTGCCAGGGCGGCGTGACGTCGCCGTCGCGCGACAGGCGCATCGGCGTGGCGGGGGCGCTGCGGCGCTGGCAGCAGGGGCACGGGTCCGTGCGGGACTTGTAGCTGCCGGCGTCGTGCGGCAGCTGCGCGTGCGGCGGCACGTGGTGGTGGTTCTGGTGGTGGCGGGCGCCGCGCGCGTCGTGCCGGTCGAAGTGGCGCGCCTGGTCCAGCCGGTCGAGGGCGTACTCGACGCGCAGACGCGTGCCGTAGCTGTCGCGCTTCGACGCGCCGTTCGAGAGCAGCTGCTTTGCCTGCGGGTGGAGCGCGGCGAGCAGACGCGGCGTGAACATGCGCAAACAATTAATTAATTAATTAATTAATTAATTAATCTTGTTTTGGTAATTGTGAGTGCGAGGAGGCCGTGGTGGCCGCGGGCGGCGCGAACCGCGCGCCCGGCATCCTCAGGCGCGCGCACGCGTGCTCCGCGAGGCCGCGCCGTCGCTGGCGGCACGGCTACGACGAACACAGGCAGTGGGGTGCGGGGGGGGGGATTTTCGCGGCACTCGCGGCGGGAGACGGCGCACCTCGCGGACCATTTCCTCGACGCCGGCGCCCTCTTCCTTGAGCGCCGTCATCGCTTGCCGGCGGACCTTCTCCGGGATGGTGCGGCACTGATAGATACTGCCATACCACAGCGCCGCTGCGGCCTTGACGGCCTGCCAGACGAGGAGCGCGCGCGGGTGGTAGTACAGGGGGAGCGCGAAGAGGAAGGAGAGGACGGTGTAGGCGAGCTGGAGGAGCCCGAAGGCCACGACGCGGCCGTGCGTAGTGCGCTGGCGGTTGATGAGCTTGACGAAGGGGTTCCCGGTCTTCTTCGTGAGCCACTTGAAGGACGTCATGAGCTCAGGGTCGCGCATGAACTTCCCAATGAGGACGTGCTGCACGAGGATGTAGTACGCGAGCTGCCAGGTGCAGTAGAAGACCAGCGGGGCGCCGAACAGCCACCACACCGCCTGCCCGCCGAACGGAATCGTCGACTGCGCGGGACGGGACGAGAAACGACCGTGAGAAGGCGTGGCGGCGCGGAGCGCTCATGCCGCGGCCTCCACGCGCGCTGCAGGCGGGGTTTGGTCCGCCCGCGTGCGCACCTGCTCCACTGTCATCCGCGGGTGCATCCTGACGGCCTCGTTCCAGGGCGTTCCAGCGAGGACGTCCTTCGAGAGCTTGACGAGGCCCTCGACGCCCCGCGGCCCGGACGCGAGGCGGTTGCACGCCAGCGCGAGCCCCGGCAGGAGGTGCACGCCCACGGAGACGAAATGCTCCATGGAGCTGAAGACCCAGGAGGTCTGCCAGACGATGATGGCGCCGGCGACGGGCCCGTCGGCGAGCGCATGCGTCAGGGCGCCGAGAGCCTGCGAGTTAGGCCAGCCTACGAGGTGGACGGCCGCGAGGGCGTTCACGAAGTAGCAGAAATCAACCATGAAGAACTCCCACTTGAGCCTCCGGTACTTCTTCGTGCGCCACGGGATGGAGAAGGCCAGGAAGAGCACGTACACGGGTGCAATAGCCCACCGGGCCGCGGCGCAGCCCAGGACGATCACGGTGAAGATCAGCGTGCCGAGAAAGTGCAGGAACGCCTGCCCGCCTGCAGGGGGGGCGACGCGGCGGGGCGGGCGGGTCGGGGGCGCGGTCGAGGCCACAGGTGCGCCAGGATGGGGCATCGCGGGCGTCCGCTGGTGCTGGCCTCGAACGCCCGTGGCGCCGCGATACGCGCGCTGAATGAGCGTTTTTCGCGTTCATACTCTCGTTTCGAAGTGGGGGTATCGGCGGAGGGGGCGCGTCCGGCACGATGCGGCGTGTGCGGCCCGCGAGGCGGGGCGAAAGTAGTTGGAAGCGGTGGGGCTGCAGCAGGGGCGTGCCGGGCGTCACCCGGGGCTCCCAGGCCGCAACACCGCGGAATCTCGCGGTCGCGTGTGCTAAACGGCGCAAAAATCCAACGCGCAGCCCGAAGCGTCGCATATCCGGCGCGGCGGGAGACGGCCAAAGCAAGCCACTGGAGGGCGCCGCCAGAGGCCCGGCGCGCCGAGCAGCCGCCCGCGGTGCGTCCCCGCGGCGCAGCAGTCACGGAAAAGCCCGTGCGGGGCGCCGCGGCGCCGGATGCCCCGCCTGCGCGCGTGGCGCGGGCTCACCTGGAGGTGCGCGCTCCGCCTGCGTCTTCTGCCGCTTCGGCTGGTACTCCGGGGCCGGCGAAGTGGCGTCAGGGGCCGGCCTCTTCCTCCCTCTGCGCCGCATGGCGCTCTGGAAGAGCGCAGACGCGCGCCGCTGGACGGGGCCGACCACGCCCTGCTTGATGGGCGTGAGCAGGCGCTGTAGCGACCCGCTCAGGACCTCCAGGGACCGCCGTCCGTCGTCTTCCTTCGCGTTCCGGGCGTGGGTGGCCGCGGAGAAGCTCTTCGCTTCACGGCGCGCCCCCTCACGCCCCTTTGGGGCGGGCTTTGCCCGCCCCTTGCCCTGGTGCATCGGCTGTCCTATCGCTGGCCGCCTCGGGGCGCACAGGGCTCAGCCGAGGTCGACAGCGGTGCTCGGGCGGAGATAAACACTGGAGGAATCGTTCTGCGCCGCGCGCGGCGCCCGCCGCCCCGTTGTGGTGCGTGTGCGGCACGTCCCAGGGGCATGGGCGCTGGGCGGACAGGCGACGCTGGGCGCGTCGTGAAGGGGCGCAGCCGCGCCGCAGCGCCCCGACTCGACGGCTCCTTGTTAGAGGAACCGCGCACGCGGCGGTTCGGAGCGGGAGCGGCGGGCAGCGGCCGCGCACACCGCTCCAAGCAGGCAGGTGCTGGACAGGCGCGCGGGCGGCGCTGTCGTCCTGGGACGTGTATCTAGGGCATCGACTTACTTACCTGGACATCGCGAACGGCGTCGGCTTGACCTGAGAGCAGCCAAGGAGGTCCGCTGGGGCCCTGCGCCCGCAGCGGAAGCCAGAAGAGGCACTGTGGGGCAATTAAGTCGCGAATTCTCGACATGGACGACATCGACGAGCTCGACGTCGACCTGGAGGAGTTCGACAGGGGCGTTGGCGCGTCTGCGGTGGCCGGTCCGCCGCAGCCGGCGCCCCAGGCCTCCAGGGCGGCCGAGGCGTGGCAGCCGGGTGCGCCCACCGTCTGGGCGGGAGCGTCCCGCCAGGCGGTGGCTGCGGTTCACGGCCCGGCTGGCGGCGGCCAGGCGGGGCGGCTTGAGCAGCAGTTCGAAGCTGCGTGGCGTTCTGGGACGCAGACGCCGCGGGGCGGCGCGGGGGCGCCGCAGAGTGCAGCGCGGGATGCGTGGGCGACAGCCAGCGGCGCTGGCGCCGTGCCAGCGTGGCCGACGCAGCAGGGTCCGGGCGTTCCGGGCACGCAGTGTACAGGAGATGGATGGAACGGGTGGAGCCAGGCCGGGAGGGGGCGTGACGGGCCGCGCGAGCCGGCAGCGCAGGCTGCACAGAGACACGCCGTCCGCGCCGCTGAGCGTGCGGCTCCGGACAGGAACCGCGCTTCCTACGCCGCTGGAAATACAGCATGGCCGAACGCGCCGGGCGCCACCGCCGCGCGTGCGCCGGGCGAGCGCGCCTCGCTGCCGATGCAGCTCTCCCAGCGGGTCCCGGGCCCGGCGGGCGTCCTCCAGCAGCTCGAGGACCGCGGCTGCGTCGTCGAGACCCTCGAGCAGCTCGTGTCGATGGCCGCGGAGGCTCGGGACGGCGGAAACCCGGCCCACGCGCCCGAAAGTGGCCCTGACGCCAGCGCTGGCGCGCCTCACGGCCTCTGCGCGGACCCGGGCTTCCGTGACGGGCCGTGGAAGCAGGCCGCGGGCGCCCTGGAGCTGCCCTCGGACCCGCGGCACTTCGGGGCCGGCGCGGGCGGCGAGGCCGGGGGCCCGCAAGGGTTGCGCACCGTCCACGACGTCAATGCGGTGACGTTCCGCGGGAAGGCCGCCGCGATGGTCGTGCTCGTCGCCTCGCTGCGCCTCACGGGCACCGGCGACGCGCGGTGCGTCCTCAAGGTGCGTCCCCGCCACAAACAAGCAACGTAATGCCGCGTCGGTTCACTCCCCCCCCGCCTTCCCACCTGCAACCACCGTGGGATGACGCGCGGGCAGGCTGGCCCGCACAGGGCCGACGAGGCCGCGGGAGCGCGTCTGCAGACCGATGGCGCGACGTGCGCTGGCTGCGTAGACGGCATCCTGCAACGCCATCGCTCCTGGCCACTCCGCGGCCCGCAACGCGTTGCGTGTGCATCTCGCACGCCGCCGATGCAGCGCTCCGGACGCGCCCCTTCGCTCGCGGACTGTGCTGTCTGGTCATAATAATATGAATTAACTATATACCAGTATATACGACTACTAGAATATATAATAGTATCATATACTATGTTATCATACTTTTCATTATAAATGACTCGAACATGTTGTACATATTCAATATGCTCCCGCCCCGACTGACTGCGCCCGCAGGACCCGACCGGCACGATCTCTGCGGCGGTGACCGCCGCGGCCCTCGACGCCGAGCCCGCCATCGGCCCCGGCGCAGTCCTCGCGCTCCGCAACGTGACGGTCCTCGCCGTGCGCCCGCGCAACCACTACCTGTGCATCACGCCCTGCAGCATCGCGCAGGTCTACGCGCCCGCGGCGCGCGACGAGGAGGAGCACGGCGCGACCGACGCGGCCCGCGGGCCGCCGCTGCTGCGCGGCCTCGACGGCGAGGGGGGGAGTGGCAACATGGCGGAGCGGGGGACTCCCCCCCTGGAGCGGTGGCAGCGCCAGGCGGCGACCGCGAGCGGCCGCGCCGCGCTCGCGTCGGCCGCGGAGCCGCGGCCGGGGTGGCTCGAGGGCGCGCTAGCGCAGTCGTCTGCACGAGCGATGAGACCCCCGGGACCGCCGCAAGACGCCCCGGCCTGCGCCGGCGAGGGCGGGGAACGCGGTGGGTGGCGGCCGGACGAGGCGGCGTGGGCGGATGGCCGCGCTGGAGGCGGGGAGCGGCGGCCGTCGCCGTCATCGTCGCAGGACAGTGGCGCCCCGCTCGCGGCGCAGTTCCACCGCCGCGCGTCGCAGCGCGCCAGCGGCGCGCAGGCTCCGGCGCAGGCGGCCTCAGCCGCGTACCAGTCCGTGGTGCCGGGGCGGTGGCAGGCGCCGCCGCCAGCGGTGCCGTTGCAAGCGCGCACGAATGGCGCGGCGCCGAGGCCGTCCGCGCCGCCGAAGGCCCCGGACGCGCGCGTCGCGACGGTGGCCCGTGTGCCTGGGGCGGCCGTGCTGGGGAACGCGCCGGGGCCGGCGGCGGCGGGAGCGCAGGCGACGGCGCGGGGTGTGGACGCGGACGGGTGGGCGGAAGCGGCGGCGGAGCTGGCTGGCGGGGATGGGGGGGAGGCTGGGTCAGTCAGGGCTGTGGGGGGGGCGGCAGGGGGTGTTCCGGGTGGGGAGTGGGAGGCTGATGGGTGGGACGCGTCGCCGTCGCAGTGGGAGGGGTGACGGGGGGTGTGCCGGCGAGGGTGTAGCCGTGCAGCAGGCGCAGATGTCGATCCAAGATAGTCGTGAAGTAAATAAGTGCACATTTCAGAAGTTCACAATTGTTCGTTTATGTCTTGTTCGTTTGCATGGGCGTGGGCTACGTTCTTCGTGTCTTTGCATCCAGCACGAGGACTTGCAGGCGGTGCAGAGCCATGCAGCGCGCGTCAGTGCGCCGCAGGGTCCGACCCGGCATCATCGACGTACCCCCCCCCGCCCATGCAACGGGCCAGCGCACTGTTGCCACTTACTACAGAGTAGAATTGACCACCCGCGCACGAAACGAAATGCGGGTGTGCTATCGTCCCGATCAAGGCGGCAGCGTGCTAGGAGCACTGCGCGAAATGCCATGTGAGCGTGCCATCATGTGCCAAGGGAAGGCTCTGACCTGCAATCAGTTAGAGTGAGTGGCGGGCGTCGTCAGCAACAACGCGGCGAGCCGCGCGAGTACTGGACGACGCCCGCCAGCCGACGCGCCGAAGTGCTGGTCCACGTCCTAGGCTGCTTGTACCGGGGGGTGTCGGCAGCCGGCTGGGTGACAGCGGTGACTGAGTCTGCGGCATTGTCCGCGTTGTGTGGCGACGCGCCGACGGCTACTCAGCTCTCCTCGTCATCGCCGTCCCCCGCGCGTGGCCTGTCATGCGAAAAGGGATCATACCTCGGTCTAGCGGCCACGGAATACGCGCATGGCCAACATGTCAACATCGGGGGGGTAACAGAGTGCGTCATGTGTGCGGGCATGGCTGGATAGTTCCGAGCCAGCTTCGCAGCGCCGGGATCATGTATGAGGGTGACGAGTTGCAGGGCGCCGGGCACGCCCTGTCAGCAGGTTGGCCAGTATGGTCTGCAAACTGCACGTGGCGACGCACGAGGTCAGCCAGGCCCGCCGGCGTGGCAGGGCCAAAATGCGGGCTCGGGTGCGTCCGGCAGGCGGCGCGGTGGATCGCCAGGACCTGTCGCATGCAGTAACCTCGATGCGTACGCATGTAGCGCATCATGGCCGACATCTTGGCTACGTAGCTGTCGCGGTCAGTCACCTCGCTGGACACGCGGATGTGTTCGGTGCGGACGATGTTGTAAAGGTGTCGTCGCAGCAGCGCACACGAAGCGTGGGGGTACTGTATGAGGTGAATGTTCTCAGGAAACAGACCGCGTTTGTCATAGTGCGAGATCAGGAGGAAGCCCTGATATTCGGGATGCGGACGCACGCGGAGGTCTAGGAAGGAGACACCGTCGAGCGGGTTCGCTGGGGCGTCAAATTCGACCTCAAGACAGGGGGGGTACATGTTATGTATACCAGAGATGAGATCTACGATCGACGACGGGGTTTCGGGGGGCGGGGTGGGGGGGCGGGGGTGGGTGTTGAAGTAGCGGTACAGTGCGTTCGCGAGAGAGAAATTGTCGTCGATGTAGCGCCTGGAATAACGGAAAGACCCCAAGACCTTCAGCCAAGCGACGTCGCCAGTGCTCAACCAGCGGTCGCGAAACTGGCAGAGGAACGCGAGCTCATGCCGGAACATGTAGCAGTTCGCGAGGTGGGGGGAGGCCGAGAGCCCCATGGGCACACCGCAGGTCTGGTGATATACGACGCCCCCGAACACCACGTAGGCGCGTTTGACGAGGATGTGCACGAGACCATGAAGTTGCTCGATGCTCGGTGCCCATTTCCCAACCATGCCGTCCGCGTCCGGCAGCTGCGCCACCCACCACCACGTCTCCCTCGCGTCAAACGCGGGTTGCAAGTCGATCAGGAGGTGTTGCCCTGGATGCAGTGCAAAAACAGCGTCGATGTGTTCGATGACGCAGTCGATGAGGCCGGTCCCGTGGTCCGCGCTCGTCTCGTGCCGGATGTGCGTGTAGAGCCGCTTGATGTCGGCGCCCAGCAGCAGAGGTGGTTGTTGAGCATGTATCGCTGAGCGTGGTGGGTTGTCATGTAGATACGCGGTCACCATGTCACGCATGCCGCGGCTGGAGTCCACCAAGAAGGGCGCGAAGCTGCTGCAGAGGTCCTCCGGGACGCCGTCGAAGATGGAGCTCCAGACCTCCACGAGGGTGGCGTGGCACATGAGCGCGCCGAGGGCCTTCGTCAGCAGCTGCGCTGCGGGGCGCGTGATGTCGCTCGAGCAGTCCGAGATGTACCGCACGTCCACCTTGGCCTTGTGAAGCTTCATCGTCCCGTAGTAGTGCGGTAGACCACCGCACTCGCGTTCGGTGCGTATTCCTGGTAGCTGCAGGTTGTCCAACATAGCCTCCGTCGTGTTAGCGACGTTCATCACGTGCCTGGCATGCGTGATGTTGGCATTTGCCGGCTCGTTGACAGCGAAAGCGTCGTTGCTGTGCAGGTCGTGCAGGAGGACCTCGATGTAGGCGCGCCGACACACGAAAACCAAATTCCCGGCGTTCTTGTCCATGGTCGTGATGGTGAGGCGTGTCGCGTCTCGCCGCAGAGCCACGCGATCGTCGGGCTGAATGTCCGCCAGCGGCGGGGGCCATGGAAGGCGGAACCCGGGTTGAAGAGCGGGTTGGAGTGCCGTTTGCGTAGCAGCAAGTATAGCATCAATGTACGGCATGCACGCTGCCGCGTCCATGTCGGCGGCCTTGCTGACGCGTTTCGTCCACCCGAGCAGCGGCTTCTGGTAGGCTTCAACGATGCTAGCTACGGTCGCGCTCGTGGCTTGGTGCAGCTCCGGGACGTGTCGGTGCTTGGCACCGCCGACGGCGAACAAACGGCGGTACGCGGTGCTCTGGAGGCCCGCCGCAGCAGGGTCCAGCGTGCAGAGGTGCCGCACAGGCTCGCCGTCGATCTGCCAGTAGGGGTCCTCGAGCGTGAAGTGGCGTCGTAGGTCCGGTCCTTGGTGTTGCGCACAGTCTCACTGCGTCGCCATGATGTCGTACAGGCGACTGCGTGCAAACTTGGCAACTCCGCTGTGCGTGCACACCGAGCGCGACAGCGGTGGAAACCTGACCGAATAGCGCGGGGCCACCAGAAACAAGCCATCCATACCTTCGCGGATACGCTCAGGTAAGAGGTTGAGAAAGTCATCATTATTGACGAGGGTTTCGAGGGGGGCGAGGCTAGCCAGGAGGGTAGGGAAGTCGTGGATCATGAGGGTACGGCTCCCGAGGTCGATGTCTGCGACGGGAGGGTAGTGGTGGTTGATGGCGGCCTGCAAAACGGTGCGGGCACTGTCCAACATCTGCTGTGTGTAAAAGGGCTCGTCGAGACCCAGGATAAGCGCATCGGGATGCATGTGCGACACGCAGTGATGGAGGGAGAAGAGGTATTTTCCGATGTTCGCTGCCGTGCAATGGTTCACCGCGCGTCTCCAATGATCGTGCTCTGTGTCGCCGGCGCGGCGGAACAAAACAACGTCAAGAAGGAGGCGAGTCTGGTATATATACTCGCGTGTACCGAGGCGCGGAGACATGCCTGCGATAGCGGGGGGCAGGGACAACGCTGGTGCCGTAGTTGTGAGGCAGTTGTCAGCGTCGAGGTGGATGGTACGTTGATGCGTGGAGGAGATGGCAAACGTTGGCTGGAAGAGGGTCGCCAGCGCTGGGAGCCCACTCGGGCCGGGCGGGACGGGGAAGTCGTTGTGGGGGATCGCTACGGGGTGGGGGTCAGCGGCGATTTGGAACGCCAGGGGGGATAGAGGCCATGGGGCAGCATCAGAGTGGCCAGCTCCGTAGCCGAAATTCCACATGCCCTTGCAGTAATTGAGGCCGCCGGGGTGTGTGGAGCCCAGACAGCGTATCATGGTCTGCTCCCAGGCCAGGGAGTAGGTGCGGAACTTGTGGAACCAGGCCTTCAAAGCGTCCGGGCTAGTCGCCGGCGGGATGGGCACCTGGCGTGCGAAATTGATGCGAAAGAGGGGCACGATGGTGAAGTCGCGCCACGGGACATGGCCGTTCGGCGACTGCGCCCACACTCGTCGCATAAACTCGTAAAGCGGGGTGTGCACGGCGTTCGGATGGTGCGTGAATGCTGCATCAAAGGGCTCCTGCAGTCGTTCGATCGCTGTGCGGTATGTCTCCCCGACATAGTAAAAGAAGGGGTATTTCCGGCACAAGAGGACATAGACAACCCCGCGCGCCGCAAGCGGGGGGTTTGCCGTGACCGATGGTAGCGCGGCGAGGTCCGAGAGCGCCGGCGGGGGCGGTGGGAAAGGAGCGCTCGGTGGGGGGCACGGGTGCGGGTATGCGGGCGCCCGTTCGTCGCGGGGCACGTAGTCCCAGTAGGGTCGAGGGGCTAGTGCGGAGGCGGGGTGGGAGGGTGTGTGGTGGGGGCTAGGAGGGGGCCAGGCACGGGGAGATGCCTGCGGAGCAATAGCGGCCGCGATGCGGCGTGCGTGCGTGATGCTGGGTCGAAAGTTCGGGTCGTGGTCATTTAGATTTGCGACATGGTGGAACAGGGTGACATTCGAAAGGTGGCCACGCAGCGTGCGCGCCTCGGCGGTGCCGGCCTGGTCGCTGAGACGCAACGCTGCTTGGAGCCGTTTCCTCCGTCGGCGACCGATTGGAGTGCGCATGGTGAGAGGTTTTGGGGGTGAAAAGAGGGTGGTGTGCGGAACTAGACCGAGGATGCAGTAATCAAGCCACGACGGGAGGGCGACGATGACGGGGAGAGCTCTACCTAAGTTGCGCGTTCCTAGCACGCCGGGCGGTGAGCCACGGACGTGAGACGGCGGAGTCAGTTAGCCGGAGGCAGGCTCGTCTACGCCGACGGTTGAAGGCCGGAGTAGGGAGGTAGCTCTCAGCTGGCACTGCGCCAAAGCCCCATGTTCGAGGCCCGGCGCAGCACAACACGACACACAGAGTAGTAATTGACCACCCGCGCACGAAACGAAATGCGGGTGTGCTATCGTCCTGATCAAGGCGGCAGCGTGCTAGGAGTACTCGCGCGAAATGCCATGTGAGCGTGCCATCATGTGCCAAGGGAAGGCTCTGACCTGCAATCAGTTAGAGTGAGTGGCGGGCGTCGTCAGCAACAACGCGGCGAGCCGCGCGAGTACTGGACGACGCCCGCCAGCCGACGCGCCGAAGTGCTGGTCCACGTCCTAGGCTGCTTGTACCAGGGGGTGTCGGCAGCCGGCTGGGTGACAGCGGTGACTGAGTCTGCGGCATTGTCCGCGTTGTGTGGCGACGCGCCGACGGCTACTCAGCTCTCCTCGTCATCGCCGTCCCCCGCGCGTGGCCTGTCATGCGAAAAGGGATCATACACGCCCGCGTCACGGGGGCGGGGCCCGCAGCTCTCTCCGCGCACGTCTCCGCTTGCCGCGTGGCCGCCTGTCAACGAGTCACGTCACAGTCGCGAACCACGACAAAACAAAAAGCAGCGCTCCTGCGCAAGTGCGTGCATATCTGTTCCCACCCACACCCGCGCGCCCATATCATATTCGCGCGCCGCCCTGGTCCGAGCTGAACGCCGACCTCGCACTCGCCGCGTCCCCCTCGCCCACCGCCCCCTCCTCGTGCTGCTGCCGCCTCCCAGCGCCATCCGAGGCGCCCAGCCCCTCCCGCGCAGGCCCGTCCCCCGGCCCCGAGACCCCCGTGTCCGACCCGTCCCCGCGCGCGGCCCTGCCCGGCGTCGCCTCCGACGCGTGCGATGCCCGCGTTCCCGCCCCCCGCCGCCGGGACGAGCCCAGTTGGGCCCAGCGCCGCGAGGCCGTCTGCGCCTCGCTGCCGGGCTCGCTCGTCTCCGTCGGCGGCGCGTCCGGCTTCGACCCCGTCCGCCGCAGCGCTTTCCTGTGAAAGGGGATGCTGCGCAGGGACGTGGCGGGCAGCTGCGAGTTGACCGCCTTGCGCCCCTCCCCCGTCCGCAAGCTCGCCGGTTCTTCCGACGTCGACACGTCGAGCAGCTGCTTCACGCTGCTGTCCTCCCGCTTGAGCGACCCCCGCGCCTGCTCCGCATCCGCGTCGCCCCCGCCCTGCTCCTCCACGACGTCCTGCAGCCCGAACGTCGACATGCGCTGCCTCGAGGTCTTCTTCAGCTCGAGGAGCCGCATCTCCTTCAGCGTCGAGTGCTTCCGGAGCTGCATGAGCTCCCGCCGCGTCGCTGCCTGGGACTGCTGCAGCTGCACGAGCTCGTCCGCGTAGTCCGGGTGCGCGGCGAGGCGCGCGCACAGGTGCGTCGTCGTATTTCGGATCACGGTCGCCTGCACGCTCGGCGACCCCTCGAACAGCGGCTGCAGCGCCTTGAGCTTCAACTCCCACACTTTGCAGTAGCTGTCCACGGTGCGGAACCCGCGCGGGCGGCGCGCGTACGCCGGGATGATGTGCTGCAGGAACGCGGACTCGCCCAACGTCGCGGGCCCCTCGAGCACCTCCACGATGTTGTCCTGGTGCACCACCACCGCCTTGCCCGCCTGCAGCACGTAGACGCTGTCCGCGTCGTCGCCCTCCGCCGCGACGTCGATGCCCGGCGCGACGCTCACGGGCACGAGCTTCCCGCAGATCGCGCGCATCGACATGGAGTGCAGCCCCTTGAAGATGTCGAGCTCCGCCAGGGTGTCGTAGGTGAGGTGGACCGCCGCCTCCACGCGCACCGCGTGCGGGAGGTTCTCGAGGAACTCGGCCTCCGACGGCGCGCCCACGCGCTTGCCCCACACGTCGAGGTAGTACGCGCGCACGCGGTCCTTGAGCGCGGCGGGCAGCCCCCCGGACTTCATCCACGCGTCCATGGCGGCCATCTTGCTGCGGAACTCGTCGCGCAGCATGGCCTCCTTGCCCATGCGCTGCAGCCGCGCGGTGATGGAGCCGAGCACGGAGGCGAAGAGGACGACCCCGAGCGACTCGATGCACATGGTCACCACGCGCTCGGCGTCCGTCGTGGGGTAGAACTCGCCGAAGCCGATGGTCGACATGGTCGTGAGCGCCCAGTAGACGGAGATGATGTAGTGCGAGACCGTGTGGAGGTCGACGTCCGAGTGCACGGCGACCCACGAGTTCTCGAGGCCCTGCCGCGCCGCCGTGTAGAAGAGCGCCATGCCGGAGATGTTGATGATCACGAAGTAGAGGTACGCGAGCTGGATCATGTAGGTCGTGCTGGGCGTGAGCTGGATGGGCAGGATCGTCTGCAGGACGCTCGGGTGCTGGCTGACGCTGGTGGCCGCGGAGAAGACGGCCACAAAGTGCTTCACGAGGCGGAAGAGCCGGAAGAGCCGGAGGGCGTTGACCCAGGAGACGTTGAGGCGGCTCGTGCCCCAGACGATGAGCGTGAGCTGGAGCAGGAAGGGCAGGATGGCCAGGAAGTCGATGAGGAAGGTGCCGCGCAGGATGTAAAACTGCCCCGAGTCGCGGCCGTTCATGACGAGCTTCCGGCGGAGCTTGTTCGTGACGACCCAGCCGATCGAGAACTGGATGATCAGGTTGGCGATGAAGATCACGCCGGCCACGAAGTCGCACACCGAGGCCCACGACCACGACGCGGGGTTCAGGTCGAAGGCCACGGTGATGGGCACGATGAACGCGCTGTACACCGAGTCCACGACCAGGATCAGCAGCGTCCAGTACCGCACGAAGTCCGTCGACGGCGACACCATCGGCAGCCCCAGCATCGACCGGTGGCCCGCCGCCAGCCTGTTGAGCTTCAGACGGTCCTCGTTCACGTTCTCCAGCTGCGACGACGTCATGCTGACCTCGCTCTTCGACCGCTTATCTGCACGCGCGCGCCGCGGGGACCGGGGCGGGGGTCGGTCGCTGCGTGAGCGGGACGACGCGCCCGTGCTGGGTGTTGCGGGGGGGGACTCACGCTTGCGGCCCTGCGTCGTCTCGGTGCTGCGGCTGGCCGTCGTGCGCTCGCCGTTGGCCTCCTCCTCGGCTGCCGCCTCCAGCGACCCGCGCGCCCCGCGGGCCACCACGGGCGGCGGCGTCGTGGCGCCCAGCACGCTGTCTTCCGCGGGCGCCGCACTCAATCCGGTGTGCGACACGTCCCGCGGCAACCTCGGAGGCTTGCTCCTTGCCATCCCGCACATGTTCATGCATTTGTCGTCCCCTGCGGGCGCAGGGCGCGAAGCTGTACCATGTGTGGGGCGCGCGAACCCGCACTGTAGAGGCGGTGCGAGGCGCGTCGGGGCGGCGCAGCAGAATTTCGTGCGCCCGCAGCGCTGTTTTCGCGACGCGGCGGCCGCGTCGTGGCGTCGCGCGGCCCCACCAGCCCAGCCCAGCCGCTGGCGACGCACCTGGGGTCCCGGCCGCACGCGCCGCCCGCTCGGCCTCGCGTTTCATGATGGACGTGTGCAGCTCGACGAGCTTCTTCCTGCGCCGCTGCTGCCGCGCCACCAGCTTGTCCCAGTCCTCGTCGGAGACGTTAATCATGCGGTCCTCGTCCACCAGCACCGCCAGGGGGTTCACGTCCTCGCCGAAGGTGACGTTGTACTGGTTCCTGCGCAGCACCGCGGCAGGGAGCCCCGCAGCGTCGCCTCGCGGGGTCACGGCATGCGCGCGAGGCCGCGGGCGCGACCTGGGCCAACAGAAGGCAGGGGGGGGCTGCTCGACGGCCGCGCCGGGATTTCCCGAGCACGCGCGGTGGCTCCTGCGCGGGAGCGCAACTGGGGTACCGCGGCACCGGGCGCGGGGGACGCGGAGCGTCCCGCGCGGGCCTGCGCAGCGAACGTGCCCCTCAGCCTGTTGCTGGCACTCGCCCGCGCAGAGCGGCTCGAATCCGGGGCCGCGGCGCACCTGCCCATCATCTCCTCTGCCAGGCGGTCCCCGATGGGGAGGTGGTCGGCGTCTCTGATCTCCTCCAAAGTGAATTGCTGCTCCAGAAACTCCCGGCTACTGGCCACCGAGGGCGCGTCCGAGTCCTCCGTGATGCGCTTCGCGGGATCCTGCCGCGACAAGACGCGCATCATGCCGCCCGTCAGCAGGCTGCCCTTCGGGGCGCTCCCCGGGCTCGGGGGCGACCCGTTGCCTTGCTCCATCCCCCTGCAGTGCTGTCAACAACCGCGCTCTCGCCGCGTGTGCAGGACGCCCTGCGCGCGGCGGCCGGGGGAGGCGGGAGGTGACGTGCGAGGCCCGCGCAGGGCGCTCCGAACGCGCGCTCGGGGGCGACGCGGCGGCCGCGGGAGGCGGAATCAGTGCGCGAGACGAGCTACCTCGGCTGCCGCGACGCGGGCTGGGGGCGCCGGTGCGGCGGGCTGGGCGGTGCGGCGCGCAGTGCCAGCGCGGGGCGTCGCGGGCGGGTGCCGTGGACGAACCTGGCCGCGATGAACCCGTTGCGAGGGGCTACGACATGGTTGCGCAGAGTTCGCGGTGCGGCCCGCTGGCACAGCGCGTGCAGGTGCTGCGGATTTCTCTGGCTCGAAATTTCTCGAAAGTTGTCGGCACCGCCGTCGCGGCACGAGCCGTCCCGTCGCGCGCTGCACGCCACAACCGCAGAGTGCTGCGAGCGCGTCCAGGAGGACGTCGGCGTTCCGGGGTCCTCGCGCCCGCCGCAGGTCGCTTATATCCGCGCGACCTTCGCAGTGAAAAAGACCACCCGCGCTGCCCAACCGGAGCGGCGCGCCACACCGGCAGCTGCCCGAGGAATCCCACCTCCAATGCGCCCGGCTCGAAGGCCTCAGCAACGACTGGAACGTGCGGAATCTGTTACTTCGTGCACGAGACTGCGCGTCCGTGCAGCCGGCCGGCCCGTTGGCGCCGTGCGGGGCCCGAACGCGGGTGCTGCTCGTGGTCCCCCCCTGAGGGGTTGAACCAGGTCGGTCGAGTCGCACGGCAGTCGGGATCCGTCGACTCCGGGCCAACCGCTGCCTGGTGGCCTTCGAGCCCGCGCCCCAGCGCCCTCCCGGCCACTTCCACGCGGCCCGAACGCCACACATCGCCGCCTCGAGCGACGCACCGGTGCCGGGGCACCGGCGCGTGCGTCGCGATGGCGCGCCGCGCGCGCCTCGCGGACGAGCAGGCGGGCGCTGGCGGTGGGCCCGCGATGTGGCACAGGGCGCCCGGGCTGCCGGACAACGCGGTCTCGGACACCTTCCTGGACTCACTCGTGATTGGGAGCTACGAGACGCAGCGGCGGGAGTACTGGAGCGTGGTGTTGGCGGCCACTGCAGTGACACAGCAGGTGGCCGCGGTCGCCGCGGTCGCGGTCGCATCCGTCCTGCTCTACCACGGCCGCGTCGCGACATCGACGGTCGTCACGGCGTCGCTGCTCGTGCTGGCTGCGGGTTGGTCCTTCTGCTGCTTCAGCGCAGGTGAGCTCCTGCACCAGCGCACCACGCCGCTGCGTCGCGAGGGTCGCCGCGGAACGACACGTCACCACGAAGCTTGCGGCCACGCGGTGCAGGCCGCGTCCTCGGCGGGTCCCTCCTCCGCGTGGGGCGACAAACTACGCTGCTGTACGTGGGTGTGCGCGGCATGTCGCCGCTCCTGGCGTCTCTGACCGCTACCATCAGCTCCGACACGGTCCTGGCAGTGTCCGTCACGCTCGCAGTGGCGCACCTGTACCTCCACGACTACAACTTCACCGCAGCAGCCTCGCGCAACCTGTCTGGTGACTGCCCCGCACCGCCCCCCGCCCCGCCCGCGCCAGCCATCGCTCCTCCGGGGGCCGCGCGCCATCGTCGGCGCACGCCGCGACCAACGAGCGCCCCACCGCGACCCCCCCTCCCCCCCACAGGCACCCTGTCTCTGTCCGCTGCAATCGGCGCGTCCGTGCTGGTGTCGAGCCGTCTGCCCACGCCGGAGTGTGTGTTCGCGCACCTGATCTTCTGCCTCGTCGTTTTCCTCCTCACTCCCTACATTCGCCACTTCGTCAGGTCCGACCGCCCCGACCAACACAGTGCGCCCCGCGCCCTCCCTGCCGCTCACCGGCGCGCTCGCGAGCACGCCCGCACACGCGCGACGCCGTCGCGCCGACGCACCGAGCCGCACGTCCGCCCGGCGCGCACGCAGGGCCCGGAGCATCTCCATGCACGTGGCGCTCACGGTAGCACTCGTCGCGGCGCCCCTGCCGCCGCTGGCCGCGCAGAGCTCCGCCGCGGCGGTCGCGCTCGTGGTCGTGCACCTGTTCATCCTGTTCGCGTGCCCGCTGCTGTTCCTGCACGCCCAGCAGTTCAAGCTGGTGGTGCAGGGGCGCTGGGACGAAGCGCCGACGGACGCGCGGGCAGGGTGACCCGCGAGCCGCGCGAGAGGGGCGTGGCAGGCGGCCGTTTGGCGTGGAAACAGCGACGCGTGGCTTTGTGAGGCTGGGCGGCTTGCAAACATCCGCTGTGCGAGTGCGGGAGTGCGCATCGGCGACGGGTGCAGCGGCGAAGGTGGCACATCTCACAGGTGTCGTGCTGGTCAATATGCACGTGCGGCGCGTTGCGCGGGCGACCGCGCCGCGAGGTTGCTGCTCCAAGGTGATGCTGAGGGCCGAGCGGTCGACGGTCGGGCGCGCCGCTTACGGGCGCGGCGGAGGCATTCCACCTGCGGACAAGCGGCGGAGTGCCCGGTGGTCGGAAGGTGCCGGGCGTGGGAAGCTGTGCCAGCGGGGCGTGGCTCGTGGTTGTGACGCTCGGCGCGCCCGGCATGCCGCAAGACGTGCCGTTTTCCGCACGACCGTGCACGATACGCCTAGGACATGCGTGGCGGAACGATCATCTGCGAGGCCGTGCCTCGCACGCGGCGCGGACCGCAGCGGAGAGCAAGCCCACGCGCGCGCGCCCGGTGCGTGGCCTGGGTGCGCGCTCGCGCCGCCTCCGCAGCCCGACGCCGACGACAGACATTCCAGCGACCGCGGACGCGCCCCATCTCCGCGCGGCGCGCAGTGTGTGGCCTCACCTGGCGCTGGCGGGAACCCAGGCGGCGGCCGAGCGCCTGGCGGGCCCATCCCTGGCGCCGGCGGTCCCCCGTAGGGCACGGGCGGCGCCGACATCTGCGGCCGCGGCACCATGGTCGGCCCGTGCGGCCCCCCCATTCCCCGCACCGGCCCCGCCAGCCCTGGAGCAGCCTGCCCCGGAGCCACGACGGGCATCCCGCGCCCCGCCGCCTTGCCCATCCCCGTCCCCGCCCCCGCCACCTGCGCCTTCCGCACCGCGTCCTCCGTCGGCGGCGGCCCCTCCACCGTCAAGCTCACCACCTCGTCCCCGCGCAGCAACACCATGCCCAGCACGCGCCGCTCCTCGCGCTCCTCCCCGCCCTTCCGTGGGGGCAGCTTGCGGAACTCCTCGCAGTCCCCGAGCACCAGGTTCATGTGCTTGTCGTACGCCATCAGCCGGCCGAGATACTGCCGCCCGCTCGCGATGGTGATCCTCATTCGATAGTTGATGTACTGCATCATCTTTGTCGTGCGGGCCGCCATCGTGCACACCCCCGCGCAGCCGCGATCTACGAGCCTGCGACAACAGGAGGGGTCCGGTCTGCCCGGGCGCGGCGCCCGAGCGCCGCAACCGCCCGCCCCGGGCCGCCGGGGCCGCGAAATTCACCTCCCGCCGACTGCTCGGCCAGTCCGACGCCCCGCTCGCGCGCCGGGGACGGCTTCGGCGCGGCGCGGTGCACCCTCGGGTGCAGTCTGCGTCCCCCCCGGACAGATGAACCTGCGCACATTGTAGACACAGTTCGAGGAGGCGAAAAGGAGACGTTGCTGGAGCGCAGCATTCAACAGCGTCCTGGAGTGCGTTCAGCGGCGCGGCGACGGCCCCCGGCCGCGTCAACCCACTGTTAAGTTGAATGTCTAGCTCACCGCGCGCGAGAACGAACGTTGAATGAACCCGGTGGTTATGCAACAGGCCCTCTGTTGAGCTGGCACTTGTGCTGAGCTCCACGGGCCTCCGCCTGCGCCCCTCGCGGCCGCATCGGCCTGCTGGCCTCTGGGCCTCGTTGGGACGTCCGATGGCGGATCTGCGCGATCCGCGTCCCCGCCATTTGCGGCCCGCGCCGCTGGGCAAACCCCAGCAGTGGAACGATGGTGGCCCGGACTCGCCAGAGCGCCTCGCGCCCTCCCCGCGGCCACGCGCGAGGGGCCCCTTCGAAACCCCGGACCCGGCGGCACCCGGAGCGCGGCGTGCTCGCGCGCGCCCCGCGCAGGCAGCGCCCGCGGACGGGGGCGCCAGCGGGCGCAGCTTCACTCAACGCAGCAGGTGAGCACGCGAGGGTCCTCTCCGCTTGGTGCACCGCTCACAGGAACGGACTGATCCCGCTCGACATCAGGGTCGTGTCTCGCGCGCTCCGCGCAGGCCCCCCGGGACGCGCGAAGGCCACAGGGGGGGCGTGGTCGCGCAGCCGCCCGCGTCGGCCGACGGGTTCGACTGGAGCGAAGTGGACCGCCAGCTGGACACGGTGAAGGAGCAGTACAAGTCCCCGGCCTTCGACGCGCTTCCGCAGATCCTCAGCATCGTCAACGACTTCAACCCTGACCGCGCCCTGGACAAGGTGCCACACCCCCCCACACCCCCCCCGACCTCGCGACCACCCCCGCACAGCCCCACACGTCGCAGCTGCGCGCCTCCCAGACGCGCTGTGCCTCTCCGCTGCGCCGCCGACCGGCAACCGCGCCGTCGCATTGTCGCAGGTGCGCGGCCAGCAGGACCGTGTGGAGGCGTTGATCGACGCCGTCGTCCCGCGGTACCGCGCGGGCTTCACGAAGGCCATCCACAACTACTCGGACATCCTGCGCCTCTTCCTCAGCTCCCAGGACGAGCTCCGGTCCCTGCGGTCCACTCTCGACGAGGCGCAGCGGCGCCTGGGCGCGCAGGCGTCGTCCCTGCTGACGCACTGGCGGCGGCAGACCGAGCTCTCTGAGCTCATGAAGCTCCTCGAGGCGGTCGAGGCCCTCCGGGGGTCTCCCGCGAAAGTAGAAGCGCTGACGCAGAAGGGAGCGCTGCAGGAGGCCGTCGCGGTGCTGCTGGACGCGTGCGCGAAGGCGGCGCGGTCCGAGCTCGCGGGGCTCCCTGCGCTCGCGGGCGTGCGGGCCGGTCTGACTGACGCGCGGGGGCGTATTGAGGGGTGTCTGCGCACGGCGCTGGAGGGCCACGTGTGGTCGGACGCGCCGCGCGGGTCGCGCGCGCTCGCCGCGCAGGTGCTGGCGGAGGAGCTGGATCTCGAGGAGCTCGCGGCGGGCCTTGTGCGCGCGCGGCGGAGCGGGGCGGGCGAGCGGGAGGGCGCGTCGCTGTCGTTGAGCGAACCGCCGCCGCCGCCCGCGCACGCCCCCGCCGGCAGCGTCGAGAACGACCTCGACCAGCTGCTGTCGTGCCTCGCGCAGCTCGGCGCGCTCCAGGACAGCGTGGAGTGGGTGCGGGAGTCTGCGGCGGAGGGCGTCGACACCGCGGTGTTGCGGGCCGTCGCGCGGACGGGGGGCAAAGCGGGTCTGCTGGCGCGGGGGTTCCGGCCAGGAGCGAGTCCGCTCGAGGGGAACGTGGTCGTGGGGATGGACGCCGAGGCGGCGTGGCTGGCCGCGCAGGCGACCGGCGACGTGTTTACGCGGGCGCTGCAGGCAGTGCAGGCAGTGGGGCGCGTGTGTCTGCGCGTGGGGCCGATGCACGTGCCGGCCTTGCCGCAGCAGATCCGGGACGTGATGCGGCCGCGTGCCGCGGAGGCCGGCGGCGCGACGCCGGCGAAAGCGAGCAGCGTCCGCAAGGAGGGGGGGGGTTCTGGGAGCAGGGGGGGAGTCCCGAGTGCGAAGGAGCTGGTGTCGTGTCTGCTACTGACGTGGTACGAGGCGCACGGGGCGTGCGCGGCGGCGGTGGCCGCGCTGGTCGGCGGGGAGCAGCTGCTGGGGGGGTCTGACAAAAACGCCCCCCAAACGTCGTGGATGTCGTGGTGGTGGGGTTCCACCGGCCAGCAGAATGCCACGCAAGGGGAGCGCAAGAAGTCGCTGGGGTTCTCGATCGATGTCGAGCTCAGTGGCGATGCAGGCGCAGGGCGCACCGCCAGCGGCGGCATCTCTGACGGGCGCGTGGCGGCGTCCGGGCGCGGCGAAACGAAGCTCAGCCGCAGAGAGAGCATCGGCGTCGAGATCGTCGCGGCCGTGGGCGCGGCGCGCGGGTCGCCGAGCCTGCTCCCCGTCGTCGCTCAGCTGGTGAGCGACTTCGCGGTCGACTCGTGGTCCGCCGTGGAGCACTGCGCGGCGACGCTGGGCGTCGACATCTCGGGCAGCCGCGTCAACGCGCTGCTTCCGGCCGGGTGCGGCTCAGGGGGCCCGTCTGGCGGACCGCTGGCGGCATTGATGCGGCGGGCGGGCGAGGAGATCTGGCTGCCGTACAGCGCGCAGGCGATCCGCCGGCACGCTACTGCGCGCGATGCTGTGCGCGCAGTCCAGCCGGAGGGCCGCGTCGCGGCCGCAGGACTGCCCGGCGGGGCCGAGAGGCGGCCGCAGGCGTCGCAGGCAGCGGCGTCGACGCTGACGGCCGGGGCAGCGCTGCAGGCGCCGGGACAGTCCGTGACGGCGATCGCACAGGAGGTGGCCACCTCGATCACGTGGTGGGCGTCGAGGCTGCCGGACCTGTCCGAGGTGAGTCGTTCTGTCAGACCACATGCACCCTGCACCGCCCCGCCCGCTCCTTGCACCACGCGGCAGCACCGCCGGCGTCTCCAGAGAGCTTGCTTCCTGACGGGACGCGCGCGACGGCCACTTGCGTGCAGCGGCTCGTGCCCGTCCTGGAGGATGCTGCTGCGCGCGTGCTGTGCACGTGCCACCAAGCCATGTCCTCCGCGATCTCGCCGAACTCCGTCGCGGCGCACCTTGCCGCGGACGCAAGTTTCACGGGTCTGGCCGCCCGCGAGCCGGCCGCGCGGATCATCACGGGCACCAATTCTACCGCCTTCCACTTCACCCCCCTCCCGCGCGCGTCATGCCAGGACGTTTCGTCGGCGATGGCGCCCTTCGCCCGCGACGCCGCGTCGCATCAGAACCAGGACGACGAGGTATCCGCGCGGGAGGTCGCGAAGGTCACCTTGAACGCTTGGAAGCGGCACCGCAACACGCGCGCGGCCTCCTTCTCCGGCGGCAGCACCGCGCTCGCCGCGGTCTCCTCGAGCACGTCAGGGCTCCTTCCATCCGAACAGAGCGTCGAGATCCTCGCCGCGACGGTGCTGAGCACCGAGGCGGCAGCGGCGCACTTCCGCACCGCAGGGCTGCGGCTCGCGGGGGGCGCGGGCGGGGGCAAGCAGCTGTCCGAGGCGCTCTCGAATGTGCTTGCGCGGATGGAGGCGCTCGTCGGGCTGTGTCTGCGGACGCTGCGGGCCGAGGGCGGGCTGCTGGCTGCAGTGCGCGTTGGCCGGCTGCTGTCGCGGCCTCTGGTCGCGCGGCCGCGGGAACACCGCGTCGTCGACGAGGACGTCCTCGGTCTGCTCACGAGCCTGAAGGGGTTCGCGCAGGCGCTGGAGGGCGGGGCGGGTGCCGCGGGGGAGCCTGCGTCCGGCACCGGGGCGGCGGTGTCGTACGCGGTGGGGCTGGCGGGGGCGGCGGCAGGCGTGCTGCTCGTGGAGGGGATGGCGGCGACCACCGAGGCCACGCGTGCGGGCGTGCAGCGGATCCTGTGGGACATCGGCGCCCTCGGATCGGTGCGACGCACTCCTTTGCACGTGTTGCCCACAGGATGTAGCGCTGGAGTGCGTTGCGGTTTCGTGCTCTGCACATCGCTTCTCAGGCACGTCTGCTACGCATCTGACGAGGTCTGCGTCGTGGCTGGTGTTGCAGGCGCTGCAGGGCATGCTGCTGCCGATGGTGTCTCCGGACAACGCGAACGCGGCGCTGTCGGCGGCGGAGCGCAGCACGGGATCAGAGGGCGCCGCGGGGTCGAGCGACGCGTGGCAGCGGTGGGCGTTCGAGTCTCTTGAGGGCGTGGAGCACGCGCGGCGGTACTGGGAGACTCTGATGAAGGCTGTGGACGAGGTCGCGCGGCCGGCGGTCGTCAAGTCCCTCCTGGGCAAGTACACCGCGCTGGAGCTGCGCCGGCTCTTCGAGGTCAACGTCCACGAGCGCCCCGTGTCCGCGGAGGCCATGGCGCGCTACTGCAAGCTCCTTGGCGTGCCGACACCATCCGAGCAGTCGTGAGGCGCTGCCGCGTGCACCCTCGCAGTTCACATATCCGCGGAGCATGCTTCCGCGCCGCGAAAAACCAGTGCGGCTTCGTGTTAAAGAAATGACGGCATCAAACAACTTGCCAGTTGGCAGGAGGCAGCTCCCAGTCCCTAGCGCGGTCCGGGTTTGTAGGGGTATCACTGCACGATCATGCCGCGATCCGGGCCGGACATAATCTTGCGGAACCGCAGCACCGCTCGGCGCCCCTCGAGCCCCGCCGCGGGCGCCCCGCGCCCCAGCTGCAGCCGCACCTTTCCCGACAGTCCGAACCCCCTCTCCACCGTCGCCTCCGCGTCCTCCTCGGCCACACTCCCCACTTCCAGACCGTCCATGCTCCCCCGCGCGCCGTCGCCGGCGAACTCGTCGCGCACGAGCGCCACACGCATTCCGAGGAAGGGCACAATGTCGCAACCCTTTGGGAACAAGTCCCGCACAATCACGCCGCCACTGTCGGGCTCCACGCGCTCGACGCGCCCCTCGCGTTCCTTCGGGCGGTACGACCGCACGTGGTCCGTCGCGCAACCCCCCGCGCCCCCCGCCAGCGCCCCCACCAGAGTGCCCTCAAAGGCGATCCGGCACCGGCCCTCCGACGGGTCCATGTCGAGCCGCGACCCGATGATCCGCGCGCCCACGGGTGCGAGCAGCGGCCGCTCGAACGTCAGCGCCGCGAGCGTCGCGGGGCCGTTCTGGTCGTCAGCCGCGTCCTCGTCGCACCCCGGCAGCTCGTCCAGCGCGGCGTACAGCGCCGCGGGGTCCCAGGCCACGGCGGCGCCGTCTTCGTCGGGCGCGACGAAGGACACCTGCGCCATGACCGTCGCGTGCCCGGCGGTGATGTGCACCTTTGACCGCGAGGGCACCGCTGACGGAAAGAACCTGACGCGCCGGACGATGGCGACGCACTGCTGCACCGCGGCGACCGTGCCGGGCGCGCAGAGCAGCCCGCGCTCGCTCCGAACGGCCTCGGGGGGGAGTTGCACCAGGCACACCCCGCAGCGGTCGCCCTCGCTCGCCCGCGACACCGCGCGCCCGAACGCCTGCACGCTGCGCACGCGCCGCACCAGCCCCGTCCCCGCCACCTCCACCTCGTCCCCCTTCGCCACCGCCCCGTGCAGCACCGTCCCAGTCATCACCGTCCCCTGCCCCTTGACCGTAAAACAGTGGTCTGTTGCCATCAGCAGCGGGCGGCCCGGCTGCCCCGTCGGCGGGTCCGGGGCGCGCCGCACGTCCCCGGCGAACCGCACCAGGCGCTCCGCGAGCTCCCGCACGCCCCACGCGCGCTCCGCGGCCCCCGCGCGGTCGACGCCGTCGCCCCCGCCGGGACGGGCCGCGACCGCGACGACCTCCGCGCCGCGGAACGCCGTCCGCGCGAGCGTCGCGGAGAGTCGCTTCGCGAGCTTCGCGACGGCGCCGTCGCGCCCCTCCTCGGGCAGGAGGTCGGTTTTGTTGATCACGCAAAGCATGCGCTGCGCGCGCACGCACTCGCCGACGACGATGCACTCCGCGGTCTGCGCCTGGACGCCCGCGACGGCGTCGATGACCAGGACGAGCGCGTCGATGATCCCCGCGCCGCCCAGGATGGTCTTCAGCAAAGTCTGCAACGAGACACTTCGAAACATATGTGTGGGCGTGTCGCCAGGAAGGGGGGAGGGGTCCGACCAGGGACGGCCGCTGCGGGTATGTCGTGGAAGGGAGGCGAGCGGTGCGCGCGTCCCGGGGCCGCACCGCGTGTCCCGGGCAGTCGACCAGGGTGACTTGGACTTGATCGGCGCTCACTCGAGGTTTCAGGTCTGCTGGCGTGTCGGCGCGGAAGGAGCTGAAGCCGAGGTCGAGGGTGATGCCGCGTTCGCGCGACTGCGGGTGTTTGTCGAGCGACGCCGTCGACAGGCTCGTGGACAGCGCGGCCACTGCGTCGCGGAGAGGCGGCGGAGGTGAGAGCGGTGGGCAACCGGCGACGTGGCAGTGCAGCCTGCGCGCGGGAGTGTCCGCCCCGAAAGGCGCGTCCGGCGAAGCGAGTGAGGCGGTGTGGGATCGGAGGGAAGGAGATGGCGGGCGGGGGCCAGGACCCGAGCCGGAACCCGCGCGCCTGTCACGGCTGGATGGGAGGCGTGACAAACGGAATGCCTCATGCGCACCTAGGCTCGTCTTTCCGCAGTCCACGTGGCCCATCACGCCTACGTTCACGTTCAGCGTGGAGCGGGGGTCCTCGTCCCCCATGGTGAGGATACCGCGGCCCGAAGCTGAACCAGAGCACCTCGCGCCAGCTGCGCGTTCCCAGCGTCCTTATATTCCTCGCTTTGGAGTCGCTTCGATCCGACAACGATCTCGGCGAGCGACCCGTCACATCCTCATGCTCTTGCGCAACTTGTGTGACGCAGTGGGCTGCCTCTGCGTGTGAAGCCTTCAGCGTCACCGAGTCCGCAGCTCAGACCGGGGCGGCGCGGCGGCCTATCTGCGCATCCGAGGCCGCGCTGAGTCCGCCGCGGAGGGGCGGTCGAGGGGCAATGTAGCGGCGATCGCAGCGTCAGGCACGCTGGCAGACATGGAGCACGGACGTGTTTCGACCGCCCCGTTCGCAGCGCTGGAGGCGCGGACGGAGCCATGGCGCACCGGCGGCGCCTGGTGTGGGCCACATGCTTCGTGATTCTCGCTATTTTCAACAAGCGGCCCTCCCCGACGTTCCTGCTTCTTTTTCCCTTGTTCCAGCAAGGCTGGCGCGAGTCGAGACCACCCCGGGGTGGTCAGAGAGCGACAGAGAGGGAGAGGGAACAGCGCGGAACAGCAGCGACGTATCCTTTCCGCGAGCTCACGGCCGGTAGTAGCGCACGGGCTGTTGCTTGGGAGGAAGGGCTAGGGGGACGACCGCGTGCTCGGAGCGTCAGTCGTCCCGCGCGAGCTCCAGAGACACGTCGACTCCGGGAAGTCCGTCTCGTGTGCCCGCCATGGTGCTGCTGAAGAAGGACCTGACGCCCAGCGACGAGCTGGAGCGCCGTGCCAAGGAGGGCAGGGAGAGCTGCACCGACATCCTGGACGACGCGTGGAACTGCGTGCGCATCTTCCAGAAGATCGAGGAGAACTACGTGTACGGGCGCTTCCAGGAGTGCGCGCCGTTCTACGGCGCCCTGTGGCAGTGCATCAAGGTGAGCGCACCGCGCACGACGGCGCGCGGCGTCGCACTCGGACGCGCGCCACCCTCTGAGGCAGACAATGTCGGTGGCAGCACCCAGACGCGGTCGCACGGACGCGGCGGCCGTGCCGCGCGCGTACCTCGATGCCCTGCGCGCGGCGCAAAGCTCGGAGCCGGTGTGCCGTGCGCCGTCGCCCTCCGCGTCCCTGACGAAGCAACCGGACGCCCCCGCGTACGCAGAAGAACAACATCGACGGCTGGAAGGAGCGCGCCGAGAGGGAGCGGCGTTCCCCGGCGAGCCCTCCACCGCCGCAGTCCACAGCAGCGCACTCCGCGGCCGCCGCCGCGGACTCCGACCTCGAGCTCGCCCGCGCCCAGCAGCGCCGGCGCGCGGGCGCAGCGCCCGCGCAGAGCGGCCCGTCGGTGTCCCACGACCCCGCGACGGGGCCGCTCGGCCCGGCCGGGGCCGCCGGGCTCCAGGTGCCGCCGAGCGAGCGCCCCTGCTACTTCGAGCTGCACAAGGACCGCGAGTCCGCGCGCGAGGCGTGGCTGAAGACGTTTGGGCACCTGGGCATGGAGAACACCGCGGAGCCTCCGCTCCGGCCCGCGGAGATGCGGCTCGGACCGATCGAGTACTCCAAGTTCCTCATAGACTCGTGGTCGAAGAAGGGCGGCGAAGGCGCCGCGCAGAAGGACGGCGCCTGACGTGGAGCTGCAGGGTTGGGTGTGCCGCAACGGGCGAGGGTTGCGGCAGCGGACCCGGGCCGCCTGCAACCGTGCGGGCGAACAGCGTCTGTGTCCGCGTGCGCGCCGCGGCGCGACAGCGCACCTTTGCGTGGCGGTCGGGACGGGCTGGCGCGCATGTGTGTGTCGGAAAGACGCTCTCTCGTGCAGAGCCCTTCCGAAAAATCGCGCGGCGCGGGCGGGGGCGCGCGATCGCAGCGCATGCCGACGGCGTGGTTCGCGGCTGGCGCGGTGCAGGCGCCGGGGCCAGGCCCTGGGAGTGTCCGAGTTGGTGTGGGGGGGTGAGGGGCCGCCTGAGGCGGGCAGTCTAGGGCGTCGCTGCCGCGGAGGATGTGACATTGGACTCATTCACCTGGTTTACGTGCATCGGGCGTCTACGCCGTCGTTGGGAAGTGTTCTCTTTCGCACGAAGCGCACGGACCTAGGGGCAGCAGGCGAGGGCGGGAGCGGAGGCGTGCGGGGCCCCGCTGCGGCGACATGCAGCGCACAGCGCGTGTCACGCCTCAGGTGATTCGCACAGATAGGGCATGCGGTTTCTCTTGTGCGCTGCGATGCGCTGCGGGCCGATCTGTGCTGCAGGGCCTCGCCGTGCTGCCGATCAGAGGGGCTGTGAACCGGCCTGGTTTGATAGCTCAATCACACACGTGCTCTGTTGACAGGGGAGCGCGCGGACTTTGGTGAGGGCTCGGGCCGCGATGGGTCAGGCAGGGGCGCCAACGCTGTACACACACGTCCTGTGCCCGTACGCGCACCGCGCCTGGCTGGCGATGCTGGAGAAGGGGATCGACTTCAACATGGTACGCGCACGACGCTCCCGCCTCTCATCGCTCGGCAGAGGGACGTCCGGCGCCTCGAAGTGACAACCCCTGACAGTTGGAAACATCTCGACTGCTGTGGCGTGGTGTGGCTTCGCTCGCAGAGGCACGTGGACCTCAGCAACAAGCCCGCCGACCTCCTGCGAGTCAATCCGCGGGGCCTCGTTCCCGCGGTCGAGCACGACGGGTCCGTGGTCGTCGAATCCGCCGACATTGTGCAGTGGGTGGATGACACGTTCGCTGGACCGCCGGTGCGCGCCCCCGCGGCCCACACGTCGCGAACGCCTTGCCGCATCCGCGGCCTACCGCTCAAGGCTCTCCTTCGCCGCTCTGCCCGCGCAGCTCACGCCGGAGGACGCGGCGGCGGCGGCAGCCATGCGGGACCTGATCGACGGCCCTCTCGGCCGCGTGCAGTCGGCTGGCTTCAGTCTGATGGCCGGGTCGACGGGCAGGTACTGGGGCATCGGGTCGGGGCAGGTAAGAGGGCCTACCGCCGCGCCGTCCGTCAGTCCGTCCGTCCGTCAGTCTGACTGCCAGTGGTCGGTCGCAGCGACCGGCGGGGCGCCGTGCGGCTGCCGCTGCAGACGAGCGCGCACTGGGAGTCCTTCGTGGCGTCGTTGAAGCCGCTCGCGGACAGTCTGGAGCGCCACGGCGGGCCGTTCCTGGTCGGCGCGCACCCGACTGTCGCCGACATCCTGGTGTACCCGTTCCTGGAGCGATTCGACGTCGCAGCGCAGGTGAGTCGTGCTGCAGGTGCCCCACGTCTGCGCCGGGGGCCGCTGGTCTGTCCGCGGGGCGTGATCGCGGTTTGTTTTGATTGCAGGGTATGATGGGGTTCGACGTGCGCGCCGACGACGTGCACGGCGGCGCGGTGGGGCGGTGGATGGACGCGATGGCGGCGCGGCCGAGCAGCGGGGTGGCGTCGCCGGACCGCGCGCTGCTGCTGCGTGCGTTCGAGAGACACAAGTCGCTGGATTTCTTCGACTACGAGGCGTACGGCGAGTTCGACCTGCACCCGCACAACAAGCGGGCGTGAAGGGCGGGCGGGGGCGGCGCCGCGCGGGTCGCGCGCCGGAAGCGGATCGTCGGCGATGTTTGGGGGTTGTGTGAGAAAAGGTCCCAGTGTTGGCGGGCGTCCGCGCGGCGCGCTCGGGGACATAGGTTGGGCCCGCGCTGCAACTCCGGCATGTATCATTGCAGAGATCGTCGAATAGGAACGCGGCAGCCATTGGTGTGAGTGTCGCGTGCGCCACGAGAGCTGCAGCCGACCATAGCCGTCCACTGGTGCCCGGCGATCGGTCACCGGTCAACATCAGCGCATTGCGCGGCGGCCAGGATAGTTTCGATATCTGACGTTCGCAGCGCGCGCGCAGTTGCACCATGATGGGGGTGAGGCTGCGCGTACAGCGCCTCAATGGTACCGGCAATGCCAGCGTCCGCGTCCCCACTCGCATGCGCAAGTCCGGCGTCGACGTCGCATCGAAGAACAAGCAGTTCTCCAAAACCGCCGCGCGCGAGGTACGTCACGCCCGCACGAAGCCGTTCGGCCAAGCGCATCACTTCCTGTTGCGCGGCCGCTCGGTCTCCGGGATCTGATTCCGTAACCACGCATCCCGAGGGACGAGGTTACTTATCTCACGCCGACTCGCGGCGCAAGCGCCCCTGCCGACCCCAGGGCGACGCCAGGCGCCGAGAATCCCTGGTGGCCATTTCTCACGCCTCGTCTTCCGCGACACCCCTGCGCCCCCCAAACCCGCGCCGCCCGCGTCGGGGACTCGCAGCGATCGCCTGCACGCCCTCGCCACCCCCGATGGCCTCCCCGGCGCCACGCCCGCCCCTGCCACGCCCCCCCTTCCTCCCGCCACTCCCTCGCGTGGCACCACGGCGCGACGCCGCCCCGCCGCCGGGCCCCCGGCATTCGCACCAGCTCGCCCCTGCACTGCCGCTCAGCCCGCACACCGCTCGGGGTCTGTCCGGCGTTCGAGAATCCCTGTCTCCCAAGTGCTCCATTATACAACAGCAGGGCTTTTGCCCGAATGGGCTTTCGCGCGGCTACCGCGCGCGTCGCGAACCGCTCCTCCGGCCCGCATGGTCCCCACCGTCCCGGAACGTCCGGCGCACGCCCCACCTCACGTCGCCACGCACTCCGCGCGGCGCCTCCCCCTCCTGCGGCGCCTTCTGGCGCGAGACGGCCCCACCGCACGCTTCCGGCCCCGCGCCCTCCGTTCGATCGCAACCTCGGATACCTCACTCGTCAAGCTCTCTCCACGCGAATTGTCAACGCACCGCGCGCCCCGGCGACGCACCACGTGCCGTGAGTTGACCGCCCACTGCGCAGCAGCGAGACCCCGCCCGCGCGTCGCCCGCGCGTCCCGCGCCCCGTCCTCACCGCGCGCACCCTCCCCGCTCCGCGCAGTCTGCGATCAAGGCCGAGTCGTCCACGGCGACCTACGAGCGGGAGGCTGCGACCGAGGACAAGAGCCAGTGGCAGTCTCTGCAGCCCGCGCTGGCCGTCAACTCCCCGAACGGCTCCGCGAGCGCGGGGGGGCCGGAGTCGCGCCCCCCGCGGTTCCTCAAGTGGGTCGCGAATGAGCGCGAGGAGGTCCGCACCATCAACTACAGCATCAACCTGGGGGCCATCCTGCTGTTCGCCGGCGCGGCCGTCACCAAGATGCTCACCGTCGACGCCGACATCTCCCGCGGGTGGACGATGTACGAGGTCCTCACGCGCGTCCCCAAGGTGCGCCCGGCCCCGCCCCGCTGCGGCGCGCCCCCCACCAAATCGCGCGTCCCCGAGACCGCGACGCCGTATTCGAACGCGAGGAGCGCCCCGAACCGTGCAGGACAACTGGCTGTGGTACGAGTCGTGCCTGGAGAACAACCCGATCCTCGCGAAGGCGACCATTTCGGGCATTGTGTACACCATCGGCGACCTGACCGCGCAGACTTACGAGGGCCGCGGGCTGGACGACCTGGACCGCGGACGCGTGCTGCGGTCCGGCCTGGCGGGCTTCATCGGCCACGGCCCGCTCTCGCACTGCTGGTACCTCTTCTGCGACAGCGCCTTTGCCAACCTGTACATCCCCCCCTCCAACTGGCTCTCCAGGTGCGCGACGCGCGCGCCCGCCCCGCACGCACGCGCACGCTGCGCTCCACGTCGGGTGGCGCGCCCCCGAGCCAACCGCGCCCGCCCCCGACAACGCCGCGCTGTGCACGTGTGTGTTTTTGCAGCGAGGCGAACGTGACGCTGGCCAAGGTGCTCGTGGACCAGACGGCGTGGTCGTTCACGTGGAACAGCATCTACTACCTCCTCCTCGGCGCGATGCGCTTCGAGCGCCCGAAGCAGACGCTCAAGACCATCGGCGAGACCTGGTACACGCTCCTGTCGGCGGGGTGGAAGCTGTGGCCGTTCGCGCACATCATCACGTACGGCGTGGTGCCGCAGGAGCACCGCCTGCTGTGGGTCGACATGGTCGAGATCGTCTGGGTGACGATCCTGTCGTTCATCGGCAACCAGAACCGCGACGGCAAGGAGAAGGACGTCGCGGAGGCCGCCGCGGAGGTCGCCGACCTCACTGCGGCCGCGGGCGGCAGCGCCGTCGCGCTGCCCGAGGCGGCGCCCGCGGCGGCGACGTGTCCGCTGCCCGGCGGCCAGAACAGCATGGTGGAGATGATGCGCGGGATCGAGGAGGAGAGCAGCGTCATCTTCGTGAACGAGGAGGGCGACGAGGTGGTCAAGGACCTGGCGGACGTCTACGAGGACCCCGCGCCGCCGACGGAGAAGGAGTTCGAGGAGGCGCGGCAGGAGAACGTGTGGGTGGAGTGAGAGGGGGTGGCGCCCCTGCAGCGCAGGGGCCGGGGGGGCGTCGCGGCACCGCCGCTCAGTTAGGTTCTTGCGTGCACATACCCGTATAACCACCTCTGTCGGCCACGTTCTTTCGCCACGTGCGCCGACACCCCCCCCTTCGCCCATGTGCAGCGGCCCCTGTCAGAGCGCCTCCGTAGCGCGGCACCTGGCAGCTCGACGGCTAGGTGGCCGCTACAGCAATGTGAGACCGATTGTTGTTCGCCCGTGCATTGACGCGGTGAGGTGCCAAGCACCGACACGTCCCGGAGCTGCACCAAGCCACGAGCGCGACCGTAGCTAGCATCGTTGAAGCCTACCAGAAGCCGCTGCTCGGGTGGACGAAACGCGTCAGCAAGGCCGCCGACATGGACGCGGCAGCGTGCATGCCGTACATTGATGCTATACTTGCTGCTACGCAAACGGCACTCCAACCCGCTCTTCAACCCGGGTTCCGCCTTCCATGGCCCCCGCCGCTGGCGGACATTCAGCCCGACGATCGCGTGGCTCTGCGGCGAGACGCGACACGCCTCACCATCACGACCATGGACAAGAACGCCGGGAATTTGGTTTTCGTGTGTCGGCGCGCCTACATCGAGGTCCTCCTGCACGACCTGCACAGCAACGACGCTTTCGCTGTCAACGAGCCGGCAAATGCCAACATCACGCATGCCAGGCACGTGGTGAACGTCGCTAACACGACGGAGGCTATGTTGGACAACCTGCAGCTACCAGGAATACGCACCGAACGCGAGTGCGGTGGTCTACCGCACTACTACGGGACGATGAAGCTTCACAAGGCCAAGGTGGACGTGCGGTACATCTCGGACTGCTCGAGCGACATCACGCGCCCCGCAGCGCAGCTGCTGACGAAGGCCCTCGGCGCGCTCATGTGCCACGCCACCCTCGTGGAGGTCTGGAGCTCCATCTTCGACGGCGTCCCGGAGGACCTCTGCAGCAGCTTCGCGCCCTTCTTGGTGGACTCCAGCCGCGGCATGCGTGACATGGTGACCGCGTATCTACATGACAACCCACCACGCTCAGCGATACATGCTCAACAACCACCTCTGCTGCTGGGCGCCGACATCAAGCGGCTCTACACGCACATCCGGCACGAGACGAGCGCGGACCACGGGACCGGCCTCATCGACTGCGTCATCGAACACATCGACGCTGTTTTTGCACTGCATCCAGGGCAACACCTCCTGATCGACTTGCAACCCGCGTTTGACGCGAGGGAGACGTGGTGGTGGGTGGCGCAGCTGCCGGACGCGGACGGCATGGTTGGGAAATGGGCACCGAGCATCGAGCAACTTCATGGTCTCGTGCACATCCTCGTCAAACGCGCCTACGTGGTGTTCGGGGGCGTCGTATATCACCAGACCTGCGGTGTGCCCATGGGGCTCTCGGCCTCCCCCCACCTCGCGAACTGCTACATGTTCCGGCATGAGCTCGCGTTCCTCTGCCAGTTTCGCGACCGCTGGTTGAGCACTGGCGACGTCGCTTGGCTGAAGGTCTTGGGGTCTTTCCGTTATTCCAGGCGCTACATCGACGACAATTTCTCTCTCGCGAACGCACTGTACCGCTACTTCAACACCCACCCCCGCCCCCCCACCCCGCCCCCCGAAACCCCGTCGTCGATCGTAGATCTCATCTCTGGTATACATAACATGTACCCCCCCTGTCTTGAGGTCGAATTTGACGCCCCAGCGAACCCGCTCGACGGTGTCTCCTTCCTAGACCTCCGCGTGCGTCCGCATCCCGAATATCAGGGCTTCCTCCTGATCTCGCACTATGACAAACGCGGTCTGTTTCCTGAGAACATTCACCTCATACAGTACCCCCACGCTTCGTGTGCGCTGCTGCGACGACACCTTTACAACATCGTCCGCACCGAACACATCCGCGTGTCCAGCGAGGTGACTGACCGCGACAGCTACGTAGCCAAGATGTCGGCCATGATGCGCTACATGCGTACGCATCGAGGTTACTGCATGCGACAGGTCCTGGCGATCCACCGCGCCGCCTGCCGGACGCACCCGAGCCCGCATTTTGGCCCTGCCACGCCGGCGGGCCTGGCTGACCTCGTGCGTCGCCACGTGCAGTTTGCAGACCATACTGGCCAACCTGCTGACAGGGCGTGCCCGGCGCCCTGCAACTCGTCACCCTCATACATGATCCCGGCGCTGCGAAGCTGGCTCGGAACTATCCAGCCATGCCCGCACACATGACGCACTCTGTTACCCCCCCGATGTTGACATGTTGGCCATGCGCGTATTCCGTGGCCGCTAGACCGAGGTATGATCCCTTTTCGCATGACAGGCCACGCGCGGGGGACGGCGATGACGAGGAGAGCTGAGTAGCCGTCGGCGCGTCGCCACACAACGCGGACAATGCCGCAGACTCAGTCACCGCTGTCACCCAGCCGGCTGCCGACACCCCCCGGTACAAGCAGCCTAGGACGTGGACCAGCACTTCGGCGCGTCGGCTGGCGGGCGTCGTCCAGTACTCGCGCGGCTCGCCGCGTTGTTGCTGACGACGCCCGCCACTCACTCTAACTGATTGCAGGTCAGAGCCTTCCCTTGGCACATGATGGCACGCTCACATGGCATTTCGCGCGAGTACTCCTAGCACGCTGCCGCCTTGATCAGGACGATAGCACACCCGCATTTCGTTTCGTGCGCGGGTGGTCAATTACTACTCTGTGAGGCGCTGTTTGTGCGTCGCCAGGGACTTGCCACTCACAGGCTCGCGCGAGGCGCGCAAGAACGACCTGCGCGGTCCCCGAGCAACATTGTCGCGGGTCGGAATAGGTCGTTCTGTGGGGGCGGAGGCTTGATAAGTGGCTTGACGATGTCTTGTGTCTTGTGATGAGGACTTAGTGTCGTTTGGTTCGGGTCGCTGCTAGCACGCGCACGGTGGGCGTCGTGCAGCTCGGTACTTTCGAGTCCGAGAGGGGCGCTCGACGGTCGTCCGCGGCGGCGCCCCCCGGGCCGGAGCCTCCAGAACAACACGAGCTGTCATCGTCGCAGGGGCCTATGTTGACGTTCAACTGCTATATCTGCTATGCTTGCGCGCGGGGACACTGTCCCTGGGCGGCTCCGAAGGGGCGCGCGTGGAGGAATGCGCGGGCAGTCCCGTCACCGACCCCGCAGCTGTGTGCACGGCCGCGCGGGTCGTCCCGGGTGCAGGACCGTCTCGGCGGTCCCTCCGAGGGCCTTATCGACCCCGTCCTCCCACCGCGATCGCGCGCTCTCCAGCAACGCACCCCCGGGGGGGTGTAGTGGGGGGTTGGGGTGTCAGAGGAACCGCACGGCGCTGCGATTCCTGTTCGCCTGGGCCTTGATCGCGAACTGGTCCGTGATGCTGAACGCGTTCGACAGCCGCCTGTGCGCCGCCTTGCTGCGCCCCTCCTCGCCCAGCTCCGACGACAGCGCCGTCTCCCGCCCCCCCAGGTCCATCGACCCGCGCCGGACGCCGGACCTCGCCCGCACACATCCGTCCCGCTCCCCCTTGCTCGCGAACGCCGCCGAGCACGCGCGCGCCCCCGCGCACGCCGCAGCAGCGTCCCCGCCGGACTCCAGGGAGTCGCGCTGCTGCGACCTATAGTTGCTGCGCGCGACCTCGAGGCTGGCGCGCGCGGTGTTCCTGTAGACGCTCCTGCCGCCGTGCGCAGTGCCCGCGCTCTGGCGCGGCGGCGCCGTGCGCGAGGCCGCGCGCGGGTGCACCCACGACGCCTCGCTCGCGCCGGGGAAGGCCACCCCCGTGGTGTGCCGGGCCTGGCCGAGGTCCGCGAGGACGCCCACTTCCTGGCGCCTGCGCGGGGCCGCAAACGGCCCCTCCGCCTTGCTCGGCGCGAACCGCTGCGTCACGGAGGGGTCCCGGAACGGCTTCCGGGCCACCACAGGCCCTCCCGACTGCATTTGGGGGGGGGAGTTTGGGGTCAGTCGGGCCGACGGAACTGGTCCGCGCCGCCAGAACGACACCCTGTGCCGCTGGCCCGCGCGCGGCGGCCTGCGGCCTGCAGGGCCTGCCGCGCTGCAGCGAGCATGCTCTGTTGTCATGGGGCTGCGGCCGCGCCGGCTGGCGGGGCGCGGAAATAGTCGAGCGGCGCGCGGTTTGGAAGCCTCAGTGTAAAGGTGTTGCGCTCGGTGACTGCTTTGCTGCGCGGGCGCGCCGCGGAGGCGGCCGGGTGCCCCAACACATCGGCTCTCAACTGCCCAGGGAGGCGGGGCACGTGCGCGGCGGGGGGGGGCTTTGTGCCGTGGCCCGCGGCGTCGCTGGTGCCGGAGATGCATAAAGACTCCGCGGAAGGAATCTGGTCGAAATGTAGCGGGCGCAGCGGCGCCCCGGTGGTCCTGGACGTTGCTGCAGTGGCCCTCACCTGGCGCGACCCGGCGGACTGCTGGACGTTGAAAGTGCTGTACGTGTGCTTCAGATGATCCGTCCTCCCAGGCTGTTCGTCCGCCACGCGGCGGGACCCGCCTAGACAGGGCAGGCAGCCCAGCAGGGGCCGCCTGGCAGGGTGCGGGTCACGCATTCTGTCCTCGGCATGCGCGGCACAAGTTCGAGGGTTCCTGCATGCGCGAGGTCCGCGTCACCGTGACTGCCGCTCCGCGCTCGTGCGCCCCGGCCCTCGCGCCCGGCCCGCCTCCACCCTGGGTGCGTGCCCCCAGGTAAAAAGGCACGCGCACTCCCCCCCCCCGCGACACCACGCCGCCAAGCTGTCCGCACGCGGCCCTGGAGATCCAGCGCACACCCGCAGGGGCGTCTGGCCGCGCCCGCTGCCGCTCACGGCGGCACCGGCCCGTGCTCAGCACCCCCGCAACGTGTGTGCTGCGCACCGACCGCCGCGCGGCCATGCCGAAGCCGCTCCGCGGCGAGACGCGGCGCTCCGCCTCGGCGCTCCCCGAGGCGATCACCACCTCGTTCCTCTTCGAAGCCAGCCGCGCCGTCCACCAGGCCTGCCGTCCGCTGGCAAGCGCGCTCGGCGTCTCCGCGGTCAAGGCGGCCCGCGAGACCCCCGGCGCCGCAGCTGTCGATCCCGGAGTGCGCGGCTCGCACTGCCTGCGCTGCGGCACGCCGCTGCGATCGACGGGGCTGCGGGACGTCGCGATCGTCCCGACGGCACGGTCGTACAGGTGCGCTGCTGCTGCCTCGGGCGCCCGGGAGCGCACCTCGCGCGCGCATTGCTCGCCCGGTGGCAACCCACGGCACCCTGAGCACGGTAGCGTCCTTGCAGGCGACGCAAGTCGAAGGGACTGGCGTCGAAGAACGCGGACGACCGCGGTGTGTGCAAAGTGGCTCTGATCCGAATATGCGCCGTGTGCGCGCACGAGAACGTCCGTTTGTGCGCGAACGAGCAGACAGCCATGCAGGCTGCCGGACACAACCCCAACTGCCGCCTGCTGCCCCGCGGCACGCGCGTCCAGGCCCCCGCACCGCCTCCGGCACACCCGTCCGCCGAGCAAGCGCCCGTGGCGGCCTCGCCTGGCGTCGCGCCTGCAGACAAGCCGCGTGACTCCCGAGACAGTGTTCAGGAGGCGACGCTGGCGCCACCGGCGCGCGATCCGGCGGCCGCAGCGCGTGAGGAGGCGCGCAGTGGTGGCACCGCCGGCGGAGGCGGAGCTCCCGTGGGCGTCGCAGAGGCTCGGGGGGCGCAGGCGCGGGCGGCGCCAGCGGGCGGCGCGGGCAGCGCGCTCGATCTGGAGTCGCTTCTGGTCGCGAACCCGGACGCGCCGGCCCCGGGGGGCGCAGCGGCGCGGCGCAAAAGCGCGAAGCGGCGGCGAGGGGCAGCGCGGGACCCGACGGCGGAGGAGCCGAGGCGGAACGTGGTGTTCAAGCCCAAGAAAGCGCGCCCTGGATGAGCGCCCCCGCCACCCAGTCGTGACTCAACGCCAGCGAGCCTGCCGCGCGTGTTCCGCGGCGGTGCGCTGGCGGCCGCGCGAGCTACTCTGCGTAGATATTAGTCTCTCCTCACTCCACGCTGTGAGCCACACGCGTGATGTCAACGGCGGTGAGCTCACACGCGCCGCGGGGCGTCCAATGCGTCAACCTCCACACCCCTTACGGGCTCACTGCAGCGAGCCGCAGGGGCAGGCGCCGGCCCGTCTGACGCTGCTAAGGCCGTGCACGCAGTGCCGCGGGCCGAATGCGTCTGGCCCGGCACGTCGCTCGCGTGAGTTCCTGGGTGCTGCGAGGTGAGAGGCTGGGAGTGCGTGTGCGTGTGCGTCGTGCGCCTGGCTGGAAAACGCGCACGAGGCGGCGGCCTGCGAGGTGCGGGGTCGGCGGCGGCGAGGATCCCGATGTGCGCTGCGCGGCCTACGCGGCGGCCTGCTTCGCCTCCGCGCCGCTCTTGGCGCGCTTCTCGTTCAGGTTCTTCACGGCCGCCTTGATCGCGTCCTCCGCGAGCATCGAGCAGTGCAGCTTCACCGGGGGCAGGTTCAGGTGCTTCGCGATGTCGCTGTTCTTGATCTCCAGCACCTGCAACACCACAAGCACCCAACGCAGGGCCGCGCGTCTCTCTCTCGCCTGCCCCCCCGCGTCGCGGGAGCGCTCTGCGCGTGACGAGTGGAGCGGCGGGCGCGGCTCGACTGTTGCGGGCGCACCTCCTCCATCGTCTTGCCCTTGACCCACTCGGTCGCCAGGCTGCTGCTCGCGATCGCCGAGCCGCAGCCGAACGTCTTGAACTTCGACTCGATGATGTTCCCGTTCTCGTCGACCTGCAGGAACGGCGGACGCGCTGCGAGGTCGGGCGCGCGCTCGGCGCTCGGCGCGCGCGGGCGTGGCGGCGCTGCGGCGGGCAGACCACGCGCCTTGATCTGCAGCTTCATCACGTCGCCGCACGCAGGCGCGCCCACGAGGCCCGTCCCGACGTTGGGGTCGTCCTTGTCCATGCTGCCGACATTGCGCGGGTTCTCGTAGTGGTCTAGAACCTGCACCGCACCCTCGCACAGAGGCCAGCGTGGGCCGACAGGTGCCGTGACGGCGCGAAACGTCGATGGGCGCGCTCGTGAGGCGTCCATGGAGCATGAGCGGGTGTGCTGGCCGCGGGATACGGAGCCACGCGGCCCCCGCGACGCCCGCGGCGGGCTGCGCTGCGTGGATGGGAGGACGCGCGTGCACGGGCGCGGGGGCGGTGAGGACGCGCCGAAACGGGCCTCGTCGCGTTCGCGAGGACGCGAACGAGCACGCGCGTGCTGAACGGGGACAGGGCGCCCTGACGCAGGGGTGTTTCCGCGCCTCCTAGGAGGACTGGCTCTCCACGGCTTCCCGCAACCGTCAGGTCGTATCAGGACACGTCAGCGGCGCGGAACGGCGCCCGCCGACAGTGAAAGGGGCCAGGATGGAGCGCGGCCGGACGAACGCGCCGGACCGGGTAGGGAGCCCGGTGAGAGCACAGGGCTCCCTACCATCCGCCCCACGCGGCGCCGGCGGCGACAGGCGCCGCTGACGACGTGCGTTCGCGGCCGCTTGATCGGCGGTCAGATTGGCCGTGCGACGATTGCGTTCCAGGCGGCGGGCCGCCAGCGGCACCAGCGCGTGGCAAGCGCAGGGCGGGGGCTTGCGCGGAGCACCCACGCCGCCGCAGCGCTGCCCGCGAGCGCTTTCGTGGGGCGCGTGGGGGGCACTCACGTTCTTGTGGTAGGCGCGGGTCAGGACCGGCGCGAGCTGCCGCAGGGACTGCGAGATCGCCGGCAGCCCCTGGGCCACATTGGCGAGGGAAAACATCCTGTGCGGTGCGCAAGAACACTCCGCAATATCAGAAGACCCACGTCGCGACCGCGTTTGCGCACGACGGCCGCGGGCGCGCGGCTGTGAGCCGCTCAGGGCCCCGGGCAGGACCCTCCAGTGCTGTGGTCGGGCAGGCCGGGGGGGGCTCGCCAGGCCCGCTGCGGCGGCCTCACTGCCCGGAGACGCGGCCGCGGGGGCCTAGTACTCCGCGGTCGCACAGCTGTCGAGCTGTGGACCGCTGTCGCGCATCGGGGCGACCGGCCGCCTCGCCGGTTTGAGCTGCGCGGGCAGTGACTGAGAGCGCGCGCTCGGCAGCAGCACCGCGCATCGCTCCTGCGGCGGATTAGCTAGTTCACAGGAGGAGAGGTTCGGCCATGACCACCGTGGCGGCCGCGAGCCGCGGAAAACGGCCGCACGAGGACGGTGAGGAGTGGCCCGCTTGCAGACGAGCGACGCGCCCTGCGCGCCTCCTGCGCGCCGTTCTCCCTGCGTGATCCGCGCCTCGTGTCGATTCACGCATACGGCTACCTGAAACAGTGACGTGTATCGCGGGAAGGCTCACCGCCACGCCCGGAGAGCCACCTGCTGCTTTGCACCGCGCCCTGCGTGCTGTGCTTCGCCGCTGCGCGCACGGGCACCGCTACGCTCCGTCCCTGCCGGATCTGAGATGCCGGTGGTGCAAGCGTTCTGCGTGCCCCGACTCCTCTGCTGCAGCCGGGCCTGCGGCGCTGGGCGCCGCGGAGGACGATGGTGGGGGCAACGGTCACCTGCCCGGGGAGCTCGTGCACGCGGTGTGGATCCTGCCGCCGAGCAGAAAGGGCCACCTGTCGACACAGAAGCAGGGGAGCATCGTCGTTACGGAGGACACGCGCCCGGTCCCGACGGTGGACGCCCTGAAGGACCAATTCCTCAACGCCTACCGGAGCTCATGCCCCGAGGTGCGCCACGCGTCGAGGCGGGCCCCGCCGCATCGTATTACATCTGGCTTCGATGCTGGGGACTTGCGCGGGCGTATGTCGGCCGTTCTGCGGGCGGAAACGGCTGCCCGCACCCAGCGAGTTAGGTTGCGCGGGGCGCGACGGTCCCGCCCGCGCTGCCTCGCGCGCCCCCGCGAGACCGTTCTCGCGAGGCACCGAGCCACCGCGCGCGCTGGAGCGAGTCGGCGCGCCCCCCCTCGACGGGAACGCCAGCGTGCTGCTCACACGTGCGCGTCTGTGCGCGTGCCGCCGCGTGCAGCTCGCGGAGCTGACTGCGAGTGACCTGGGCGACCTCCAGACGCTCAAGGGCAGGGTCGTGACGGACCTGGAGGCCTACTTCGAGGAGCTGGCGGCGGGCAGTGCCCCCCGGTTCCGCAGGTCGGTGCTCAAGACTCCAGTGGGCGGCGTGCTGGACGGCGCGGGCCTGGACCGGCAGGTGAGAGGCGGGGAAGCGCATGGACGCAGTGCGCGTCGCACCGGGCCGCGGTTCTTCCGGCGCGTTCTGCGGGGGCGCGAACGGCCGTGAGAGCGTCACTCGTGCACTTGCGACGGCGCCGCCCGTTGTGTGTTGGTTCGCAGCTGCGGTTCAGCAAGCTGGACGTCGGCACGTACGAGATCATCGTGCCGCGGTTCGCGGAGAGGCACGAGGAGAGCCTCGCGGACAACTACAACGAGGCGACGGCGCTGCAGGAGAAGCTGCACAACTCCATCCAGGTGCGCCCCGGTCTGCAGCGCCGCGACGCCCCCGGTGCGGCGAGACGCGGGGAGGCCGTGCGGGCGCGCTGCGGCGGCCCGTCGTCGCCGACCCGTGCGCCGCGTCCCGGTGCCGCCGGTGCAGGCGTGCATGAACGCGATGGCGCCCGGGACGATCCTGCATGAGTCGGAGTTCATGCCGATGATCGAGATCCGCGTGGAGACGTGCGACAAGGAGGACGGGAAGCCGTGGATCGAGATCCGCGACAACGGCGAGGGCATGACCTACGACGACATCGACCGCAACATGTACACCGTGGGGTCCGGGAGCAACCGCCGGAAGGACGTCAGCGTGCGGCAGCCCAAGCGCTTCCAGGACATGATGACCGGGCAGATCTCGCGCGCCGGCATGGGCGGCACCCTCACCAACTCCTTCTTCCGCGCCGACTGCAAGGCCTGGTCGTTCCCGCTCAAGGGGACCGCCTGGGGAGGTGAGCGCGCGCCTGAGTGTGTGCCGCCGCCCCGCACGCGCGCCCCGCTCGCCCGTCGCTGCGTGGCGCGGTCGCACGACGACGACCCTGCATCAAAGCGTTTGTGTGATTGTGTTGCGGCGCAGAGGGCGAGGGGACGTACACGGGCGGGGAGTGCACGCTGTACGCGCCGCGCGGCGCCGAGAGAGAGCACCCCTCGAAGCGTCCGCTGCGCAGCGACGAGATGCGGAAGCACCTCATCGCCACGTCGGAGCACGGGACCACCATGCGCCTGCACAACCTCAAGATCGACGGCGAGGTCGACGCCGAGGGCCGCGTCACGCGCAAGCCGCTCCTGTGGAACCGGCCGGAGTACGACTGCATTCCGAACCACTCCGACCGCGTCTCCGTGGCCCTGGAGGACCTGGCGTGCATCCTGGCCAACCTCAACTTCATGTACCTCGTGCCGGTGGACAAGCTGGCGGCGCTGCTGGAGGAGAAGATGGACGTGGTCTTCAACGAGGAGTTCGTCGCGGGCGCGTCGGCGTACGGCGGGCGGGGGCGCTCCCCGCGCGAGGAGGCCAAGCGGCACGCGGAGGCCTTCGCGTCGTTCCTGCTCGAGAGCCGGAGCAAGCCCGGGTCGGACCGCCCGACGGTGGCGTGCTCGCTGGTGTGGCAGCACGAGGGCGCGCAGCAGCGGCGGTGGGACCTCGGGGAGCTCGCGGAGGAGGGCTACATCATGCGCATGCTGCACCGCTGCGAGGCGCTGGCGCCGCTGCTGCTGGACTTCGAGGTCGACCACCGCGTGCGCGGCGTGCCGGGGCCCGCGAAGAAGGCGCGCGCGGACCAGGGCGGCGCGGCGGCGGGCGAGGAGAGCATCCAGGCGTTCCTGCTGGTGCTGTTCGGGGGCGCGGACGACGCAGCGCCGGCGGCGTCGATCGAGCTGCTGGACGACAGCGACGACGACGAGGTGTCGCTGCGGGAGGCGAGCAACATGCACGCGGCGCGCCCGACGCCGTACGCGCTGCTGCCGAGGGTCCTGGAGGAGCGGCGGCGCGCGGGGTGCGGGCTGATGGCGGACCGCCTGTGCCAGGTGGTGTGGGAGGGCGTGGCGATGCGGGCGGACACGCTCGAGCTGGGCAAGGCGCTCGACAGGCTCGGCACGGCGTGCGGGGGGCGCGAGAACGCGCTGCGGTGCGTGCTGCTGGCGACGGGCGCGGTGCCGGTGAACGACCACAAGACGGGCCTGGAGACGACCAAGGTGCACGCCGCGGACATCAACCAGCTGATCAAGACGAAGATCGAGCACGCGCTCGCGGGGCCCAAGAACAAGACCGCGGAGGTGATGGCGGAGTTCGTGCGCAAGGTACGGGGGGGGGCTGTCTGTTCGTGCCGCCCACAGGCGGCGCCGCGTGACCGCTGCGTGCACTCGGTGGGACGAGAGCTTGCCGTGCGCTGCTTCCGCGCCGTCCTGCCATCCAGCCCGCGGCCGAGGGTCTGCCCGCAGGGTGCAGCACCCCCCACGGCGTGTGGGTGCGCTCACCGCTTTTTCCACCCCGAGCCGGTCGTGCCCGCAGTGCATCGAGCGGAACGAGTCGGTGCGCGTGGTTCAGGGCGCGCTGGTCAAGTACAGCAAGACGAGCGCCACGTTCAATGTTGGGTCGGAGGTCGTGCTCTCGCTCAAGGACGGCGCGAGCAACGACGACGCGGACCTCGCCGCGCTCTTCGCCGGCGACGGCAAGGGCACGCAGCCCATCTTCCGCCTGCTGCACGCGGAGGAGAGGGACGTGGACACGGGGCGCCGGAAGGTCATGAAGGTCGTGGTCAAACTCGCGCTGCTGCTGCCCGGCGACGGCCAGGACAGGGTCGAGGTCGTCGCGGACGGCAAGAAGCGCCAGATGCGCCTGACGCAAGAGGCTGCGCAGCTCCTCGCGGACCGCTGCTTGCGGAAGCCCCAGACGTACACGGTGGTGCTGGCGGACGACAACCAGCTGTGCTACTCCGCGCTGCGCCCGCCCACCATGGAGGACCTCGAGAACTACACGGTGGCGCTGAACGAGCTGCCCACGCTGCAGCTGGCGCTGTCCAAGAAGTCGGGCGACGTGCCGAAGCTGCAGGGGAACGGGCACGTAACAATCGCGCAGCAACAGGCGATCGAGTTCGCCAAACTCGGGACCCGGAACGCGCCGGCGAGGTACCTGTGCCTGCGGCGCGCCAAGGTGGTCTCGGGCGCGCGGCTGGTGAAGGGGGACCTCGACCTGCCGGACAGTGGCGCGGGCGTGTGGCTGCTGAAGATGCTCGAGATGGTCAAGGTCGCCGTGATCGTCGACGGCGAGCCGTGCGCCCTCAGGGACACCGAGTACGGGTGAGCGCCCCTGGACCTCCGGCCACCAGTGAGGGCTGACGCCCTGTTGACGCGCGCGCGCCCCTGTCCACCGTTCTCCTGCGCTCAGTCCGGTCACCGTCGCCGCCGCTGCCGCCGCAGGTTCGAGTTCGAGTCCTTCAGGAAGAAGGGCGTCGATCACAAGGAGCTCATGATCGTCCTGAAGGACACGGCGCTGCAGCGCGTCCCGCCGCTGAGGCAGCTCAAGTGCGGGAAGCACGAGGTCGCGTTCGGCGTGGCGGCGCCGGGGCAGAAGGTGCCCCCCCGCCTCGTCGGTCCTCCGCTCGAAGTCCAGGTGGAGACGCAGAAGTTCGACCTCGCGAAGCACGGCGACGTGGTGAGTGGCACACCCAGGGGGGTCACGTCCGTGTCGTGCGTTCCGAGTCGCCCGGACGTCTGCACGTCGTGCATGCACGGGGCTGCGCGTCTGAACAACGTGGCTTGTTGTCTCGAACGCTGCGCCGCAGGCGAAGATGGTGGTGGAGAACATCACGAGGCAGGACGGCACGGAGTGCGCCCGGGGCGAGCGCTACGTCATCAACGCGGACGACCGGCTGATCATGCGGTTCAGACTGCAGGTCGACTTTGAGGGGAACGACAACTACGTGCCCGTCCTGCTGCCCCGCGCGGACGACGAGGACCGCGTCAAGCTGATCGCTACGTCGTGCAAGCCGGCGCTCCTGCGGACAGGTGCGCGCCAACGCGCGCCAGCCCCTCCCACGCTGTCGCCGTGCGACGCCCGAGCCACTCACTCGTGCGGCGCTGCGCGTGTGCACCTCGCAGCGCCCCCTGCCGTGGTGTACGGCGACGAGGAGGACGAGGACGAGGGGTGCATGGATATTGAGCTCCACGGGGTGCAGTTCGACGACACCGTGCGGCTGGCTCAGGAGGACCGCATCGAGTTCTGCTTCAAGATCATCCCCAGGAAAGCGGAGCGACACGTCGACCCCATAGGTGCGCCCGAGCGAGCCCGAGCGTCGCGTGCACGGCCCGGAGGCGTCCCTGACGGCGTGACACCGCGCTGTGCTGACCATTCGCCGAGCCCCCGGCCGCCCCGTGGCTCCGCTCGCAGAGGTCAAGGCCGTGTGCGAGAAGGTCCGGTTCCGTATGGCCCCGGGCAACATCGCGTTCGACGCCCGTCTCCTGCGCTCGGGCGTGTGGAACCACCAGTCGCTGGTGCGCCCCGCGGACGAGCTGCCCGCGGGCGTGAGCGACGCCGGGGACGGCGACGCGGGATCAAAGATGAGCTTCCGCATCGTCTCGATCCACGAGGAGGACGTCGAGGTGTCGGGCAAGCTGCGGCTGGCGGGAGGCGCGGTGTGCCACAGCAGCCGCCTGGCCGCGGAGGCCCTGAGCGTGAACCCGAACACGAACGAGCAGGACCGGAGCAGCACCGTCGCGGAGGTCTCGGCGCAGGACCTGACCGTGCTGAACCCGCTGTCGGGCCCGGACCCCCCCTTTGGCGCGCTGGAGGGCGACATCGGCAAGTACGTGGGGCGCGGGGACTTCACGGCGGAGAACCTGAGCAAGCTGGGCGTCGGGCAGGTGGTGCGCCTGTCCGGGGACCACGTCGACAACGTGGAGGCGTACATGGTGCGCATGCTGGTCCCGGACGCGCGCGGGGGCAAGAAGAGGAAGCTGACGCCGAAGAGCCTGGAGGCGCGCGTGCGCTGGCTCGTTCTCATGGCCGGGGACTACGTGCTCGTCGACGACGACGGCGAGGAGCGGCTGGTGCTGGTGTCGGGCATCGAGGAGGCCGAGGTGCGCCAACTCGAGGAGGAGCTGGAGCGGGAGTGGGTCGAGGACGAGCGCGCGCTGCAGAAGCACGAGGAGGCGACGTCCACGATCAACGTCCTCCCGGCCAAGGTCGTCGGCCGCACGGTGGTGGGGTTCGCGGGCCAGGCGCGCAAGATCAAGCCCAGCAAGATCAAGGCGCTGGCGTACGTCGTGCCGCACGGGCGGGAGGGCGACGACCTGCTCGGAGAGAACAAGGCGCGGCTCGAGGACCCGCTCGCGGGCGACGCCGCGCGCCCGGACCTGTTCCGCCGCGAGAGCCCCATGAAGGTGTTCCCTCCCTCGGCGCTGGTCCCCGGGCACTACAAGCCGCAGATTCGGAACGAGGCGGCGCGCGCAAACATCCAGCCGTACCGGTACGCGAGCGTCCCGGTCCCTCGCTCGCACGCACCGCAGCGCCGAAAACATGGCCGCGAGTTGAAAGCGGCCGTCTCCGCGCTGCTCCTTCCGCCGCAGGTACCCGTGGGAGCGCATCACGCTCCTGTTCGAGGCGAAGAACGCGCCCACCACCGGAAGGCGCGTCAAGCAGAGCGCGGGGTCCAGCGTGTTCGTCACCAAGCACCTGCCTGTGGAGCTGCGCCCGCTGCCCGTGCGGCTCGTGGCGCGCGCGACCTGCGACGGTGCGACCGAGGTGCTCGACTCCAGCACACCGGTCCGCTTCGTCCCGGGAGGTGCGTTGCGACCCGCCCCCCGCCCCCACTGCCCCCCGCGTGAGCTCTGCTGCGGTGTCGCTTGCCCGCCCCGAGACGTGGTCCTCCTTTCTCGTCCCGCTCGCACATCGCAGAGACCGTCACCGGGCTGTACGCGCGCCTGGAGTACGCGACGGGGCGGCACGTGACGCGCGCGGACCTCCTGCACGAGAGCAGCGTGTTTGACCGCGTGGAGCTGACGGTGCGCCCGCGCGGGGAGCGCGAGGGGGTCACGCGGTCGTTCAGCTTCACGACCGGCGAGATCGACGTCGACGCGGACGGCTGGTTCCCGCTTCCGGAGCTGGGCCCGGGGGAGCTCGACACGAGTCATGTGGGCGCGTTTGACGCCACGGCGACGCTGGTGCTGGACGCGCTGCCGCACGCGGGCGGGGGCGGGGAGGCCGCGGAGGGGTGCAGCGCGGAGTTCGGCGTCGTGATGCGGCAGGCGGGGCTCGGGGACCGCGTGGAGGTGCAGATGGGCGGCAACAGCTCCGTGGTGCACGTGGGGACGAACGTGGTGCTGCACCTGCGGCTGTGCGACCTTTCGGGGCGCGCGTATGACGACCACGGGCCGTTCGACATGGCCGTGAAGAACATCGACCTCACGCTCAAGGGCGCCGACGCGGAGCAGGCGCAGGTGGCGTCGTTCGACGCGGCCTACAACCTGACGGTGGTGCCCGCGGGGGACCACCTGGAGGCCACGCTCGCGGACATCCGCGTGGGCGGCGTCCCGCAGAACGGCATCGCGGAGGTCCACGCGGACGTCGAGGTGACGGTGGAGTACGAGGACGGCGCGAAGGTGCTGCGCGGCACGCTGGAGGGCCTGACGCTCAAGCCTGGGGTGGCGCACACGGCGTACTGCGTGAGCTCTGAGGGCGGGACGTGGCGGGTCGAGGGCGAGAGGTCGGTGATCGAGGTCAAGGACTACAGGAGGGTGCCCGTGGCCGCGGGCCTGCGCGACGTGGCCGGGAACAACACGTGGACCCTCGAGTCCCTCCCCAACCTGGGGTTGGAGCTGGCGTCGGAGCTCAGCGCGCAGACGCAGACGGAAACGCAGGCCGAGGAGGGTACCAGCACGGTCGTGGTGCGCGCTGCGTGGCCTGTTTGCTCGTTGGTTGGTGCTGTGCGTCCGCGGGATGTTGTGTTGTGCTCGCTTCGTCGGCCTCGTCGCGCGCGGCGTCACCGTTCCGCCGCGAACGTGGCCGACGCACATCTCTGGAGGGTGTCTGCAGGCGTTCGATCTTGCGAAGATGATGAGGAAGCGGAAGGTCACCATTGACGGTCTGAACTTCGTCAAGATGGAGTACATCATGTGGTCGTGCGCCGCCGGGGGCAAGAGCGTAGACGTGCCGATGAAGGCCAGGCTACATACCAGGAAGAGGGGGGATGATGACAGCGGGAGCACGCAGGACGGGCGCTGGCCCTGGACGCCCTTCATCGTGCGCATCGTGCCCTCGGTCCTCGTCGTGCCCGCAGGATTCGTCGACATGCCCCGGTCGACAGGGTACGTGGACGCCCCGCCGATGACTCGCAACGCCCGTCCACCTCGCGCGTCGCGGCGCCCTCACCCCGCCCTCACACCCCCCGAGCATGATTGTGCAGGGTCGGCCTGCGGCTGTCCCCGCTGGAGTTCTCCGCGGGCACCTTGGTGACCGCGACCGTGACCCTCCCCATGCTTCACCCGCCCGAGCACTGGGTGCCACACGGCAACGCCCTGAAGACCTGGGCGAGGAAGCAAGCCCTGGTGCGCCAGTCAGCGCAATACGCCGCGCGCTGCCGCATGACCAGGCGTCCGCAGGGCCTCAGTGCTCATCCGCTCCGTCCCCGTTGTGCGCGAGCCCCCACCCAACCCGCCTTCCCCCCTCCCTCCGACGGACGCTCGCAGGGAGAGAAAGGCGACGATGCCCGGCTGTCCCTCAAGATTCAAAGCAAGAACAGCGCCGACGTGGACAACGTCGACGATCTGCTCACGGGCCATGGCTGGAAGATCGTGTCGGCAGCGACGACGAGCGACCCCCCCGGGCTGGTCCTCCAGCTGGCGGGCAAGTGCCCTGCGTCGGGCATCGAGGAGAGCATCGTGGGGCCGTACACGCCGGGCGAGAAGCTCATCTACGCGGCGTGGGAGGAGCGGGACCTCCCCGACAGGCCCAAGAAGACGAACCCGCTGCTTCTGGAGCAGTGGGACAACAAGCACCGCGTCCTTCGGTGCGTGGAGTCCGAGGAAGTCTGCGCGACGATCCTCCCCGGCGAGCTGTCCGAGGTCGTGCTCTACCCGCACGGCACGGCCGCGCCGCCCCCCGGAGCCGCCGCGCCGCCCGTGGTGGGGGACAAGAACCGCGTGTACAGCGTGGGGGCGGAGCTCGAGCCGCTCGTGCTGGCGGCGCGGGACTCGAACGGGCACCCGTACCCGCTCAGCATGGAAGTGATCAAGGGCCTCGCGAGGGGCGGGCTCGCGTGGAGCGTCGGCCTGGAGAAGCGGCCCGCTCGCAAGAACCTGTCGGTGGCCGACGAGGAGTGCATCAACAGCCTGACGATAGACGGTGCGTCGGCGGTGCTGAGGCGCTGCGCGGACGTGCCGCGTCGCTGCGGGCGCGATGCCCTCCGTTGCGCGAACGCACCGTGGCTGAGGTGCATGTGTGTGTGTGTGTGTGCAGGCGGGGCCGTGAAGCGCGGGGAAAGGGACGGCGAGGTGCTGCTCAAGGGCATGATGCTCGCCGGTGCGCCCGGGAGCACCGCCAGCATCACCAACCTGCGCGTCACCGCCGAGGTCCTCGGGCTGAGCACCGCCGCCACGTTGAAAGCGGCCATCATCGTGGTGTTCAAGCCCAACCCCGCGGACGAGCCCGACGACACGGACAAGATCGAGGCCGCGATCCACGCGGCGCAGCACCAGGGCCGCGAGGCGCTCCGCGAGATCCAGTCCAAGGACAAGAAAACCCTGGGTTCGGCCCTGCGCGTCAAGATGTTCTTGAAGGAGGAGCTGCTGCACCTGACCGAAGTCGCCGGGCCCGTGCAGAGCGTGCGCGACGTCGCCGAGGCCCTGTTGGCGATCAAGCCGGGCACTAGGTGGCACCAGCACCCGGATCTCACCGCCGATGCACGTAAGTGCTTATCAGTGTTGACGTCGCGCCCTGGACGCGTGCCCTGCACGCACCAACGACGGTGACGACGTGTCTGTGCTGCGCGGCTTGCGGCGAGCCCACCACCGCGCTCCGTGCCCCCTCTGTGTCTTCGCAGTGCAAGACCAGAGCAAGAAGCTCGCGGAGAGCCTGCAACAGCTTGACGAGCTGATCAGGAAGTGTCTCGGCGATGACCGCGGGGGCGGAGGCGGCGGCGGCGGAGGCGGCGGAGGCGGCGGCCGCACTCCTCAGAGCGCTGGCAAGCGCACGCGCTCGAGCGCGCGGGGCGGCCCTGCGGCGTCGGCCGACACGCAGATGGGGGCCGAGGCGCTCGCGGAGCTCGGCACAGCGCCGTCGACCAGCAAGGGCCGGGGGAAGAAGAAGCGTGCGGGGCGCCTGCGGAGCCAGGTGCCGCCCGAAGAAGACGACCCGATCAGCGAGGACGAGGAGCACGTCGCCAGCAAACTCAAGGACATTCTCACGGTAACACAGCCCTCCCACTCACAACCGCCGATCCCGCTGTATCTCATCGTGAGCCTCGCGACCGAGAATCCGCTGCGACCCTGCTCTGCGGTGACTGTGCAGCTCGACAGGCCGGTGGCGGAGCTGCTGAGCAAGGCGCACGGCACGACCGTGGCGCGGCTGGCCGCGGCGTGCCAAGCGCTCTTCGGGTCGGACCTGAACCTCCCTCTGTATGTCGGGAAGCTGCCAAGCGGTGCCCTGGGGTCGCCGTGCACCTTCCTGCGGGACTGCAAGGCCGACCAGGCCACCAAACTGATGCGCACGGAGCCCGACGGGCACCTGTTCTCGCTCATGGACTGCAACCTGGTCCAGGTATGAGCCCACGCCAGTTGCAACAGACCGCCCGGCCGACGAGTGTCGGACCTCTGCGGGCCGCGGTCATGGTGCACCGCGTGTTGCGGCGGCAGCGTTCAGCGCGGGCGCGCAGGTGGCCAGCCAGCCAGCTTCGCCTGCGCCGGTTCGTCTCGTGTCGCGCCCCTCACTTACAACAGACCCCTGGGGCGTTGCCGCCTCGCTGTCGCGCAGGTCACGTCCCAAATCGTGCCGGCGAAGAGCTTCCACGCCATCTTCCACTACCTCGCGCGGATGCGTGTGTACGCCCGCCAGAGCGACGCGCACTTGGCTCTCCAGAAGAGCGTGGCGGGGAATCCGCCTGGGACGCCCCTGCGCGCCACCAGCCTCGACGCGGACGGGCGCTTCGTCCTGATCTCGGACGCGTGCAGCGTGCGTGCGGAGCGCCCCGCGCAGCACGCGGGCCGCTCGACGCAGGGCGGCAACAAGCTGCTGATCGATTGGGGGTCGGGGTCGGTGCTGGACGAGCTGGTGCGCCAGGTCCAGGGGCTGATGAATGCCCTCGAGAGGCTGCTGGAGGCGCGGATCGAGATTTCGGTCCAGGAGAGCAACATGCAGGGCGGCGACATGTTCTGACGGGGGCCGCTGGTGGACGTGCATGTTGCCCGCCTGAGTCGGGACGGGAGCGGGCTTGACGGGCACCGGTCGGGTCGCTCGAGAAGCCGGGGCGGTTGCGAGGGAGCACGCGCACGTCGCGCGGCTCGACGTGCGTTGGAGGAGGAAGCATGGAGGTGGGTGTGCAATGCATGAATGGGTTCCTAGGTGCAGGGCGGGGGGTGTTTCGGCGCGACGTTAGCGCCCGCGAGGTTCACACGATGTGACGCAGTCTCTCGCCCTACCAGGTGCCGGGCCGCGCTCGGCGAGGTCTCGCGCTGCCTGCGCCGGCCACTACGCGTAGCCCTTGGCCCGGGTGTCGTCGAGGATGGTGAAGCTCTCGACGGCCTTGCGGAGGCGCGGCTCCTCCTGCTTCCACGACTTGTCGTTGGGACACCGCGCGAGGATGGCGTACACCTTGCCGCGCGACGTGGTGATGCTGGTCACGAAGCGCACCGAGGGGGCGACGATCTCCACGTCGAGGAACTTGCGCCCGCCGGCCTCGCGCTCGCCCTTGATGATGTCGTCGGCGTCGTTCAGGGCGTCCTGGAGGTCCGAGTCGGCGCCGGCGAGCCCCGAGAAGGTCGAGTCAATGTCCCCCAGGTTGTACCCGATCGACTCCCCCGCGCGCCCGAACGTCACCACGATGATGCGCTCGCCCTTCGACGGCGACACGACGCGCGCGTCGATGCCCTTCGTGCCCTTGTCGATCTGCGCAGCGGCGCCGCGAACGCCAACAATGGTGGTCAGAAAACAGCTCACGAGTGCCGCGCACGTGCACGGGCCGGCCTCGAACAGGGGTCAGGGAGGCTTCGTGTGCATGCGGCCGGCCGGCCGCTACGCGTCGCCTTCTGCCACGTGCAAACGCTCGGCTGTGGGCGCTTGGAAGTGCCTCAGCGCCCGAGGACACCTCCGAAAACAGTCGTTCCGGACCGGCAGCGCACGGCAACGTGGCTGAAAGGGCTCACGCGTCCCTGTCGCACGCGGTGCTTCCCAGGGCTCGCGAAGCGGCCAAGTTGCAGTGTGCGGGCGCTGTGCGGGTGGTCGCTGTGGAAAGGCGCAGCGACGTGCGTTGCCCGGCAGGGGCGCCTCATGCGCGACGCTGCTGACGCTGTCCTCGGGGGGGACCGCCAGCGCACAGACAGACGAGTGACCGCGCATCGGCCTTGTGCGCGCAGCTCTGCGACGATGCCGATGAGAGCCTTCCTGGAAGCTCGCGGCAGGGCGTTCGGCACGTCAGAGTGCGCACCTTCCCGGGGACCTGGATCTTCCAGTCCGCGGGGTACTCGAACGAGTACACGGGGCTCTCGTTGGCGTTGCCGCCGTAGCCCCCGTATGACGACGCCGGGAGGTCCTTGCCCTGGTACAACTCCCACCCAGCGTCCACCGCCGCTGCGACGCCGGGGAAGGAGCCCTGCGGACACGAGCGAGGCCGCGTCGCGTCGCAACGGCGCCGCATCGAGCGCAAGTTTGGCTCCTCAGGTGCTGGGCCCGAGGGGGCCAGGAGAGGGCCGCGCTGGATCGGAGCGGGCGCACAGCACGTTGTCGCTCATCTGTAGTGCGCAGCGCGCAAGGAAAGCGGCGGGCGCGGGCACCGTCCCCGCGGCACCGGTGGATGGACCGAACTGCTCGCAGCCATCAGCTTCCGCGATGTGCGCTCCTGGCCCGGGAACAGATCAGCGAACGTCATCGATAGCGGGAGACACACAGCGAGCTGCACGCGAACGGCTCGAGAGTCGGAAACAGAGGTCGATGGAGTCGTTCAGCGGCGATATATCACTGCAGGAGGCGGGCCTCGACTTGCCTGGGCCGCCAGAGCCGCGGCGAGGGGCGCCAGCGAGAAGGATGCGAGGGCCTCGCGCCTAGAGGCGCTCAGCTCGGGTCCCTCGGTCGCCCCAGCGCGGGCAACGACCTGCCAGGCGAGCACCGGGGCACGTAGGATGACGGGGTGAGTTGGTGGTGCTCGCGACCAGGCAGTGCGGGGACGCACGGCGGCAGCCGCTGTGCGGGCATACAGCACGAGTCTACGATGACATTCGTGGCCTGCGGGAGGCGGCGCGGTCTCCCTGGGCGCGGCGATCGCCACGGTCGCTGCACAGCACGCAGTTGGCCCGGTGGGGGGGCAGGGGCGCACCGCCGCGGCCCTCGCGCGCGCGGGCGCCGGGGTGGCCTTGATGCCGAGGCAGCGCATGCCGGAGGCGGACGCCGTGGCGCACGACATCGTCACGGGGCGTCGTGCGGCGTGGGGACGGAGCTCAAGAGCAACACACAGCTATGGAGGTGCCTGGCGCGGAACAGCCCCCGCAACGCTCGATCTGTGGTACTGTGGACTCGTCACTGCACGCGAGGCCCGCTCGACCGCGCCCATCGGCGCCGCGGTCCCGGGGAGTCCCCTACCCCGTCGCACTGAGAGGGAGGAGGGTGGAGCTGAGTCAGTCTCGCTGTGCGGCACGCGGGCCGCGGGCGCGCGTGGAACGGCTGCCGTGCGGTCGCAGCGAGCTCGTGGCGCGCGCCGGGCTCGACCGGGGCTCGCCCGCGCGCGACCGGCGCCGCACTGCCATGCAGTGCTGCGCATGGGGCTGTGGCCGCCCGGCAGGGAGCGCGCGAGAGGTGGGAGGCCCTCGGTCGCTCGCGCTTGCAACGCGTGAGGCAGTCCCGCGTCTGGAGCGCGGCCTCGACCAGGCCCACGGCAGCGCCGCGCGTTGAGAGTGGGTCTGACATTTCGGGGCGGACGAGGGCAGCACCCGGTCACCGCACGGCCCTCGCGACTGACAGCCGGTAGAGCGACCTGGTGGTTCGGCCGTGGATGTCGGCGCCTGCGCGTGCGAGCGCTGGTGTCGCCCGTGCGGTGGCACGGCAGCGTGTGACACTGGTGGTTGGCGCTCGGGTCCAAGGTACCGGCGCTGGCGACCGGCGCTTGCCCGGCCGGCTGGCACTCGCCGTTTCGCGGCAGTGCCGGCGGCGTCGCACGGACCACCCGCTTGGAAGCGGACCAACCGCGACATGGGTGAAATCCATTCTCGCTCGCTTCTGCACGCAACTTGGCGCGCGTTTCGAGGGAACGGGGTGTCGCTGCGCAATTTTTGCATCACTTCCGACGCTCCACGATGAACATCCAGTCTTTATATATCCAGGCGCGTGCCTCGAAAGGCGTGCACCGAAACGTGCCGTTTGCTCGCGGTCGTCTACTTTCTTTCTCGCGGCATCTACGATGGATGCTGCTTGAAAAGATAGCACATGGCACATATGTCGCACTCCGCTTCGTCACGGGCACCACGAGAGGCGGCCGACGGCTCTGTTCATCTGCACCCTCGGCTGCCCGGCACAGCGGCCGTGGACCCGAATTTTCCCCCGCACACCGCAGCCGCGGGATGCATCTGCCCCACTCGGCCCTCTCGGCCCGGCTCCGCCGCCCCCCGGCCTCGCGTGGGCACCACACGCGCCCCACACACGAAGGCGTGTGCCCCACACGTGCAGCGCCGACATTCACTCCCCGGCCCTGCGCGCCACTATCACCGCGGCGCGCCCGCCGCCACACCCACAACAGCCACCCACGAACCTTCCCGACCCTTTGCGACTACGTTCCAGGCACGCGCCCGCCCGTCGCACCGCCACAGCCACTCGACCAGTGCCGGAGATTCACGCCGCCGCCGCATTGCCTGTTCCCGGCCGTGCGGGCGAGATCCGGCCCCGCCGGCGCCCTCCTCGGTGTCCCTCGACCGCAAAACGCCCCCCGCCGCCCCGAAGTGCCCTGCGCAGGGAGGCGAGATGAGCTCTGTCACGCGCGGGGCCTGGGCCCGCATCGGCGCCATGCCGCTCCTGCTCCTGACCATCCTCTGCGCCCTCTTCGGTGCCTCGCACGCCCAGAACTCGACCACCACGGTGCGCCCCCGCCCCACCGCGCCGCCTCGCGCCCGCCGCCTCCGCCTCACAGCCTCATCTCCCACGTCGCGTGGCCGCCACGCGCCACATCCGACGACGATTCTGCCCCCCGCCGCGCCGCCCACGGGCCTCACCGCTCCCCTGCCCGCGCCCCGCGCCCGCAGTTCGCGCTCACGGGCACTATCCGCCTCGACTTCACGGAGAACCTCAACACGCTATCTGCCATTCCCAAGATCCGCGAGGGTCTCGAGACCTTCGTGGGGCCCCTCATCGACACCTCCGCGGGCGACACCGTGTACGTCAAGGTCGTGGAGCTCCTGCGCCGCCGCGCCCTGCAGCAGGCCGGCCGGGAGGCTGACGACTACGTTGCCACCCTCTCCGTCACCTCCACGGACCGCACGCGCCTCGCGGCAGGCAAGCGCCCCGCCCCGCCGACCGCGCCACGCCCGCAAACAGCGCCGCCGCCGCCTCGACCGCCGCCGCGGCTGCCGACGATCGGCTACGCCACGCCCCCGGTCGACACCATGTGTGCGCGGGGTGTCCTTGTGCGCCCGAGGCTGCGCTCGCGGCCACGGCGAGCAGATGGCCCGCGGTCCGATCGCTCGCGGGCCGTGCCGGCGTCCCTGCAAGTCTCTCACACGTCTGCGTTGCGCGCGTCGCCCCCTGCAGTCCAGAGCTCGCTGACGGTGTCGTCCGTGGCCACCGCCATCGAGGACACGGTCGGCACGCGCCCCTCGGGCAACACCGCGCTCCGCGACTTCGCCATCACCTCGGAGCTCACGCTGCGCACGATCATCCGCCTGGACTTCCCCACCAACCTGAACCCCGCGACGCGCATCCCGGACATGGAGGACGCCCTGAGCGCCCTCATCGGAGCCACCCTCAACCCCGCGGCCGGCGACGTGGCGACCGTCACCATCGTCGAGCTCACGCGCCGCAAGCTCCAGACCGTCGACGACTACATCGTGACCATCGTCGTCGTGTCCCCGAGCCTGCAGCGCCTGGAAGCAGGTGCGCGACACACCCCCCCTGTCGCCTCGACCTCGCGGTGCGCAGCGCTCGCCCGCGGTGCGCGCCGATCCGTCAGCAGTGTGCTCGGTCCTCAACGGCGTCGATCCGTGCCCCGTTCCTCCCGTGCAGTCAAGCTGGACCTGAACGTTGTGTCGGTGGCGGCCGCGCTGGAGGCGGCGGTGGGCTCCCGCCCCTCGGGCAACACGGCCATCCAGTCGTCGACCATCACCCTGCCCGACGGCAGCGTGGTTTCCGACGGCTCGTCCTCGGGCTCCGCGGCCGTGATGGCCGGTGCCATCGCGGGCATCGTGATCGGCGTGCTGGCCTTCGTGGCGCTGGTGGTCTTCCTGGTGCTGGCGAAGAAGAACGGATGGTGCTGCTTCGGGAACAGCAAGCGGCCGGCCCGCGGCGGCAGCTCCAAGGAGGCCACGTTCGCGACCTACGAGGTGGGCGGAGAGGGTGCCAACGGTGCCAGCGACAGGTGGCCCGCCAACACTGCATAATCGCTCCGCGGATTGTAATTGACTCCCCCCACACGCCGCGGCATGTCCGGCAACACGGTGTCGCCTCCTGCGTCGGCCCCGGCGGTCACCGGCCGCGTGCCGTCGACACCGCAACCACCAGCACCTGTCCTGCCGCGCAGCGCCGCATCCGTCGTCGCTCGCGGCCGAGGCCCGCCGCTCGCCTCGTCCGCGCCCGCCGCGCATCCCCTGCCCGTCGCCTGCCCTCACGCGCCCGCCGCGCGGCCACAGTCAACTCCCAATCGCTGCGGCGCCCTCCGTCGTGCCGCGGACGGCGGCGCCAGGCAGGCGCGGAGCTCCGTCGCACCCACCCGGGCCGCCGCGGGCGGCCGGGGGGTTCCGATCCGAGTGCGGTCGACCTCGCGTCCTCGGCTTGCGACTCGTGTGGCTGCGCAGGCAACATTAGGGATACGCTGACGTGTCCTTGACGGGACCTTTCCCAGCCGGAGTTGTGCATCGGAGGAATCTCCAGTCGCAGAACCGTCGATCGCGATCGGTCGAGGGGCGCAGGCGGCCGCGCGCGAGGCCCGCCGCGACCTCGAGTGTGGAGGCAGGGCGTCGAGGCAGCACGGCGCGCCCCCGCGGGTGGAACGCCTCGCGAGCAGCGGGGCGTGGACTGGCAGCTGCTCGACCACAGCGCGATCACGGAGGCGGGCCGAGGTGCGGTATTGAGGCCTCACAGCGGCAAATCACAAGGGGGGGGCTAAACATCGACCGCTCTCGGTCGACTTTGCGGGCCGTGGGCGGCCCGCCAGGCACAGTCGCGCCCCCCCGCTGCACAATCTCGTCTGAAGGGCTGAACCGGATAAGAAAAGTCGGAGCAATGCAGGCCACGCAGGTGCGCGCAGCCTCGGCACGAGAGAGCTGGTCGCGCCTTCCGCCCCCGCTCCCGCGAACGGCCTTCCCTCGCAGCTCAATCGATTCCTCGGTGATTCACTTGCTCGCAGGCCATGTCGAGGTGCTCGGCTTCGTGCTCGGCGAAGCCCAGGCTGGCCACCCCTGCTGCGCGGACTCTGCTGCGCGCTCGCGTCCCGTGCGCGCGCCGCCAGGAGAGCCGCATCGGCGCAGCAGCCCAGACGGTCGGACTCCCGCCGTATGGTGACATCACGGTGAGCACTCCGCCCCGCCACGCGCCCCAATTCCCCCACGACGTCTCTGGGCCGGGCAAAGCGACCTCGCGCGGCCACGCCCGCACGGGCCGCCTGCCCCCCCGCACTCGCGGCCACGCCCAAGCCTCTATTCATGCCTCCGCGCTCCCCCGCCCGCCGCCCCCCGCCCACCACACCGCGCGCGCCGCAGCGCATCCCTGGGTTGCCCCCACTGAATCTCCAGGGCCCCCATCGCGGCCCGCCTCGCGTCGCACGCGCCCGCCGCGCCCCCCCGCCGCCGCGGCGGGCCGCAGCCATACCTTCCACGCCCCCCGCGCCATTCCCCCCGCATCGCCACGCGCCCCGCGCCCGCCCCTCTGGATGAGGCTGCCGCCCCCAGGCTCCCCCTCCCGCGGCGCGTGGCGGCCGCAGCCGGGCCGGCGCGCGCGCCTGCGCCCCCGTCGACGTTGCCGGTGGCCCCGGCGACCCCCTGCGCGTCGCGCGGCCGCCGCTATGCTCGGATTCCGCACCCCCCGCCCGGCCGCTCCCCGCGCCCACACAGACGGGTCCTCGCCCGATCCGCGCCCGTGCGGCGCCCTCGCGGCCCCCGGCTGCGCCGACGCGTCCCCCTGGTGTCCGTGGTGGTCCGCAGAGGCTGGACGACGAGGAGCGGGCGCGGGTTGCGGAGCAGATTGGGTTCAAGCAGATTGGGAAGCAGCTGCCGGACGACGTGACGCTGACGGACGTGATCAACTCGCTGCCGAAGGAGGTGTTCCAGGTGCAGGAGTGGAAGGCGTGGTGGGGCGTGTTCGTGACGGTGTCGAGCTGCATCGGGTCGCTCGCGCTGCTGTCGGTGACGCCCAACTGGCTGCTGCCCGTCTCGTGGTTCATCGCCGGCACGGCCTTCACGGGCCTCTTCACGGTCGGGCACGACTGCGCGCACCGCGCCGGGTTCAAGAACAAGCTCGTGGAGGACGTCGTGGGCACGGTGATGATGGCGCCGCTGATTTACCCGTACGAGCCGTGGCGCATCAAGCACAACCAGCACCACGCGCACACGAACAAGCTCGAGGTCGACACCGCGTGGCACCCCGTCCCGCGCGAGGAGATGGCCAAGTGGGGCCCCGTGAAGTCGTTCCTGTACCAGACCTTCCTCGGCACGCCGCTCAAGCTCTGGGCCTCGATCGGGCACTGGCTGATCTGGCACTTCAACCTCGACCTGTACGAGGAGAAGCAGAAGCCGCGCGTGATGGTGTCGCTCGCCGCGGTGTTCGCGTTCATGGCGATCGGGTGGCCGACGATCATCTACTACACGGGCGTCTGGGGCTTCGTCAAGTACTGGCTCATGCCCTGGATGGGCTACCACTTCTGGATGTCGACCTTCACGCTCGCGCACCACACCGCGCCGCACATCCCCTTCAAGGAGGCCAAGGACTGGAACCCCGCGCAGGCGCAGCTCGGCGGGACCGTGCACTGCGACTTCCCGCGCTGGGTCGAGTTCCTGACGCACGACATCAACTGGCACGTGCCGCACCACGTCAACGCCAAGATCCCCTGGTACAACCTCCGCAAGGCCACGCAGAGCCTCCGGGAGAACTGGGGCGAGTACATGAACCACACCGACTTCAACCCCCGGATGCTGCGCTACATGTGCGCCGAGTGCCACGTCTACGACCCGGAGAACAACTACGTGCCCTTCGACGACCCCGCGCTCACGGGCAAGGACGAGCGCCGCCCCGTGTTCCAGCTCCAGCGCGCCCTCCTCAAGTGAGCGGACAGCGCGGCGGAGGGAGACGGAGGCGGGGACGTGGGTGTACGGTGGCCGTGGGCGCCGGCGGGCGGGCGCCGGCGGGGTGGGGCGGTGGTGAGGGTTGTGGCCCGCGCACCGCGTGCGCGAGCGCGGGCGCGGGGGGCAGGCGGTGACGTCGGGTCGCCGTGACAGGGAATTTTGGCACGAGCGCCAGCGCCTGGTTCAGGCGCTGCGTATTGCAGGCGGCGCTCCTCCCTGGTTGCGTGTGACTGCTTGAAGCGAAGACGACCGACCTCCGCCGACTCGCGTGTCTTCCCTGTCGCCTCACAGACAGCAGGAACGCTGCGCGCCATGCTGGTGTTGCACCTGTTTCACCTCCAGCACAATGATTCGAGTGTCAGTATCCCTCCGCGTCCTCAGGGAACGAGATGGCGGCGCACCCGCGCGACGCCGCGCACGTGCACCGCTGCGCGTCGAAGCCGTCCGCGGTGCAGCACTGCGCGAGGTCGCCCAGGTCGCGCGCCTCGCCGCCCCCGCGCTCCCGCGCCCGCCAGCTCCAGATCCCGCTGTCTCCCGCGAACTTGCGCGCAGGGTCGAGGTCGAGCGCCGCGCAGCCGAACGCGCACCAGTCGGCCCCGTACTCGGCGGCGCCGTCAAAGCAATTGTCCTCGAGGACCCCGTGCTCCCACCCGGCTTTGCCCCAGTGCAGGCGCGCCTGGCACTTGTCCACCATGTATCGCACGGCGGCCTTGAACGCCGCGTTGTCCCCGGCGCCCTGGTGCGTGCGGTAGTCCTCGAGGTTGATGGACATCCGCGGACCGCCGTTCGTCGGCGAAAGGTACACGTCAGAGCCGGCGTTGAACCTGCAGGTCACGAAGCCCGGCCGGCGCCGTGTCGGCCGCAGGCCCGACGGACCCACGCGAGCAGAGCAGCTGCATGCAGACAGGTTTGCCTCCGCCGCACCTGACGAGCATCGGCGTCGTGAACCCTCGGGACAGCTGCGCGGAGCCGTACAGCTGGCGCGTGAGGCCGCGGAGGCAGTCCCCGGCCACGTCGAGCGGAATGAAGACCTCGTACTGGTCGTACACGGCCGCCGTGGAGTGGGCGCGCGTCGCGATCTCGGACATCGTGAGGTAGGACTTGCGGCGCTCGAACGTCCCGCTGTACACGAGCGGCCGCAGGCCTGAGGCGACGAGGTTCGAAAGGAGCACGTTGTCGCCCAGGTAGAGCAGGTTCTTCGACACGCGGTCATGGCCGCGCTCCTGCGGGCCGAACATCGGCAGCTGCAGCCGCACAGGAAACAGGCCGAGATCGGTCGACATGGCACGTGCAGAAACGGAGGCTCGCGCGGCGGGGGCTTGGAACACGGTGGGGCTTCGCGGCGCGCACCCGGTCGTCCCCGGCCATCGCGGTCACGTTCGGAACGTTCACGCCGCCCGCGCCGTAGTTCGCCGCCGCGTCCTGCCACGCCAGCGGTGCGTTGTACACGCCAGGCATGCCCGGGACGGAGTTGAGCAGGGCGGCGGGGGGCTCGCGGTCGATGCGAGTGAAGGACACGCGCCAGACCGATTTCGTGGGCACGAACCACAGCGCCTGGACCTCGTCGATCGCTTCGAGGGCCGCGACGACCGCGCTGGAGCTCTTCGCGGCCACGGCGGCCTTGTACCTGGCCTGCAGCCGCTCGATCTCGCGCACGAACGACTCGACGTCGACGTCCTTGAGCTCCCTGCGCACGGCCGTCTGCGGCTCGACGAGCATCGTGAGGCGCGTGACGATCCCAAGGTTGCCAACCGACGTCTGAAACGCGCGGAACAAGTGCGGGTCCGACTCGCGTGTCAGCTCGGCGCGCGTCCCGTTGGCCAGCACGACCTCCATCGCCACCACCTGGTCGCTCAGGCTGCCGTAGCGGAGCGAGCTGCCGTGGGTCGCCGTGGCGATGGCGCCGCCCATCGTCTGGTCGATGAACCAGCTGAACGCGGGGATCGTGAGGCCGTCGGACAGCGACGGCGAGCGGTAGTCCGCGAGGTAGTCGAGGAGCGTGCGTTGCGGCATCCCGGCCTCCACCTCGACCGTCATGGCGCCCTCGTCCACGACGATCGCAGCGCGGCCACCGCCGGGGCCGGTTCCAAAGACCGGCTCGAGGTTTCGCATCTCTGCAGGCGCTGGGGCACGCAGCCGAGATCTCTCGACCGCCCGGTAGAAGACGCGGTAGAAGTAGGGTGTTGAAATTCAAGTTGACATTGCGTACGATCGCCCAACAAGTGCGTCCGGAGCCAAGAGCAGGGGGAACACAAGGCGCAGCACCTGTCATCACCACCGCGATCGACGAGGCGTCCCCAGTGCCTGGTGAGTCTGGCCGCTTCGGGCAGAAGGCACCGTGGTGCCACGAGTGCCCAACTCCGACAGCGCGCACCCGTTCGAACGACTTGACCATCGCTTGTAGCTGCTCGACGGTGCGTGGGCGGCCAACCCAGGTGTGGTCGGGACACTGGTACATTCCCTGGAAGTTCGAGACCTCGTAAGGCAGACCGCAGCCCGTGTGGGCGGCCCCTGGGTCGAACCGGCACTTCCCATGGTCCGCGGATGCATGGTGCACTAGGGAGGCAACTACTACCGCGGAGAGCAAATATCGCAGCATCGTCCTCCTATTGCTTCCTGGTCGCTCTTCGCGCCGATGGGGACCTAGACCGTGATCTACCGGTGCGAGGAGACGACCGTTCGAGGCGAGACCTGGCTTCTGAGGTCGCCTAGAAAGACGTTCGTGTTGACGATGGCGGCGCGTCGTGCAGAGAGAACGGCGGTCGTGTAGTCTGTGCAGCTTGCCAGGCAGAGCATACTCGCACCAAGCTGCGACGCGAGGGCGCAATCAGCTCGCGCACGTTGCCGGGCGTGGCGCGGCGACGATGCAGGGGGGGTTTGATGTGGCAGCGGTGAGGTGGCCCTCGGGCATCGATCCCGCGCACGCGCCGCGGTCCACGCGAGCGGCCTGCAACGTATATCACATCAGGACTGGTACCAGTGCGTGTTGTCCCCCGTCACGATGTTGGGCGGCCGGTACTCATCCTGGTCCTTGAGATACTGCCTGTGCACATTCTGCACGTAGCCCTGGCCGCCGCCCCGCTTCTGCGAGGGACAGGAACGCAGCGACCAGCGGTGTGAGGCGGGAGCGGGAACTGGCGCGGACGGAGCCGGTGCGGCGGGCGGTGGGGTTGAGTGACCGCGGTGGGGTGGCGAGCAGGCACGGGGGGTCCCGTCCTCACCTTGCGCTTCTTGACCCTCTGCTGGTCGAGGAACCGCTTGAAGAGCAGCACGGAGATGATCATGTACACCTGGAAGAGCATGTGCGCGCCGATGGTCACGATGGACAGCGCGACGAGCAGGTACTCGAGCTCGTCGCTGTCCGCCAGCGACGGCTTCTGCGTCGACGCCACCGTGATCGCCGCGATGAGCACCTCGACGATGTTGCTCAGCATCTCGACCGAGAACTCGGCCACGTCCGCCATCGGCGCGAACACGCACAGGAAGAGCCCCACCAGTCCCTGCACGCCCAGCGCCACCGCCACCGCCGTCGTCGCCCCGGGCGTCTTCCCCGGGTCGGTCAGGTCCCCCGTCGACCCGTCGATGAACGTCAGGCCCGACAGCACCGCCACCAGCACCACGCGCATGCGGTCCAGCATCCACCAGTTGACCCGCAGCGCGTACGGGTACGAGCCGAACAGCCACGCGAGGCGCGTCGACAGCCACCGCGCCGCGAGCGGCTCCTCCTCGTCCCGCGCGCGCTGCCTCTCCCGCGCCTGCTCCTTGCTCCGCGCCCGCCCCGTCGCGTTGCGCGCCTGCGCGTCGACCGCCCCCCGCGTGTGCCAGTACACCTCCAGCTCCACCTCCGCAACCGACGGCCCCGCCGAGTTGTTGTACACGAGCCCGAACCGGTCGTGGAAGCGCACCCTCGCGCCGTCCGTCGTGTCCCGCCACTCCCCCGGGATGATGTACGACCGCGTGTAGGACACCTTCATGCCGTCCGGGGTCGTGTCCTCGTGGTACCCCACCATCGCGTCCGCCCCGCGCGCCAGCACCCCCCTGCGCATCACGAACCACCATATCGCGAAGAAGAACGCCCCGCACCACACCAGCACGATCGCCGTGCCCACCACAATCTCCACCCAGCCGCCCTCCGCGGCCAGCCGCGCGCCCGCCGACGCGACGCCCGCCGTCGTGATCGCGTACGTCATGATCTCCGGCTTCGGGAACAGCAGCCACGACGGCGCCTTCCGGAACACCACCGCCTGGGGGGTGTCTCCCTCCGTCTCCTGCACGGTCCGCCGCCTGAGGCTCAGCGCCCGCTCGCGCTCCGCCCTGATCTTCCGCTGCTTCGCGGCGCGCTCCGCGTGGGCCTGCTCCATCAGCAGCAGCGTCTGCGCGATCTCCTTCTCACGCCGCATGTGCGTCGGCGCGGGGAGCAGGGCGCGCTTCCGGGGGGCCTCTCCCTCCTCCGCGGCCTCTCCCTCCTCGACGGGCTCGGGCTCGGGCTCGGGCGCCATGCGGATCAGCTTCTTGACCTGGATGCGAGTGTAGATGGCCAGTGCAATGGCGCGGATGATGGCCACTGCGACGACCACCAGCGCCGCGTACGCCATCGTCACGATGACCAGGTTCCACGGATCCTCAAGAAGGTCGTCTACAGCGTCCTGCGGAAACAGAGGGCACGCCGCCGCGGGCCTTGAGCTCTCGACGTTGCCTGCGGTGTGAAACAACGGTGCGTCAATGCAGCGGCAACGAGCGGGGCGTGCCTTGATCTCTGCCGCCTCCTGCGTCCACAGTGCGCCTTGCTCCTGCGCGCCCCGCCGCCCCGGCTGCGTCGTCCCCTGCAGCGCCTCGGCGCCCGCGTCGTCCGACTTTGCCCACGGGGCTTTCAGCGCGAGCTGAGTCCACCTCAGACCCTCCGCGAAGGACCTGAATCCCTCCGGCATGGGCGTCTGCATCCCACCGAACAGCGAGAAGAACTGCACGTGCCCCAGCAGCGCCACCGTGCTCGCCTGCACCGTGTTTGCCATCGCTGCGGGACTGGCCGTGCCGGCCGCGGAGCCCGCCTGAGCGCCCATCGCCCCAGCGGCGCCGCCGGTCGCCATGCCCCCGGACATCGAGGACCCCACCGAGCCCGCGATGATGGAGCTCGCGACCGCGGTGCCCACCGCAGTCGCGGCAGCAGTGGTTCCGGCGACGGCGGCGTTGCGCGACCACCGCGGCGAGTTCCGCACGCTCGTCTCGGCCCGCTGCGAGATCAGACCCGAAGCCGACCGGCACTGCCCCGCCGGAATCACCACGGAGATCGTCCCACCCCTCTGCAGCGCACGACACAACACGACACGTGGAGAAGACCTCGTCTCGGCAACCAAACCTCGCACAGGGCAGCGCCCGCGCCTCGCTCCGCACGGCGCACAGGGAGGCGGCAACGAGACGCACCCTGTCGAACGTGACGGAGAGCGAGAACGACGCCGCTCCGTCCAGCTCGTTGCGCAGCAGCGGCGACGCCAGCGCGACCCGCCCGCCCGCCACCTCCACCTTGGACCAGTCCCACCCGAAGCACGCCTGCGACACCTCCGCCTGCAGCTTCACCGTGTCCTCCGTCGTCACCCCCGCCACCACCGACGCGTCCGTCGTGATCACCACGTTCGGGCCACGGTTGTCATACTCGAGCCCCTCCGAGAGCGACCCGTGCGAGTACCGGACGGACCCGAGCTCCGGGTTGCGGATCCCGGGCGCCGGCGGCTCGCGGAAGGACCCGGGGGGGAGGAGCAGCGAGGTGACCCCCGGGGTGTTTTGCCGGAAGCGGATGGTGAACCCGAACTCGTCGAACTCCTCGGGGCCGCGCGCGAGCTCCGGGAAGGTGTCCGCGCGCCTCGTGACCGCGACGCGCGTCGCGGGATCCACGGTGGTATAGAAGAAGTCGGACACCCTCTCGATGATGCTGGGGTTGCCGAACAGGCCGGGGAACTCCAGCGTGGCGTTGCTGTTCGTCGCGGCCGTCGCAACCATGCGCCTGCGGAGCGACGCGGGCGCGCGGGACCGTGAGTGCGCGTGCGGCGGCGTGCCTGCGGGCGCGCGCGCCTATCGAATAGCGGTCGCGCTCGGGCGGGGCACGGAGCGGGCGCGCGCCTGCCGAACGAGAGCCGGGCGTTGATGACGCCGATGCTCGTGAGCGTCCGGTCCAGCGCGAGAGTCGGCACTTCCGAGCAGCGGCCCTCAGGCTCACTGACAGGACAGGTGCCCACTCGCTGCGGGCTCGGGGTCGCATCTCTCGCCGGGGACGTGACCTGCACGACGCCCGTCAGGGCACAGCCCTGCGAGGGCGGGGCCGGCGGGAGCGGGGCGTCGGGGACGTGCTCCTCGCAACATGGCACTGTGCAACGGCGGGGGGCGCCGCGACGGCGGCGACAGCGCGGTCCGCGACGGGCACAGATCGCCGAGCGACACGGCTGCGCGGCGGCTCGAGGGGCGGTCGAGACGCACGCGGAACCGCGCGCTCACGTGCAGGGGCCGCGTGCATTGACTTGCGGGTGCAAGGAGCGGCGCGACCACGACGACGGGTGCGCGCGGGAGCGAGGTATTGCGTGCCGGCCGAGGTCCTGAGTACATGTGCATCGCAGCGGGGCAGCGCGGCGGCGAGCGCGGGCCTCACCGCGCCGAACCAGGGCTCGCAGCAGGTGCACGCTACATCGCTGTCGATCTTGCGCTTCAGGCAGCCCAGCTCGAGGCCCTCGATGGTCCGCAGGCCGAAGCAGCGCGACGCCGAGTCGGACACGCCGACGTAGACCGACCCCACGGGGCAGAAGTTGTGCGGTCCGCAGTTGGTGGGCGGCACGGTGAAGCCAGAGGGGGGCTGGGTGGTAGCGAGCGGCACCGTCGTCTCAACGGGGGTCGTGGCGGGCGGCGTCGTGGCCTGCGCGCGCGCGAATGGCAGGGCGCAGAGGCACGCGAGGGCGCACAGGACGGCGCGCAGGGCCGCCGGAACGCCGTGGGAGCGCCCCGGCATGGCTGCGCGCTCCGAGAGGACTCGCGCGCCCGCGGTGCGGCCCGAAAGGCGGGGAACGGGCGCGGGTGCTCGGCGGTGGGGGGGTCGAGCTGGCTACGACGTCATTGGCCGCGGAGCGCGCGACATTGGGCTTGGAGACGCGTGGGGTGCGGTGCGGAGGTGCTTGAAGCTGGCAGCGGGAGCTGCGGGCGCGGCGCGCGGTTGCGTGGCCTCAGACGCGCGGTGCGATGAGGTGGTGGCGCTCGCTGTCCCTGCGGCGGCGGCCCGCGACAGTATTGTGGCCGTGGAGCGGGCGCGCGCGGTCGCTTGTGTCCTCGACTGCTTCCGTTTCTTCCAGTCGAGAGGTCTCCGACTCCTCAGCAAACCCGCCCCCTGTTCTCGGAGACGCAGGACGCACTCATGGGCAGGCGTCGCGACGGCAGCGGCGCAGTCTGCCGCCCGTACTCGTCACTCAAGAAGACGGTTTGTCAACGACCGGCGCGCGAGAGAAAGGTCCCGAAGACGGTGTGCCAACGGATGCCAGGTGCGAGGCAGCCGCGCGGCCGCACACCGCGGTATCGCGTACGAGGCGCAGCCCCCCGCACCAAGTGCGGTCGTACGACGCCAGATGGCGTCAGAGGCCCGTCAACGCGCCCTTGGTTGCGTCGTGAGCGCGGACGGTTGGGGCCCGCCAAGCTCCGTGGGCACCACGTCGTGCCGGAAGGCGGTCACGCGGCGCGAGACCGCGACCAGGACGTCGTGGCGTATCTGAGGTACATATGCAGTGCGCCGCCGCCTCCTCGCAGGGCCCACACCGGACGGCATCGGCGCCAGCAGCACTGGCGACAGCGCCGCACCCGCGGCGCGCCCGGAGGCCGACGGCGAGGGGAGCAACGCGTGGGAGGACATCAAGGAGACGTGTCTGAGCTGCCGCGTGACGGGGAGCGTGACCCTGCTCGGCACCTCGGCGTACATCTCCTACTTTTTGACGCAGCCCCCGGCGCGGTCCATCTTCGAGACGCGCGGACAGCGCCGCATCGCGCTCGCCTCCGCCCTCCTCACCGGTGGCATGGGTCTCTACCGCGCCTGGTCCCCCTGACGCCCGGGAACTGGCACGGCCGCAGCGCGCCACCACACCTGCCTGTGCGGCCGCCGCGCGGCGGGGAACCACTGCGTGACGGGCGTGGCCGGCATGGCGGAGCAGGGGCTCATTCCGGGGGCGCTGCACGCGCCGTGGCAGGGCCGCGCAGCCCCGCCCGCCGCCGCGTGCACGCAGGAGCGCCCCGACACCGCGCAGGCCCGCGACCAGGCGCACGAGCTGCTCCGCGACCCAGGGATGCTCCTGCGGGACAGCATCTCCGCGAGCCAGTCCATGGCGGAGACCCGCCTGCGTCTGATGGCCGAGGTAGCCGGCCACCGCATCACGCCCCAGTTCCCAGCGGGGAGCGACGCGGAGCAGGAGCGCACGGCCCGCGCGCGCATCCGGTCGAGCGGGCTCACGGCCCCGCCGTCGATCATTCTCCCCGCGTGGGCGCGCCCGCCGGGCGGCAGACCGCAGCATCGCGCGGCACCACCCCCGCCGCCGCCGCCCGCCCCGCCGCCGCCGCCGCCGCCGCCGGGGCGCAACGAGGCTCCCCCTGCGCGAAGGCCCCCGCCGCCGCCCGGACTCGAGGCGGGGGGGTCGACGGTGTACGACGGCGACGACAACGTCGCACCTTTTCTGTCGTCGGGGTCCGAGCAGGCGCGCATGGAGGAGGACGACGTCGCGGAGGCGCCCCCGCGCCTGGGGGGATCGAGCGGGCTGTACTCGTGAGGGCCGAGCGCGGGGCGCGCGCGGTGTGCGTGCGGCATGGGGGCACGCACAGGCTTCCTCCGTCCCTGCGGCGGCGGTGCGTCGCCGATCGGCGGAATGTGAGCGCTTTCGAGCAGTTCGTCAGTGGGGTGCAGTGCGTGGGCGGCGCGCTTGGCGTCCCGGTGCGCAGATGGGCGGTGCGGGGCGGACAGACGGAGGGGGGGCTGGTAGCGGTGGTGGCGAGTCGTGGGCCGTGCGGGCGTCATGGTCCGCGAGGACGGCCGGTACCGGCCAGGTTCGAACGCAGGGGACTGTCGTGAGCTAGGTCGCCGTAGAAATGCGGTTCCCCGCGGTCGGCAGTCGCGTAGCGGGGCAGCGATGCGCACGGCTACACACGCAAGCCGCGCGAGCACGCGCCGCGCCGATGCGCGCGGCACGCGGGCGGCCAGCGCGCCACGGGCCCGTCGCGGTCCGCGCGGCGGGAGCGGACGGGGGCGGCTGGAGCGCGGTGGCGTGCGATGTCGTGGACCCGCCGTTCATTGGGGAGCAACACGGGCATCTCGATATCGAGCTGCCGTATCTGGAGGCGGGCGCGGGGGCTGACGCGGAGGTCGCGGTGATCGGGAGCGGCCCCGCGGGGCTCGGGGTGGCGTGGAAGTGTGCGGAGCAAGGTGCGCGGCCGCCGCGACGCGCGCGGCCAGCGGCGGGCCAGGACTGCGAGGCGGGCGTGCGTGGGGCGCTGCTCGCCGCGCGGCGACCTGGGGGCCGAGGATAGCGATACGGCTTGTCGCTCGTGCCCGGAACTGCCGCGTTCGCGCGGTGTCGAGCGCGGGAGCGCGTCTGTGTGCGCATGAGCTCTGCGCCCCGCGCCGTGCGGCCGCGGTGCGCCGCGTCGCTGTCCAAAGACGGTTGCCCCTGGATGTCTGGCGCCACGAGTGCGCGCCGGGGCGCAGGAGCTTCATCCTGGCAGGCTGCTCGCGTCCTCTTTCGCTGCTCTCGCTCTGAGCCCCTCCTCCCTGGACGCGGCTGTGCGTGCGCGTGCGGGCCGCGGAACGCGCGAGCTCTCTCGCACGCCCTCCCCGTCAGTGTCTGGTGGCATCGCGGGCCTCCTTCCTGCACGCCGCTTGGTTCTAACGCCGCAACACCCCTCGACCAATGCAATGCAGGGATGCGCGTGGTGATAGTGGACCCGGATCCCCTGGTCGACTTCGTGCCGACGTACGGCGTTTGGGTCGATGAGTTCAAGCAGATGGGCCTCGACGACGTGTTCGAGAAGGTTTGGGACAAGGCAATGGTCACGGTGCGCCCTCCCCTCCACCGCCCCCCTCCCGCGCTCCGTGCGCGCTCCGCGGCCCCACACCGCCTCCGCGCCGCCCGTCACCGGCTCCCGGCTCCCACACCCGCAGCTGACGCGCGACGGCGCGGACAAGCGGTACCTGGACCGGCCGTACGCGCGCGTGGACAAGCGCAAGTTCAAGACGCGGCTGGTGGAGGAGTGCAAGGCCGCGGGGGTGCGGTGGCACAAGGCGTTCGTGGACGACGACCTCAAGCACGCGGACGGGTGCACGACGATCCCGTGCAGCGACGGCACCGCCCTGCGCGCGGCCTTCGTGGTGGATGCCACGGGCCACGCGCGGCGCTTCGTGGAGATGGACGGGGAGTTCGACCCGGGGTACCAGGGCGCGTACGGGATCCTCGCGGAGGTCGAGAGCCATCCGTTCGAGCAGGACAAGATGCTCTTCATGGACTGGTCCGACGACCACTGCGCGGGGGACATGAAGGCCCGCAACGACCGGTGCGCGCCCCGCCCGCCCGCGCGCGACGCGTTCCGAGGTGCGTGTGCGTCGCGGCGTGCGTCTGACGGCGCTGGTGCCCCGCGCGGTGCTCGTGCAGGCTGCCGACGTTTCTGTACATGATGCCGCTCTCGCCGACGACGATCTTCTTGGAGGAGACGTCGCTCGTGGCGCGGCCGGCCGTGCCGTTCGAGGACCTCAAGGAGCGCCTGTACGCGCGCCTGGACTCGTACGGCGTCAAGGTGAAGGGGGTGTACGAGGAGGAGTTGTGTCTGATTCCCATGGGGGGGGTGTTGCCGAAACTGAACCAGCGCGTGATCGGCGTCGGCGGCACGGGCGGCCACGTGCACCCGTCGACGGGCTACATGGTCTCGCGCACGCTCGGCGCCGCCCCCGCCATCGCGGACGCCATCGCCAACCAGCTCCTCGACCGCAGCCCCGACGCCGGGCCGGGGGCGGCGACCTCGTGGCGCTGGCCGGCGACCGAGGACGCGGCCAACGAGGCGGCGCGGCGCGTGTGGCAGTCGAGCTGGCCCGTCGAGCGCATCCGGCAGCGCGCGTTCTTCAACTTTGGCATGGACGTGCTCCTGACGCTCGACATCCGGCAGACGCGGCAGTTCTTCGACGCCTTCTTCGCGCTCAAGTTCTTCCACTGGGCCGGGTTCCTCTCCTCGCGCCTGTCCTTCTTCGAGCTCATCGTCTTCGGGCTGAACCTCTTCGCCAACTCGTGCCAGGAGAACCGCATCAACCTGATCAAGCAGGGCGTGCCGGGGCTCGTGAAGATGCTCTACGGCCTCGCCGGGACGCTGCAGAGCGAGGTCGAGACGCGCCGCGACCGCATCACCGCGTTCGACGAGGAGCTGGTGGCCAGCCGCGGCAGGTCGCCGCGCCGGGGCGCGCCCGGCAGCGCGTGAGCGTGCACGCCGAAGACGCGCCCAAAATGGGGGCCCCCGCGCAGGAGGAGCGTCGATGCAGCAATCAGGGCATGTCGCGCTCCCAAAGCTGGTGATACAGCTGACGGCGTCAGCAAAAGCGTTATGTGATGTCCGCTACGTCAGCTGCGTCGCCTCGCACGCGTGCCTGACGCGCCGCCCTCCCCTCCTCTCAGCGGCGCCTCATCGCGTCCTGCGGTGCGTGGCCGACACTGTATGGCCGCCCTGTGTCGCAAGATCAATCTTGGTCACGAGCATGCATGGCCGACGACGGTCGACATCGTGACTCACTCCCTCACACCGCCGAGGCGGCGCCCGCAGAGTACGGTCAGGCTACGGTGCGACCAGTGCGTCCTGCGTCAATCCCTGCGGATGCCGTAGTCGTCCATGTCGTCGTCGTCCGACCCCTCCGACTCGTAGTCCGAGTCCCGCCGGGGCCGCTTGGCGGGCGGCTGCGTCGTCGCGGGCGCCTTGGCGGCCTTGGGCGCCGCCGCGCCTCCCCCGCTCCCGCCCAGAGACGCCCGCAGCTTGGCAGCCCGCCGCTTGCCCGTCTTGCCCGCGTCGTCGTCGCTGTCGACGATCTCGACCTCCTCCGCGTCAACGTCGCTGTCATCTGCACCACCGCGAGCCGGAGGACCGATCGGCCGAAGAGCGCGCGCGTGGAATCATGTGCAAGTGTGGTGTCGGGGAAAAAGGGGGGTAGCAGCCGCGACGCGCGGGGACGCACCGAACTCGGAGTCCTTGGCGTTCGGATCGAAGTCGTCGTCCTCTTCGTCGTCGCTGTCGTCGGTCTCGCCCCCATCGCCGCTCTCGGCGCCCGCCGCAGCCCCCTCCTCCTCGCCCCCGCTCTCGTCGCCCGCGGGCTCCCCGAGGCGGATCTTGCGGTCCTCCAGGTACGCCATCACCGCGGGCATCTCCTCCTTCCCAAGCGCCGTGAACTCGACCGCGTCCCCGCCCCGCACGTACACCACCATGTCGAACGTAGCGCTGGCGGCGCCGGTGCGGGACAGGCCGACGCAACGGACGCGCTTCACGGGGAGGACCAGCGCGGGGCGCTCCGCGAACACGATCGCGCCCTGGAGGAAGAACAGGAACCCGTCCGACGTCCCGCGGTACGCCGAGATGCCGTGGGCGCCCTTGGAGCTCTTGAACACGCCCAAGTCGGGGGAGAGGAAGGCGGCCTCGGGGACGCCCATCGCGGCGAGGATCTGGCACAGGACGACCGCGGGCTGCCCGTTGAGCGGCGGGGTGCCGGGGGCTGCTTTCGGCGCGCGGCAGGACACCGCTGCCGAGGCGAGCGTGGAGAACAGCACCACGGGGAGCGGCCCGGACTTGCCGTGGCGGACGTCCGCGGCGGTGTCGAGGGACAGGAGGACGAGCACGCGGTCCTTGCTGTTCATGCCTGCGGGCGGCGCGGCGGGCGCGTTGCATTTGACCGCTCTCGTACGTCGCAAGTGTGCGGAGCGCACGCGTGCTCGCCGAGTGGAGCGCGGCTCGTTGCTTCCGCACGGGGCGTACCTTGGCTGCGCGGCAATTCGTCGAGGATGACGACGTGGGTGATGGCGGATAAGGGGACGCGGACGTCGTTGGACTTGCCGCAGAGAACCATGGCGTCAGGAAGCACGCAGAGGCGGAACCTGCCGCGGGGCGTGGACACGCTGATGTCCTCGATGACCGAGAGCGCTTCGCTGACGTCCACGCGCCCGTCGACCTGTGCCCCGGCCGCCCCCGCCCGCTGAGTGGGCCTGCAAGGCAAGGGTCTCAGGGGATTCTGCGACCAGCGGCGGTGGCAACGATACGAACTAATCGCCAACGAATGCCTTGGCTTCAAACGAAGCAGGCGTTGCCCGTCCTCTGCTTCATGGCGAGCCGCGCGCGGTGTTTCTGCCGGGCGTGCTCAGCGTGGGGGCAGCGCAAGGGCGGGAATGGCGCGCAGGTGGCCTCACCCGAGCGGCCCGGCCTTTCTGGCCTCCGTGACGCATGCTTCGACCTGTTTGCACAGTTCGGCCGCGCACGGCGGGCTGCACTCGTCGCTGGCGTTCACCAGCGCGCTCACGAGCGCTGCTGCTGATGGGAGCCCCACGACGGCCTTCTTCACGGCGTCCATCTTGAACTGTTCCGCCGGCGCTGGGGACATATGCCTCTCAGCGCCTGACGGTGCGCCGCGGATGAATCAATGCCCAGACCGCCCGAATCCACGCCAACCGCAACCAGCACAGTTAACGGCCTCACGCTGAAGGCGAGAGCTATCCGGAAGGGGATACGCGCCACCCGGGTTACGAAAAACGTGGTCCTGACCGATTCTGCGGCGACTCGCCACCCCGCAGCACTCGAGGGGACCGCGGGGACCGGTACAAGCCTCTATGACACCTGACTCAGTCACACGCACTCGAGGCGGGCACACGCGCGCGTGCATGCCCGGAGAACCAAGCGCATCCACTTGCCTGTGCGCACAGGACCTGGGCAGTTCGACACAGCGACGCGCGGGCCCCTGACGGCAAGCACACACAAGTTGGCAGCAGCGACGGACGCAGGACACGACACAGCCCCCCCCCCACACGCCCCCGTGGCACTCACAGGCGCCCGACCCTCCGCACGCCGCGCGCCCCGCCGTCACTGCAGGAACACCTGCACGCGGTCCCCGGACCCGTCCACGTCGAAGTCCACCACCGGCTTGCTGCGGTCCCGCGGGCCCTCCTTGCCCGTCATCTGCCCGATGAGGCTCTCGAGGTCGACGCCCTGGAGCTGCGGGATGAAGCCCTCGACGCCCGCGAGCAGCCCCACGGGCAGCGTGGTCTCGATCTTGACGTCGCCGTCGCGCCCCACCACGCGGATGCGGACGGTCTGCAGCTTGCTCGCGAACGAGGAGGAGCCCTGGGAGCTCCGGCCCGTGTCCCGCCCGGCCAGGTCGCGCGTCGAGTCGTTCGGGGCGTACTGCTGGCGCGCGCGCGGGCGGTCGTCGTCGTCGTCGTCCGCGGGAATCACGACGGGGTCGATCGCCTCGGGCCGGACGCCGGCGGCATCCGCGGAGTCGTTCCCGCCGCTCTCCGACCCCTCGGCGTAGCCCTCGTCCAGCGACGTCGTCCCGGGCTCCTCGTCCTCGTTGTCTGCGTCCAACTCAGCACCCGACGCAGCCGCAGCCTGCTCGCAGTACGGGTACGGCAGCGTGGCCTCGGGCGGCACGGCGTAGTGGTCGGACAGCTGGAAGTACTCGTCGAACCCCACGGCGCCCTTCATGTGCGTGAAGGACGGCTGTGGGGGGATCTCCCCCTGCGCCAGGCTCGCCAGCGCCTTCTCCATGGCGTCGATCGCCACGTTGAGCACCGTGAGCGGGTACGCGACGAGCGAGAAGCCCATCTCCTCGAGCTCCGGCGCCGCGAGAATCGGCGTCTTGCCGCCCTGCACACAGACATGCGACCGCAGCGCAAGATGACCGCGGTGCTCCCGCCGGTCTGCGTCGACGAGCTCGCTTGGCCGTGGCGTGGCGCAGGGCGGCGCGTGCAGGGTGGTCCAGTTCGTGCATTTGTGTCACGTGTACAGCCGTATCAAAGGCACACCTCGAGCATGTTTGCCATCTTCGGCACGCCGGCCCACTCCCCCGCGGACCCCTCCTCGCAGAAGCGCCGCATTTCCTCCTCGCTCTCGAGCGCGTCGACGAACAGCACGTCCGCGCCGGCCTCCGCGAAGGCCCGCGTGCGCCACAGCGCCTCCTCCAGCGACACAGCCTGCCGCGCGTCCGTGCGCGCCACCACCACGATGTCCGCCCCGCCCTCGTCCCGCGCGTCGCACGCCGCGCGCACCCGCGCCACCGCCTCTTCGCGGCTGCACACCCTCTTGCCCCGCACGTGGCCGCAGCTCTTGGGCGCCACCTGGTCCTCGACGAGCACGCCCGCAAGCCCGGCCTGCGCGTAGCCCTGCACGGTGCGCCGCACGTTGACCGCGTTGCCGTAGCCCGTGTCGCCGTCGCCGATGACGGGGAGCGCCCGCGTGGCCTCGACGATGTAGCGCGCCTGGTCGACCATCTCGTAGTAGCTGATGAGGCCCGTGTCAGGGGCGCCGAGGCGGGCCGCGGAGGTGCAGAAGCCGGACATGAAGGCGAAGTCGAAGCCGGCGCGCTCGATGAGGCGGGCGGACAGCGCGTCGTGGCAGCACGGCCCCTGCAACCGCCGAGGGAGAGCGCGACGCGCGGTGACGACCGAACAGGGCGATCGCGGTGCGCAGGGGTGCTCACGGGAATGAGCTATCGGCGGCACGTGGTTTTGCTGCATCGGAGCGCCGGGCCCGGCCCCGGGCGCGCGAGGTGCATCCAACGCAAGCGTGCGCCCGTGCTGCCGGAATCGCGCGAGGACTCGCGTGCCGGCGCGACGCGAACGGCTGGGCCCCACCTTGAGGATCTTGCCGCTGGCGAGCATCTCGCGCAGGGCGGCTACCCGCTCCGCCTGCGAAACGCGCGGTTGCCCGGGCCCCGCAGGCCGCATGTTGCGCGCCCTGACGCACACGCTGCGCCTAACGTTCGTCGGGAAAGCATCCTGCCTGGTAGTTCTACCTCGTGGGACCAGAGCGCATCGCGGGCGGACCGGCCGCGCGACTGCAACGGGGCTGGAAGGCGTCCTGATAGGCTCCCGCTGCAGCGCTGCACGGCATCCTGTCGAGGGTCCCATGCCCGCAGAAGCAGTCATGTCGCTTCGCTGGCGTTGCAGTGCACGTCGCACGGCGCCCCCACGCGCCCATGTGTCGCGCCGATCGCGTCTGACACTCAACACAGGACTCCTCCTCCCCCGTAGGGGACATCCCGCAAGTCCCCCAGCGACCCGCTCCCGCACCTCCGCGCATGCGACGCGTCTCGCGCGAGCGAAGCGCGTCGCGCGTGCGTTCGCAGCGTGAGTCCGTCCGCGCTAGCGGACTTGACATTGCATCACAGCGCGCCCGGCGTCAGTCAGTCCGCGGTCGGCACGATGTCGGGCTCGTACTTCTGCAGCCGCTTCCGCAGCTCGATGACCTCCTGGCTCTTCTTCTGCATCAGCTGCTTCAGCTGCTGGAACTGCTTGCTGTCCTGCACCCTGGCCTCCGCACTCCGCTCCGCGCGGCCCGCGGTGCGCGCCGCCGTGAAGTTGGCCCCTTGCACCTGCAAGCACCGCCACAGCACGCGGACGCCCCGTCACCCCGCAAACGTCACGACTACTGTTACGTCATAGCGCAGCTCCGGTCGACGACACCGCTCGGCTCCGCGCATGTATCTCCAGCGTGCATCTCCCCCACCCCCGCACCTTCTGCTCCGCCTGCTCCGCGTCCGCCCTCGCCTTGCTCGCCTCCGCGCGCGCCGCCACCAGCTTCCTCCCCAGCTCCTCGTTCGTTCGCTCCAGCTTCGCCACGCGCTCCAGCAACACCAGCGACCCCTCCTCCTCCCCGCCGCCCTGCGCCGCGCCGCGCACAGGCGGCAGCGCGCCCCCGAGCGGCGGGAGCCCCCCCGGGCGCGTGTTGTCCACAGCGCGCCGCGCCTGCCGCTCGTGCTCGATCTGCTCACGCAAGGCGGCCGCGTCGCGGCGCGCTCGCTCGAGCGCCTCGCGGGTGTTCGTCTCCTCGAGCCGCGCCCTGTCCAGCTGCGCGGTGAGCTCGGCGACGCGACGGGACACGTCGGGGTCGGCCACGCGCGGGGGGGGGTCCTTGCTGGCGGCGGCCGGGAGCCCGACCGCGGGCGGCGCGTCGGAGCTGGCCTGCTCCTCCCACTTGAGCTCGTTGATCGCGGCCTCGTCCTCCAGGCCTGCGTGCGGGCGGCGGGCACTGTGCGCGCGTGTTTGTTTGTCGAGCCGCGGCGACGGGACGGCGCCCGGACGCGTGCGCGCGCGGTGCGGCGGCGCGCGCTGGGGCGCAGCGGGGGGCCGTGCCTACGGTGTCGACCTCGACGGTCGCGCCGGCGTCCTTCGCGCCGTCGACGAGTTTCCGGGCAAGGTTCGCGGCGACGAGCTGGACGTGCCGGATCTCCTGCCGCACGGCGTCGCGCAGGCTCCCCTCGAGCTCGCCGAGGAGCTCCTTGGCCTCCTCGGTGGAGTAGAACTCGCCCGGGCGCAGCTGCGTGGCTAGGAAGTCCCGCACATGGCCCGCCACCTCGTCGCAGTGCACGTCCTGCCGCTCCTTCGCCCACCGAAGGTACTTCCCTGCCTGCTTGAGCCCGTCGGTCGACATTCTAGCGCTGAATCACCCCGCGCGGCCGCTCTCCGGGCCCTCAGGGAGGCACGCTCTAAGAGATGTCGCTCGCGTGCGTCAGGACCGAAGCCTGCGTGGTCTCCGCCCGCGGGATCGCGCCTCTCGCTCGATGATCCAGTCGGCGGCAATAGAAATCCGATCGTATCCTGACGGCTGTGCGCAGGGCCGCGCCTCGAGCACACAGGTGCAGACTCGTCAGCCTCGGCGACAAGGGGCCCAAAGTGCACCCGCGCCAATACCGCGTGCAACCTCGTCTCCCAGGCGACGCGCCCGCGTGCCGTCCAAGGCGCCAGCGCCCCGGAGGGCGTCGCGCAGACCGCTGAGGGGCCTCCTGCGGGGCCTCTCCCCACACGCCCCCCGCGCGGCGACCCGCCCGGCCCACGGCCTCAAGGGCCCGCGCGCGCGCACGCAGAGAGCCATCCGCCCCTGTGAGCGCAAGACCTTCGTCCCCGAAGTGCGCCACAGCGGCCTTTGAGTTGGTGTCCTCTGAAACGACGCGCACGAGGACGTTCCGCCCGGGTTCGAGCGTTTCTCCCGTCCGCAGGGTCCCCGGAGTGCGCCGCGTCCCCGCGAGGCTGTTCGTAGCGGACACGCCGCGGTTGGCCTGGCGCGCCCCGCTGCGAGGACGGGCACAGGAGCCCAAGCAACGCGGGCCGTTTTCTCCGTGCGCAGCTGACGAATAGCCACCATGCCGCTCGAGTGGCTTCTAGGGAAGAAGAAGACTCCCGCAGAGATACTGCGGGAGAACAAGCGTCTCCTCGACAGGCACGCGCGCCCCGTCCCCGCCCGCACGTCCTCTCGTGCGCCCCCTCCTCCTTGCGCGCCGCATCGATCCCCCAGCGGACCGCACTCCCCGGTGCAACCACACACGGTTGTTCGGGACGCGCGGTTCCAGAGCGAGGCCTGCGCGCACGGTGGCACATTGACAGATTGCTCCCGGGTCCAAGCTCCGCGCCCGCGGCCCCCGCGGCCCGCGGTCCCTGGGCCACGGGGCGCCCCGCGGGGACCGCTGCGCTCTTGTCGGAGCAGCTTCGTGTCCGCGCGGCAGCGCCGTCGCGCCAGGAGGCGTCGCGTCGCGCGCACGGCCCCGGCGCGACCCTCCCCCGCGCCCTGGCCGTCGCAGGTCGATCCGCGACATCGACCGCGAGCGCACGGGGCTGCAGAACCAGGAGAAGAAGCTGGTGGTGGAGATCAAGCGGATGGCGAAGCAGGGCCAGATGGACGCGGTGAAGGTGATGGCCAAGTCGATGATTCGGAACCGCAAGGCGGTGACCAAGCTGCACCACCTGAAGAGCCACCTCCAGGGCATCTCCCTGCGCATCCAGACGCTCAAGTCGACGCAGAGCATGGCGCAGGCCATGCGCGGGGCGACCAAGGCCATGAGCGTGATGAACCGGCAGCTCAACGTGCCGGCGCTCAACGGCATCATGAAGGAGTTCGAGAAGCAGAACGAGCGCATGGAGATGGCCGAGGACATGATGGGCGACGCGCTCGACGACGCCTTCGCCGACGAGGTGCCCACCCGCCCCCGCACACGCACGCACTTACGCACACTCACGCCAGCGCGCGGCGGGCCCACGCGCGTCGCCGCCAGCGCCCGCAGGACGAGGAGGAGGAGACGGACGAGCTGGTGGGGCAGGTGCTCGACGAGATCGGGCTGGACATGGACGTGATGCTCGCCAGCACACCTGCGCCGAAGCAGTCCGTGGCTGCTGCGCCGCAGCGCGTGGCGGCGGGCGTGGGCGCGGGCGCGGGTGGCGCGGACAACCTCCCGGACCTCCCGCCGGACGACGACCTGAAGAACCGCCTCAACAACATCCGGAAGGGGTGAAGACCCACACACAGACACTGGTTGGTATTTGATTGTCTGTTCGTCGAATGAGGGGTTGGAGGTGGCAGCAGGGCGCGGGTCGGAGCGGGAAGCCGGCGGTGCGGAGTTGAAGCGGGTGCGGCGGAGCAGCAGACCTGCTGTGGTGGTTTCTGAACCACGGGTTGTTGCTGTCTTCGGTGGGCTGCACGCCGCGTGCCGAAGCGTGTGAGTCGGTCCGGACCTGCGCAGCTGGTCGCCGTTGCTGCGGGCGAGGTGTCCCTGGCCGGTGCTGTCAGGGCTGCGTCAGGTCGGACATGGTGCTGACTGCGGCCGGCTGTGACGAGGACCGCCGCGCTTCGGGGCGGGCCGCCGGGGCCCGCGCAGCATTCTCGATGCAACAGCGACCACGTGGAGGATAGACGCAGGCACTCGCGAACCGTCGGGACGGATTCGGGCGCGCTTGAGGGGAGGAGAGCGCAGGCGAGGATGTCCGACGACGCCCTGTTGCCGAAGGCAACGGTGCAGAAGATGGTCAAGGCGGCGCTCCCGGAGGGGATGAGGTGAGGGCACACGGCGCAGCTTCGGCGGGCCCTCCCGCGCGGGGAGCGGGCGTTCTCCGCTGCCTGCGCCCCGGTGGAATTGTCGCGCCGACGTGCTCCCGGGCCGGGGAGCCTGCGTTCGCGCGCGGGTGCTAGAGAACGCGTGGCGTTGTGGCTGTGCGCGCAGGTTGTCGGGCGACTTCATGGCGCCGCTGTTGGCGTGTGCGGAGGAGATGATTCAGTTCGTGGGGGGGCAGGCACAGGAGGCCTGTGCGAACGCGAAGAAGTCGCTGATCACTCCGGAGCACGTCGTGCAGGCGCTCAGAGATCTCAATATGGAGGACCTAGTGCCGTTCGCGGAGGAGACCGCGCGCGAGCTCCTGGTGCGCCGTCCCGCCCGGCCGCTCTCGCATGCCCCCTCTGCCACCGCCCGCGCCCAGCAGGGCGCGAGACGCGCGCTGCGTTCCGCCCCGCCGCCCGCAGGAGGAGAGCAAGGCGGTGAAGCGGGACAAGAAGGCGAAGAAGAAGAACAAGCTGACGGACGAGGAGCTCATCAAGGCGCAGGAGGAAATGTTCCGCGCGGTGCACGAACGGCAGCGGGCCGCGGGGCTCGACCCGTCCGCGCTCATGATCGCGGCGGCGCAGCCGTCGGCGCCCGCGCCACAGCAGGACGAGGGCAGCGACCTGTCGATATAGCCCACATTCGTTACGCAGCAGCACCGTATCGCGCGCCCGGCGCCTGTGACCCTCCGGCGAGAGCGGGCGTCGGTTTGGCTCACACTGGCGCGCTACCGGATCTGCTCGAGCGCGCCCGGCTGCGCGCGCGAGGCCTCGTGGCGCGCGAGCTCGGCGGGGACGTTGGCGTTGGACGACTTGAGGAACTTGCGGAGGTCGTAGAACACGCCGGCGTCGTCGGCCGTGAGGAAGGTGACCGCGGTGCCCTTCTTCCCCGCGCGCCCCGTCCGCCCGATGCGGTGCGTGTAGTCCTCAATCTTGCTGGGCATCTCGTAGTTGACGACCAGCGCGACGTCCGGGACGTCGATGCCGCGCCCCGCGACGTTCGTGGCGACGAGGCACGTGAACTCGCCCGCGCGGAACCCGTTGAGGCTCTCCTCGCGCTGGTCCTGGGCCTTGCCGCCGTGCAGGACGCAGCACGGGTAGCCGTTGCGCTCGATGATGCGCGAGACGATGTCGCAGGACTTCTGCGTGTTGACGAAGACGATCGTCTTGCCGCCGCCCACCTCGGCGAGCGCGCTCACCAGGAGCCGCTCCTTCTCGTTGTGCTTGCACATGCGCACCACCTGCGTGATGTTCTCGCCCGCCTGGCCCGCGCTCGCGATCGTCACCACCACGGGGTTGCGCAGGTACTTCCGCGCAAGCCGCTCGACCTCCGGACGCATCGTCGCCGAGAACATGAACGTCACGCGGTACTGTGGCGCGCCCCCGCGCGCCGAGTCGCGCTGCGCCAGCGCCTGCGCCTGCGCCTCGTCCTCCGGCTGCAGCAGCACCGCAACGCGAACAGCGCGCGTGAGAACCGTCCATCCCGTGCGCGCACGGTCACCGCAAGGGTCCGCAAGAGCCCCACCGCGGACGACGCGGCGCTTGTGCGGACAAACCTGCGCGAGCTGGAGGTAGAGCCAGCGGATCCAGAGGGGGGGGAGTGATCTGTGTGCGGCGTGTCAGTTACCTTGAGGGTGGAGTTCGGCATGGCGTCCATGACCCCGATGACCTGGGGTTCGAACCCGAGGTCGATCATGCGGTCCGCCTCGTCGAGCACGATGAAGTTGCACTGGTTGAGCACGCAGTACCGGCGCTCCAGGCAGTCGAGGAGCCGCCCGGGCGTGGCGATCACGATCTCGCAGCCGCGCCGCAGCGCCGTCGCCTGCTCGTCGATGCTCTGCCCGCCCACCACGCTCGTCACGCGGTACGCCGTGTAGTGCATCAGCTTGCGGCCCTCCTCCTCGATCTGCTGCGCCAGCTCGCGCGTGGGCGCCATGACCAGCCCGTACGGCCCGTGCACCGCCACCTCGTCCGTCATCTCCGGCAGCTTCGCGATGTAGTTCAGCAGCGGCACCATGAACGCGCACGTCTTCCCGGACCCCGTCTCGGCGATGCCAATCACGTCGCGCATCGACAGGCCCACGGGGATCGAGGCCATCTGGATCGGGGAGGGCTTCGCGAACCCGAGACGGTCGATCGCGCGCCGCACGAACGCCGGCGCGCTCATCTCGTCCCACGACCGCATCGGCCGCGCCGGGTTCTTGCCCTTGTAGCTAATGCTGAAGTCCTCCATGAAGATGCGCCAGTCGCGCTCCGCCATCTCCTCCAGCGCCTTCTCCGACCAGTGCTTGCCCTTCTTGATCGCCTGCTCCTTGTCCGCAATGCGGTCGCGCCGCGACAGCCGCTGCAGGTCCTCCATCTCCCGCTCCGAGCGGTACTTGCGGAGGACCTCCGCCTGCGCGCGCTCCCCGGCGCGGCGCTGCTCCGACCGGTCGATGCCTGCGCCGGATGGAAGCGGGGCGGCGTGCGCGGCCGGCTGGGGCAACAGCAGCGCGAAGGCGAAACGAACGAGACTGCGCAGCGGTGCGCTCAGATCGCTGGCAGGAGCGACGACGTGGGAGGCTGCGGGGGGTTGCAGGCCGCGCAGGGCGCCCGCGCTGCCGCAGCCGTTGGTTGCAAGTGCTTGCGCGTGTGCAGCACCTGCGCGCATGCCGCGGCCGAACAGGAGCCCCACGTCGCGTTCAGGCGCGTCGATCAGCGGGTTCGCCTCCGCGAGCGTGTCGTCCTCCATGTCCCACTCCTGTCCGCGCTTCATGCGCTCCGCAGGATGCACCACCTTGCGCTTGGTGCGCTCCGCGCCGAGGTACTGCTTGCGGATCTGATCCATCACCTGGTCCTTCATGCGCGCGTCGTCGCCCAGCGCCACCTCCCGCGCGTTCGCCGACCTGCGAACAGCGCAGCGCAGCGACGTAGAGCGTCACGACCCAGTGCCGCCGCCAGCTGAGCCGTCGACGCCCGCAGCGGCCAGGCGCCGCACGCACCCGTACGCCGCAGCGCGCGCCTCCTCGAACCGCCGCTGCTGCTCCTGGAACGCCTCCCGCTGCTGCTGCAGGGTGGCCTCCATGGCCCCCCGCTGGGCCTGGACCTGCTCCTCGCGCCGCTTCAGAGCGAGCGCCTCGCGCTCCTTCTTGCTCAGGAAGACCGGCCGGGCGGCTGCGTGCGGCACCGGACGAGGCACGCCGGCGTCAGACCAGCCCAGCGGTCGCCGCATGGTGTGTGTTGGCGGGGGGGGTTGCGGCGGCGGAGCGGAGCGGCGCTCGCGGCCGTCGCGGACTCGCCTTTCTGCATCTCCTCCTGCTTCTTCTTGAGCATCTCCTCCAGCGCGACGGGCTCCTTCTTCACCGCGCTGGTGCCGTTGAGGGGGGCGTCCGGCGGGCGCGCGGGAGGCCCGCCGGGCAGGGGCGGCGGGGCCACGTCGGGCTTGCGCTCGGGCGAGCGGTCCCGCGAGTACGGCCGCTCGCGCCTGTCGTCCCTGCGCCGACGGTCGTCCCTCCTGCAAGACGGTGCGCCAGGGAGCTCGTCAGGTCGCGAGAACGGAGCCACGCACAGCATGTTGTGCTCGGAAACATGATGTTACGCTCTATTTTTGTCCGTCGGAGCTGAGAGAGGGGCGGTTCGCGTTCGGGATGCGACGCATTTCGACGTTCTGGTGCACCGCAGCACGACTCCAGGCGCCAACCTGTGGTCGCGATGATCTCTGTGGCGCCGGCCGTCCCTGTCGTCCCCACCGTAGTCCCTCCTCCCCCCTCTCTCCCTGCGAGCACCCTCACAGGCGGCACACAGTGAGAGAGCGTCCTCCAGCGCAAAGAGAGCAGCGCCTAGCCCGCGTCCTCGCATCGAATGCGCCGACATCATGCATGCCGAGCTTCAACGACTCGTTGGAGCTCGTCTCGTGCGTCGCACGCGCGTCAGGTCGGCGGGTGTCGCGCTCCGACGGACCTGGGGGAACCTCCTCGCCGCCCATCGCGCCGATAGTCCCGCTCGCGGGACCTCGACCGCGCCCTGCGAGCATACCTGTCCCTGTCACGCGAGCGCGAGCGGGACCGTCCCATCCCGCCCCGCCTGCAGCCCGCAGACCCCCTGGGCTCTCAGGTCACACCACTGCCGCCTCCAGCACCACACCACGCGCAGCCGCGACCGAACCAGAGCGCCACCGACACGCCGGAGCCACCACCGCGTCGCGCGCCAAGTCTGCCCGCGCCGCCACCACCCGCGCGGCAACAACGCCCGGCCACAGCTGCACAACTACCCCCTCAACACCCCCCCTCCCGCCAGAGGCACGAGACCGGCCGCCACGCAGCCGCATCGGCGCGCGCAGGCCGGCTCTCCGGCGCCACGCGCCACCGCCCCGCACAGCACGCCCGACACGGTCCGAGAGGGATGGCGTCACATCGTACGCCGCAGCGGCGCTTACTCGTCGTCGTCGTCGCCGCCGCCGGCCTTGGCGGCCTGGTTCCTGCGCTTGACGCGGCCCGGCCGGCCGCCGCCGAAGGGCGAGTTGAGGGCGAAGTCGATGTGGCGCTCGCTCTCGACGCGCACCATGAACGACGGCACGTTCACGATCTGCTTGCCCACGCGGATGTGGCCCTGCTTGATCAGGACGCGCGCGTGGTGCACCGACTTGGCCAGACCCGACTTGAACACCACCGTCTGCGCGGAGCGGGCGCGGGTGCAGCGGCGGTGAGGGGGGCGCGCGACCGGGGGCGCAGAGCGACGGGCGGGCCGCGCGGCGCGGCGAAACGGACGGGTGCGCCACGTGTGGTCGCGCGGGCATCGTGGAGGCGCCGCGGTGGGCTCGGTGCGCGCCCGCCGGCGCGCCAGGCTGCTGGCGGCTACCGGTGACGGCCGCACGGGCGCCCTGTCGCGGGCCGCAACGCGGCGCGCGCCGCCCCGTGGCACCAGCGCGCTACGAGGCGCGCGCGGGGCCCGCTGGGGGCGCGCGAGGCGGGTCTCGGGGCCGCACCTGCAGGCGCCGGTCGAGGAAGTCCTCCACCTTGAGCGAGAGCACGTAATCGAGCTGCTTGTGGGCCTCGTCCAGGAGCCCGTAGCGGATGAGGCGCCTCATGAGGGCGTTGCCCTCGAAGATGCGCGTGGGGTCCTTCTCGTCCATGGTGAGCATGGTCCTGCAGAGGGGAGGGGCGCCCGGGGCGCGGACGGTGGGCGCCCGAGGCGGCGACGGGGGGCGCGGCGGTTCTATGGAACGTATCATGTCGTTCGTGGGATCGCGGCGCCGCGTGCGGCCCTCGGCGGGCCGGGGGAGGCCGCCGCGCTCGGGCGCGAGCGCGCAACGGGCGCCGAGGCGGGGTCGCTCGGCGCGCACCTGGCGGCGTTGCGGATCTTGGACAGAACCAGGTTCACGCGCCAGAGCTCACGCTTGTTCCTCAGCCCATACTCGCCCACGATCTTCAGCTCAGCGTCAATGCGCTCCTTCTCGAACGGCCTTCGCGGCTTCTTGAAGGTCTTCGAGTCTGCGACGAGAAGAAAGGACACAGCGCCGGGAGGTGGGCGGAACCGCTTCGCAGGGGCCCGGGCGTCGCCGGGCGCGGGCGCGGAGCAGGCACAGCTTGAGCGCTCCCCCGCACGCGCAGCGCAGGCCGCGAGCCGGCGCGGGCGATGCGGCAGCCGGCCACGAAACACGAACGGCAGCGCGTGGCGCGAGCGACACGCGCCGCATTCGCCCGCGCGACGCAGCAACGCCGTCGGCTCAGCTGGCAGGGGCTACTCACAGTTCCGATAGTACGTGGTGGACGGCATCTTGCCCGGTCCCGCCGCACTGGAAAGGACGGAGCGCGGGCGCCCGCCGGGCCCTCGGAGCCGCCGCGGGAGGCGCTCCACGCGGCGCCACGGCCCAGGTCGGACCGGCACGCCCCGAGGTCAAGTGGCCCGTGCGCGCGGCGCTCGTGGCCCGCGGGCGGCCGCCGGCGGCGCCAGAGACCTGGAACGTGCCCAGCATGTACTGCAGCGTGACCAGCTGCCGCGGCCCGGTGGCCGGCGCGCCCCGGCGGGCGTCGTCGCCCAGTGCGGCGAAGCTCACGTTCAAGGCTGCGGTGCCGGCCGTGAGGGTGCACAGGGCGCCGCGGCCGATGCCCCGGGCGACGGCGAGGCGGCAGACGGTGACGGTGAAGGCGCTGGACGAGGACGGAGGCGACAGGGCGCCGGCGAACGAGGTGTGTGCCCGGGGTCGCCGGTCAGTAACCGTTGCCGTGCTCGCCCGCGGCGTGTGGGGGCCCGCGCGGAGCGGAGACGCGCCGGCGTGGATGTGCGGGCGCGGCGGCGGGGCTGCGGGGTGTTTCCCCGCGCCGGCGCGGGCTGCTCGCCGCGAGGTGCGCGCAGCCGACCCGACGTAGTAGACCATCGTGCTCACGCCGTCGCGCGGGTATCTGTGGTTGTCTGCAGCCTCTGCTGAAGGATGCGTCTCCCTTCCGCAAGATCATGGTGGCGAACCGGGGCGAGATCGCCATCCGCGTGATCCGCGCGGCCAAGGAGATGGGACTGCAGTCGGTACGTGCCGCAGCCGCATCGCGCCCGATTTTTTCAGCCTGATTGTGGATCGTCACATATTGCATCATCCGTTCGCGCGTGCCATTTTCCCTGTACCAAGCCGCGCGCCCCGGCAGCGCACGCGCTCTGGCACTCGTCGTGCTGGCCGGCGTCCCTGCCGCGCCAGGGCGTACATTCCTCGCGTCAACCGCCCGGATCCCCCGGGAACCTCCGCCGCTGTCCCCACGCGGGCGGCCGCGGCGGGGAGCCCCGCTGCCCAGCACGCACGCGACCCTGGCTCCTCCGCCCTGTGAGTGCAGGTCGCCATTTACTCCCCCGTCGACCGCCTGATGCCGCACCGCTTCAAGGCCGACGAGTCCTTCCAGGTGCGCCCCCCCCGACGGCCGTCGCTCCGCGAAACCCCGCCGCCCCGCCGCCGCCGCCGCCCGAGGGTTCCGCCCCTCACACCACGCGCCCCCGCGCCACCGCCCGCGCCGCGCCCCGGCCCCGCCCGCCGCCCCGCCGGCCACCGCGGCCCCGCCCGCCGCGCGCCCGCCCCCGCGCCCGCCCGCCGCGCCCGCGACCCCCGCGCCCCCCCGCTCCCCCGTCGATGACGCCCGTGCAGTGCTACCTCGACGTCGAGGGCATCATCAAGATCGCGAAGGAGCACGACGTCGACGCGATCCACCCCGGCTACGGCTTCCTGTCGGAGAACACGACGTTTGCGCGTCGGTGCCGCGAGGAGGGCATCAAGTTCATCGGGCCGGACCCGGAGTCGATCGACCGGATGGGCGACAAGACGGCCGCGCGCGTGATCGCGCAGGAGGCGGGCGTGCCGGTGGTGCCCGGGACGGACGAGGCGCTCAAGGACGCGGACGCGGCGCTGGCGTTTGCCAAGGAGGCGGGCTTCCCCGTGATCGTCAAGGCGGCGATGGGGGGCGGCGGGCGCGGGATGCGCGTGGTGCGGCGCGAGGAGGAGCTGAAGGACGCGTTCCTGCGCGCGTCGAACGAGGCGCAGGCGGCGTTCGGCGACGGGCGGATGTTTATCGAGAAGTACGTGGAGGACCCGCGGCACATCGAGGTGCAGATCCTCGCGGACGAGCACGGGAACGTGTCGCACCTGTACGAGCGGGACTGCTCCGTGCAGCGGCGGCACCAGAAGGTGGTCGAGATCGCGCCGGCGCCCAACCTGGACAAGGAGGTGCGCCAGGGGCTGCTGGACGCGGCCGTGCGCATCGCCAAGCACGTCGGGTACAAGAACGCGGGGACCGTCGAGTTCATGGTCGACAAGCACGGCGCGTTCTACTTCCTCGAGGTCAACCCGCGCGTCCAGGTGGAGCACACCATCACCGAGGAGGTCACGGGCGTCGACATCGTGCAGTCGCAGATCCGCGTCGCCGGCGGGGCCACGCTCGCGGACATCGGCATCGCGTCGCAGGCCGACGTCCCGGAGCCCAAGAGCTTCGCGATCCAGTGCCGCCTCACCAGCGAGGACCCCGAGCGCAACTTCCAGCCCGACACGGGGCGCATCGTGGCCTACCGCCCGCCGGGCGGGCCGGGGATCCGCCTCGACGGGTCGTACGGCACGGGCCACATGATCTCGCGGCACTACGACAGCCTGCTCACCAAGATCATCGTGCGCGCGCCCACGTACCGCTCGGCGGTGCAGAAGATGTACCGCGCGTGCAACGAGTTCGCCATCCGCGGGGTGAAGACCAACATCCCGTTCCTGCGCAACGTGCTCACGCACCCGGACTTTCTCACGGGCGACGTGACGACGAGCTTCATCGAGCAGAACCCGCAGCTGTTCGAGTTCGACGCCGCGGGCTCCCTGCAGTCGTCCAAGCTGCTCGGGTACCTGGCCGAGCAGGTGGTGAACGGCGCCAAGCACCCGGGCGCCGTGGGCCCGCCGCCGTCGGCGATCGACGTGGACGCGCCGGCGATTCCCAAGGAGCTGGACATTCCCACGAGCGAGCTGACGGGGTGGCGCGACATCCTCGAGGCGGAGGGGCCCGAGGCGTGGGCGCGGGCGGTGCGGGAGCACAAGGGCGCGCTGCTGACGGACACGACGTGGCGCGACGCGCACCAGTCGCTGCTGGCGACGCGCGTGCGCACGCGCGACATCATGCGCGCGGCGCCGCTCACCGCGCGCTCGCTGAGCGGCCTGGCCAGCCTGGAGATGTGGGGCGGCGCGACGTTCGACGTGAGCATGCGGTTCCTGAAGGAGTGCCCGTGGCGGCGCCTGGAGCAGATCCGCGAGGAGGTGCCCAACATCCCGTTCCAGATGCTGCTCCGCGGCGCCAACGCCGTGGGGTACACGACGTACGCGGACAACGTGGTGTACGAGTTCGTCAAGGAGGCCAAGCTGGCCGGGATCGACATCTTCCGCGTGTTCGACTCGCTGAACTACATTGACAACATGCTCTTTGGCATCGACACGGTGCGCCAGGCCGGCGGCGTCATCGAGGGCACCATCTGCTACACGGGCGACCTGACCGACCCGAAGCGGAAGATCTACAACCTGGACTACTACATGAACCTCGCGGAGAAGCTGGTCGACGCGGGCATCCACACGCTGGCCATCAAGGACATGGCCGGCCTGCTCAAGCCGCGCGCGGCGACGATGCTGGTGTCGGCGCTGCGCCAGCGCTGGCCCGAGCTGCCCATCCACATCCACACGCACGACACGGCCGGCACCGCCGTCGCGACGCAGCTGGCGGCCGCGGAGGCCGGCGCGGACATCATCGACTGCGCGCTCGACTCCATGTCGGGCACCACCTCGCAACCGTCGATGGGGGCCATCGTGGCCGCGCTGCAGGGCACCGACCTGGACACCAACATCTGCCCCGACTCCATCTCCCCGCTGATCGAGTACTGGGAGCGCGCGCGCGGGCTGTACGCGCCGTTCGAGTCGACGCTGCGCTCGTCCAACGTGGACGTGTACCTGCACGAGATGCCCGGCGGGCAGTACACCAACCTGAAGTTCCAGGCGACCTCGCTGGGCCTCGGCGCGCAGTGGGACAAGGTCAAGCGCTCGTACGCTGCCGCCAACCGCGCGCTGGGCGACATCGTCAAGGTCACGCCGTCGTCCAAGGTCGTCGGCGACCTGGCGCAGTTCATGGTGCAGAACGACCTGGACGAGCACACGGTCGTCGAGCGCGCGGAGGAGCTCTCGTTCCCGGGCAGCGTGGTCGAGTTCATGCAGGGCCTCATCGGGCACCCGCCGCAGGGGTTCCCGGAGCCCTTCCGCACGCGCGTCCTCAAGGGCAAGAAGCCCATCGAGGGGCGCCCCGGCGCCACGCTCCCGCCGGTCAACCTGGCCTACCTGGAGTCGGCCCTCACCGAGAAGTACGGGCGGTACGCCATCGACAAGCGCGACGTGCTGAGCGCGGCGCTGTACCCCAAGGTGTTCGACGAGTACCGCGCGCACGTGGACCTGTACGGCACGCTCACGGAGGAGCTGCCGACGGGGGCCTTCTGGGCGCCGCTGGACGAGGACCAGGAGGTGGTTGTGCCGATGGGGGGGCGCAAGGGCGTCGACGCGCACATCAAGTTCAAGGCCGTCGGCGAGATGCAGCCCGACGGGAAGCGCGAGGTGTTCTTCGAGACGAACGGCATCCCGCGCGTCGTCGAGGTCGTCGACACCAACGAGCCCGAGGTCGGCGCGGGCGGCGGCGGCGGGGCGCGCAAGGGCATGCGCGAGAAGGCCACGTCCGGCGACCTGGGCAGCGTCGGCGCGCCCATGGCCGGCGAGGTCATCGACGTGCAGGTCAAGCCCGGGCAGAAGGTCGAGGCCGGCCAGTCGCTGGTGGTGATGTCGGCCATGAAGATGGAAACCACCGTCGGCGCGCCCACCGCGGGCGTGGTCAGCCACGTGGCCGTCGAGGCCGGGGACGCCATCGACGCCGGGGACCTCATCGTGAAGATCGGCGCCAGCGGCGACAACGGGGACGAGCCCGCCGCCGCCGCGCCGCAGGCTGCGGAGGCCGCGCAGTAGACGCGCGGCGCGTGTGAGCGAGCTGCGACGCGGCGTGCCGAGCGTCATCGTGTGACTGAGTGCGTGCGTGTGTGTGTTGACTCAGGGGGGGTGTGGTTACTACTCTGTGTGGTTGTGCGGGACGGGAGGGAATGGAGGGGGCGCGCTGTGGGCGCAGGCGGTGAGTTTCTGCAGCGTGCGGACGATGTTTGACGCGGTCGCTGTGCGCTGAGACTCGTGTTGGTTGATTCCGCTCTGCGCGTGTCGGCGCTGGTGGTAGGCAGCGTGGGGAGGGGGGGGGGGCAGGATGTCGTCGGGCAGCGCGCTCCACGCGCTGCTCGTGGCAGCCGCTAGCGCCTCGCACAAGGATGGGACCTCGGGGCTCGCGGCGCAGCTGCAGGCGCGTCCACCCTCCCCACCGCAGTGCTCGAGGGGCGCTGCGTCGCGACCGGCCGCGAGGATGACCGTCCGCTGTGCTCTGTGTCCGCTGCCTGACGAGTTCATGCCTCGTGGACGGCGTGCGCAGGGGGAGAAGGAGAGCATCGAGCGCCAGATGGTTGAGTTGGCGGAGAGGAACAGCAAGGCCTTTACAGAGGCGACGAGGTGCAGCAGAGACGCCCACAGGGAGCTGGCGGTCGCGGAGGAGAAGCTGACGAAACTTCAGTCGACGCTGCAGGTGCGTGCGAGGACCCTGTCCCCCGCGGGACGACATCTCGGCCGACTTGGGAGCTGAGGTGCGGTGTCTCCGCGCCTCACGCCGCCTCGTTCGCCCGGACGGCGCTCCTCGCAGGGTCTGCGGCGAGAATCCCGCGTTCTGATGGACAAGGGCGGGGACGTGCGGGAGAAACTGGAGGCGCTGTCTCAGCTGGGCGCGGTGGGGGACCACGCGCAGGACCTCGTCGACGTGCCGCAGATCCAAGAGGCGTGCGCGGCGGGCGAGGCGTACGACGAGGCGCTCGACCTCATGGCCTACATCAACAAGCTCGCGATCGTCAGGTCAGATCGCACCGCCACGCCTCCCGACCAGCGCCTGCGCCTCGTGTCCGCGCTCACACCCTGGCCTCGTCCGTGCCGCGCGAGCCGCAGGAGCGAGATTTCCCTGGTCAGGCAGCTGCACGCCGCGTCGCGGCAGCAGGCCGAGCGGCTGCAGGAGCGCGTCCTCGCCCGCCTCGCGGGCCCGTTGCAACTTGCCGAGTGCCTGCGCATGGTGGCGCTGCTGCGGAGGCTCTCGCCGTCCGGGCCGCACTCCGCAGGCGGCGACCTGCGCAGCACGTTCCTCGCGTGCAGGGGCCGCTGGCTCGACCAGGTCATCCGCGAGGTGCGCACACGGGGTGTTTCGCAGCTCACATGAACACACCCCCCCCCCGAGAACGGCCCCGCCTGGCAGCGGCCGAGGGCTCGCACAGGCGCGCCGCGACCGCCGTCCGTCGCGCCCGCGCTGCCACCGACGCTCGCGCGCGTTGCTCCCCGTCGCGTCGCAGATCGACACCAGCGCCGGCGACTACGAGTACCTCCGCCGGCTCACGGACGCGCACCGCCTGCACCTCTTCGACATCGCCATGCAGTACCGCGCCGTCTTCCCGGACCAGCCCGCCGCCCAGCAGCGCGCCCCCGCCGGGAGCGCCGCCGCGCCCGCGTCGGCCGCGCTGCAGGCCTGGGCGCACGACCGCGTCCTGCACTTCCTCTCCGCCTTCGAGGCCCGCCTCCCGGGCGTCAAGGACGGCGCCTCCCTCGCCTCCCTCCTCGACCACGCCATGTACTGCGGAGTCAGCCTGGGCCGAGTCGGACTGGACTTCCGACCCCTCCTGGAGCCCATGTTCGCGGCGCGCGCGCTCGTGCTCTTCACGGACCTCGCGGACGCCGCCGTCCTCGCGTCCCAGCAGCAAGTGCAGACGCAGGCGTGGGGCGCGGCGCTGCCCAGCACCGGCAGCGCAGGCCTCGCCGCGCACGCGGCCCAGGGCGCGCCGGCGCGGAAGGGCGCCGCGGAGAGCGTGCCTCCGGACGCCCCGGCCGCGCAGCCGCCCCGGGAGGTCCTGAGCTTCCCGTTCTTGGCGTCGTTGACGAACGGGGTGTTGGGCGCGCTGAACGAGCTGAGGCAGGTGCCGGTGGTCGCGCTGGGGCCGCGGCTCGCGGAGGCGCTGACGGACGTGCTCGCGCAGGCGGCGGAGGTGCTCGGGGGCGTGCCGGGCGTGCGGAAGCTGGCGGGCCGCGACGTGGCAGCGCACGAGGCCGCGTGCGGCGTGCTGGCGCGCAGCGTGGCGCCGCACCTGCGCGGGTGCTTCGCGCGGCTGTACCCGGACTGCGCGGACCGCGTGGACGTCGAGCGCGCGATGGCGCCGCTCGAGCCGTACCTGGGAGCGGCAACTTGACACGGGCATGTCCCGTAGTTGACTCCAAGACATGAGTTGTGACTCCAAGACAGTTGCGCGTGCGGTGTCTCGCGCGTCATGAGCAGCGTCAGCGTGTCGTGCGCTCGGTTCTCCTTCGGTGCTGCTGTCGAGGCGCAGGAGGGGTAAGTCGCGCGGCGCGCAGGGCTGGCACACTGGAGGCGACCGCGGCACCGGGCGAGCGCCGTCACAGCGTCCCGCCGCGCGGGGGAGTGTACAAGAAGTGAGTCTAGGGCAGGGACCGCGCGTACGGCTTGATGCTGCCCAGCTCCGCGCGCAGGCGGTTCTCTGCCTGCACCCTGGCCAGCAACGGCAGCAGGTAGTGCGCGTCGTCCCCGGGGCCCTTGGCGAACGGCGTCTGCGCGGTGGGGTACGTTGGGAGGAGCGACGGTGGGGGCGCGACGCGGGCCAGGGGCCGCGCGGGGGGAGGTGGGGGCAGGGTGGGTGGGTGCAGGCGTGGGCGCGTCGCTTGCCTGGAGCTTCTGGGTGTCCTCGTCGAGGTACTCCTTGTGGAGGTTGAGAACCAGAGCGCGCTTGAGGCGCTGGTTCCGGGCCTGCAGCTCCTCGTCCGGCAGCCTGCGGGCGCCAGGGCACGGGTCAGTTGCGGTCGGCGGGGCCGCGCGGCTGTGGGCGGGCGAGGACGGCGGCGCCCTTGCACGCGTGTTCTTCGAGACGCTGACGCGGTGGCGCGGCGCGAGGCAGCAGGAGGGCAGCCTCGGCGCCGCAGCTGGCAGCAGTTCAGCCGCGACAGGGGCGACCGGCCGCGTCCGGCGTGCGTGCAGCGCCCGCCGCTTGGCTCGCGCGGAGAGGGACGGTGCTCGCGCGAGGCGGGCGCCCGGGGCGCGCATGGGTCGCGGGGTGCACGGAGGCGCGCGCGGCGAGGCAGGGGCTCGCTTTCACGGGCTCCTCCACCACGCACGCACGCCGCGGGGCCGGGGGCGCAGGGCAGCGGAGCGGCATGTTGAGCGCAGTCGTGTCCGGCGGCCGGCCACGCAGCGGCGCTTCAGCCAACGTGGACGCGGCGCGGGCTAGCAGGGCCAACGACCAGGCCACGCGGTGGCTGCGTGGCTCGGCGCGCGACTTGGTCTACGGCGCGGCGTACCTCTTGAGGGCCTCGGCGACGTCGACGTCGCAGTCGGGGTCCAGCATGTCGTCGTAACGGAGGCCGTACTTGCGCAACCAGCCCTCGCACTCCCTCTGCTGCGACGCCACGAACCGCCCCCAGATGGGCGCGAGCAGCATCTGGACGAAGTTCTTCTTCTCCGGGTTCGGGTTGATCAGGACCTTGAGAAGGTGCGACATGGTGACCGCGGGTGCCTACGAGCCTCCTTGTTCGGAGCAAGCAGTGCGCGCGGGAACGCCTCGTGCCGCCCTCGCCGTTGAGTCGACGCCGGACACAGTGGTTCGCGGGTGGTGAGACGGGCGCCAACGTCCCCGGGAGCGCCAACGTCCCCAGGAGCCGCGCCGGGGAGGGCCCCGCTTGACACAGCCCCTCCAACCACCGCGAACGGTCCCTTTCCGGGGCCAAGGAGCGCAGATGCGCCGCCGTTGCGCACTTCTGCGTTGCTCCCGGTCCGTCCGCGCATCGAATTCCCCGCCCTACTGTCTATCGAGTTCCTCACAGGCACCAAAGGCCCTGTAGGATCGCAGCGCGGCTCCGGCTAGCCGTGGAACAAGGCCCCCTGCCGCGCACGCTGCCACTCCTGCCGTGCTGCGGAATCCCACGTGTCAGCCTCGGGCGCGCGCGCCGTGCGGACGCTCCACTGCGCCGTGCCGTCCACGGCTGGGAGCCTCCTGTGGGAGGGAAGACACCAAATCGAGGGATAGCGGGCAATGCTGGGGCGGACAGCGGGAGTGGCCCCTCCACGCGCGCCGTTCCCACCTAGTCGGCCATGCCAGGCGCGCCCACGCGTCCCCTCCGTCGCTCAGTCGCCGCCGCGACCCGCACCCCTAGCCTTGCAATGGCCCGGCTCGGCCGCGGCGCCGCGCGCACGGCAACACACCGCCCTCGTCGCGCGCGCGAGCTCCCTGTCTGGTCTACCTGGAGGGCACGCCGCCCGGCGGTCCGCTGCGGGGGAGCGGTGCGGTCGCGACGGCCTCCCCGCCGCCCTCTCTGATTGCAGGCGGGCAGCAGGGGGTCCACGGTCGGCCCGCGAGGGCCCACGCGGCCGCAGGCGCACCTAGGCCCCGCAGAGATCGACGCGCTGTCGACGCTCGGCGACCTCCTGCACGGCGCGGCGCGGCTGGACCTCACCGCTGCGCACCACGCGCCCACGCTCACGGAGGTGCGCCGCCGCACGCCCCCCGCGGCCGCCTCAGCCCCGCGCGCATGCATACCACCTCAGCCGCGCGGCGCCCCACTGCCCACCCCCGCCCCCCCCGACCGCAGGCCGCGGCGGCAGTGACGCAGCACGCGCCCCTCGGGTACGAGATGGTGGTGCCGCAGTGCTCGCAGATGAACTGCGGCGACACCATCTACCGCTCCACGCTCGACCCGAAGCTGCGCATGGAGGAGCGCAGCGTCGACGTCCCCGCGCTGCTCGCCGTCGTCGTGCCAACGCTCGTGTACCTCAACCTGCGCCCGGGCGTGCTCCCGGGGTTCGTCGACACCTTCTTCAAAGGTGCGAGCCCCGTCCGGCAGCCGCCCGCGCCCGCAGCGCCCGGCGCGCCGATCGCGAGTGTGCGTGTGCCCTGCGTGGCTGGTTGCGTGTGGCTGGACGGCCCTGATCGATTGGCGCTCCGACGGTGTGGTGCGCCGCCGCGTTGTGTGCAGCGCCTCAGCAGCGGCGGTCGCTGCCCTACTTCGTGCTGTCGGACTTCAAGAACCGGCGGAAACTGGGGTCGGGGGCCTTTGGGGAGGTGTACCGCGCGCAGGTCGACACTGACTCAGGGGAGCCGCGCGAAGTCATCCTGAAGCGCGCCACGGAGTTCGGCGAGGCCGAAGTGTACATGAACGAACGCTGCATGCGCGCGTGCCCCGGCGCAGGCGAGCCCCCTGCCCCACACACACCTTGCGCGCTCACACGCCCGCCTGCCCTGAGCCGGGCGGCCCGCAGCGCCAGGCTCGACCGTGCGCCCGACACAGCGACCCCGGCGGCCGCTGTGCTGCTGTGCCGAGAGTCGCGTGGCTGCGCATCCGCCTGCGCCCCCCCTGCGCCAACCCCACGAGGCCTGCGCCCCCCCCCACTGCACGCAGTGGCGCAATTCATCACGGCGTTCGACGAGACCGGCAAGGTCGGCGACCCCCTGTGGCTCGTGTGGCAGTACGAGGGCGACTACACGCTGGCGGACCTCCTGGCGAACCGCGGGTTCCCCCAGACCGCGGAGAAGGTGCTGTTCAAGCGGGAGCTCAAGATCCCGCGCGGGCCCCTGCGCGACCAGGCCGTGGTCGTGGAGATCCTGCAGCAGCTGCTCGAGTGCCTCGAGGCGCTGCACTCGATCGGGCTGGTGCACCGCGACGTCAAGCCGCAGAACATGATCCTGTCGACGGCCGAGCGCAAGGTGAAGCTGATCGACCTGGGCGCGGCCGCGGACCTCCGCGTGGGCATCAACTACCAGCCCGACGAGTACCTCCTCGACCCGCGCTTCAGCCCCCCGCAGCAGTACATCATGTCGACCACGACCCCCCCCGCGCCGAGCGTGAACGGGTTCGCCGCGCTGCTCTCGCCCGTGCTGTGGAACATCGGCCTCCCCGACCGCTTCGACATGTACAGCGTCGGCCTCGTGCTGTGCCAGATGGCCTTCCGCGGCCTGCGCACCGACACCAACCTGATTGCCTTCCGGCGGCGGCTCGAGGCGCTGGACTGGGACCTCGAGGCGTGGCGCCGCGACGTGGAGACGAAGAAGCTGCGCGCGTACGACGACGGGTTCGCGCTGCTCGACGCCGGGGACGGGTCGGGCTGGGAGCTCCTGACGCAGCTGATGCAGAAACGCCCCGAGGACCGCCTCTCCGCGAGGCAGGCGCTCGAGCACCCCTTCCTCACGGGCGTGCGCGGGCCAGGCAAGGCGGCGCAGGCGCTGCAGCGAGCGGGCGCGTCCGTGGGCGGGCTGTTCGACGACGAGCTGGTTGCCGAGATCTCCCGGACGGGCGAGAGGTGCGGCGCACGCGCACGCGCACGCTCCTGTGCCTGTGCCTGTGTCCGTGCCTGTGCCTGTGCCTGTGCCCGTGCCTGTGCCCGTGCGGGCGTGTTGAGGGGGGGGTGTTGTGTGGTGTGCTGACGCAGGTTCGGGGGGTTCACGGAGGCGTCGTTGCAGCAGCAGCTGGAGCAGCTCGGGGAGCACAAGGACGCGCCGCTGGAGCCGCGGGTGTCGCAGACGCTGGCGTACTGGCGGTCGCGGCAGGCCGCGATGGAGCGGCAGTCGCGGCAACGGACCATGGAGCGCGCGCTGCGGATGCGCCGGAAGCAGATCAACGAGAGCGGGTCGCGGAACGGCGCCCGGCCGACTGCGGTGAAGGTCGGGGGCCTCCTCGACGGCCTCTTCAAGAGGGAAAAGAAGCAGTAGGGAAAAGATGCAGGGGTGCGACCTGACCGGCGACGGGCGTGCGGACGCGGTGCGCGTGACTGTGTGAGACGCGCCGCGCTGGCAGACTCGATGTCTAGACCGAGGTATGATCCCTTTTCGCATGACAGGCCACGCGCGGGGGACGGCGATGACGAGGAGAGCTGAGTAGCCGTCGGCGCGTCGCCACACAACGCGGACAATGCCGCAGACTCAGTCACCGCTGTCACCCAGCCGGCTGCCGACACCCCCTGGTACAAGCAGCCTAGGACGTGGACCAGCACTTCGGCGCGTCGGCTGGCGGGCGTCGTCCAGTACTCGCGCGGCTCGCCGCGTTGTTGCTGACGACGCCCGCCACTCACTCTAACTGATTGCAGGTCAGAGCCTTCCCTTGGCACATGATGGCACGCTCACATGGCATTTCGCGCGAGTACTCCTAGCACGCTGCCGCCTTGATCAGGACGACAGCACACCCGCATTTCGTTTCGTGCGCGGGCGGTCAATTACTACTCTATGTCGTGGCGGACGGACGGGCTTTCAGGACCCTGGGGGTGTGCAGACGGCCTGCGCGGCGCCGCGGGCGTCGCTGGGCGGACGCGCCGGCGCTGGTCGCAGTTACTCGCGGCTCGTGCGGGTTCGGCGCTGTTCGTGTCGAGTTGCGGCGCTGTGTTGCGGGTCTCTGAGCGGCGCAGCAGGTGGTTGCTTCTCAGCCAGGGGTGCCCTGTGCCCGCGGTGAGGGACTGAGGCGCGGGATCTGCGGCCGCGGATCGCTCAGGGCGAAGTAGGGAGGCCCCTGTGGGTTGGTGGGGCCGGTCGAGCGGGGAATGGGTGCGCGCACGCCGCGGAGAAGTAGAATGCCTCGGGCGGTGGGCGCCCTGGCGCTGCTGGGCGTCGTGGCGCTCGCAGTCGTGGCTGTGTGGCCTGGAGACTTCGGTTACGACGATGAGTACGGCTACGGCCAGGTTTCGTGGATGGGTGCGGCAGGCGGGCTGATTTCCAGGTGACGTACCCCTGCACCGTCCCGTTGCCGCTGCGCCTCCAGAGCCGCCCGCCTGCTGCCCACGAGCACGCTCGCGGCGCTGTCTGGCACGGGGGCGCACGGAGTCGCCTGCTTCGCCCCTGTAAACCGCGGAACCACTGACGAGGCCAAGTGCTTTGGTGTGCGCGCGAGCAGGCACGGAGGACGCGGGAGGCCGCAAGAGCGCCGGGGGCAGGTGTCCGCCTCGCGGGCTGCCACTGTGGACTCCGGCATCCCCTTCGAAGTGGCGTCAAACATCGACTTCGGCGACGCTACCGCCATCAGTGCCGATGGGGGCACCTTCGCCATGGGCGCCCCGCTGGCCACTATCGAGCGCCAGGCGCGCGTGGGCATCGCCTTCGTGTTCCAGGTACTGCCTTCGCGCGCCTGGCTGCCCGCCACGTCCGCTCTGCAGTGCACGCACTCCACTGGAGCATTCCAGCGCGCCCAACGCCCGACGTGCCGCCGTGCGCCGTGCTGCAGGTGCCAAGCACACCTGGTGCGAACGCGACGCTCATCCAGACCTTCCTCCCGGAGGTCGTCGCCCCCAACACGTACTTCGGCGAGGCTGTCGCCCTGGACGGGTCGGGCCAGTCGCTGGTGCTGGGCGCCACGCACGCCAGGGGGACCGGCACCGTCGAGGTACGACGCTGTCCTGCTCACACTGCCGCAACATACAATGCACGGAATCAGCCTCACATCGCGCGCGTCACGCCTCTCGCGCTTCCGCGCCCACAGCAGCGCTGGCGGCGGGCCCGCGTGCGGAGCAGCCCTTACCGACAGCGCGAGCGCGACGTTGTCGCTCCGCAGGTCTACTCCCGCGACGCCGCTGGCGGCACGGTCGCGTACACGCGCATTCAGACGGTGCGGCCCAACGTGGCGGAGCTGGGGGTGGACAACATCCCTATTCGGTTTGGGCACACGGTCGCCCTGACCGTCGACGGGCGCACGCTCGTGGTGGGCGCGCCGCAGTTCGGTCTGGACGACGAGGGCGCGCTGTACGTGTTTTCTCGGCCGGACGTGGTGGGCGCCTTCGGCCTCTCGGAGCGCCTGGCGCCCAAGATCCCGGCGGGCTGGCGGTGCGACAACTGCCGCCTGGGGGAGTCCCTGGGGGTCTCGAACAACGGCGGCGCGGTCGTCGCGGGCGCGCCCGGGTACGTCCTGAACCAGCAGTACGACGGGCAGAACCGGCGCATCGCGGGCATCGACAGCGCGGGGGGGGTGTTCTTCTTCGAGCGCGTGTCCGGCGGCCGCCGCTACGAGGCGCGCGACCCGGCGGCGCTGGAGACGCCGCTGATCAACGGGAAGTTCGGGACGGCAGTGGCCATCAGCGGCGACGGGCTGGCCGTCGTGGCGACGGCGGACAGCGCAGGGTCGACCGGCGCGACGCTGTACCACATGAACGCGCAGCCGCAGAACGGGTGGCCGACGCTGCCCGTCGCGGTCCCGTCGTTCCCGCTGAACATCACCATCGACTCCGTCAGCCTTGCCCTCTCGGGCACCGGCAACGTCCTGGCCGCAGGGTCCTCGCGGGTGAGTGCCCCGCGCTCTGTGCTGCGCTCGAACGCTCTGTCTCAGCGAGCCGCCGCTCGCGCTGGCGGGTGCGGGGCGGCGGTCGTCCTGTTGCACGATCATGCCTCACCGCTTCGTGCTGGTGCAGGGAATCCCGAACGTGCCGCCCTCGCAGACGGCGCTGGCGTTCGACATCGGGGCGGTGCTGTTTTTCGAGGGCAACGGTGCGGTGGGGACCTACGAGCGGACGTCGACCATCGTCGACGTCACGGGCAACCTGGAGATTGGGCAGAGCTTTGGAAAGACGGTGGCGCTCTCGCGGGACGCGTCGTCGGTGTCCATCGGGGCGCCCGCAGCGAGGTCGTCCTTCAACGGGAAAGGCTTCGTGTACCGGACCGGGCTGAGCCAGCAGGTCGCGACGGACGCCAGGGCCAGCACGGACGTGATCGAGGGGGTGGGCGCCAACAGCCCCCCGTCCGCGGGGACCTCTGCGCGGCTGGGGTGGGCGGCCGCGCTCGGGGCGGCCCTCGTGCTTGCCGCGCTGCAGTGGTAGCGGTTCGGGGCGGCGTGTATGTGACCTGTGGCGGTGATGCGTCGTGCCTGCGGATCGGGAATGCAGCCGTGCGACCGGGGGCGACGGTGTGCTATGTGCTCGAGCTCCACGGCTCCCTGCGCAAGAGGGCCTTGCGGGGCGCGTGGTGCTCGCAGTGACGCGGACCGTGCTGCCTTCCGTGAGCCGGGCGTACGGTGTTTGATGGTATTTGTTACACGCACGCCCACTATTGTGAAGCGACGAGAGGGCCTCGTCCTTCCTTTCTGTTCGTTTTGTCTTCTATAGGTGGCCTTGCTCCCATGGTTGCCGTTCAGGACCGTCTCACCTACGCACCCCCGCGCGCCCTGACGCCTGAATGCCAGGGCGCGCGGTCTGTGGCGGGCTTTGTAGGTGGACGCTGCCGCGTTGACTCGTGATGGTCATGTCATGGTCCCTTTATGCCAGTTGCAGCCGCCGCTTGGGCCCCCCCTTTCGTTGAAAGGGTCTGTGGCGGGAGCTTGCGCGGGGCCAACCGCATCTTCTTCGGGTATGCCTCTTCAGGCTTTGGGCAGACGGCGATCTCGCTTCAGAGATGATGTTGAGCCACAGGCTGAGTCTAGAGTGGGCGCTGCGTTCCTCAGACGCTGGCGTCGGAACGCGTCGAGTGTCGGAAATAAGCAAAGTGTGTGGGGGAAAGGTAGGGGGGTAGGGTGATTAGGGTACTCAATAGTAGGGGGGGTGGGGGGAGTGGTAGACACCGTGGAGAAGTGCGTTGCGCGCGCAGCGCGACGGGCGCGGCCTACTGCCGCCTGCCTGCACCGTCGCTTCCTCAGGCGCGCGCCGCCACCTTCTCGTCCCCCACGCCGCCTCATCCTCCGGGGCAGGCCAGCCCGCAGATCACTCGTCGTCGTCAGAGCTCTCGCCCTCCTCGCCCTCCTCGCGGATCTGCTGCTGCACCTTTGCGCCGGCCTTGCGCCACCTGCTCGCGGCCGGCGTCATGGGCGACGCGGACGACGGCCCGGCGCCGTCCGAGGACGCTCCGGCGTCGGTTGAGGCGCCCCTGCCAGTGATCTGGCCCGTAGCGCCTCCGCGCGCGATGGCCTTGAAGACGTCGACCTTGCGGCCCTCGGCCTCCGCGAGCTCGGCCTCGCGCGCGATGAGGTCGCGCGTGGTCTCGAGCGTCTCGCGCAGGGCGCGGCTGGGCGCGTACATGTCGTCGAGGTGCTTGCCCATGCGCGCAAGGCGCTTGTGGATGGCCACGGTGTCGAGCATGGTGCGCACGCGGCGCACCGACTTCTTGAGGAAGGCGTTGAGCGACACGCGCTCGCGCTCGCGCACGACGAAGGCCATGAAGGAGAGCAGCGGCTCGGCCATGTGGCCCTGGATGCCGTCCTCGAGGAACCACTCGTCCTTGTCGCCGCGGTAGAGGTGCTCCATGTAGTAGCGCCAGAGGATGTTGACGGTGTAGTGCACGCGCTCGGCGTCCTCGATGTCCGTGGTGGGCAGCGAGAGCAGCATGGCCACGCGCTGCGCCACGGGCTTCTGGAAGAGGAACTTGGAGCGGTACACCGTCCGCAGGAAGACCAGGTCGTCCTTGTTCTTCGCGCCCTGCTGCATGCGCTTGAGCGACATCCAGAAGCGGCCCATGGTGTCGCGGACCTCCTCGATGGTCTCCGAGTTCTGGAGCGTGAGGGCGAAGAAGAGCATGGCGGTGCGGAGGTTGGGCAGCGACGACAGCGTGATGTCGATGAACATCCACAGGATCGCCACCGTCAGCGAGATGACGATCAGCAGCATCGTCGCCACCTCGAACCCTTGCCGGTACTTCTCAATGGCGCCGGCGAACGAGATGTAGCCCAGGAAGAGCACGACGAACACCGTCGCCGAGCACCACACCTCCATGTACGACACGCGGTCGTGCACGTGCGGCTTCAGGATCGACGTGACGATCCAGAAGGCCAGCAGCACCAGCATCATCGTCAGGTAGGCGTACTGCCAGTCGAGCAGCAGGCACAGCACGACGAGCAGCTTGCGCGACAGCACGACGGCCTCCCACCAGTACGACTCGTCGTCGTAGTCGCGGTACAGCAGCCCGAAGGCCACGTACACCGACGAGTAGCGGACCTTCTCGTGCAGCTCCAGGTTGCCGTCCGCGAGGGCGCGCGTCATGGCGCCGGCGAAGGGCACGCGTCCAGAGGAGCGGAACTCGCGCAGGATGACGAGCACGAACACGAAGAAGAGGAACCAGAAGAGCAGGCCCACCACCGAGAAGGGGAAGAGCCTGGCCCAGATTGTCCGGTCGAAGCCGTCCAGGTTGGTGTACGTCTTGTGCAGCCACGTCCAGCAGACGCGGACGGGCTCGCGCGACAGGAAGGAGATCTCGCCGCCGTTGCAGTCCGACAGGTTGCGGCACCGGTAGAGCGACAGCAGCCACATGAGCAGCGGGAAGAACGACCAGAGCAGGAACACCAGCACGCCCGCCAGGAACTTGTGCTTGAGCAGCGCCGGGTACAGCATCTGCTCGAAGTGCATGTTCGAGATGGTCTGGATGGCCTTGTTCTTGTTCAGCTTGCCGTCCTTGTTCACCGCCGGCCGCATCACGCGCGCGGGCTCCGTCTTCGCCGGGGCCTCCGTCTGCGCCGCCTCCTGCGTGATCGTCTTGAGCATGTCGCGCTGCGAGCTGATCACGCGCTTGAGGGCGCGGCCCGCCAGGCTGCGGCTCGAGCCGCGCGACGTCCGCGACGCGCCCGACGCGAGCTTGTCCCTCCGCTGCACGGCCGCGATGCGCAGCGCCTCCTCGTCCTCCTCGTCGAGGCCCGTGGTGATCTGGTCGGCATTCGTGAAGATCGTCTCCTCGAAGAACTGCGCCGACTCCTCATAGTAGCGCCGTCCGACGCCGAAGATCAGCGAGACCAGGTAGTACAGGCCGACGTACACGAAGAAGAGGACGGGGAAGAGCCACGCGGCGAGGAACTTCCAGTCGAACACGTCGGTGTTCCACTCGTCCCAGCACTCGAGCTGCGCGGCCTCAAAGTTGAGGCTGAACAGCGAGAGGAAGTTGAACACGCGGTACGCGTCGTTGGAGAACCCGGGCAGAAGGCGCAGGGCGCCGAAGATCTGGCAGTAGGTGACGAACACGTTGAAGGGCGCGAGGTAGCGCCGCGACTGCGAGAAGGCCACCACCATGGGCGTGAGGAGGAAGAAGGCCACGATGATCGCGGCGATGATGCTGCGCTCCGTCACGCTGCCGCACGGGCGGCAGAACTCGCCCGAGCGCCAGTAGCCCTTGACGCAGTGCTGGCACTTGCGCCCCTCGTAGCCCTCCTCGCAGATGCCCGCCAGCACCTCCTCCTCGGTCTGCTTCTCCGGGCACGCCTCGGGCGGCCAGCACTGCCACACCTCGGTGCGGTCGACCGGGTTGACCCAGTGCCCCTCGAAGGGGATGGGCGTCCACAGGCCCTGCTCGCGGCACTTGACGCACTGCGGCGCGCACTGCTCGCAGTTGTCGACCGTGGTGTGGAAGTAGTCGACCGGGCACAAACAGTCCTCGATCTGGTCGCTGCCTGAGAGCGCCGTCATGTTCCACCCGTCGCCGGAAGGACACGCCGTGCACTCCCTGGCGCCCAGGGTCGCGCTGAACGTGTTGGACGGGCAGCGCAAACAGAACGTCGCCACGACCGAGTCCGGCCGGTACTCGCCACGCGGGCACGGCAGGCACGACTGCTGGTCCAGCACGTTCGGCTCGTTGTACGTGCCGTCCGGGCACCGCAGACACGTGGTCGGGATCTCCGTGGTCGGCGGGCCAGCGTCCACGCACAAGCCCGGGATCGACGGGTGCTCCTGGCAGAAGCCGCCGCGGCACGCCACGTTGATGCGGACAGTGCTGGCAAGGCCGTCCAGGTCGCCGTCCCGCATGTGCCAGGTGAACGAGGCGTAGTCCGGGCCGCGGCCCGTGTCGCTGTTGGGCTCGTAGAAGAGCAGCGGCACCAAGCCCACCAGGCCCGTCTGCTGCTCGCACGCGCGCGCCCAGATCTCGTAGCCGTCCGTGGTGATCACGTGCTGACCGTCTGCCACGTCCGCCGCGAGCGACCCGCACGTCCAGTACAGATTGCCACGCGCGTGGACCCTGTCCATCACGTAGTACAGCGTGTCCGTGGTCGAGTCGGGGTCGATCGCGCCGAGCGAAATGTACACACCGCGCGCAAGACCCGAGCCGGCCTCGACGTCCAGCACGAACTCCTCCGTCGACGCCAGGAACAGCGAGCCCGAGCCCTGTCCGCCCTGCGACGCCAGCTGCCCCACGCGGAGCGACTCCACGAGCCCCGTGGCCATGTACAGCTGCACGCTGAGTGGCGTGTTGCCGCCGCCGAGGTCCGCTGCCTGCTGCAGGCCGCGCCGCCCCTTGTACGGCACCAGCGCGTTGTCACGCTCCAGGTCACGCAGCAGCCGCTCGTTGGTCAGCAGGGCGCGGCGGTCCGCCGGCATCTTCTCGCCAACGCCATCCGCGCGGAGCGTCACGTCCACGAGCGAGCGGCGCGCCGTCGTCGACGGCACCGAGCAGCCCGTGGTGCAGCCTGCGGCCACGCAGCCCTCCTGGCCTTGGCCGCTGGCCACCAGAGTGAGACACTCCGACATGGCCACGAGGTCGAGGGACTGCGCAGCTGGGCAGTCGCACAGACACGAGATCACGAACGGATCCAGCGAGTCCTTGCCCGGCCCACTGCACACCGGGTTGGGCCCGTTGTTGAACGGAGCGATGGTGAAGAGCATGGTCGCAATCTGCGACTCCTTGCCCTCAATGTCCCGCGCCGTCCAGCTGCACCGGTCCTGCCCGAAGAAGCCCCGGAACGGCGTGTACGACACCAGGCCCTTGAAGGGGTCCACCAGGCTGATGGTGCCCGCGCTCGGCGGGTTCCTCACCTCCACGGCCACCTGGTCGGGGGTCTCGTAGTCGAGGAACGTCAGGGCGAAGTTCGCCGTCTGGCCCTCCATGAGCAGGATGGTCGCGTCCCGGGCGATCG